GAAGCACTGAGAATTCATCATCTTAAAGATCATCAAGGGAAATGGGAGTCACCCAGACTAAATTTCATAGGACAAGTTCTGAGTACTTATGTTATTGTGATTTTTCAGATTTAGTTTAATTCAATGATCTTATGTTAGTTACAGTAATGACTTATTGTTTATGCTTTTTTATTTTTAGGGACCAGGAATGAACATTTATACAACAGACAAGCTAATGTATCTTGTCAGTGGACAGGAAGTATGAATATGTCAGTGCGATCAAAACCACTGCTGCCGTTTAAGTTTTGTGTAAAAAGGAAGGAAGAACAGATACAGATACTCAGAAGGAGGAGTTGATGAAAAACTTACATTTACATGAAATGTTACTTCTCTTTCTCTCTCTGCTTTATTATTGCAAAGTAGAATCATTTTCTCAGAAGCAGAGCAGCAGAGCGACAGTGTCGGTGCTGGATGTGAAGATGGGGCACACTTTGCTCTGTGTGCTGGGGTTATTCTGTGAGTACATCAGGGACTTTATGATTTTGTGACTTTTAGAGGCAGACTCATGTTTTTTAGGCATGATCTCGGTCACTGATTTGGTTGTTTCATAGTGGAGGACTTTGTTAAATGCACTGCTGGTAGTTATTTGTGGGCACATGGTGCACATATTTGCACAATGCATGTACAGTAGGAAACATTCATATACAGTCTCTCATTGTGCTAACTTTTATGTTGTTATATTTGTGCCTCATTCCCGAGCGAACAATAAGAGATTTGGTGCAAGGGAAAATATATAAATTATATCTTAAAGAGAAATTAAATGCGAGCAAAAAAGCATTTCTTTTGTGCAAACAAAAATATATTCGGTGCTCAATAAATGTGATTGCAAGTTTGCTATTACCCATATTAATGTGCAATGATAACCCCTCTCACTCAGTTGCACTCATATGCCCTCTGACTAACTCTTGCTCTTTGTGCTGGTAGACCGCAGCACACAAGCTCTCTCTCTCTCTCTCTCTCTCTCTCTCTCTCTCTCTCATTTTTTTTTCAATACAATTAAATTTATTGCATGAGTGACAAAAACAAGAAAACAAAAGCTTTGCCACACACAGCACAGCTTTTGTTTTCTGGTATTTTCTTGTGTGTTTGACAAAGATTGTGTAAGTGTGTGTTGAAGTTGTTAGTTGTGTGTGCGTTTAAGTTGATGTTCTCGTGTGTGCTTCTTGTTTCATTGTGTTTCTCTGGTTCCACAAATTCACTCTTGTCAGTTGCTGGGATGCCGTAGAAATACTAGTGATTTAATTGGAGACAAAACAACCAATCTGTCTATGTTTTGCTTGCATATAATATATTTCCTCTGCTCGCTCAGGAGTGAGGCAAAGATTGAAAGACATACACTTCTAGTCAATGAAATAATGGTGAAATTAAAATATTCTAATATATTGAGAGCCATTGATCTAAGGTATTGTTATATATAAAACTTTGGAATATAATGAATTGCCTTTTAGTTTAATATTTAATTTTAAAAACTTTATTCTTTGACTAACTCACAGAATATCATCATAGAAATGTTTGATACTGTTGATTGACTGACCAGTCTTTTATTATCTCCTGATGAAGTTTTTGTTTTTATTTCAGTGCTGAATACATTCCTCTGCAGACATGCTGAAGGTGACCTATATTGTTATATATTTACTCATTCTTTATCTCCTGTCTATCAGCCATTGTTTAACTCTTGATCACTTCCTCTTTTTGCATTTGTGTTTTCCTCCATACATCAATACAAATTATAAAATGCCTAGATTAGTGATTAGATTAGAGTTTTCAAATGCATATTTATGCTTCCCTGAATATTCCCTGTATATTTACTGAAGAGTCATATAAAGGGCATTTTTGTTTTAACTCATTCATCTGATCATATTAATAATAAAGACGAGAGCACTCTGATATGGGAGACATACAAACAGGTGATACAGTCAGTTACAACTCACTTGCATACTCATTCACTGAATATACACCTTTAGGGACATGCTAGAGGTGACCAGTTGTCTCTATTTTTTAAATATTTATTCACTCATTATTTAACTGTCTATCACTTCCTCTATCACTCTTGCTTTCTTACTCTTTTTGCATTTGTGTTTTTCCATGTATGTATGTATTACTCCATCTATCATTTACAAATTATGAAATGTTTAGATTAGTGCCTAAGAGTTTTTGAATGCATGTTTATGTAGATACCGGAGGCTGTATTGACCTTATGTCAAACTGTATATTTACTGAAGAGTCTGTTACCTTCATACAGAGGCATTTTTGTTTCCACACATTCATCTGATCATATTAATAATGTCAGCTCTGATGTGGGAGATGGAAAAAAAGGTGATACAGTCAATTACAACTCACTCGCATACACACTTACGTGAGGTTACCACTTCTGGTTTTTAAATATTTACTCACTCACTCACACACACACGTGCTTTTTGGGTGTCCTGTAGGAGCTGCCAAAGTCAGAAATTCTCAATTGTTTCACATACAGATGGCTGACTAACTATAAACCAACCTCAAGTGTCTTAATACGTTTTTGGGACACTACAAACCTCCACAACAGCTTCAATACTCCACTATTAAGTTTTTTCTCTTTATCTGTATGTATGCATGAGTAATGAAGTATTCCCATATTCATATGCTCATCATGGTTGCACTGTACTTGTAAGATGTATGAACATAAATATGAACTCAGTCACATTTTTTGGTGAAACTTAACCTCGATCAGCTTGAGCTGTATTTTCTCTTGACAGTTTCTTTCTCAGACAGCATGTGGTGTGAAGCTCAGCACTCATTCCAATGTGAAATCATCCAACTATCACAAACACAATCAGAGAAGGAAATCACTGATGTTGACAGATGTAGTGTCTGTTCATTTAGTTGAGCTTATTAATAAATATGATAGCTTACGATAGCTCTCTATCTCTGTTACGTAGGTGGTGATGCAATCCTGGAAATTCCTGAATTAACTTTGTTTGAAGGAGGTTTATTGACTTAGCGCTGTAAACATCAAGGTACTCCAAGAAATTAGATAAAAGCTACATTTTTCAAAGATGGATTAATCACTAAACAGACTGAAGTCTTGAATTTCAAGGCAGAGAGAGCTCAGTGCAACTTAAGGAAACTAAAGCAGATTAAGAAACACATTCACAGATTTGACACTGGAAACTAAAGAAATATGAATACCTTGACTACTTGTCAGTGATATTGCGAAACAAGCTAGTTTTAGATTTCACATTAAAATTGCATGATTTTATTATTTCAGATATTGGATACACCTAGCATTGGCCCTTTAATATTAGTGTGTCCCTTAAAAATCTGTTTTGTATTGAAACTTAGTTCTGTTGTTGTTCTGTTAAACTGTTCTCTATTTTCTTGCGTTCTCTGAAATGTATGTGTTGTACAACTGTTCAGTGTGTTTGCTAACTCAGCTGTGTTCTTTCTATTTGTATATGTTGATTAAACTGCAGTGTGCTGAACTCTCTGTCATCACTCCAGCAGCTGCAGACATGTAGAATCCTTGTGTCTGGAGTTTGATTATGTACATAAACATATGCAACAGTTCATTTAAATAATAATTGTGTCAAAATGTAAATGCATTTTAACAGTATGTCCATTCCAGTAATTTCCCTGTTTTATTGTTTCTCTAAACTAAACAGCAGATAAACGTCAGGTCACACTGACAGCAGACAAGACAATCATACCACCAGGGGGCAGTGTGACACTGACATGCTCTGTGGAGAATCCTGCTGGCTTTAAATATCAATGGTTCAGACAGACATCAGTCCATCCTGCTGTTCAAACTTCTTCTCAGACTGGTGTTAATTACACAGTTATCACACTTGGAGGCAGATACACCTGCAGAGGATGGAGAAGGGAACCAGATGTCCTCACACCTGAAAGTGATGCAGTCACTGTTCAGGAAACTGGTGAGTTTATTAATTTGCCCTGGAATAAAACAACCTACATTCTTAATGTACCAAACCTAAGGTGTGGAAGAAATCTATTGTTAGAAGAAAAACAAATACATTACGTTAGCCCAGTACTTCTTACTTCTCTTGGAAAAATGTATTTTATTGTTCATCATGGTGACAATGAGCTATTTATTTGGCCTTGTTAAATTTGTGCACAGACACAATAGAGGAGTTGATGTTGCTTTCTTAATGCTTTTCAGTTTTATTCATAAATATCTGTAATCAGATAAAACACATGATAGTTGAATGCAGTATGCTCTTATGTTTAAGTTCTGAAACCTGAAACCTTGATCTGTATTCTTATTCTCTCAGAGAAAGCATGCGGTGTGAATGTCAGCACACATTATAATCTGGAGTGATGTGCTTTTAATGACCAACTATCAAAAACACAGTGAAGTAAAGAAAATAAAGAACAGAAGGGAAGAGCTTAGCTGTTCACAGCAAAAGATTCATATAGGTCAGCTTTGACATCAAACCATCTTATAATGTTTCTTTGTGAAAGCCAAATACAGCAATAGAGTGTAAAATGTAATCAAGCAAAAACAATATTCTTCTTAACTGTTGGGGCCAAAAAGATTCAAGATTCAAGATTCAAGAAGCTTTATTTATCCCAATGGAAATTACTGTGCAACAGTTTCAATACAAAGGTGGTAAAGTACTAAAGAAACAAGTAACAAAATTAGTAAAGTAAAAAAAGGCAGGTGAGTATAGTTGCACTTTTACAATGTACTTATTTAGTAAAGACATCATTGATTGTTAATATGTGTATAACTAGTTGGCTTCTGCAGCTTCTTCTGAATCCAACTTGATGTTGAATATTCCTGATAGAGTTTCATGTCTTTGCTTTTTGTATCTGGTACAAGTGTTCAAATGGAAAAGGACATACAATAACTACTACTACTACTGTAGTTGTGGACATAAGGAAGTTGAGAGGAAGAGGGGTTACAGATGAACAAGGTTGTTGATCAAAATCATCCTAACTGGGTATTTGATTTATGTCAACAGTTTCCAACAGGGCCATTTTAACTCTTCAGCCCAACTTGACTCAGATATTCAGTGGTGAGACGATCACTCTCAGATGTGAGATCCAGGGAGGTGGAGACACTCAGTGGACGTATGAATGGGAACCAACCAGCTCAAACACACAGTCTCCAACACACAGTGAATCCAGGATTATCAGTTCTGCTGAGTCCCACAGTGGAGAATACAGGTGTAAGGGTAGAAATGACTCATATTCCTCAACAGAGTGGAGTAATGTCATCAAACTGACAACATCAGGTAAGTTGAACTGTCTGTCATTTATACTGAAAATATCATGTTCTTAATGTTTTATCTAAATAAAACAGCATGAAACATTTCTTCCTCCAACAATAATAAAGTCTCTTAACATCAGCTCAGTAAAAAAATCCATATTTTCTTTAACGTGGGAACAAAATAACTGAAGATGATGTACTAATCAGAGTATTAGAATATAATTATTCACAGAGAAATGTCCAACAATAAAAATTTCTTTGGGAGATGGGAACAAAAAAACTGTAAAACAGCTGGTAATCAGAATACTGCATCTTGTCAAATATAATCATTCCCAGAGAAATATACAGGAACGAACAAAGGATATGGAGTAAATTATAAGGTGGAACGATGGTGCAGTTTAGCACTGTTGTCTGTGTTGTGTGTTAACCCTCTGATGGACTGACAACCTGTCCCGGGTGAAACTACTCTTTCCCACTGTGAGGTTGGACAGACTGCCTGTGACCCTGCAAAGGAAAAGCTGGTGCAGATGTTTAGGACAAATACAGTTGTCTTTAACAAAATGAAGACCCACAGTGAAAGAGCTCAACTTAGCTCTTCAAAACACAAACACAAGTTTTTTGCCAAAAGGCCTACACAAATGTAGCTTGCTGTCATGCAGCAGCAAATTATTATGCAACTGATATTTTATATATTTTTAAAATGAATTTGTGGAGTTTCTAGGTTTGTACAAAAGAGTTGCATCTTAAAACAAACACACAAACAAAACACTTGATTGCGTCATTCACGCAGATCTGTAATGGTGGCAGCGTCATATTTCACAAATTATTTCTACTTGATGATAAATTTGCAAGTTCCTATAGGGCTCACCAACATTATAAAGAAATATGATATTTCTTTTCCTTACTTGAGGAAAAAAATTATGAAAATGTATCATGCACGTTGTAAACTTCTGTGAATTGTGCTTCTGTCTAGTTACAGTGCCAGAAACATTGCAACAGCCATCCTTTGCCAGTAGGGGCTGCACTATTTAAACTGAATTAAATCACAGTGACAGTAATTTACTTTTTTATGTCTTTGTTGTAAATTAAACAGCACAGAGACCAAAGGCCCAACTGAGAGCTGATGACACAGACATTCCTGTAGGGGGCAGTGTGACCCTGACCTGCTCTGTGAACCAATCATCATCTGGTTGGAAATACTTCCTGTACAGAGGAAAGAAAACCTCTGAACCTCTGACCACACCAGATGGTGTTTTCCTCTCAACTGGACAAATCAGAGTCTCACAGGGAGGACTCTACTGGTGCAGAGGAGGAAGAGGAGACCCAGTTTACTACACAGAGTACAGCGATTCAATCAGAATCAACAAAAATTGTGAGTATGACATTGGTTTTTGAAACAGAATTAAAAATGGTTTTATATTAATAATTACTGATGGATAAATAGGCTAAAAACTTTGTTTTATGTAGATTTAATGTTTTATCATGTTTGTATTCTTACTGTGAATTCTTGAACATGAACAGTTGCAAAGCCTGTTGTGACTCTGCAACCAAACTGGCCTCAGATATATTATGGAGAGAAGATCACTCTGAGATGTGAGATCAAGGACAGAGGAAACATTATGTGGACGTATGAATGGAAACCACCCAAATCAAACACACCTCTAACAAACAATGAATACAGCATTAACAGTGCTGAGTGGTCCCACAGTGGAGACTACAGCTGTAAGGGCAGGAGGGACTCATATTACTCAACAGAGTGGAGTGATGCCATCACATTGACTGTATCATGTAAGTTGGACTGTCATTGACTCATAATTAAAATGTCATGTTTTTAATGTTTTTATTTAACTCAATTAATCAGCAGGAAACATTTCTCCCTCCAACAGTAATCAAGTCTCTTAATGTTAACTAAATCAGTTGTGTTGGTATTTTGGGCTTGGGAGCAAAATAACTAAAAAGGATCTAGTAATCAGAGTACTGCATCTTTTGAATTATAATGAATCAAAGGAAAATGTACAGGAATGAAAAAAGAATATCAAGTCACTTATTGGGTGCAATTTAAAACTGTTTCCCCACAGTAGGAAGGTTCTGGGTGTGAACCTAACCTTTGGGCAACTGGTTGAGTTAACTGACAGGTTAAGTTAATCAGCGGTTAGATTAGTTTAGATGAATCACCTAACTAGCTAATCTACATTGCCTGTAAGTGTTAGTGTGAATGGATGTCTGTGTTATGTGTTGCCGCTTTGATAGACTGACAACCTGTCGAGGTTATAACTGTGAGGTTGGACAGGCTCCCTGTTACCCTGCAAAGGATAAATGGCTGAAGATAATTAATATACAGTTGTCTTCAACAAAATGAAAATCCACATTGAAAGTGTTCAACTTGACATTCAACACATGAACACATTTATTTTACCACAGAGCTGCAGAAATGTAACATTCAGTAATGCAGCAGCAATTTATCATGCAACTGACATTTGATATATTTTATTTGATGAATTTGTGGAGTTTCTAGGTTTGTACAAAACAGGACCTGAGAAAGAGTCTGAAAGCTTCAGCAAGACGTACTGCATTTTTAATTGTACTATCAAAACACAACACAAAGCTGGATTATGATTTTCACACAAACCTCAAATGGTGGCAGCGTCACATTTCATAAATGATTTCTGCTTGCTGATAATTCAGAAGTTCCTATAGGGCTCACCAAAAAAGAATATTTATTTTGATTGTTGTGTCAAAATGAGGAAAATATTTCACGTTGCAAAATGCAGCAGAAACACAGCAACAGAGATCCTTTGTCAGAATGAAACTAGTATTTATCCAGTGTATGAATTCAAAATAATGTTAATTTTAACATTATCACTTAATGCTAGTTTAAGTCTAAAAATTTTACTATTTCCTGTATGTGGGGATAATACTATTTAAACAGTATTAAATCACAGTGACAGTAATTTCCTTTTTTATGTCTTTGTTTTAAATTAAACAGCACAAACACCAAAGGCCCAACTGAGAGCTGATGACACAGACATTCCTGTAGGGGGCAGTGTGAACCTGACCTGCTCTGTGAACCCATCATCATCTGGTTGGAAATACTTCTGGTACAGAGGAAAGAAAACCTCTGAACCTCTGACCACACCAGATGGTGTCTTCCTCTCAACTGGACAAATCAGAGTCTCACAGGGAGGACTCTACTGGTGCAGAGGAGGAAGAGGAGACACACTTTACTACACAGAGTACAGTGATCCAATCAGTATCAACAAAATACGTGAGTCTGGCATTTGTTTTTGAAACAGAATTAAAAATGGTTTTATATTAATAATTACTGATGGATAAATAGACTAAAAACTTTATTTTATGTAGATTCAATGTTTTATCATGTTTGTATTCTTACTGTGAATTCTTGAACATGAACAGTTGCAAAGCCTGTTGTGACTCTGCAACCAAACTGGTCTGAAATATACGATGGAGAGAAGATCACTCTCAGATGTGAGATCAGGGACAGAGGAAACACTCAGTGGACGTATGAATGGAAGCCTGTCAAATCGAACACACTTCAAACACACAATGAATACAGCATTAGTAGTGCTACTGAGTACCACAGTGGAAATTATTGGTGTATGGGTCGACGGGACTCATATTCCTCGACACCGTGGAGTGATCCCTTCAGACTGACTGTATCATGTAAGTTGGACTGTCTGTTATCTATACTGAACATGCCATATTTTTATGTTTTGAATTAATTTCAATAAAACATCAGAAAACATTTCACAAGTCTTTTAACGTTAGCTCAGTAAGAATTTCTGATTGTTTTTAGCGTTAGAACAAAATAACTGTAAAGGATTCAGTAATCAGAGTACTTCATATTTTGAAATATAATTCAGAGGGAAGTGTACAGGAAGTAACTATAGTAACTAGAGTAACTTATAGGGACGATGGTGCAGTTCAGCACTGTTGCTCCAAGGTCCTCAGTATGAACCTAGCCTTTAGGCAACTGGTTGAGTTAACTCCCAGGTTAGGTTAGTCAGTGGTAAGATTAGTTTAGATTAATCACTTAATAGACTAGTCTTTATTGCCTGTAGGTGTTAGTATGAATGGTTGTCTGTGTTATGTGTTAACCCTTTGATAGACTGACAACCTGTCCAGGGTGTAACTTTGCTCTCGCTCAGTGTGAGCTGGGATAGGATCCAGCTCCATATGACCCTGCAAAGGATCAGTGGGCACAGATAATTGAGAAGTAGATAGCAGGTATTATACTGGTTTATTGTAATTAAAACAAAAAAGTATTTGAACACAAGCTTTTGATAAAGTTCCTGCACAAACGTAGCTTTCAGCAGTGCAGCAGCAAATTATCATGCAACTGACGATTTATATAATTATTTTATTTTATTAATTTGTAACGTTTCTAGGTTTGTGCAAAACCAGACCTGGGAGAGAGTTTGATAACCTTAGCAAAACATTGTTATGCCCAGCCCAGAGGGAACATAACATAAATGTAACATAAAAACAACTCCCCTCCTTCCCCACTCCCAAGGATGACCAGTGCCTCAGTGTATACAGTCCAAACTGAATTTCTTTATGAATTAAATCAGAGTAGAACAGGTATCAGGGAGAGCATGGCCAAAAGAACTTCAAAAACAGTATGTATATGTATATATATCATAGATCAAGAAAAAGGGCTTCTCACCCATACAGCTACCAGGTCTACTCTTTTAGAGGATATTTACATTTTGTGTTGTTAGAGATGAGACACTTGGTAGCACGGAACAGTTTGGCACAGCACAGTGTGATTGAGAGTCAGGGAAGAGTGAAGCCAGGCCAGCACCAGCAGGTGTAGGTAAGAAGGCATCAGCAGTATCCCATCCAATCACCAGCTACCACCTGCAACTCAACACACTGAGGAAAACACACATCAGTTATTCAAATAATCAAAACACAAAGCTTCATTAAGTTATTCACACAGATCAGAATGGTGGCAGCATCATATTTCACAAATGATTTCTGTTTGCTGATAAATTTGCACATTCCTATAGGACTCACCAAAGTATATTTGTTTTCATTACTTTGTAAAAATGAGGAAAATATCTCATGTTGCAAAATGTATCATGCCCATTGTAAATTTATGTGAATTTTGCTTCTGTCTAGTTACAGTACAGAAACACAGCAAAAGACGTCCTTAACTATATGAAAGTTATAGTCAAAATTCAACTATTTCCTGCCTGTGGGGGCTGCACTATTTAAACTGAATTAAATCACAGTGACAGTCATTTCCTTTTTTATGTCTTTGTTCTAAATTAAACAGCAGAAACACCAAAGGCCCAACTGAGAGCTGATGGCACAGACATTCCTGTAGGGGGCATTGTGACACTGACCTGCTCTGTGAACCAATCATCATCTGGTTGGAAATACTTCTGGTACAGTGGAGAGAAAACCTCTGAACCTCTGACCACACCAGATGTTGTCTTCCTCTCAACTGGACAAATCAGTGTCTCACAGGGAGGACTCTTCTGGTGCAGAGGAGGAAGAGGAGACCCAGTTTACTACACAGAGTACAGTGATCCAATCAGTATCTACAAAACCGGTGAGTTTGGCATTTATTCTTGAAAAAAAATCACTTTGCATTCAAAGTCATTGGTTGATATAAATACTAAATACATTGTGTTTTCATGTAGATTCAATGTTTATACATGTTTGTATCCTTACTGTGAATTCTTGAACACGAACAATTAAAGAGGCTGTTGTGACTCTGCAACCAAACTGGTCTGAAATATACAGAGGAGAGAAGATCACTCTTAGATGTGAGATCAAGGACGGAGGAGACACTGAGTGGACGTATGAATGGAAAACAACCAGCTCAGAAAAACCTTCAAATCATAATGAACACAGTATTCGGTCTACTACTGTATCCCACAGTGGAGAGTACAGCTGTAAGGGCAGAATGAAACATGCTCAACAGTCTTCAACAGAGTGGAGTGATCCCATCAAATTGACAGTATTTGACAGTAAGTCTCATCATATTTCTTTTGATCTTATACAGTTCACTAAGTGGTTGATATGTGTTTTAAGTAAAGTAAATCTTCAAGTTTGTATGTACTGATTGTACAGGATGTATTTGATCCACTATTGATACATGTTTACTTTCTGAAAAATCACTTTCCAACAGAACCTCAGCTCACTGTGTCTCCATTATGGCTGAGTCCTGGAGACTCTGTAACTCTGAACTGTGAGGTTGAACATCCATCTGCAGGATGGAGGTTCTTCTGGTATAAGACTGTTCCTGATCTATCATCCAACTACTACAGCTATGAGCTGCTACCTGGCAGCAGCAATGGGACTGAACAGGATTCCTACATCATACATGGACCAACACACACAGCAGGATATAAGTGCAGAGCTGGAAGAGGAGATCCAGTGTATTACACTGATTATAGTGAACACAAGTTTGTCTGGTCTGGAGGTCAGTTTGTTTCCATCTGTTAAGAAGCAGATGTTATCTCATCACCTCGGTTCATCTATTTTCTGTCTGTGACAAACATACAGTATCTTGAAAACTAATACTTTGTTGACAAATAATTGGCTGTGTACATTCATGCCCTCTGAATAGTTCAAAATAAATTGACTCTGGTGAACTTATGATCTTTCCAGATTTCCACTTTCCTGGGTGGTGTTTCCTACTGAACTGGGCAGAAATATGTTGTTTCCTTTTGTCCTCACACTTTATCAAGAGAAATACCAAAAGGAGAGATCTGAGACTTTCACTGAAATTTAACTCTTCTTTTCAATGAGTACTTTTACTTTGTATACTTAATACTTATCTTACTGCTTGAACACATTTTTAATTGCAAACAGACACAACATATTTTGTTAAAAGACACTTGGTTTAGTGGTCAGGTAGGTGGACAGACAGACAAAACTGACAAATTCAGGAAACAGGTCAGCAGGCAGGTTAATGTACAGCTACACTTCTGAGACTAAGACCAATAAGAGGTAAACACTGTGTATAGATAAACAATGCAGCACATGTTAGAATAAAATACTCTCCCCCTGTATCTTTGAAAGATGGCAGGTAAAAGTAGGAAGTTTCCCACTTTACAGACAACAGCAGCTGTAAAATGATGGTTTTCATCTTAAAAACACTGTGCTCTGTTTGATCCATTATTACATGTTGTTTTTCAGATTTTCATCCATCAGCGTCTCTCACAGTGAGTCCTGACAGAGTGCAACACTTCACCTCTGACTCTGTCTCAGTGAACTGTGAGGGAAACTCTACTGAGTGGAGAGTGATGAGGTTTACTGAGAACAGTTACCAGTCATACTGCTTCTACAGGGGGACAGTGACTAGATCCACATGCAACATAGACAGTAACCAGCAGAGTGATGCAGTGTACTGGTGTGAGTCTGGATCAGGAGAGTTCAGCAACGCCGTCAACATCACTATACAGAGTATGGTTTCATTCCTTTTTTTTTCTTTTTTTTTAACATCCCATTATGTGTTTCAACAAACATTTGATCTACATTGAGGAGTACAGTACATTGACATTTTAATAGTAATTTCTACTAGTAAAGTTGTTGCTATTGTTGTTGCTGTTGCATCTCTCTCTCTCTCTCTCTCTCTCTCTCTCTCTCTCTTCCTTCTGTCCTTCTCTCTTTTTTGGTGTGCATCAAGGCTCTTAAACTTAGACTACCAGTATTTAATATTATTTCATATTTTGTCCGGTATTTTTGTGGCAGTCACCCTCGACTATTGTGTTATATGTACCCATTAGCAACACTATACACTCAATCTAATCTATTGAATTACCTTGAGGTAGACCATTCTGAAAACCACTTTCTCAAATTTATACTAAATATAATCTTCTATTAATAAACATAGTTATTTAAGCAATAGCATTTAATAAAACTGTGACTTTAACCAACCAAATTTGTCTCATTCCTAGCTTTTATGTCATTCTGTTTCCATAGAGAGCACAGTCACATATCTCTCCTGCCAAGACTGAAAACCTTTCCATCTTCCTGTTATGACGAGGATTAAACATATTAAATTGTGTTTATGGGTTATCTGTACTTAAGTTTTTATGTGAATGATCACCATTAAAGCACTGCGTTGTAGGAACTTGTAAACTGTTTATTTAGTAAAATGGTATTTCACAGTAAGACAAGTTTTATGTATACAAGATAAAACGTCAGATTTTATTAAAATGTTCTAAAATAAATGAGTTAAAAAGGAAACACACCTGTTCATGGATATATTGAGCTGTAAGTGTAAGTGCATATCAGTGAAGCAGGGATTTTCATTGTGTATGTGCATTTGTGTTGTTTATACCCCTAGATTTGTAAATGTGTGTATGTTTTGTCTCTACAATGGCTTATGTGACTCTCATCTTAATTGAAGCACTTTTTAAATTCAGTCTTAGGAAAGTTTTATTTAAGTTTATTAACAGTTTTTATTCATTGCAGCAGTATCCAGGACTGAAGGCTCTTCATTTCCTGTACCGCTGATTGTTGGAGTGGTTTGTGGAATCGTCCTCACTATTCTTGTGCTCCTTTTGTATCGTTACAGACAGAAGAGTGAGACCTTCTTCTTCTATAATAATCTAATATCTAATCTTCTCTGCCCTTATAGAATAGAACTATAACAACTAATGTTTTTTTTATTCACAGGTTCATGCTGTATCAGGTTGGTTGAACACTCTCTTCTCTCATTTTGAACATAACAGCAATACATTACATGTTCTTATTTAAATGTGTTGTATTTGCTTCATGTTGTAGGTCAAACCAGTCTGAGAGCATCAATCAGGACTCTGACACAAATCATGTGGTCAACCAGAATGAAGCTCAACGTGATGTGTACTCCAGTCTTCTCCATGGTAAACATTTAAACTCATCATATGTGTTTAAACTATATGCATTAACACCTTCAAAGACACATTTAGAAATAATCAGAGGATGTTTAATTAGTATCATGTTCAAAAATATGAATCTGCCCTGTAGGTGATACTTCTTTCTATGAATCAATGAAACGTCCTGAAGACACTGAAAACGGTACAGTTCATCCCTTTTTATTAACAATGGCCTCTCAAATCTAAGTGAAAACATGTTAGATTTATTTTGCTTGCAACAGGTAAATCTGGCAGCCAGTGTGCTGGATAAGATTTCTTTAAATAAGTCAGGATGTCCAGCTGACAGAAGTCTTAAAACAGGATGAAATTACTTAAAATAATATTGTTAGTATTCCTTTTTCTAGATAACAAAACTTCACAGACAATGCTCATACAGAGCTTTTACCAACCAGGATTTGAACCTGCAATCATAAAGTTGGAAGATGTGTGCTAACTATTGAGCCACCATCCCAAGAGACTACTAGTGTTTTGGCTCTAACCACAGCAATGTTGATCAGTGGGTTCACCACTTTGATCCACACTGAAATATAACTGCATTGTTCAGACATTCATATCACAGTGTGTTTACTTAGTATCATGAAATACAATTGATTAATGTGACCGTGGCTTTATTTCCACTGCTCTGTAGGTTATGAGTGTCTCTATGAATCAATCAAAGGCCCTGAAGACACTGATAAAGGTACAGTATACAGTGGCAGCCACTGGGAATCAGTGGATCCACCACTTTGGTCCAGACTGTAATGTCTCATCAACTATTTTGTGCAGACTTCATGTTCCCCAGATGATGTCTCTGAATGACTTGGCTTTTCGTCTGGTGCCCATGAAGTTGACATTTTTTGGCTTTGAATGAAATACTTCACTGATATTTTGATACAAAATTAGACAAAATTTCGTACATACATGATCCCCAGAGGATAAATCTCAATGTGTTTGGTGATACTTTCATCTAACACCATCATCAGGTCATAATATATAATATGTGATTTTCAGACTTGAGATTCAGATGTGAAGCTCCAGCACTTCTTGCTGTGACTCTGGGCTGCCAAGCAGCAGCAGATTCAACAAACACACACATTTCCTTCTAGTTAACAAATGAGAACATGTTAACATGTTAAATATGCTAAGATGTTGACATCATTATTTAGCCCAAAGTGCCGCTGTACCTGCAGCATCACAGGTCTGCTACTCTGTTTTATCAAGAGTCAACATTGTGAAAATATCAAAAGAATAATGATAGAATGACATAGAAGCTAGCCCTTATTCATAAAGTGTCTACATCATTATGACTTCAGCACATGTGTATGATTACTCATTGCTGCACTGTAGATCTACGGTAGCTACTACTCTGCGTTATATATTTTCATCATCAGAGAGGGGTGTAAACCACATGAAGCACTGCTGTTGTCAATGGAGTGTGACAGGCTGAAATAAGATTGGCAAAAGTTTTTAAATAAGAAATAGTTGAGGTTATCCTGTCATACAAGACAAAAGTCTAAACCTTGAAATTAGACATTTTATACTGTCATTAAAGCCTAAAGACTAAAGCTTGAAATAAGATGTATTTGTGTTGAAACTAATTCCATCCACCCTCAAATCAAGTCAGACTATTTGTTATAAATGCAACAACTGCATGAGTTAAGGAGACTGATTACGAGTGATCGATAAAAAATCCTCTAACCAAAAAATATGTATGTTTCAAATGCAGATGAATCCATGGATGCTTCAATTGAACTTAAACACATTTGAAAACAAGGTGAGTACTCCAAATAATTGTGATAAATAGACAATAGTTTTGAGATGTTTTGGCCAAAAAGTAGTGATTTTTTTTCTGATTTTGTTAACAGGGAAGCAACATGAACCAGAGGAGAGCTCTGTTTACTCTGATGTGAAGATAGGAACTGCTGTTATTCTCAGTTTGTACTGAAATCATCACACAGGAGGTCATTATGAGTCAGCATGCAGTTCAATTAATGTCAGTCACATTGGGTAGTTACTACATACTACCACTAGGTGTTAGAAAAGTTAGAATTTTACAAATGTTACACCTATAAATAGCCTTTTAGCCTTCAGAGACTTTAAGTTTATCTCTTTCATATGTGATTGTTATTGTTGGTTGTGTGTCAGCCGTTTCCAATATATTTCCATCTTACAGAGTTGACATAAAGCTAAATTGTTTGTTCACGGTTTTTGCATTAAGCTTTAAAAGCAACAACCCAAGCTAATTCAACAGTTTATACAGTGTATTTGAGCTTATTTATCATTGTTTGTATTATGATTTACAATGGTGTGTTTTAAACAACCTGAGAAACCAATGTAAATGTCTATTTGTGGACAATAAACATTATTATTATTATTATTATTGTTGTTGTTTTTTCAGTGTTTCTTTTACAATACATTCTATTATATACATGTGTTCCTCTTCCTCATCTTTTTACAAATGCATTTATAGCTACTGTAAGTATTTTATTTTCACCTGAATATATTGTATATTTCTTGTACTTTTTTCTTTTGTATTTTTTATCATACCATGTATCAATAAACTATTTTTCCAGCAGTAAGCTTTCAGTTGAGTTTTTAATTGTCTTTTTAAGCCCAACACGCGTTTCATAAAGCATTTCATAAAAAGAAAATTCTGTATAATCATTGCTATGCTAAACTACTACTAACTAAACTAAACAAATTCGTTTAACATGGCTTCATCTAATTTTCTTATTTCTGTTGTTGATATGTATGCAAATCTGCACATTCATATTATGTAATACGTGATTTGCATATTTAAACATACAATATCAGAAAAACTTTTAACACAGAATAATAAATGTAATTAACAGGGGAAGTTTCATGGTTCATTTAATATCTATTTTATTCTTTTTAATTTTTTAAAATTTTTTTTTACCCTATTCACCTGTAGTGTATTAAATTAGATTGTGCTGATGTTCAGGAATCTCTGGTAGACAGACACTGCAAAAACATCACCTCCCCCACCTCCTGGGCAGTGGTAATAATTACTAACGGTGCTGTCTGAGTCTGAAGACTCTCCTGCAACGTCTTCTGTCGGACAGCGGGTGGTGCAGGAGTCTGGGGTGTTTTGGGCATCTTCTTTTTGTTCAACCATTTTCAGGGTGTGTGGATTTTAAATGTTTACAGAGGTTACTCCTGTCACTGCTGGTTGGCACTTCTCAGGTGAAATGTAGCCCCACACCACTCCAGGTTCCCTTTCAGCCGTTCTCCCATCTCTCTCTCTCTCTCTCTCTCTCTCTCTCTCTCTCTCTCTCTCTCTCTCTCTCACACACATCCACAGTTTGTGCGGCTGCGCGCTCGGTTCTCCACAGCCATGTGACACAGACTGTCAGGGCTGTTTTGGCACAAACATTGAATTAACCCATCTGAAAACGTATAATATTAATATAAATAACTATATTATCGATCATTTATTAAAGAATCGATACCAAATGAGTAGCTTGTGAGTATTGAAGTATCGATCCGCTATGATCGATCCGCCCATCCCTACTTCCTCATTCAATAAGAGCTGTTACTATTCCCTTTGTTTAAGACACTGCACTGTAGTTTGTTAAGTTACTGTGGTTTTATATGAATGAAAGAGACGTTGTTGCACTGATGTGTTTTTTAGAGGATGTCCTGTTTGTTTAAGGTTGTTACTGTTACATCCATATATTTGTGCTGTAAGGTTCAAGTGTATATTTACCACTGTGGGAGCCTTAGTTCATGTCGTGGAAGTGGAAGTTAAAGAATTTTAGAAAATGTCATGTGATCACTTAGTTAAACATATAATTTGAATATCATGTGGATTGGTTAAAAAGATAATTTAGAACATGTTAAAAAAGACACTTGTGACTGTGGTCCTGAAACTGAATGTGTGCATACGTGAACATACACCGATCAGCCATATATTATGACCACCTGGCCTCATAATGTTATGCAGCCATATACGCAACAAACTGCGATGCACTGTGTGTTCTGACACCTTTCTATCAGAACCAGCAGTTTGAGCTACAGTAGCTCGTCTGTTGGATCGGACCACATGGGCCAGCCTTTGAAAAACAGCCAAACCGCAGTCTGAATTTTTTTCTTCTTTTCTGTGTATTAACACATTAGCACTGGTGTGAATGTGGCAATGACACTGTCTAATTCTTGCTATCACAGCAACACATCTGGAAACAGGAACTGAAAAGCTGTTAATCTTCTACTACTCATGCTGGTATGCATTGGTTTGGCATGTTTATTCTCAGGTTCAATTCATCTGTACAGCACAATTGAATAAAACAAATGCAACAGTTTATTTGACTCTTTTTGATTCAATTTCCCCCCGATGCATACGATATCTTATCTTAGTTATTGTTGTAACACGAGGTAAAAACAAAGTCATCTCAAATTACAGATATCTTTACTCCGTCTTACAAGGTTACACGGCTGCAGTCCACAGGCCACATAGAGAAAAAATTATAACATGGCAGGTGGTATTACAAAAGTGGGACTGCACACGAGTCTGAATTGATAGTGTTTAGGGGTAACTTCATTATACTAATTAAAAAACATCACATAGATACAAGTTAAATAGATAGGCAATTTATTTTTATTTTCGATGCAAACATTACAGTGTGTGTGTGTGTGTGTGTGTGTGTGTGTGTGTGGAGGAGCGAGAGGGAAGTCTGGCATAATCTCCAAGTCCTGAGGCCTATTAAAAACATCACCTGGCCTTCTAGATCAGCTTTTTCTGTTGCTGGAATCCACATCTCCCACGCTGCTAGGCTTTTAGTTGCCCCCTGGACCAGCTTCAACATGAAAGTCAGTTGCATCTCATAGCCATCCCAATTCACAGCAGAGACCAGTATTGCAGTAACATCATCACAAGCTCCCTCTGCTTCCCAGATTGCAGCTTGCAGTTCATCTTGTCCATATCTTGACCACAGGTTGGTTTGAACTATTCTGCGGACCTCATCCAATCTCGTCTCACAGTCATTGATTGGTTTCTCCAGGTTGGCCTCCTGTCGTTTGCCCAGTTCTGCCTCCTCTCCATCGGCTGTATTGGCTTCAATGTCCTCTAGTAGGCCAGCTCTGTCCAAACTTGAAAATGGCCTGGATCACTCATAAAAGATGCAAAGGGACAACTCAATCTTCTTGTCTGTTTGATTTTCAGTCTTCATCCAAATATTTGCTTAATTATGCAATACATCTCAGACAGATAGAAGATATATAGGTTGATAACCTTAAAAGAAACAAAAATGTACAAAAAATAATAATGCAATTATGCAACAAAATCACTTCTTTTAATAAACTTACGATTTCTCAATTCTGATTTAAACATTTTACTTAATTCTCTCATTTAAACAAAATCACTTATTTAAATAAATAACACATTTAAAAATGTCTACTAATTTAACTTTTCTTAACTAGACTCAAGTTATCATTTACATTAATAAACTCAAATTTATCACATCAAAATCTAACATTCCATATTAAATAATCATATTGATTGATTCATTCATTCATTCATTGTCACCAGTGGCGTCCTTTGGTTGATCCTTGAGCTGAGTTCTTGTGTTTCACCTCTGTCCTGCTGCCTTCCCTTTGTTTGGTCAAGACGCCGACTTTTTCCCACAGGTGGTTGTAATTAATGAATGAATGACGTCTCGCCGTTGTTTTTCTCTTTTTCCATCAGCGGTGCGCCAGTTTAATCACTCCGCCGGAAACTGAAAGTGAAACTTAGCGTCGTCTCCTCCAGCTGCAGTCTTTCTGACAGTCATAAAATACATTTTTTGAGTTTTAACTAAACAGTGTAGATAGTTTTAGTTAAAAAAACTAAAGTCAGACAAAGAACAGCTGATTTGCATTGTACTGTATACAGTATAGGACTATTTTCGGGTGGTAAATCTATAGTTTGTTTTCAACGTTTTAAAGTTTTGTTGAGTGTACAGTGCCATGACACTATTGTGTAAAGTAGTTGGTAAAAAAACACGTATATTATTTTGTCTAATAGGAGGAGAGGAGCAGACTGAATCTGGACGGGTCAGTAGAAATATGTGCTGAGCCGCAGAGACTAACCTGTCGTGCTGAACTGACAAAGAGATAGGAAGGAGAACTCATACTGAGAGAGAGAGAGAGATTGTGTGAATGCATCTACCTGTATGGACCAGGAACCAACCTTTGCATGAGAGACAAGCTAATATATGAAATGAACTAATATATAGCTTACAAGAATAAGACTAGGATAGAATAGAAAGTTTTGCTCGTGAAATTAACAAATAGTGCAGAGGTCACATGATTTGTGTAGCTGCACAGATCATCCTAAAGATTACTGCTGCCTCACAGAGGGTCAGTTGTTCTTTATGTAATTCTATTTTATAATTAAGTGTCTACATCACAGTTATAAAGTATTGTAGAGAAAGTATCCCATCACCCCAGCACAGAATTCATACATGGTATCACTTTATGGTGAAATCTTGGTTTCAAGTTTGGTCATGACTGCACCACAGGAAGTGGGTGAGCTCGAGCAAAATTGAAATAGTCTCATGAACAGAAGTTGGCTGGAAGAGAGCCAAAGCACATGTCTGTTTGAATATGTCTTTTAGAATGAATAATCTCAAAGCTGATCAAGAGATGGGAGGCACCTGAACTAAATTTCATAGCAGGAGTCTAAATACTTATGAATGAATTAATGATTTTAATGAATATTACTAAAATCCTGTTTTCACTTTTTCATTGTGGGGTTATTGAGTGTAGCTTAATGAGAGAAGTATGAATTTAAATGATTTCAGGCTGCAAAATAACAAAATGTGAAAAAAGAGCGAAGGGGTCTGAATACTTTCTGAATTCACTGCATAAACACACAACACACTCATTGCAATACAGGCACTGCTGCAAGAACAGAGGGAAAATACTGCATAACATGCACAAACTAACAATAAAATGTTAATATATGGTGTGATATGATTAAGTTCAATGGTGTCGTGTTTCATGCATTTGCAATGATTATTTATTGTTGATGCCATTTCTTAATTTAATGTTTTAGGGACCATGAGCAAACCTTCGTCAAACAGACAAGCTCATATATCTTTGCAGTGGACAGGAAATGTAAATATGTCGAATTGTGCTGCGGTCAAAGCCACTGCAGTTTGAGTTTTGTGTAAAAGGGAAGGAAGGAAGAACAGGCTATACTCAGAAGGAGAACTTAAAGAAAAACTCACATTTACATGAAATGGAACTGGTCTTTCTCTGCTTTATTATTGCAAAGTAGAAACATTTTCTCAGAAGCAGAGCAGCAGAGTGACAGTGTCGGTGCTGGGTGTGAAGATGGGGCACACTTTGCTATGTGTGCTGGGCTTACTCTGTGAGTACATCAGTGACTTTCTAATTTTGTGACTTTCAGAGGAAGACTCGTGTTTTTTATCAACATGTTAGTTTTGTTGGCATGATTAGGTTGTTTCATAGTGGAGGACTTTGTTAAATGCACTACCGGTTATTTTTGGGCAAGTTTTGATTGTTTTTGTATGTGGTCTAAATCTTACACAGCTTTTATAAGATATTATCTCTGCTAAGATTTAGTTATTTCATATCTGTCTCTACTGGAGATTGGCAGATTATCAGTGAAGAGTGAAAACATTCATATACAGTCTCTCATTATGCTAACTTCTATGTTGTTACATTTGTGCCTCATATATATATCAAATATATTTTGCAAGCATATAAATTATATCTTGAACAGAAATTATATGCGAGCAGAAAAGCATTTCTTTTGTGCAAACAAAAATGTATTTGGTGCTCAATAAATGTGTTTACAAGTTTGCTATTACCCATATTAATGTGCAATGATAACCCCTCTCACTCTGTTGCACTCATATGCCCTCTGACTAACTCTTGCTCTTTGTGCTGGTAGACCGCAGCACAAGCTCTCTCTCTCTCTCTCTCGCGCGCTCATTTTTTTCAATTCAATGAACTTTATTGGCATGAGTGACAAAAACAAGAGAACAAAAGCTTTGCCACACACAGCACAGCTTTTGTTTTCTGGTATTGTCTTGTGTGTTTGACAAAGATTGTGTAAGTGTGCGTTAAAGTTGATGTTCCCGTGTGTGTGCTTCTTGTTTCGTTGTGTGTCTCTGGTTCCACTGGTTGTCCACAGGTCATCACAGTGGGTGATACATGTTGCAGTAATAATTTCACATTTGGGCATTTCCCCAAGTGAATATGGCAGTTTCTTTATGTCTGTTATGTTTTCACATTCTGGGTGTATTTTAAGGAACATTTCTTAGAGCCTGGTATTTGGAGCATGAGGTGAGGAAGTGTAGCTCTGTCTCAACGGAGTTTCTCCTTCTCTGGTAGTCAGCTCTGTTTATGGCGACCTTTCTCTACAGCGAGGCTGTGCTTGCTGAATCTGTACATGGTTAAAGCTTTTCTTAATTTAGGATTTTTAACTGTGGTCCGATAATTGCAATCTTTTTAGGGTCAGATAGTATTTTAATTTGCTCTATGTTTTAGTTGTTTCTTTCCAATATGTGACGTAGTTTTTAATCTGACTGGGATGGTGATTTTGGACATTTGAGGATGTCCTCTCTTGCTCTCTCTCTCTCTTTCTTTCTACATATTTAGCTACTTCGGGAGCTGTTGTCCCTTCACCACAGAGAACTGACTGTTTTTCTCTGGTTACACAGTTACGATGTGCCACAAAAGCAACCAATCAGAGAATTTCAGAGAGAGAACAGGCTGTTTCGCCATTGGATATGAACAAAATTTCTGTCAATAATAGAAATTACTCACCGAAAAATATGTTTTAATCGACTTGTAGTCAGAAAAATTCCCTCTTGTCAGTTGCTGGGATGCTGTAGAAATACTAGTGATTTAGTTGGATTGCGTATAATGTCTTTCCTCTGCTCGCTCAGGAATGAGGCAAAGTTTGAAAGACATAAGCTTCTAGTCAATGAAATAATGGTGAAATTAAAATATTCTACTATATTGAGAGCCACTGGTCTAGGGTATTGTTATATATAAAACTTTGTAATGTAATTAATTGCTTTTTAGTTTAAGATATAATTTTAACTAACTCACAGAATATCATCACAGAAATGTTTGATACTGTTGATTGACTGACCAGTCTTTTATTATCTCCTGATGAAGTTTTTGTTTTTATTTCAGTGCTGAATACATTCCTCTGCAGACATGCTGAAGGTGACCTATATTGTTAGATATTTATTTATTTAAACGTACTCATTTTTTATCTCCTGTCTATCAGCCATTGTTTCACTCTTGCTCTCTTCCTCTTTTTGCGTTTGTGTTTTCCTCCATACATCAATACAGATTATGAAATTATTAGATTAGTGCCTAAGAGTTTTCAAATGCATATTTATGTTTGGACACCTGATGCTGCCCTGAATATTTCCTGTATATTTACTGAAGAGTCATACAAAGGGCATTTTTCTTTTAACTAATTCATCTGTTCATATTAACAGGTCAGAATAATGAAGACGAGATCACTGTGCATATGGGAGACGTACAAACAGGTGATACAGTCAATTACAACTCACTTGCATACTCATTCACTGAATATACACCTTTAGGGACATGCTAGAGGTGACCAATTGTCTTTGTTTTTTAAATATTTATTCACTCATTATTTAACTATCTATTACTTCCTCCATCACTCTTGCTCTCTTCCTCTTTTTGCATTTGTGTTTTTCCATGTATGTATGTATTACTCCCTGTATCAGTTAGAAATTATGAAATGTCTAGATTAGTGCCTAAGAGTTTTTGAATGCATGTTTATGTAGATACCGGAGGCTGTACTGACCTTATGTCAAACTGTATATTTACTGAAGAGTCTGTTACCTTCATACAGAGGCATTTTTGTTTTCACACATTCATCTGTTCATATCAACAGGGCAGAATAATGTCAGCTCTGATGTGGGAGACGGAAAAAAAGGTGATACAGTCAATTACAACTCACTTGCATACACACTTACGCCTCTGTGAATGTGAGGTGACCACTTCTGGTTTCTAAATATTTACTCACTCACTCACTCAGACACACAGGGGCGCCTTATAGGGGGGAAAAGTTAGGACAATTCCAAGGGCCCATGACTGACAGGGGCCCCCAAAAATAGGTAAAAACTAATTATTAAACCATCGTCATTCAGTATATATATTTCAAATATAATAATAAAATTAATGATCTCTTTGTTTTTACTTGTTTTGGGCAGTAAAAGTTAAATATCCCCACTGACCAAAAAGTAAACATCCATATTGACCGACCACCCCCCTGTATCTGCATGAAATGGTTTGGTCCTGTCTTAGCACTTATCAGTGACTGTGTTTATTGCAGTCAGTAGATGCACCAGAACTACAGTGATCACAATGTTAACTAGTAAATCAAAATATGGTTTTCAAACAAGGAAAGAGAGAAAAGAGAGAGAGGAAAGACAAAGGAAAGGATGTCAATCTGTAACCCAGTTTTTCACCAAGAAAGGAGCCTATAGACTGTGAGTGGTATTAACCTGTTGGCTTTATGTCCATAGGGAAATAAGATAGCCAGCTACAGACTAGTGTTAGCCTGCATTTAATCACCATTTAATCAGTTCAGGGAAACGTTTTGCAACATATTCATATTAAATCATTGTCCCTGCCCCTTTTAGCAGACTTAACAACAGATGAGTCAGCAGCACCCCAGTCTCCCCATAACTGTACCCCTCCCTGTCCCAGTGAAGAGGGTGAGCAACATTGTGTTCAATGACAGGCCAGTTATCATCATTGCAAGGAGTCTGTGGGGATTTCTGTCTCTCTTGCTCTTTTTACCATTACAAACAAAAAATGAAATACTTATTAATGACAGAAATTCAAACACATTAATAACAATTATTTTCTCACATAATGATCATTATGAAATAAAATATAAAAGAAACAACTTATAAATTATTTTATAAATAAAAACAACAACCTACTGTCTATAATGGATGCTGGACAATAATAATAATAATAATAATAATAATAATAATAATACATTTCGTTAAGATAATTTTCCATTTTGAAATTTTACAATAAAAATACATTGAGACTGTAAAAGATGGCCTTTAGCACATTTTTTATGGTTGCTTTTAATCTTGCATCAAATAGTGAACTGCATACTGTATGCAGACTTGCATGCATGTACAAATCACCAACAGTAAATATTGTGCTAGCACTAGTATTGAACTACAAGAAGCAAGACAGTTGCAAGCCTTTAATTAGAGTTATGTAAAGCTTTTGATGGGACAGTCAGGACCTAGAGATGTGGTGACAACAGCTGCGCAGAGGGGGCCCAACTTGATTTTTTTGTCATGTGGCCCAAAATTCCTGGCGGCGCCCCTGCACACACACATGCTTTTTGGGTGTCCTGTAGGAGCTGCCAAAGTCAGAAATTCTCAATTGTTTCACATACAGATGGCTGACTAACTATAAACCAACCTCTGGTGTCTTAATAAGTTTTTGGGACACTACAAACCTCCACAACAGCTTCAATACTCCACTATGAAGGTTTTCACTTCATCACTTTATCTGTATGTATGCATGAGTAATGAAGTATTCCCATATTCATATGCTCATCATGGTTGCACTGTACTTATAAGATGTATGAACATAAATATAAACCCAATCACATTTTATGGTGAAACTTAACCTCAATCAGCTTGAGCTGTATTTTCTCAGTTTTTTTCTCAGACAGCATGTGGTGTGAAGTCATCCAACTATCACAAACACAATCAGAGAAGGAAAAGAAGGACAGAATTCTGATATTATATGATATATTTCTTCTAAATCACTGATGTTGTCAGATGTAGTGTATGTTCATTTAGTTGAGCTTATTAATAAATGTGATAGCTTACGATAGCTCTCTATCTCTGTTACGTAGGTGGTGATGCAATCCTGGAAATTCCTGACTTCACTTTGTTTGAAGGAGACTCAGTGACTTTGCGCTGTAGACATCAAGGTACTCCAAGAAATGAGTTGAAAGCTACATTTTTCAAAGATGGATCATCTCTTCAAATGGCCACAAACCACCAGTCTGTCGGAACAGAAGCAATGACCATTTATCCAGTGTCAGTTTCAGATGGGGGCGCTTACAAGTGTCAGTTTGATGATGGAGCAGAATCTGAACCGAGACAACTGAAAGTGGAAGGTAAGTAGCTGTCACACTGTGATGAAAAAACATTATTATTGTTTAAAATTCTGCACAAAGTCTCAAAATAATCTGAGATCAAACATCCACTTATAAGCTTTTCTGAGCTTTCTTTTGCATTTCGCTGTCTTCATTCAGTAAATATTGTTTTTGTCTTGCAGTAAATGCTACATAAAGTATTCATACTTCTCAAAAACCACTAAGCAAATGCTGAAGAACAAGTGAATATTTTCTCTGTTTTCACCTCACCAATCACTAAACAGACTGAAGTCTTCAAGTTTAAGCAGTTCAGTCACAAGGGTAGGCAGAGGGTCTGTGTATGTTTTGGTCATTGGATTTTCCTTTCAGAAACGGGTATTAAAAAACAGAAAACGAGTGAAAATATGGGACTTTTATTCTTCAATTTCTCCACATTGGTACAGTAAAAATGCTTGATATTAAGTAAGTTTGTTGTCTCATATGTGTAAAAGTCAAATATACCATCAGTAGCCAGGAAACACTGAGCAATATGTTTTTACAGTACCTCAAATATGGTCAAATATGCAATCTCTGGAGGCATAAATATGAGACTTTTATTTTGGCATTTCTCCACACTGGTGCAGTAAAGATACTTGATATAAAGTGTTTTTTTATTCATCAGGGGCGCATGAAACACTTTAATGTAACATATTTTATTTATAGCTTACGGCTCTAAATACCTTTATTTTGAAAACCGGAAGTAAATACGCTGTTTCTCCGCATTTACCATAATGCTGAGAATACTTGTACACTCTAAAGTCACAAGGGTAGGCAGAGAGAGCTCAGTGCAACTTAATGAAACTCAAGCAGATTAAGAAACACATTCACTGATTTGACACTGGAAAACTAAAGACTTATGAATATCATGACTGCTTGTCAGTGATATTGGAAAACAAGCTAGTTTTAGATTTTACGTTAAAATTGAATGATTTTATTATTGCAGATATTGGATACACCTAGCATTGGCCCTTTAATATTAGTGTGTCCCTTAAAAATCTGTTTTGTATTGAAACTTAGTTCTGTTGTGTTTTCTCTATTTTCTTGCGTTCTCTGCAGTGTATGTGTTGTACAACTGTTCAGTGTGTTTGCTAACTCGGTTGTGTTCTTTCTATTTGCATCTGTTTCTTCAGCTGCAGTGTGCTGAACTCTCTGTCATCACTACAGCAGCTGCAGACATGTGGAATCCCTTGTGTCTGGAGTTTGATTATGTACATAAACATGTGCAACAGTTTATTTAAATAATAATTGTTTCCTTTGTGTCAAAAAGTAAATGCATTTTAACAGCATGTCCATTCCAGTAATTTCCCTGTTTTATTTTTCTCTAAACTAAACAGCAGATAAACGTCAGGTCACACTGACAGCAGACAAGACAATCATACCACCAGGGGGCAGTGTGACACTGACATGCTCTGTGGAGAATCCTGCTGGCTTTAAATATGAATGGTTCAGACAGACGTCAGACACAGACACAGACACAAAAACTCGTCTTCAGTCTGTAAACTTTGATGACTCACACACAGTTATCAGACATGGAGGCAGATACACCTGCAGAGGATGGAGAAGGGAACCAGAAGTCCTCACGCCTGAAAGTGATGCAGTCACCATTCAGGAAACTGGTGAGTTAATTAATTTGCTCTGGAATAAAACAAACCTACATTCTTAATGTTCTTAAACAATGCCTAAGGTGTGGAAGAAAGCCATTGTTGACAAATTGTGCTGGAATGCAAACATAAATGTTATTAATGCCAAATCAAAACATGTTTTTGTTTTATTAAGATTTTAAGTTGCATAAACTTTAAATCCTAATTTAATGTGTTCATAGACATTTTATTGAAACCATTTGTACTTACATTTTACTTGTCTAGCTTTAAATCCTTTTTATATCCTAACTGGGTATTTGTTTTATGTCAACAGTTCCCAACAGGGCCATTTTAACCCTCGAACCCAACTGGCCTCAGATATTCAGTGGTGAGACGATCACTCTCAGATGTGAGATCCAGGGAGGTGGAGACACTCAGTGGACGTATGAATGGGAACCAACCAGCTCAAACACACAGTCTCCAACACACAGTGAATCCAGGATTATCAGTGCTACTGAGTCCCACAGTGGAGACTACAGGTGTAAGGGTAGAAAGGACTCATATTCCTCAACAGAGTGGAGTGACTACATCAAACTGACAACATCACGTAAGTTGAACTGTCTGTCATACTGAAAATATCATGTTCTTAATGTTTTATCTAAATAAAACAGCATGAAACGTTTCTCCCTCCAACAATAATAAAGTCTCTTGACATTAGTTCAGTAAAAAAAATCCTTATTTTCTTTAACGTGGGAACAAAATAACTGAAGATGATGTACTAATCAGAGTATTAGAATATAATTATTCACAGAGAAATGTCCAACAATAAGAATTTCTTTGGGAGATGGGAACAAAAAAACTGAAAAACAGCTGGTAATCAGAATACTGCATCTTTTCAAATATAATCATTCAAAGAGAAATATACAGGAACGAACAAAGGATATGGAGTAAATTATAAGGTGGAGCGATGGTGCAGTTTAGCACTGTTGTCTGTGTTGTGTGTTAACCCTCTGATGGACTGACAACCTGTCCAGGGTGAAACTACTCTTTCCCACTGTGAGGTTGGACAGGCTGCCTGTGACCCTGCAAAGGAAAAGCTGGTGCAGATCTCTTGAACACACAAACACAAGTTTTTTGCCAAAAGGCCTACACAAATGTAAGTTACAGTCATGCAGCAGCAAATTATTATGCAACTGATATTTTATATATATTTAGATTAATTTGTGGAGTTTATAGGTTTGTACAAAACAGGACTCGAGAAAAAGACTGAAAGCTTCAACAAGACATACTGCATCTTAAAACAAACACACAAACAAAACACATCATTATGTTATTATCACAGATCTCAAATAGTGGCAGCGTCATATTTCACAAATGACTGCTGCTTGCCGATATTTCAGAAGTTCCTACAGGGATCACCAAAGTATGATGTTTGTTTTGTTTGTTCAAAATGAGGTAAATATTTAATTTTGCAAAATGCAGCTTGCTTATTCGAAACTGGATGAATTGTGCTCCTGGATAGTTACAGTAGAGCTACAGACCAGAAACAAAGCAACATAACCCATTGATTCAATATTAATTAACACTATCACTCAATGCAAGTTAAAGTCTAAAAACTATTTCCTTCCTGTGGAGGCTAAAACTCACAATCACTCAAACACAAACACGACTCAGAGTCATAACAGCATACTGCATCTTTATTTAAATAATCAAAATACAACACCGAGCTTCATTACGTTATTCACACAGATCCATATTGGTGGCATATTTCACAAATGATTTCTACTTGATGATAAGTTGTGAGTTCCTATAGGGCTCATCAATATTATAAAAAAATTATGATATTTGTTTTTAAAAAAATTTACGTTGTAAGCTTCTGTGAATTGTGCTTCTGTCTAGTTACAGTGCCAGAAACACTGCAACAGACATCCTTTGCCAGTAGGGGCTGCACTATTTAAACTGAATTAAATCCCAGTGACTGTAATTTCCTTTTTTATGTCTTTGTTCTAAATTAAACAGCACAGAGACCAAAGGCCCAACTGAGAGCTGATGACACAGACATTCCTGTAGGGGGCAGTGTGACCCTGACCTGCTCTGTGAACCCATCATCATCTGGTTGGAAATACTTCCTGTACAGAGTAGAGACAACCCCTGAACCTCTGACCACACCAGATGGTGTCTTCCTCTCAACTGGACAAATCAGAGTCTCACAGGGAGGACTCTACTGGTGCAGAGGAGGAAGAGGAGACACACTTTACTACACAGAGTACAGTGATCCAATCAGAATCATCAAAATATGTAAGTCTGGTATTTGTTTTTGAAACAGAATTAAAAATGATTTTATATTAATAATTACTGATGTATAAAAAGGCTAAAAACTTTGTTTTGTGTAGATTTAATGTTTTATCATGTTTGTATTCTTACTGTGAACTCTTGAACATGAACAGTTGCAAAGCCTGTTGTGACTCTGCAACCAAACTGGTCTGAAATATACGATGGAGAGAAGATCACTCTGAGATGTGAAATCATGAACAGAGGAAACACTCAGTGGACGTATGAATGGATAATACCCAAATCAAACACACCTCTAACAAACAATGAATACAGCATTAGCAGAGCTCAGTTGTCTGACAGTGGGGACTACAGCTGTAAGGGCAGGAGGGACTCATATTCCTCAACAGACTGGAGTGATGCCATCAGACTGACTGTATCATGTAAGTTGGACTGTCATTGACTCATAATGATTATGTCATGTTTTTAATGTTTTTATTTAACTAAATAAATCAGCAGGAAACATTTCTCCCTCCAACAATAATGAAGTCTCTTAACTTAACTCACAAAAAAATAAAACTAACAGGTCATGTTAATCAGCGGTTAGATTAGTTTAGATGAATCACCTAACTAGCTAATCTACATTGCCTGTAAGTGTAAGTGTGAATCCCTGTTACCCTGCAAAGGATAAATGGCTGCAGATAATTAATATACAGTTGTCTTCAACAAAATGAAAATCCACAGTGAAAGTGTTCAACTTGACATTCAACACATGAACACATTTATTTTACCACAGAGCTGCTGAAATGTCACATTTAGTAATGCAGCAGCAAATTATCATGCAACTGATATTTAATATATTTTATTTGATGAATTTGTGGAGTTTCTAGGTTTGTGTAAAACAGGACCTGAGAAAGAGTCTGAAAGCTTCAGCAACACATACTGCATCTTTAATCATACTATCAAAACACAACACAAAGCTGGATTACGTTTTTCACACAGACCTCAAATGGTGGCAGCATCACATTTCATAAATGATTGCTGCTTGCTGATAATTCAGAAGTTCCTATAGGGCTCACCAAAAAAGGATATTTGCTTTGATTGTTGTGTCAAAATGAGGAAAATATTTCACGTTGCAAAATGCAGCAGAAACACAGCAACAGAGATCCTTTGTCAGAATGAAACTAGTATTTATCCAGTGTATGAATTCAAAATAATATTAATTTTAACATTATCACTTAATGCTACTTTAAGTTTAAAAAATTTACTATTTCCTGCCTGTGGGGGTAATACTATTTAAACTGAATTTAATCACAGTGACAGTAATTTTTCATTTCTGTGTTCTAAATTAAACAGCACAGAGACCAAAGGCCCAACTGAGAGCTGATGGCACAGACATTCCTGTAGGGGGCAGTGTGACCCTGACCTGCTCTGTGAACCCATCATCATCTGGTTGGAAATACTTCCTGTACAGAGTAGAGACAACCCCTGAACCTCTGACCACACCAGATGTTGTCTTCCTCTCAACTGGACAAATCAGAGTCTCACAGGGAGGACTCTACTGGTGCAGAGGAGGAAGAGGAGACACAGTTTACTACACAGAGTACAGTGATTCAATCAGTATCTACAGAATTAGTGAGTCTGGCATTTATTTTTGAAACAGAATCAAAAATGGTTTTACATATATAATAACTGATGGATAAATAGGCAGAAAACGTTGTTTTATGTAGATTTAATGTTTTATCATGTTCTTATCCTTACTGTGAATTCTTGAACATGAACAGTTGAAAAGCCTGTTGTGACTCTGCAACCAAACTGGCCTGAAATATACTATGGAGAGAAGATCACTCTCAGATGTGAAATCAAGGACAGAGGAAACACTCAGTGGACGTATGAATGGAAAACACCCAAATCAAACACACGTCAAACAAACAATGAATACAGCATTAGCAGAGCTCAGTTGTCTGACAGTGGAGACTACAGATGTAAGGGCAGGGACTCATATTCCTCCACAGACTGGAGTGACTACATCAGACTGACTGTATCATGTAAGTTGGACTGTCATTGACTCGTAATAAAAATGTCATGTTTTTAATGTTTTTATTTAACTAAATAAATCAGCAGGAAACATTTCTCCCTCCAACAATAATGAAGTCTCTTGATGTTAACTCATTGAAAAAAACTGACGTTAAGGTTACGTTAATCAGCGGTTAGATTAGTTTAGATTAATCACCTAACTAGCTAATCTACATTGCCTGTAAGTGTAAGTGTGAATGGATGTCTGTGTTATGTGTTGCCGCTTTGATAGACTGACAACCTGTCGAGGTTATAACTGTGAGGTTGGACAGGCTCCCTGTTACCCTGCAAAGGATAAATGGCTGCAGATAATTAATATACAGTTGTCTTCAACAAAATGAAAATCCACAGTGAAAGTGTTCAACTTGACATTCAACACATGAACACATTTATTTTACCACAGAGCTGCTGAAATGTAGCATTTAGTAATGCAGCAGCAATTTATCATGAAACTGACATTTGATATATTTTATTTGATAAATTTGTGGAGTTTCTAGGTTTGTACAAAACAGGACCTGAGAAAGAGTCTGAAAGCTTCAGCAAGACGTACTGCATCTTTAATCATACTATCAAAATGCAACACAAAGCTGGATTATGTTTTTCACACAGACCTCAAATGGTGGCAGCGTCACATTTCATAAATGATTGCTGCTTGCTGATAATTCAGAAGTTCACATAGGGCTCACCAAAAAAGGATATTTGCTTTGATTGTTGTGTCAAAATGAGGAAAATATTTCACATTGCAAAATGCAGCAGAAACACAGCAACAGAGATCCTTTGTCAGAATGAAACTAGTATTTATCCAGTGTATACATTCACAATAATGTTAATTTTAACATTATCACTTAATGCTAGTTTAAGTCTAAAAATGTTACTATTTCCTGCCTGTGGGGGTAATACTATTTAAACTGAATTAAATCACAGTGACAGTAATTTCCTTGTTTATGTCTTTGTTTTAAATTAAACAGCACAAACACCAAAGGCCCAACTGAGAGCTGATGGCACAGACATTCCTGTAGGGGGCAGTGTGACCCTGACCTGCTCTGTGAACCCATCATCATCTGGTTGGAAATACTTCTGGTACAAAGGAAAGAAAACCTCTGAACCTCTGACCACACCAGATGGTGTCTTCCTCTCAACTGGACAAATCAGAGTCTCACAGGGAGGACTCTACTGGTGCAGAGGAGGAAGAGGAGTCCCAGTTTACTACACAGAGTACAGTGATCCAATCAGTATCTCCAAAATTTGTGAGTGTGACATTTGTTTTTGAAACAGAATTAAAAATGGTTTTATATTAATAATTACTGATGTATAAAAAGGCTAAAAACTTTGTTTTGTATTGATTTAATGTTTTATCATGTTTGTATTCTTTCTGTGAATTCTTGAACATGAACAGTTGCAAAGAAGTCTGTTGTGACTCTGCAACCAAACTGGTCTGAAATATACGATGGAGAGAAGATCACTCTCAGATGTGAAATCATGAACAGCAGAAACACTCAGTGGACGTTTGAATGGAAAATACCGAAATCAAACACACATCTAACAAACAATGAATACAGCATTAACAGTGCTGAGAGGTCCCACAGTGGAGACTACAGCTGTAAGGGCAGGAGGGACTCATATTACTCAACAGACTGGAGTGATGCCATCACATTGACTGTATCATGTAAGTTGGACTAATGATTTTCATAATGAAAATGTCATGTTTTTAATGTTTTTATTTAACTCAATAAATCAGCAGGAAACATTTCTCCCTCAAACAGTAATGAAGTCTCTTGATGTTAGTTCACTAAATCAATTGTGTTGGTATTTTGGGCTTGGGAGCAAAATAACTATAAAGGATCTAGTAATCAGAGAACTGCATCTTTTAAATTATAATGAATCAAAGTAAAATGTACAAGAATGAAAAAGAATATCAAGTCACTTATTGGGTGCAATTTAAAACTGTTTCCCCACAGTAGGAAGGTTCTGGGTGTGAACCTAACCTTTGGGCAACTGGTTGAGTTAACTGACAGGTTAAGTTAATCAGCGGTTAGATTAGTTTAGATTAATCACCTAACTAGCTAATCTACATTGCCTGTAAGTGTAAGTGTGAATGGATGTCTGTGTTATGTGTTGCCGCTTTGATAGACTGACAACCTGTCGAGGTTATAACTGTGAGGTTGGACAGGCTCCCTGTTACCCTGCAAAGGATAAATGGCTGCAGATAATTAATATACAGTTGTCTTCAACAAAATGAAAATCCACAGTGAAAGTGTTCAACTTGACATTCAACACATGAACACATTTATTTTGCCACAGAGCTGCTGAAATGTCACATTTAGTAATGCAGCAGCAATTTATCATGGAACTGATATTTGATATATTTTATTTGATGAATTTGTGGAGTTTCTAGGTTTGTACAAAACAAGACCTGAGAAAGAGTCTGAAAGCTTCAGCAAGACATACTGCATCTTTAATCATACTATCAAAACACAACACAAAGCTGGATTATGATTTTCACACAGACCTCAAATGGTGGCAGCATCACATTTCATAAATGATTGCTGCTTGCTGATAATTCAGAACTTCCTATAGGGCTCACCAAAAAAAGGATACATCCTTTATTGTTGTGTCAAAATGAGGAAAATATTTCAGGTTGCAAAATGCAGCTTTCTTGCTGTAAACCGGAGGAATTGTGCTCCTGAATTTTTACAGTAGAGATACAGACCAGAAACACAGTAACACACTTTGTTAGTATTAAACTAGTATGTAACCAGTGTATTATTTCAATTCACTTAATCACTTAATTCAAGCTTAAATCCAAAACATTCTTCCCAGTAGGGGCTGCACTATTTAAACTGAATTAAATCACAGTGATAGTAATTTACTTTTTTATGTCTTTGTTCTAAATTAAACAGCACAAACACCAAAGGCCCAACTGAGAGCTGATGACACAGACATTCCTGTAGGGGGCAGTGTGATACTGACCTGCTCTGTGAACCCATCATCTGGTTGGAAATACTTCCTGTACAGAGGAGAGACAACCCCTGAACCTCTGACCACACCAGATGGTATTTTCCTCTCAAATGGACAAATCAGAGTCTCACAGGGAGGACTCTACCGGTGCAGAGGAGGAAGAGGAGACTCAGTTTACTACACGGAGTACAGTGATCCAATCAGTGTCAACAAAATACGTGAGTCTGGCATTTGTTTTTGAAACAGAAATAAAAAATGGTTTTATATTAATAATTACTGATGGATAAATAGGCTAACACTTTGTTTTATGTAGATTTAATGTTTTATCATGTTTGTATTCTTACTGTGAATTCTTGAACATGAACAGTTGCAAAGAAGTCTGTTGTGACTCTGCAACCAAACTGGTCTGAAATATACGATGGAGAGAAGATCACTCTCAGATGTGAAATCATGAACAGCGGAAACACTCAGTGGACGTTTGAATGGAAAATACCGAAATCAAACACACATCTAACAAACAATGAATACAGCATTAACAGTGCTGAGTGGTCCCACAGTGGAGACTACAGATGTAAGGGCAGGAGGGACTCATATTACTCAACAGACTGGAGTGATGCCATCACATTGACTGTAACATGTAAGTTGGACTGTCATTGACTCATAATGAAAATGTCATCTTTTGAATTATAGTGAATCAAAGTAAAATGTACAGGAATGAAAAAAGAATATCAAGTCACTTATTGGGTGCAATTTAAAACTGTTTCCCCACAGTAAGAAGGTTCTGGGTGTGAACCTAACCTTTGGGCAACTGGTTGAGTTAACTGACAGGTTACGGTAGGCAGTTGTTAGGTTAGTTTAGATGAATCACCTAACTAGCTAATCTACATTGCCTGTAAGTGTAAGTGTGAATGGATGTCTGTGTTATGTGTTGCCGCTTTGATAGACTGACAACCTGTCGAGGTTATAACTGTGAGGTTGGACAGGCTCCCTGTTACCCTGCAAAGGATAAATGGCTGCAGATAATTAATATACAGTTGTCTTCAACAAAATGAAAATCCACAGTGAAAGTGTTCAACTTGACATTCATCACATGAACACATTTATTTTACCACAGAGCTGCTGAAATGTAGCATTTAGTAATGCAGCAGCAATTTATCATGCAACTGATATTTGATATATTTTATTTGATGAATTTGTGGAGTTTCTAGGTTTGTACAAAACAGGACCTGAGAAAGAGTCTGAAAGCTTCAGCAACACATACTGCATCTTTAATCATACTATCAAAACACAACACAAAGCTGGATTATGATTTTCACACAGACCTCAAATGGTGGCAGCGTCACATTTCATAAATGATTGCTGCTTGCTGATCATTCAGAAGTTCCTATAGGGCTCACCAAAAAAAGGATACATCCTTTATTGTTGTGTCAAAATGAGGAAAATATTTCACGTTGCAAAATGCAGCTTTCTTCCTGTAAACAGGAGGAATTGTGCTCCTGAATTTTTACAGTAGAGATACAGACCAGAAACACAGTAACACACTTTGTTAGTATTAAACTAGTATGTAACCAGTGTATTATTTCAATTCACTTAATCACTTAATTCAAGCTTAAATCCAAAAAATTCTTCCCAGTAGGGGCTGCACTATTTAAACTGAATTAAATCACAGTGATAGTAATTTACTTTTTTATGTCTTTGTTCTAAATTAAACAGCACGCAGACCAAAGGCCCAACTGAGAGCTGATGGCACAGACATTCCTGTAGGGGGCAGTGTGACCCTGACCTGCTCTGTGAACCTATCATCATCTGGTTGGAAATACTTCTGGTACAGAGGAGAGAAATACTCTAGACCTATAGCAACACAAAATGTTTCTCCCCTCTCAACTGGACAAATCAGAGTCTCACAGGGAGGACTCTACTGGTGCAGAGGAGGAAGAGGAGACCCAGTTTACCCCACAGACTACAGTGATTCAATCAGTATCAACAATGATGGTGGGTTTTGTATTTATGTTTGAAACAGAACTTAATATATGTTATATTCATAATTATTGGTTGATAAAAAAGTTAAATACATTATGTTTTTATCTTTTGTCATTTTTTATTCTGACTGTGAACACAAACAGTTGCAAACAAGGCTGTTGTGACTCTGCAACCAAACTGGTCTGAAATATACAGCGGAGAGAAGATCACTCTCAGATGTGAGATCAAGGACGGAGGAGACACTGAGTGGACGTATGAATGGAAAACAACCAGCTCAAGAAAACCTTCAAATCAAGATGAACACACTATTTGGTTTGCTACTGTATCCCACAGTGGAGAGTACAGCTGTAAGGGCAGGAGGGACTCATATTCCTCCACAGACTGGAGTGATGCCATCACATTGACTGTATCATGTAAGTTGGACTGTCTTTTATCCATAATGATTATGTCCTTTTTTTAAATGTTTTTATTTAACTAAATAATACAGCAGGAAACATTTCTCCCTCCAACAATAATGAAGTCTCTTGATGTTAACTTGTTTTTAGCGTGGTAACAAAATAACTACAGGCATTTTTTCAATTATAATCGCGTAAGAACAAAGAATAATTAAGGAACTCATTGGCTGAAACGATGTTGCAGTTCAATGCTGTCCCCCCACAGTAAGAATGTCCTGTTAATAACTGAGGAAACTGGTTGAGTTAACTTGCAGCTTAGGTTAATCAGTCGTTAGTTAGTTAGATTAATTACCTAACTGGCTATTCTACATTGCCTGTAAGTGTTGATGTGAATGGTTGTCTGTGTTGTGTTAAGCCTCTGATAAACTGACAACTGTCCAGGGTGTAACTTTGCTCTCTCCCAGTGTGAGCTACAGTTGTCCTTCAAAAAAAGACAAACCACAGTAAAAGTATTCAACTTTTCCCTTCAGAAATATAGCAGCAAATTATCATGCAACTGACATTTAATATATTTTTGTATTTTTTGTATTTAGTGAATTCATATAATTTCTATGTTTGTGCATAACAGGACCTAAAAAAGACTCTGAAAGCTTGAGCAACACATTGCTATGCTTGGTCTATTGGGGATATACCTTATTGCAAGTTTAGGTGACAGTAATTTCCTTTTTTGTGTCTCTGTTCTAAATTAAACAGCACAAACACCAAAGGCCGAACTGAGAGCTGATGACACAGACATTCCTGTAGGGGGCAGTGTGACACTGACCTGCTCTGTGAACCCATCATCATCTGGTTGGAAATACTTCTGGTACAGAGAGAAAACCTCTGAACCTCTGACCACACCAGATGTTGTCTTCCTCTCAACTGGACAAATCAGTGTCTCACAGGGAGGACTCTACTGGTGCAGAGGAGGAAGAGGAGACCCAGTTTACTACACAGAGTACAGTGATCCAATCAGTATCTACAAAACTCGTGAGTCTGAAATTTGTTGTTGAAACAGAATTAATGATATTTTGTATTCATAAGTATTGTTTTATAAAAAGGTTAAATACATGATGTTTTGATCTTTTGTCAATTTGTATCTTGACTGTGAACACTAACAGTTGCAAACAAGGCTGTTGTGACTCTGCAACCAAACTGGTCTGAAATATACAGCGGAGAGAAGATCACTCTCAGATGTGAGATCAAGGACGGAGGAGACACTGAGTGGACGTATGAATGGAAAACAACCAGCTCAAGAAAACCTTCAAATCAAAATGAACACAGAATTTGGTTTGCTACTGTATCCCACAGTGGAGAGTACAGCTGTAAGGGCAGAATGAAACATGATCAACAGTCTTCAACAGAGTGGAGTGATCCCATCAAATTGACAGTATTAGACAGTAAGTCTCATCATATTTCTTTCAAAGTGAATGTTATATATGTTCATTAAAAGGCTGTTTTGCTGACTAGTAAATCTTGATCTTTGATCCTCTACCAACACATGTTTTCATTCTGAAAAATCACTTTCCAACAGAACCTCAGTCTGTCCTCACTGTGTCTCCATTATGGCTGAGTCCTGGAAACTCTGTAGCTCTGAACTGCAGTATTAAATATCCATCTGCAGGATGGAGGTTCTTCTGGTATAAGGCTGTTCCTGATCTATCATCCAACTACTACAGCTCTGAGCTGCTACCTGGCAGCAGCAATGGGACTGAACAGGATTCCTACATCGTACATGGACAGACACACACAGCAGGATATAAGTGCAGAGTTGGAAGAGGAGATCCAGTGTATTACACTCAAGACAGTAAACCCAAGTTTGTCTGGTCTGGAGGTCAGTTTGTTTCTGTCTGTCCTCTCAAGCAGCAGATGTTATGTCATCTATTTTCTGTCTGTGACCAAAATACAGTATCTTGAAAATGAACAAATAATTGGCTGTTTACATTTATACTCCCCAGTGGAAGGAATACATTGACTGTGGTGACCTTATGATCCTTCCAGCTTTCCATCTTACTATGGTGTTACTTACTGGACTGGGCAGAATTGTCTAGGTTTTTCCTGTCCTCACACTTTAACTGTATCATGGAAAACACCAAAACGAGAGATATGATACGTTCACTGAAACCTAACTCTTCTTTCTCGATGAGTACTTTTACTTTGGATGCTTAAGCTTATCTTACTTGTTGTTTTTCAGATTTGCATCCATCAGCGTCTCTCACAGTGAGTCCTGACAGAGTGCAACACTTCACCTCTGACTCTGTCTCAGTGAACTGTGAGGGAAACTCTACTGAGTGGAGAGTGAGGACGTTTAAAGAGAACAGCTACTGGTCATACTGCTCCTCTTGGGGGACAATGAATGGATCCACATGCAACATAGACAGTTACTGGCAGAGTGATGCAGTGTACTGGTGTGAGTCTGGATCAGGAGAGTTCAGCAACGCCGTCAACATCACTATACAGAGTATGGTTTCATTACATTTTCTTTTTCCTTTATACATTATTTTAAACATCCCATCATGTGTTTCAACATATATTAGATTGATGGTGTGTACATCTACATTGAGGAGTACAGTTAACAGACATTACTGCTACATTGTATCAGCCTATTTAACGATAATTCAACACCAGCAATTAGCAGCACATTAGTCCACAAAACAAATTACACCGAAATGCAGAAAAAATATCCTTTGTCTTTCAAATTATTTAGTTAAATTTCTTTAACCATTCATTAAAAATGCTCAAGATTTATGCCAAGATTATTATACAGAAAATATAATTCAGTCAGGTGCTGGTCAAACACAGGTAATGCCAAAGAATCAAAATTAAGGAAAGGGTTAGCTGCACACCAGAAAACTCAGCTTTAGACTTCTTGGTATGAATTTAAACAACTGAAATTCAGTTTTGGTGACAGTTTTAATATTTTACAGATCCAAGATATTTGAAGTTGGTCCACACACACATTATTTGGCATACGGAAAGACTTTTCTTCATTTAAAAAAAAAAAAATACAATTTTGATATTGCCGCTGGTATTTGTTTACCAGTGTTTCCCTGAGGTAGACAATTTTGTAAACCATTCATTTCAAATGTACACTGTCCACCAAATAGTTTATTGTCATATTTAATAAATGAATCAATTAACATAATTAAGTATTATATAATAAAATTGTGATTTTAACCACTGACACCATGACAGTCCAAGCTTTTATCTCATTCTGTTTCTGAAGAGAGCACAGTAACATACTGTATCTCCCCTGCCGAGATTGAAAACCATTCAATCATCTTCTTGTGATGCGGACTGGATGTAGTGTACAGTAGATTTGTGTTGGTTTATGGGTGATCTGTACTTTAGTTTTTATGTCAGTGATTACCATTAAAGTAATGTGTAAGTTGTAGGACATTGTGGACACATGTTGGATGGGTATATTACAGTAAGACACATAAGCTCTATGGACACAATATATTTCACACTCATCTGACTGAAACCTCATATTCTACAGTATTTTTTTAAAAAGACACTATACACTATACACTCATCAGGGTTAGATGAGGAAGTGTTATTCCTCAAAATAATCACATAGAAAATACCACAACAGTATTTATCTTGTTGGTGTATCTGTGTCAATGGCCATAAACTGTTGATTTGTGCCTGTTAGCTCTGTGATTGAAACGCAATATGTTTGACTGTTTTACAGAAACAGATATTATCCTGGTGAGCCCTGTCCATCCTGTGAATGAGGGAGATTCTGTTAGTCTGAGCTGCAGATTGAGAAAACAAACATTTGAGTCCAATGTGTTTTTCTATCTAAATGAGAAACTCATTCAAAATGATACCAGAAGGGAGCTGAATATCTCTGCAGTGTCAAAGTCAGATGAGGGTTTCTACAAGTGTCAATACTCACAACGAATGTCAGCACAGAGTTGGATGTCAGTTAATGGTGAGTAGGATTAAAACATTTTCTGCATTTTCTTTTATGTAAGCTGTGTTTCTGTCTGAGAAAGAAACTTAGAGGCAAATACTGAGCTGAATTTGAAATAGCTTTAGTTTCAGACAAGTTCACCTGTTGAGTTCAGTAGAAAATACTCTTTCCTTTTGAGCTCAATTAAGCCTGCTCAGTCATGATATATAACAACAACACTGTTACACTAAGCAGTGGCTCTATTCACACATACTCTACACTATTTTAAATAACTGACCCCAGACAACTCTTTCAAAATAAATGAAATATTTTAATAACCAGTTGTTTGCAGTGTAACACAAAAAATATTTACTTTGTTAGTTAACAAATAAACAAAAATGAAATAACACAATTACTCAAATTAGACTTCTTTAAAATAAAAATATTATAGTTGAAATACTAAATTGTAAACAAATGTACCTTTACCAAAATTGGCAAAACACTGTAGAAAATCAGACACTTATAATAAGCAAAATAGAATTGGCAATATTCAAAACTTAAATTATCTGAGGAAATTCCTAATTCTTACCCCTTTATACGATTTCTCTGTACTTATCAGACTCAGATCAAATATGCTACTTAACTAAACTCTAAACATAACAGTGTGTATGGATTAACCCTAACCCTAACCCGAACCCTAGTTAGCACAGTCACTCTTGCAAAACTCAAGCGCCCTAATCCACTGTGATTAGACAAGAAATGCTTGTTACTGTCCTCAGCTACAGCTTCTTATGTTACTTAAACATTCAGCAAGTTATCTACCAAAATGTCATTACTTTTAACTTTACTTTAGCTCCACATTTCTCTCTCTTTTCTCTTCTCTCCTTCTCCTTGATTCTTGTTGTCGCTTTTTTCTTCCCGCCCGTTTTTCGCTCACTCCCTTACCTACGGCTAATTACCAACAGGTGACACTGAGTGACGTATACAGCAACCAATCAAATGATAACAGCATGAACCAATGACACGAATCTGGATATTCATGTTTGGTTTACCACACACTTTTCTTCAACTACTATATAGAACAGTTTACTGTAACTACTTAACTTACTTAACTATTTACACTCTATCTTATTTATTATGAATTTATGTTAATCTCTCGGTTAACATTTCATCTTTCACTGCTTTTAACCTTAATTACTTTAGGTTTATTTGCATGACTGAATTATTTAATTAATTAATTGAAATAATTATTTGTATTTCAAATGAACTTGTTTTAACCCCTGTACTTTTACACCGGGCTACAAACAGTTATTATTTATTATTATAGCAGTGTCCAGGCCTGAAAGCTCTCCATTTCCTCTACCGTTAATTGTTGGGCTGGTTTGTGGAATCATTCTCATCATCATTCTTCTGCTCCTGTTGTATCGCTACAGACCGTCCAAAGGTAAGAACTTCTTCTTCTTCTTCTAGTTGTTTTATGCTTTAATTATACAAACACACACAAATATTCTGGTCTCACTGAATAGAACTTTAACGACTTACAATACAAAACCATGTAATAAAAATGTCTTTTTCACAGGTCCATGCTTTATCAGGTTGGTTGAACACTCTCTTCTCTCATTTTGAACATAACAATAGATTCCATGTTCTTATTTAAATGTGTTGTATTTGCTTCATGTTGTAGATCAAACCAGTCTGAGAGCATCAATCAGGACTCTAACACAAATCATGTGGTCAACCAGAATGAAGCTCAATGTAATTGCTACTGCACTCTTCTCCATGCTTAGCAGTTAAATTGAAATAGACTTTATATAGAGAGCCAATATATTCTTGTAAAAAAAGACTTCTTTATCATACGTTTAAAAATATTACTTTGACATTGGCTTGATGTTCACTGCTCTGTAGGTGATGCTCCTCTGTATGAATCAATCAAAGGTTCTGAAGACACTGGAAATGGTACCGTTCATACCTTTTTATTAACACACTGCAATAATAAAGCTATCAAATGTAGGTGTTTTCTTAAAATAAGCAAATTCAGCTGCAAGTTGTAAGTCTTAAAACAAGATGAAATTAATAAAAAAAATAACATTAGTAGTATTCTTGTGTCTAGATACAAAAAACTTCACAATACCTGTACAGAGCTTTTACCATCCAGGTTTTAAACCTGCAAATCTTCAAGTTCTTTTCTCTTAATTCTACCTGTCAATTCATCCATTCATCCATCCAGCTGTACAGTACTGTATGTGTCTGCTGAGCAAACAAATCCTGAGATCTGACTTCTGTTTTAGACGACAATCTGGTGTATGCCCAAGTCAACTACCACAATAAAGGCAAAGCCAAGAGAAACACAGGTAAGTAAAGTCTGCATTCACCTGCAGCTGTTATCATCAAACATGTTGGTGTTGGACACAGTGCAATTTACTGTCTGTATGTAATGTGTTCAATATGATTGAAATGGTAGCTGTTTGTATGTAATTATTTATTGTATTTCTTCTACATTACTGTCAGTTGTTTAAAACTAAACATCCCTCCATTCACAGGAAATTCACCTCCTGGAGCAACTGCTGACGCTGTTTATTCAGAAGTTAAACCAGGAACAGCTCTCGGTAATAATGCTGCCATCTGATGTGCTTACTGTAATGACTTATTCTACAAATAATTAAATGGGTGAAAGCCAGAATAACATGTCAGAAAGCATCCTCATGTCTTTAATAACCGTATATCTTTGTTTTTTTAATTTTTTTATTAATTTGTAATGTGTTGAAAGCATTTCATGAAATTATTGTGTGTTCTTCTGCTATCCAAGTCATGTTTAAAGTTTTTGTAGGAAACTGAATGTAAGCTGTTTCAACAGTTTGATACAGTACGCTTTATTATCCAGGTGAGTGTGCGGGGTTTAAAGTCAGCATCTTGGTGGCCCAGCACGCATGTAATCATTGTGGAAGATGTATGATATGTTTATGTTACTTTCATCATCAGAGATAGGTGTTAGATCTGAAGATTATTCTGAGATTAAAGGTTAAGACTATAAAGGTTTTACTGTGGCAGAACAACTGCATGATTTAAAGGGGCTGATTATGATTATTTGATATAAATTCTTGTAATTAAAAATATGTAGCTTCTATTTCAGGTGCAGGTGGATCCCAGGATGTCACTTATTCTTCAATTGAACTTAAAAACTTTGGAAAGAAGAGTGAGTAGGCCTACTTTAAATACATACAATTAATTAAAGATAGATTAGAGATGTCTTGGACTGCAGTACAAAAAAAATATTTTTTTAATCTTTGCATCTGATTATCTCAACAGGGAACCAACATGAACCAGAGGAGAGCGCTATTTACTCTGATGTGAAAACAGCAACTGCAGGTACAGTCAGTTCCAACCATCATGCTCAGAATCTGTATTGAAATGTGTCGTATCATTACACAGGAGGTCATTATGGGTCAGCATGCAGTTTAATTAATGTCAGTCACCTTGGGTAACTACTACATACTACCACTCTGCATCACCAGAGTTGTCAATTCTTACACATATTTAAGAACCTTTTAGTCTTTTGGGTGTTTCTTTCATAGACAGTCTGTGATTATTATTTTATGTTGTATGTCATTTGTTTCCAACATATTTCCATCTCACAGATTTGGCACAAAACTAAAAAAACAAACAAAAGACAGATTAGCTAAGGTGACAGTGTGGTGACGACAACTAATGTGGTTATATTTTGATCTTCATTTTAACATATGTTGTTGTACTGCTGTAAAAAAACAGAAGGGCACCCTAAATTTCTTTTATTTTAATTCTACCTGTCAATCCATCCATTCATCCATCCAGCTGTACAGTACTGTATGTGTCTGCTGAGCAAACAAATCCTGAGATCTGACTTCTGTTTTAGACGACAATCTGGTGTATGCCCAAGTCAACCGCCACAATAAAGGCAAAGCCAAGAGAAACACAGGTAAGTAATGTCTGCATTCACCTGCAGCTGTTATCATCCAACATGTTGGTCTTGGACACAGTGCAATTTACTGTCTGAATGTAATGTGTTCAATATGTTTAAAATGGTAGCAGTTTGTCATTACTTATTGCATTCATTTGTCATATGTTCTATTAAGCATGTTTAGTAATGCATTTTTATTATACATTGTATGCATTGAGTGTACATCAGTTAACTCTGTAAAAGCTATAATAGTCTGCTATGTTATATGTTTGAGCACTGTGGGCCTTACAGTACTGTCATTCTTTGTATTAGCAGATATGTTAACCTTCACAGTGTACCTGTCAGTTCAGCACACTTTAATAATTATGACATTACTGGCAGTTGTTTAAAACTAAACATCCCTCCATTCACAGGAAATTCACCTGCTGCAGCAACTGCTGACACTGTTTATTCTGAAGTTAAACCAAGAACAGCTCTTGGTAATAATGCTGCCATCTGATGTGCTTACTGTAATGACTTATTCTACAGATAGTTAAATGGGTGAAAGCCAGAATAATGTTGTGTGGTTTTATTCCAGGTCTGTAAAGAGAACTGTATCATCAAAGAAAATTTTTTGACAGCCTTTAATTATATTGTGTGCACCTCTGCTGTCCAAATATCAGACATTTTGTACAATTAATTTCTTAGCAGATTATATAAAAGAAGTTACATCATATGGATTTAATTACTACTCTTAGCACAAAGCACAAGTATTCCCATTTATACTGTATTTATTCAGATTTTAAGTTATATTTAAGAGTTTTGCAAGTTGAATGCAAGCTGTTCCAACAGTTTTATGCGGTATATTTAAGCTTTAGTAAGCAGGTGATAGTGCAGCTTTTAGGTCTGCATCTTCTTCAGAAAGAAGAAATATCCAGGACGGACATTATTTATGTTAATGATCTGCTATCAGACTAAATGATGGCGACGACCAGAGCCGACCACACTGAGCTTCACAACAGCTCTTCAGAAACCTATGGGTGACTACAGAGACTGTGTCCATTTTTAATTATACAGACTTTGGTTTTCTACTGTATCTGTATTCATAGCTACTGCATGTACCAGATTGTTTATATCTTTTGTACTTTAAAAAACATTTTGATGCATCAATAAACAGTGTTTCCAGCAGTAAGTTGTTGTTTTTATTTGCTTTTTTTACTGGACAACCAAACTGGATAAGAACATCCCACAGTAGGCTTCGTCTGACACTATCAAGCTTGTCAAAAGCAATGAGGGGGACTTGGTATTCGTTTTCAAGGACTATTTCTTAGTTTGCTTTTTATACTATACTTATGTCAAAGGTAGTCAAAACCGGTCAATCAATAATAGTTTGATGGTTATATTATCTATTGATATGCTTTGACTTAACAGGATTCTTCCAACTTGGTGGAATACCTTTTCCTGTCAAATTTCCACACTTTTTGTAGTGCCTTATGGGTTATATCATGGGAATAATGCTAAGCACATCTGCCAGCTGGTCTGTAGCCTTGTGTGGCTTCACTTTAGCTAGGGTTTGTTTGACATCAGCTGTAGACAGGCATAGTACCTGGTTGTCCTTGTCAAATAGACAAACATAAAAAGACTCTTATATACTGTGTGTAGGATTTGACTTTCTCATAAACAGTGTGTTGCTTTTTCAAAAGGATTAATTTGATAAAAAATGACATAGAACTACTGCTATTGCTGATTATTAACAGGTGGCACATTTATATCTTGTCTTACACATATTAGTTACCACCACTATGATGGCATTCAAATTGTCAAAAATGTGTTTTATTGCCAGTTTGACCCCTCTAGAATTAAGGGGATACAGAAGGTCCACGATTTTTCGAGTGTGTCTTAAAACAATAACCAGTTTGCCCATATGAACAGTGACAGGTTTTTATTCTTGCCATTAGGAGATCCCTCCCTAATGAGCTTTTAGTGTAAGTGATGCTCGTCAATGATGGTACTGTGCAGTCATGAAATAAACATATGCACATGCACCATTTCACTTATCTTCATCCATTCATGCATACATATACAAGTTTTGGATGCAAAACTAATATTGTAACCTGTAACATGTTTTCTCTTATGCTTTGTACACTACGTTTATTTTACATTGTGTCGGCATTGCAGAAGATGCATGCACAGTGTGCACATATCAGCATGATATTTGTAATCATTTCCTGTTTTTTTTTATAAAGGCCTGCTGGTGCCAGAGGTGGTCAAAACAAATCTATCATTAATAGTTTGATGGTTATATTATCGGTATGCTCTGAGAATGTGTCTTTGTCGATTTCTGTGGCTTTGATTAATTTGTGTTTTATAGATATCCTGACAGCTTGCTGTGTGTAGCAGCACTGGTGTCAGTGCGATGACTATGCTGTGTGAATTCATGCTATCACAGCAACTCATCTGTGGACATTGAGTTTCCGTCAGTCATGCTGATAAGTTGTGACTTCTTCTGTGTTTGTGCATGCGAAACATAACCTTAGTAACATAGTGTGAAAAAAGACAGAGTAGATGGTTCCATGAGATAACTTTTTTCGTTTGGGGTTTTCTTCCATTTAGCTGCTGTAGCACCAAACAGACAGCTGAAATCTGAAATACGTTTTCTCCATCAAACGTAGGAGTAAAAATATTCTGCTCCACTGATCATTTAAAGTCCTAAAAAATTAAGGAAAAAAATCTATCAGTATTTTTAGGCACATATATAGGACTCAGGGTAAATTTTATCTGCACTGCAACGTCAACGTGTTTGCGTTTGACTGTCAAGGAAGCAAAGAGAGACAGGCCATTTTTAGAAAGACAGTTCTCATATTGATATGAGGTGTGGCTTCTTGTCTTGCACAGTTTTCTGTTAGTGTTGCCCATAGGCGTTCAAGCTTTGAAAGTGGAAATATCTGTATATCTGAGCAGTGTCACAGTGACTGTGCTGGATGTGAGGATGGGACACACTTGGCTCTGTGTGCTGGGGTTATTCTGTGAGTACATCGCTGACTTTCTCTGCCACTAAAGCAAAATCAGTGAGGACCATTGTCACAGAGAGTTGCGACACTGTTGATTCTGTCGCTCATGTGATACTGTATTTATTTTTATGTATTTTTTATGCATTTTTTATATATTTTCTCATCTTTTTTTCTTTACTGGTAGCTAACATCAGAGTGGAGAACTGTACTGTAAACATTTTGACTGACATGCAATAATGATTTGATATTTAGACACCTGCAGTTTCCATTTGTGAAAGTTTATAAATGCCTTCCTATTTTAACAGTTTCTGTCTGATCTTTATGTTAGCACTGAATACACTCTTCCACGGTGGACAAGCTGAAGGTAAATCTGCAATCTTCCTTGTTTTCTGTTGTTATACTTATTGACTTCAGATGAATCTGCGCCTCCTGTCAGTTTTAGTCCACGCATCACACACAGGATATGACTAACTAGTTCATAAATAGTGTTCCTCAAATAACTAGTTTGTATTTTTGTTTGCATTCTAGACGCTGTACTGACCCTTAAGCCAAACTGGCCCACTTTATTCACTGAGGAGTCTGTTACATTCACATGTGACATCAGAGAAGTAACTGACGATGGCTGGAGTTACACATTCAGCAGGAATGGTCAACAACTTGATTCCTGCAGTACAAATAAGTCCTGCTCATTTAAGATAATGAAAAACTGCAGTGGCGAATATCATTGCACCGGTCATCACCTGAGCACAAATGTTTCAAAGAAGAGTAATAACGTCACTCTAAATGTCTCAGGTAATTCATCTGATGTTTTTTTGTTTTTTTAATTACTGTAGTGTGCAATTTCCTCTAAATCCAACTCAATGGTAATAGAGATTCTGATTCCATACTTAAAAAAAAACATTTAGCAGTGGTTTGTCACCACCCAGCTTGCCCATAGAAAGTATTTAATCAATTTACTGAGTTTATGAACAAATGATCAAGTTAAACAAGGCACCGACTCTACCGTACTCAGATAATGATGTGATCCAGGAGACTAATATGTTTTAAGAAGTGTACCTAAAGTATGTATGTTTGGAGGTAGTCTTTTGTCAATCAATGTATTAAATGTGCAGGTTCAGGTTTTCATTCTGTGGATTCATTTTCCAACAGATAAACCCAGGCCTGTCCTCACCGTGTCTCCATTATGGCTGAGTCCTGGAGACTCTGTAACTCTGAAACTGAACTGCAGTGTTGAAGATTCATCTGCAGGATGGAGGTTCAACTGGTTCAAGTCTGTTCCCAAACTATTAAACAACAGCTTCTCCTACAAGTATGAGCCGCGATCTGGCTACAGTAATTGGACTAAAGAGGACTTTTACATTGTTCATGAATGGAAGCACACAGCAGGATATAAGTGTCGAGCTCGAAGAGGAGATCCAGTGTATTATACTGCTTATAGCAAAAACACCTTTGTCTGGTCTAAAAGTCAGTAGATTTGGTACTTTCTTTTCTTTTTTCTTTCTTTCTTTCTGCCACCAGCGTCAGGCCATTTATCCCCAGAATTTAAGATATTAATGGAAGTAGCCTAATTAATGGATGTTTGCTAGCATTGACCACACACATCCTGTTTGTTCTTGCCGACACTGTGATATAAAACAGCCGTAATTTAAAGTATTTAAAAGGTAAAGGATATTTTACTTTATGGTCAGACAGGCATTAGACAGTCAACAAAAACATTTCAGGAGGCATGGGAACTACTAGGAAGCTAAACTCTGATAGGTAAAAGGAAAATCATGATTTGTCAAATAGTGACCCTATTTAGACTTGGCTAAATAAGGTGGCTGGTAGAAAAGCGTATTTTTAAAGCTGCTAAGTTGGAGACCAACCACTGTACTGTACCCTCTCTCTTACTCCTCGTTGACTGTTGTGTTTCAGATGTCCATTCACTATCAGTCAAAGTGAGTCCTGACGGAGGGCCCCAATATTTATCTGACTCTGTCTCGCTGAGCTGTGAGGGAAACTCTACTCAGTGGAGAGTGATGAGGTTTACTAAAGCAGGCCACCTGTCAAATTGTTCTGAATGGGGTTCAATGAATGGATCCACATGCAAGATCCTCAAACCTACAAACAAAGCAGCAGTTTACTGGTGTGAGTCTGGATCAGGTCAATTCAGCAATGCAGTCAACATGACTGTACAGAGTAAGTCAAAGTTTGTTTAATTTTTTTATTTATTTCATTATGGGATATAACATGTTATATTTGAATTGCATAAGCATTATAGTGAAATGTTAACAAGTGGAATCTTATGCCTAAATAAATAACCCGTAGGTCCTAAATTAACCCCTACAAAAATGCAAATTGAAGACAAGTTAATTCAATATTTCACTTTCTATCAAATTGAGTTCTCTCAGCAGGGGTCTGTCCAAGTTTGTTCTTGTTGCCGTCGCCAAGTGCTTGCTCATGGTGGGAACTGTTGGGTCTCTGTAAATAATTTTTAGGAGTACGGTCTAGACCTGCTCTATTTGAAAAGTGTCCTGGGATAACTTCTGTTATGAATTGGCGTTATACAAAAAAAATGGAATTGAATTCAATCCAATTTAAAATTACACCAGTGGCCAGCTGAATATCTCTGCAGTGTCAAAGTCAGGAAGGCTTTTACAAGTGTGAATACTCAGGGAAAGAGTCACCAAAGAGTTGGTTGTCAGTAAATTTTGAGTATGATTAGAACTTTTCAGAATATGGCACAATCTGAGATGAAGAAAGTTTCCAAATACTTCACCTAAATAGCATAGAAATAAGGATGGTGATGCTTTTGTATATTGTGTGCTCTTAAGTATACACTTGTACATGTACGTATTTACGTGTGAAGTATATACTGTAAATATTGTATGTGTAGGTGTATATATTTTTTTCTTTCCACATATAATTTCTATAATCTGCTTTTGAACATGTCAGGTCCATCAGATCCTGGACGCAGATCCACTTGTGTAATCTTGTATATGGTTTCTTCCATTGTGGATTGACTAACCATTGATCTGTTATGTTGTTAACAAGTTAACAGTTTCAATACTTATTTATTATTACTGCAGGGCCCCCCCAGGAAAGCTCTTCATTTCTTATGCCACTGATTGTTGGGCTGCTTTGTGGAATTTTGCTGATTATTCTCCTGCTGCTGTTGTGTTACTGCATAAAGTCAAAGGGTGATACATTTATCTTCTGATATTTGATGGATTACAATCTGATTATTCAAAGTAATTTATGTCATGATGTGAAATATCAGTGCATTAGCTACCACTACAAAAACAATGTAACAACAAATGTCTTTTTTTCTTCTTCACAGATTCATACTTTTCCAGGTTGGTACAACACTCTCTTGGGGCATCGGTGTATGACTGTGTGTGAATGCTTAGTTTCTGTTATGGTGAGCAGTTGGCACCTTGCATGGCAGCCACTGCTATCAGTGTATGAATGTGTGTGAATGTGGTGAGTGTGGCATGTAGTGTACAGCGCATTGAGTGGTTGAAAAGACGCTATATAAGTACAGTCCATTTATTTATATATATATATATATATATATATATATTACTAATATTTTTGTTTATGCAATATTTCTAACCATGATTTTTAGGTGCACACAGTCTCAGAGAACCAATCAGGGTTCTGTTCCAGATCAAGTGGTTGAAACTCAACCTAAAGAGCACTCCTCTCATCTCCATGGTAAGCTATAAAAATAATAATAATAATAATAAGATTTTTTTTTTTATGAGTTATCATTTCATATATGACCTTATCATTTAAATTGCTACAATCCATAATACTGAAAACAAAATCAACTAATCAGTTAGTCAATTGATGATGGTTGACAATAAACTATCACAAGCAAATGATCAGAGCAGAAACTGGTTTACACTAATTTCTCACATTGTTTCTGGTTTAATTGGCTTTACCTGACAGAAAAGATTACAAATAGTATTTTAAAATACATGTGAAGACATTTGTAAGAAAAGATGCAGCTTAGATAATGAAATAGAAATCATTACTTTTAGCTTTACTTGATTTTCAGGTGATGCTTGTCTCTATGAATCAATTAAAGGCCTGAAAAACACAGACAATGTCACAGTAAATGCTGTTGTATTTACACAGAGCAGCCAGAAGCTGTGGAGTATAGATGACTGGTCATACTTGACAATCACTTATGTTAAGAAAAAAATTATATTTCAGGTGCAGATGAATCCCACGACGTCACATACTCTTTGATTCAGCTTAAAAACATAAATAAGGGTGAGTACTCAAGATACATGCAATACAGAAAAATAATTTATATAACTTAATTTATATATATTATAATTACATACATATTTAGATTTTCAGGCCAGCAATGCCTAAAATTAAACTATTAAAAGCATTCATTGTATTTAGAGTGTAAAATGTAATTGAAAACGTCCCTCAAGGTAATCATGGGTCTGTGTGTGGTTCAAATCACCTCAGTCATCTCAGGTAGTCGGCAAAGTAAGAACATGTATAAGACCACACTAATGTAGTTGCTTCCTCAGAGGCCCGGAGCTTTTAACTATGACACTGTATCTAATCCTGTAAGCATCTTTTCTGGACGGGCCCATATAGCAGAATGTTTTGATGATGTTGATGTTGAAGTCAGGGGACACATCATAAAGAGTGAGAAAGTACTAATCATCTCTCCATGTATAGGACAATCGTCTCCTGCAGCAAAAGAAGAAACTGTTTACTCTGAAGTCCAGCTAAGAACATCTTTTGGTAATAATGCTGCCGTATAATTTGTTGTTGTTCTTATTTGTGTCTTTAAATATTATTAACTATATCTTTAATAACCTTTTATCTCTGCATTCTCTGGTTTTCTTCCAGGTCCATAAAGAGAAGTGTTGGAGTTTTTTTTTCTACAGGTTTAAAATCCACTTAATGCAGCCTTAACCTATTATTAAGCAGCAAGCCACTTAGTCATGCTTTTAACAGCTTTATTTGCAGTGAAGACATAAAACTAGAAATGTTAAAAAAAGGTATTAAATCTTTGGAAGAATGTTTGTTTCCCTTTTGGGAAGTTTCCAAATATAACATTGGCAGTACTTTTGCAAAGTAAAATGCTGTATCCCAATTTCATAATAAGTAGTAATGCTAATCAGTATGTCCTTCATACTACTAGTAATTTCTTGTATAGTATACTGCAGTTAGAAACTTGCTCTTACAGGAAATCAATCCAATGCTACACTATCAAATGTTAATCAGACTGCAGCTTTTACATGTCAAAGGCAAGTTCAACTATTGATATTGAGTAAATATTAAATAAGACATTATTTAAGTTATATTTGTGTTTGGTTAGTTATTAGTTTTTTGGTTTCTGAGGGCTTCTGTAGTAACCTGTGCACTTTTCTGTCTGACGATAAGGTTTCTATGGTTTACATTTTTTTATTTTGCTTTGTTAAATTGTTTAAGGTAACTAGAACGTTAGGTAACTGCCTACTTGAAGGCGCAATGGTTACTTATGCCAGTAGGTCCTCTGGGATTGAAGCTTAATGTTGAGGTTTAGCTAATGTTGAACGGACTAGAACTGTTAGTAGATGTTGTTGATGATTAAATACAATCAATATGTGATTTGAAGTGTCCAATGTCCCACTCTTACACAACTTGCTAACAGACATCATGTGCCTTGTGTTTAGTGTAAGCGCCTTTTACCAGAGATAACTGTTTCATTGTATATTAAGTATAATATGGGGAAATATTGTTGAATATTTGGTGTGACTTAATTCATTTATATTTTACCACAGATGTTTGTCCTGTGGGGCTTCTGTAGAAATGTGACAAATGACCAGGAAGTGGCCTTTTATTGTGAAATGTTATAAATAAATGAGTGAGGGCAGAGCACAGCGCGGTTGTTTTACAGCCGGCATTGCCACTGAGCTGACTCAACTCGTAAGACAGTCCCATGTCGTCATTATAATGTGGTTATAGAAAGAAAGACAAAGACAAGAATAATATAGACCAAATATAGCCACTACATACAACTCACTTTGAAGAAATGAATGCTTTGAGTCTGGTTTAGAACAGGAGTTAGTGGTTCACATCAGCCTCTTGTGGTTGAAATGAGCAAGTGAAGCACTTTCTGATGTCTGCTCTTGAAAGGTGATGTATATATATATATATGTATATACATATAAACTTAGAATTATTATAAATAAAATTGACTTCTTTACAATTCTTCCATTTCCTTTGTGAATTTCATTGTAGAACAGTGTCCATCAACAGCACACTTAAAAATCTGTTATGACTTAATTTGTCCACTTTTTTAGTGTGTACACACTACTGTGTTCAAAACCTGCATAAAATGTATATATAATGTGTATTGGGGACACAGTAGGCTAATGTCTAGAAGAATTTCCTGTCAGTATAAATGGTAAATAATAAATTTTCTTATATACTTACTGCAAAAAGAGTTTATTATGGTGATCGTGAACGTAATCGAATGCACTGTGGAATATGACCATTGATAAGAATCTATCACCTCTTGGCCCAATGCATGCTGGGTGAGGCTCCACTCAGAACAGTAGCAGCTATATTGAGGTATAAACATGAATATGAAGTCCACTTTGTTATCTTGTTTTTTGTTGCTTCCTTTTGCTCTTTGGTGATCTAATAAACATTATTATTATTGTTATATTCAGCATTAGTACACAAGCTATCCCTGGTAGTTTTGGTTACATGTTTTTATGTAATTCATAATGGAGTGTGTCATATGTATATGACTAACAATGTTGTTAAAACACGTGTTGACTTAAACTTGCTTTGTGAAAGGGGAAGGAAGACATGATTTTCAAAATTTAAGAAAGCATGAGCCAAAATTGGCATGACATCAAGCTTTTTTTCTTTCTTTTTGTTCCTATCACATGCAGAAGTTTCACATTCTACAGTAGAAAAAAAAAAGCCTCAGAAGCAGGGTATCAGTGTTGGATGCGAGGATGGGACACACTTTGCTCTGTGTGCTGGGGATATTCTGTGAGTACATCAGCAACTTTATTTGTTTGAAAGGTACGGATTTAGCCAAATTTAGTTAGGACAAAGCATTTTTTTTAGTTTATTTATTTATGTTGTGGTTCATGGTTTACACCCGGATATACTAGGATCTAGACAAATACCCTAGCTTGAGTTTCATTTGACAATAAGTTGTCAAAGAAAGTTGTAATAATGTTGGTTAATCAGGAGTTAGACTTTATTGTTAATCCCATTAAGTCCGATGTCTGATCGAGTATCTATCTTTATTTCAGTGATGAACACACACAAGTTTGGACACACTCAAGGTGATTACACGATTCCTATTTCTGTTTTTCTGTTTTTCTGTTTATTCACTTAAGGTGTTTCCAAATACTGTCATTAATTTCCTCTTATGTAAGTGTGGAAACTTTCACAACTGTTAATGGAGAACTGTATGTCAAACAGTAACTTCCAAATGTGTTGTGTGTTGTGTAGTAACCAAGCTCGTCAAATATATTGTATATACAGTTTTCATCTTAAACATTAATCAGATTCAGTTGCCACATTATCAACTCTTAAAGGCACACTATGCAAGATTTGTACCTTAATATAACAGCTTCAAAGTCATTTCTATGGTAAACAAACTTGTAGTACAGCGATTCATCCCGATAGCAACGCAGGAGAGGGACGCCGTTGGCAGAACCAGCAATGCAAGTCTGAAAGGTGGCGTCCCGCCAAATTTCGCGAGAATCATGAATTGCTTTACGGCATGACGTCACATACATCAGCAACATAAGAAGCAGCCTCAATGGAAGACACTAGCAGGCATTCACTCAGACGTTACCTGGTCAGTAGACATCTTCGGAGTCTATCTTTGCCTGTTCGATGTCTGACGCTTCCATCCTACTGAACATGTACCGGTATACAGGGGGGAGGGGATCGGGCCATGAGTGCAGAGACGCAGAGCCGAATATAGAGACAGCTCTGGTGAGTGGTATTTATGGCAGTTAACGTTAAATACAAGTACTCCGCAGCGACTTTAGGGGTAGCTGTTTGACAAAACAGGAAAACTGCATAGTATGCCTTTAAAAGAAAACATGTAGTTATAAGGATCAAGAGACCAAAGTGATGTATTTTGTTGGCTGCCACATTTCCTCTATTTGAATACCTAAAAAATGACCAGTCATTGTACAATGATCATGAGTGAATCAAGTGTGACTTAAAAAATGCTCTATTTATGTTTTCATTGTTGCAGCTGTTTTATTTAAGAAATGGTGCTATTACTAAGACCGTTGTATTTGCTGACCTTCAGTGGTTCAACTTAAGTGAACTTGGAGTGTCAGTACATCTTGACATCACTGTTACTGTCAGAGCTGCAACAGATTTTTAATTTCAACCAGAGAGGGCAGTAAAACAGCTTGTCGGTCTGTTGTTAAGTTTAACATTGCAACACGGATAAACATGTAGACAGAAGATCATAATTTTGTGAAATAAATGAAACTATTAATTATGCATATGTGAAAAACATATTTCACTATTAATTCTACAGCACAAAATGTTAAAGCCACCTTGAGAGCTGATAAAACAAGACTACCTCTGGGAGGCAAAGTGATGCTGACCTGCTCTGTGATGGCCAACAACTCCTCTGGCTGGAAATACCAGTGGTTCATGCGAACTACAGATAAAGAATCAAAGGAACATAGCCTTAGTGACACTAACAGAACTATCAGTGTCACAAAAGAAGGTATCTACTGGTGCAGAGGAGGGAGAGGGGACTTGAAGGTCACAGAGGACAGCAATCCCATCACCATTCACAAAGCTGGTGAGTATAGCAATTGTTTTTGGAATAAGTCCAAATGGACTCAGATATTAAGCGGTGAGACAATCCCTCTCAGATTTGAGATCCAGGAAGGTAGAGGCACAGAGTGGACGTATGAATGGATAACAACCAGTTCAGACATAATCAACGCTCCTGCTGGAGACTACCGGTGTAAAGACACAGAGGAGATTTGTATTCAAGAGAGTGGAATGAGGCATTGAAAACTGAAAAATTACCTCCAAGAATAACACAGCCAGGGTTAGACTGAAACTATGTAACCACAACATCTCCATATTGATTCAAGCAGGAAACCTTGGTGTCATCACTTTCACTCTCCCCTAACGCTCAAACGTCCGGTTATATTTCACTGTAGTCGATGTGGACAAGGCTCATTGCCACACAAAAAAAGGTCTTTTGCATATAAGATGTGCATTTCTTATGATAACAAACTAGTGAGCGACAATTTTGCTTACTCAGCCAAACATCAAGTGTGTGCCAAAGGCTAAAAGCCAGTCCCAGATACAGTCTTGCCTAGCTGCCAGCAGTGAGCAGTTACTTCAGCAATAAGTAAAGCTACCTGTCTATTAGGAAAAAAGGTGGAACAGCCGGAGATCACGACAGGATAAACCGTAAATTGTGTTACAGAAAAAATCACTGCTAGTGGTGTAAAGCGTTACGCACTTTTCGTGGGAGATTCTACCCGGCAACCCAATATATATAGTGCAAGGGTACTGAGGGAAAAAGAAAGAGGCACCATTCTCCATATTACTAGTCAGTGTAGCATTAAAATTATTTTGAAGCTGGGTGCCCGGATAGCTCAGTGGGTAGAGCTGGCTACCCGTCATCTGTCATCCCCTCTCTCTGCCCCCCTTTCCTGTCTATCTTCAGCTGTCACTACAATAAAAGGCAAAAATATATTTTGAAGCTGTTATTGAGCTAGTAATAGTTGCATAATGTTGCTTCATTTCTCTTATTATATATTAAATACGTTAATTAATATTAATTATGTTATTTAATTGTAAGTACCAGATTGGGAAGAGTAATAGTATACTGTTAAAATCTTAATGTACCCAGTTCCTGACACAGTATTTTAACCAGTGGGACGGTAGTTCTCATGTATGTAGTTTTTTGACTACAGTGTACAGAGTACAAGTTTTACTGCAATGAGGTAGGCTATACATCTAACCTTGTAGAGACAATCCTTGTAGGATAAGTACATTGTTTGTTTCAGTCTTTATAGTGGAATTAGTGGTCATAAAATGACCAATTTAAGGTTCTCAGGTTCTTTTGCACGTTGAGGCTACACACATGTCATGTTCTGCATACTTCATGCCACTGGTCTTATTTTAATTAGGGTTTCTATGTGAATTATTATTATAATTACTATGGTTTTATTAATTCAGGGATTCATTCACAGGTATTCACAGTTATTAATTGTATGTTTTCATTCTAAACTAAACAGAGAAACCGAAGGCCACAATAAGAGCTGATAAAGTACCGATTCCTGTAGGGGGCAGTGTGACCCTGTCCTGCACTGTGAATTCATCATCTGGTTGGAAATACTTGTGGTACAGAGGCAAGAAAAACCCTAAACCCTTGAATACTGACTTAAGGGGAAAAATCACTGTCTCACAGGGAGGAGACTACGGGTGCAGAGGAAAAAGAGAGTCAGTTTACTACACAGATTACAGCTTCTTCACTCTCAACAAACTTGGTGAGTTTGGCAAAATGATTTGTAGAAAAGGATAAAATAAATCTACTTTGCAATTCATGATCGATTTTGTTGTGGGTTTATTCTTTAACACGAGCAGTCACAAACAAGGCTGTTGTGACCCTGCAACCAAACTGGCCGAAAATATATAAAGAAGAGACAATCACCCTCAAGTGTGAGATCAAGGATGGAGAAGGCACTGACTGGGAGTATGAATGGCAAACAAGCAGCTCATTCAAACCTCCAAAACAGAGTGAAAGCCGGCTTATTGCTGATGCATCACATAATGGAGACTACAAGTGTAAGGGCAGAAATAAAAGTGAAACAACGTCCATGACGGAGTGGAGTGGTGGCTTCAAATTGACAGTATTTGACAGTAAGTGACACTCACTGAATGTAATCCATTTACAGGCCTACAGTATGCATTATAACATTGATTCTGAGATCATCATTTTCCAACAGAAAAACCTCAGCCAGTCCTCTCAGTGTCTCCATTATGGCTGAGTCCTGGAGACTCAGTAAATCTGAGCTGTGAAGTTAAAGAACCTCCATCTGCAGGATGGAGGTTCTACTGGTATAAGGCTGTTCCAGATCTGTCAGACAACTCCTACAGCTATGAGCTGCTACCTGGCAGCAGCAATGGGGCTGCACTTAATTCCTACATCGTTCATGGACAAACACACACAGCAGGATATGTGTGCAGAGCTGGAAGAGGACACCAAGTGTCTTACACTCAGTACAGTGAACCTAAGTTTGTCTTGTCAGGAGGTCAGTTTCTTTCTTTAACTGTTTGTTTCTTACTTCCTAATGTATGTTTTTTCTTATGATCGCTTGTAACCTCCATCCGTCCAGCTGCTTTCATGCTGGATGAATCTGCAGTGTATGATTTACATCCAGGGCCAATATGCAGTGTCGATGCAGGAAGTAGTGCCCTTTATGTAGCGGAGCATAAAAGTAGAGGTTAGCATGGTCAGTGCGTATGTACCTCCTTAAAAATGTATCCACATGTTGGGGCCACGGTTGCTACAGAGATATGATGTGGGGACCGCAAGAACTGTTATAAGTCAGCATTAGCTTGTGCTTACTTTTTCAAGCTTCTGATGCCAGCTGGTCGAGAGAGAACGCAATGTTAAACAAGAAGAAAAAGGTTCTGTAATCTCCTTTTTAATCCCCTGCTTACCTCAATTGGCGCTATATCAAAATTAAAGGTAAAATATAAACATTGCAACTGAATTGCAGTAGTCTTCTCAGAAACAAGACCAAGTTACCTGACCTGAAGTGACTACATCCAGTGATATAAGTACATGCATTACCCACTATATAACAATAATAAGAAGAATATTAATAACAGACAAAGAAAAAGCAAACTCAGAAGGCAATATAACATAGGTGAGTATAGCAATTGTTTTTGGAATAAGTCCAAATGGACTCAGATATTAAGCGGTGAGACAATCCCTCTCAGATGTGAGATCCAGGAAGGTAGAGGCACAGAGTGGACGTATGAATGGATAACAACCAGTTCAGACATAATCAACGCTCCTGCTGGAGACTACCGGTGTAAAGACACAGAGGAGATTTCTATTCAAGAGAGTGGAATGAGGCATTGAAAACTGAAAAATTACCTCCAAGAATAACACAGCCAGGGTTAGACTGAAACTATGTAACCACAACATCTCCATATTGATTCAAGCAGGAAACCTTGGTGTCATCCCTTTCACTCTCCCCTAACGCTCAAACGTCCGGTTATATTTCACTGTAGTCGATGTGGACAAGGCTCATTGCCACACAAAAAAAGGTCTTTTGCATATAAGATGTGCATTTCTTATGATAACAAACTAGTGAGCGACAATTTTGCTTACTCAGCCAAACATCAAGTGTGTGCCAAAGGCTAAAAGCCAGTCCCAGATACAGTCTTGCCTAGCTGCCAGCAGTGAGCAGTTACTTCAGCAATAAGTAAAGCTACCTGTCTATTAGGAAAAAAGGTAGAACAGCCGGAGATCACGACAGGATAAACCGTAAATTGTGTTACAGAAAAAATCACTGCTAAAGCTAGTGGTGTAAAGCGTTACGCACTTTTCGTGGGAGATTCTACCCGGCAACCCAATATATATAGTGCAAGGGTACTGAGGGTAAAAGAAAGAGGCACCATTCTCCATATTACTAGTCAGTGTAGCATTAAAATTATTTTGAAGCTGGGTGCCCGGATAGCTCAGTGGGTAGAGCTGGCTACCCGTCATCTGTCATCCCCTCTCTCTGCCCCCCTTTCCTGTCTATCTTCAGCTGTCACTACAATAAAAGGCAAAAAAAAATATTTTGAAGCTGTTATTGAGCTAGTAATAGTTGCATAATGTTGCTTCATTTCTCTTATTATATATTAAATACGTTAATTAATATTAATTATGTTATTTAATTGTAAGTACCAGATTGGGAAGAGTAATAGTATACTGTTAAAATCTTAATGTACCCAGTTCCTGACACAGTATTTTAACCAGTGGGACGGTAGTTCTCATGTATGTAGTTTTTTGACTTCAGTGTACAGAGTACAAGTTTTACTGCAATGAGGTAGGCTATACATCTTACCTTGTAGAGACAATCCTTGTAGGATAAGTACATTGTTTGTTTCAGTCTTTATAGTGGAATTAGTGGTCATAAAATGACCAATCTAAGGTTCTCAGGTTCTTTTGCACGTTGAGGCTACACACATGTCATGTTCTGCATACTTCATGCCACTGGTCTTATTTTAATTAGGGTTTCTATGTGAATTATTATTATAATTACTATGGTTTTATTAATTCAGGGATTCATTCACAGGTATTCACAGTTATTAATTGTATGTTTTCATTCTAAACTAAACAGAGAAACCGAAGGCCACAATAAGAGCTGATAAAGTAGCGATTCCTGTAGGGGGCAGTGTGACCCTGTCCTGCACTGTGAATTCATCATCTGGTTGGAAATACTTCTGGTACAGAGGCAAGAAAAACCCTAAACCCTTGAATACTGACTTAAGGGGAAAAATCACTGTCTCACAGGGAGGAGACTACGGGTGCAGAGGAAAAAGAGAGTCAGTTTACTACACAGATTACAGCTTCTTCACTCTCAACAAACTTGGTGAGTTTGGCAAAATGATTTGTAGAAAAGGATAAAATAAATCTACTTTGCAATTCATGATCGATTTTGTTGTGGGTTTATTCTTTAACACGAGCAGTCACAAACAAGGCTGTTGTGACCCTGCAACCAAACTGGCCGAAAATATATAAAGAAGAGACAATCACCCTCAAGTGTGAGATCAAGGATGGAGAAGGCACTGACTGGGAGTATGAATGGCAAACAAGCAGCTCATTCAAACCTCCAAAACAGAGTGAAAGCCGGCTTATTGCTTATGCATCACATAATGGAGACTACAAGTGTAAGGGCAGAAATAAAAGTGAAACAACGTCCATGACGGAGTGGAGTGGTGGCGTCAAATTGACAGTATTTGACAGTAAGTGACACTCACTGAATGTAATCCATTTACAGGCCTACAGTATGCATTATAACATTGATTCTGAGATCATCATTTTCCAACAGAAAAACCTCAGCCAGTCCTCTCAGTGTCTCCATTATGGCTGAGTCCTGGAGACTCAGTAAATCTGAGCTGTGAAGTTAAAGAACATCCATCTGCAGGATGGAGGTTCTACTGGTATAAGGCTGTTCCAGATCTGTCAGACAACTCCTACAGCTATGAGCTGCTACCTGGCAGCAGCAATGGGGCTGCACTTAATTCCTACATTGTTCATGGACAAACACACACAGCAGGATATGTGTGCAGAGCTGGAAGAGGACACCAAGTGTCTTACACTCAGTACAGTGAACCTAAGTTTGTCTTGTCAGGAGGTCAGTTTCTTTCTTTAACTGTTTGTTTCTTACTTCCTAATGTATGTTTTTTCTTATGATCGCTTGTAACCTCCATCCGTCCAGCTGCTTTCATGCTGGATGAATCTGCAGTGTATGATTTACATCCAGGGCCAATATGCAGTGTCGATGCAGGAAGTAGTGCCCTTTATGTAGCGGAGCATAAAAGTAGAGGTTAGCATGGTCAGTGCGTATGTACCTCCTTAAAAATGTATCCACATGTTGGGGCCACGGTTGCTACAGAGATATGATGTGGGGACCGCAAGAACTGTTATAAGTCAGCATTAGCTTGTGCTTACTTTTTCAAGCTTCTGATGCCAGCTGGTCGAGAGAGAACGCAATGTAAAACAAGAAGAAAAAGGTTCTGTAATCTCCTTTTTAATCCCCTGCTTACCTCAATTGGCGCTATATCAAAATTAAAGGTAAAATATAAACATTGCAACTGAATTGCAGTAGTCTTCTCAGAAACAAGACCAAGTTACCTGACCTGAAGTGACTACATCCAGTGATATAAGTACATGCATTACCCACTATATAACAATAATAAGAAGAATATTAATAACAGACAAAGAAAAAGCAAACTCAGAAGGCAATATAACATAGATATAAACCAAAATATGGCAGATGGAAGACAATGATGATAGGATCAGAGGAGACAAAGTGAAGAAGTGAAGTGAAACTGTGGATGAATATAATTAAAGCAAGACACTGTCTGATCGCACATGATATCCGCAGTGGTGATCAGACACTCACACTAAAAATCAACAGCGGTGCTAATATTAAGCCCTAGCAACATCTTAGCAATCAGCTGCGGATGCAAATGAGCATCACCCTGATACTGCAAGTGGCAACACACTACTGCTTTGAAATCCTCTTAGATTTTAGGTTTTATACTTTAAAGTGTTCAATGCATTGTGTTTGCAAAACCAGAAATGTTGCTTCCATTGTGATATCCTTAACAACAAAATCCTCATCATATCTCTGCATGTGTTGTTTTTTAGATTTTCATCCATCAGCGTCTCTCACAGTGAGTCCTGACAGTGTGCAACACTTCACTTCTGACTCTGTCTCACTGAGCTGTAAGGGAAACTCTGCTGAGTGGAGAGTGAGGACGCTGAAGGACTCCCTGTTAGACGATTTTAACTGTGGGGAAATGACTGCAGCCACATGCAGCGTTCACAAATTACAGGAGGGTACTAGAGTGTACTGGTGTGAGTCTGGATCAGGAGAGTTCAGCAATACCGTCAACATCACTGCACAGAGTATGTTTTCACTGTATTGTGGTTGAAATTATGTCTCTTTTAACAAGACACTATATGATCTCAAAAGGTTTAGGCGAGGAAGTGTTCCTCAAAATAATCACATAGAAAACACATAATCTTGTTGGCGTGTCTGTCTCATTGGCCATGTACTGTTGATTTTATATGTCCCTGTTAGCTCTGTGACTAAAACTTAATGTTTTACTGTTTTACAGAAACAGATATCATCCTGGTGAGCCCTGTCCGTCCTGTGACTGAGGGAGATTCTGTTAGTCTGAGCTGCGTCTCGAGAAAACAAACGTTTGATTCCAATGTGTTTTTCTATCTAAATGAGAAACTCATTCAAAATGATACCAGAAAGGAGCTGAATATCTCTGCAGTGTCAAAGTCAGATGAGGGTTTCTACAAGTGTCAGTATTCCGGAAAAGAGTCACCAGAGAGTTGGGTGGCAGTAAAATGTGAGTATGATTATGATTAAGGTTTTTGTGGGAAATTGGTTTTTCAGGTCAGTAAAATCCGTCTGCATTCAGAATTAGGACTGCAACTAATGATATTTTGAGTTAACTAACTGATTAATTGACTTATCGTTGCACCTCTAAACCATCACCCATTTGTCAAAAATGAAGCTTTATTGAAAGTATGTAAAGGACATTTTAAAAAACACAAAATTGAATTAATGAATAATGAATAATAATAATAATAATGAATTCACAAGTGTACACAGTTTAGTCACTTGATTTTTGTTTTGTTTTTGTGGCCATGATGCTGTGCTTGTAAGTTTTCATGGGAAATGTAGTTTCCTAACAGTTGTTTAACTTTATTAAACTCATGAAAGTTTACATTTCTAATAGCAGCGACTGTAGTGGATGCTGTTTCGTTTTAGAATATGGAAAGTAAATCCCATGCACATTTATTTTCTCAGAAAACATATGAAAGAATTGCTTAATAAGAGATCACACTGAGATACAGATGCTAGTGGAAACATGAAAACTCTCTACAACTTTCTTCCCTGCAGCGTCAGAGTCTGAGTCTTCATCACTTGTCCCAGTTATTACTGGACTGTTTGTTAGCATTGTAGTGATCATTCTCCTGCTTCTGCTGTGTTACTTCAAAATGCCCAAAGGTGAGATAATGTAATGTATTCATGTCTGAAATTACAGAGGAATTTGGATGTCATGACGCCGAAGAGAAGATTAACTATTTGCTATACAAAACTAACCAATGGCAAATGTCTTTTTCACAGATCGAAGCTGTGACGGGTTAGTACAACTTCCTTTTCTCTCATCTTGAACGTTACAGCAGTACATTTCATGTATCTGGTTACATTTACTATATCCATATTAAAGGCTGATCCAGTCTCTGAGCGCCAATCACTGCTCTGCTACAGACCGAACAGTCAACCAGGATGCAACCCAACAGCCTGTATACTCTGGTCTTCTCCATGGTCAGTCATCCATATAATACTGAATGTTCATCTATTTAATAAGATAAGATGAGATAAGATAAACTTTATTGTTCCCATACTGGGGAAAATCACTTGCTACAGCAGTTTCAGATACAACACAATTTAATTAAATGATAGCTGGTGTTTTTCCATCCAGTTCTCTAAGACTTTATAACATTATAACAGGATAATATTTTCGAAATCACCTAAAGATTAAATTGATGTTGATTTTTCACTGACCTGCAGGTGATGTTTCTATCTATGAATCTGTCAAAAGCTCTGACAACAGAGGAAACGGTATGGTATAAACATTACGTACACTCGGAAATAATATGATCACATGCCATCACACAAGTTTATGTGACTATTACCATTTAAGTAAAATTTAAGGAACATTCTTATTTCAGATGGGGCAGATAATGTTTACAGTGATGTTACATTTCAGCTAGAAGGTCTCGAAAGAAACAGTGAGTAAGATAAATATGAAACACTAAAAAGTTTTTTTTTTTTATATTATATAACACTTTTATATTATGCTCATTTTAACAGGTAAACATGATGATTCAATGGAGAGCTCTGACTATTATAATCTGTACCCAGAATCGGCAACAGGTACAAACATTACAATACTTTATAAACCTGGATATTGAGCTACGGCTTTATTTGTATAAAATTAAATTTTGAATAAAGGATATAATGTCACCATTAAGAATAAGATTGAGGAAAGTGTTATGTATCTTAATGTCCCTCCTCATCGTAACATTCATTTAAATGTAAAAAAAAATTATGTTCTTTACATATATAATTATGGAGATGTGAAATACTGTTTGTATACTTTTATCTTTTTGAACCTCAAAAACTACATTCAGCAGCCACAGCATTCTTCCAAACCCTAGTGTCTATTTTGCAACACGTTTCACTGTATGCGTAAAGAGGAACTGACTGACTGAATTGTGCTTACCAATGCTCACCAGCAGTTTCTTAGAATACTCTTACAGCTTCTTAGAAACTCACATAATAGTTTGTTTCAGGGTTTTTTGTTTGTTTGTTTGTTTTTGATAAACATCTGATCAAAATTATGTGCATCTAAAATTTCAAACCTATTCAAAACTATTTGAGGTAACTGAAGCTAGCTGTTCATTTAAATGTATAACTGGGAACAACCCTGAGGATAATTTATGCTCAGTGCAACACAACTGAGTGCATTGTATGTAACTGATGTACTTTCTGATCAATAATCATGTTCACCAGAATAAGCTTGTGAGTCATCTGGTGGAGAAGTGTGGTGGAAGGTGCTACATCATTGATAATAAATACTAGAACAAAAACCCAAAGGATGAAGACAAGAACAACCAGTCCCATGTGGATGAGCTACTTAAGGCAACAGACAAGATGATGATGGAAAAAAATGGAAGTTGCTAGACCAAATAGATGCTCAACCAGTGAATGAGGAACTAGAAAAAGAGGAACTCATTAGACTCTTAACAGGAACATGTCAGAGGAAGAGCTCAGACAGCAGACTAAGGACAGACTATCTTCATATCTGTTTTTAACATGTTTTTAGATATTTCTTGTGATTTTGTTCCAGGTCCATGAAAAGAAGTGCATCATCCACAAAACAACGGAAGGCCTGGATGACAAAACAAAAAGTTGAAAACAATATTCATGTTTAAGCAGTCTTGGCAGCATCAGGAGCTGGATTTCATATTTGCAATCCAAATATCAGTTAATACACAGTATTTGGCTCAATTTGCTCTTTAAATCAAAGCAGATAATAAAAGATGTGTATGTAATTTTGTCTTGATCTCAACACAAATTGCAGGGATGTTTTGTATTTATGGATTTGTTTTGTTGTAATTATATCAGTTAACAGTTAGTTAAGGTTAGGCCTGTATGTGAAATAAGGATTGGCCATGAGTACAGACAGATAAATAATTCTAACTGTCTATTCAGCTACTAGCTTACTGGTAACTTTACTGAAAATGAATGACATATAATTTCTTTTTTGGGCCTGTTGTGATGAAATGGAGGAAATATCATCAGAGCCTCACATATAAATAAATTACAATGATCTGACGTAAGTACAGAAAATCGATCACAAGCATTGCTTATAGCTGAATTACTTTGTACATACAGCTAAGATCTATCTGCTGGGCCTTGTGTTGCTATATCATCTTGCAGGCAAGAAAAAACTGTTTTTTTCACAGTGTCTCCATTACCCTGAATGTAGTCTAAGTCATCCTCTTCCTCATTTTTTAAGCAGACACCCCCGCAGATATAGTTGCATTGAAAACCACAATAATGACCGCTGTTTTTATTGCTGTTTTCTATTGATATGTAACAAAAAGAATAACTGCATAATATTTTGTTTGCACAGCTTTTATGCAGTTGTTTTAAAGGAATTTGCTGTGCGTAGAAAGATAAGGTCAGGTGTCGGGTGCGATGACGACACTGTCTAAAAATGTACCAATTTTGTAGGCAAAAAAAGGAAGTGGAGTGTAAATATGTCAAACTGAGCATGCCAGGGTCTAGTAGCAGAAATAAATAGTATTTAATAAATGTAACATTTTGTACTCAGGTGATTGCTGCGTATGTTTTATTATGTTCATGACAAATTAAGAAACAAAAAAGATCTTATGTTTGGACAGACAACTTGCTCACTTCTGTTAAGGAGATTGCTTAAAATGCAGTTTGTCACTTCCTCTTCAGCTAAAGCTAGAATACCGGAAGAACTTCTATAGACGATGAATCGATCTTCAAAAACTTTTTATTTATTTTTATTTTCAGGGACAATGCACTTTACTTTCAACATTACTGTAAATATGCAATAAAGGGTGAATTTCAATTTGGATGGGGTCCTCCTATTTCTATAGCTCATTTCTTAATTTTAATTCTACTTACCTATCCATCTTTGCTGTGCTGTACCTATGTTTTTTGATTGTTCATTTTTGGCTGGCATTAAAAGTTATTTTTCATAATACGAAATCAGCTTCATCTTTCATTATACCATTTTAAACCAAGAACTCTTACTGTAAATTTGGATTCACTATATTTCATTTGATCATTTCCATTATTTCTCATTATTTATTATTTCCATTATTAGTTATCTGTGTACACACAAAACACCCCATAGATATTACAAAAGTCTAACAATTGTTTGCAGCAACTACTAAGTGTGATCTTAGTTCTGTGTGATAGACAGGGACCATGTGATGTAAGATGTAAGTGTAAATATGATAATATGTGGTCAAACCCAATATTGGGGTGTGAGCTCTGTGGTGGTGAGAGAAGGAAGTAGAGATGGGCTAAACTCAGTAAAAGAAGGTGCCTGTTCACATCCATTTATATGAAATGTAACTTTTTTTTATCTCTGTTCTCTGTTTCTCTTCCTGTCCCAGTGTCAGTTTTTTCTGTTTTTCAAAAGACGGAGTGACAGAGTTTCAGTGGATGTGACGATGGATCGCACTTTGTTCTGTGCGCTGTCATTATTCTGTGAGTACATAAATTACTTTCTTTGTTTGAATGGCATAGATTACGGAAAGTGTAGCGCTGGGCTGTACCTGGATTTTATCAGCAGAATCTCGCTGTTTGATAACAACTATGCAGTCTTTTTTTTCTTAAGTTTTGGCGCCACACTTAAAAAGTGATTGAGCTGACTTCAGTGACAGCCACCCCCGGACCAGAGAGTGTTGGCTGCCCTAACTATCACTCTTCTCTGCTTCTATCACACTTAGTTGTGTGTTCATTTTGAGACTCGGTTTGTAAAATGTACAGTCTGCCATGCCAACGCTTCTTTGTATAGTGTTGCAGGTAAAAAACAAATGTGCAAAATGAGATTTGACTGACAGAATACAAGTTGACCTGGGATTTTCTCAACTGATTACTGCAATAATTTACTTTTTGGGAGTAGCCCTATTGTAGTGAGAAGAACACAGTATCCAATGTTTTTAAATGCCTTTGTTTATCGATTTGATTGACAATATCTGATATCGTATCAATCTTTCTTATAGTGTTGAATACACTCCTCTACTGTGGACACAGTCATGGTGATTGAACAATTTTCTTTCTTATTTGTGTTTGTGTTTGTTCAATACATCTATCATTTCATTTCGTGTAGCAACATAAATTATGATGTGACTAAAGTAGGCCTTAAGAGTGTGCTTTTCCCTTAAATATTTTTCTGGTTTGTTCATTTTATTGTTTTAACTGTGTACTGCGGATGTTTGTGTTGGGTTCTAGATGCCGAGCTGACCTTTGAACCCAACTCGACCTATTTATTTACCGGAGAGTCTGCTAACTTCACATGTGACATGAGAGAGGGAAATGACAATGACTGGCATTACAAATTCAACCGGAATGGTCAACAAATTGTCTCCTTCAATACAAACAACTGGTACTCATTTGACCTGACGACTGACTCAAGTGGCGACTATCAGTGCATTGGTCGCCACAAGGGCTCAACAAATTTTGAAAAAGAGAGTAATAATGTGACTCTATCTGTATCAGGTAAGATGTCAAATCTGTTGCCACTAACACCGAGTTTACCATCACCTGTATCACAGCCATGTTGAGATTGATGCTGCACTGCCGCAGACATAATCAAAAGAAGTAAAATTTAGAATAGGAAAATAATCTGTATATAAGAATCTGTTGACTTCTTTGGCTTCAGCTCTGTAAGATGTGACCATGGAATTCAGTATGTCAAAGCTAAAGCTAGTGCAGGACTTGGTTAGAGACACAGGGACTCATGGGAAAGATTTCTCTGTAGGGTGGTGTTGTCAGGCACTACAAAGATTATGTTGTAGACCATTTTGAGTTTGCAGTTCTGTTACTCAATGCTGTTTATTTATTTATTATTGATTTTTGCAGTTCTGGTCCTCCATATAATTCTGTAAAACTAAGCTTAGTGTCCTACAGGAGCAATATTAAAATATTTTATATTAATGTAGCGATCTAATCAGAAAATGTTCCCTTGTGTATATTCTAAACCAAACAGCACACAGACCCAAGGCCACTCTGAGAGCAGACAGAACTGGTGAACCAGTAGGGGCCACTGTGACACTGACCTGTTCTGAAGAAGGCTCTGCTGGCTGGAAATACGAATGGTTCAGACGTACCTCAGACTCTGATGAAACTATGATCATAACGGACGGAAGCAGAACAGAAAACTTCATCAGTGTCTCACAGGGAGGTATCTATCGGTGCCGGGGAAGAAGAGGAAACACAGTTTTCTTCACAGAGTTCAGTGATGTGTCTCGCGTCGACATAACTTGTGAGTTTAGCAAATTTTTTTCAACAGAACAGCATGCATTCATGATATTCATACCAGGGTTAAAATGATGAAGTTCTCTCTATTGATTTCATATTTCTGTTTGAATGTTAACTGTGTGTTTTTGGTGTGAATAGTGTCCAACAGGGCCTCTGTGACCCGGCAACAGAACTGGACTCACATTATTAGTGGTGAGGCAATCACTGTCATATGTGAGATCGAGGGTGGGGGAGACACTAAGTGGGAGTATGAATGGAGAACAACCGGCTCGAACACACCTCCAGCACACAGAGAATACAGGATTAGCAGTGCTTCTGTTTCCGACCAAAGCTACTGGTGGTGTAAGGGCAGAAGGGACTTGTATTCCTCAACTGAATGGAGTGACTCCTTCCCACTGATAGTATCACGTAAGTCAGATTGTCTTTCATTCATACTATGTCATGGTTTTTGTGTTTTCATCTATCTATTAAAAATATCACTTTTTTTTCACAAAAAATTAACAGCTTATAAACCCAGGCCCACAGTTGTGGCTGATAAGAGGACCATACCAGTTGATAGCAATGAAACACTGATCTGCTCTATGGAGAACTCCGCTGAGTGGAAATACTACTGGTTCAGACGTAACTCAGTCTTTTCTGAAAGTCAGATCATTAGACATGATGAACAAGATAACATGATCAGTATCTCACAAGGAGGCATCTATCACTGCAGAGGAGGGAGAGGATCTCCAGTTTTCTTCACAGAGGACAGTGATCCAGTTACCATTGAGAAAAGAGGTGTGTTAGTGCTTTAGTTTGGAGTTATACAGCATTCATAGTTAATAAATACTTACAACTAACCTCCTCTTTTTTATATTCTGTTTTTATTGGTGAACAGTTTCCAACAAGGCTGTTATCTCCCTGCAACCCAACTGGCCTCTGTTATTCAGTGGTGAGACGATCACTGTTAGATGTGATATTCATGGAGGTGGAGAGTCTGAGTGGGATTATGAGTGGAGCAGAACCAACTCAGACACAATTCCAACACACAATGAGTTCAGGATTAGCAGCGCTACTGAGTCCAACAGTGGTAACTACAGGTGTATGGGTAAACACAAATGGGACATGTATTCGTCAACAGAGTGGAGCGACATCATCACATTGGCAGTTTCATGTAAGTTGAACAGTGCATAGTTAATGCATGTATGCAATAATGCACAGTTTGTTTCGTGGCCACCATAGTTTTCCCTCATTTTTAGAAAGAGGCTGTCAAACGAGTGAGGGGAAATCTGCAAAGACTTGATGCCACTAAATCCTACACACCAGACCTTTAAGTAATTTAAAGTGGGCTTATTCACAGAGACTGTAATGTACGGTGGCCCTGAGAGCTCAGTGCACTGCAACTTAAGAAAGGACATGCATATAAACACAAGAAAAATGTATCGTCACTAACACATGCACAGCATTTAGAAATAAACGTTGCAAAAAGAAAAAAAATAACTCAACCAAATACAGAAACGTTGCAAGACTCACAGACAACAGTGGAAATATTTTCCAACACTAAAAAGTGGTTAACACATCTGGACCCAGCTGGGATATGCTAAATAGAAGTGATGGATAGGTGACTTCAATAACTTCATGAGACACAAAATAAGGCAGCGACAAACATCTCCCAGTGCTGTTCATCACTTTTTAGCTGTGCTACATTTAGTGTGTTTGCTTTTGTTTTCTCTATTCGCTGCATTTTTGGTCAAATTGGTGAATGTATTGTGAATCTGTTTATGCTTTGTCTGTTTGCATGTTGTTTCAAGTTGCAGTGGGTTGAGCTCTGAGTGCCACTAATGACCCTTTTTATATCTGTGTTCTAATTTGAACAGCACACAGACCAATGGCTAACCTGAGTGCTGACAACAGAGCCTTTCCAGTAGGGGGCAGTGTGACCCTGACCTGCTCTATGAACCCATCATCATCTGGTTGGAAATACTTCTGGTACAAAGGAGAGAAAACCTCTGAACCATTAGCAATGGAAGATGCTGTTGCAAATGGGGAAATCCGTGTTTCCCAGGAAGGACTGTACTGGTGCAGAGGACAAAGAGGAAGCCCTGCTTATTACACAGAGTACAGTGATTCAATCAATGTTAACAAAATTGGTAAGCATTGTACTGAAATATTACACTTTTTAATTTTTTAAAAAATCTATATAATCTGTATGTATTAATGATTGCTGGTTTTTCTTTTTGTGTCATTATTGGTGAACTTTATAGTCACAAACAAGGCTGTTGTAATCCTGAAACACAACTGGCCTGAGGTATACTCAGGAGAGACGATCACCCTAAGATGTGAGATCCAGGGAGGAGACACTGATTGGGATTATGAATGGACAACAACCAGCTCATATACACCACCAAACCAAAAGGAATACTTGATAAGTCCTGCTTCTTCATTATACGATGGAGACTACTGGTGTAAGGGAAGACAGAAAAGAGCTCAACAGAATTCAACAGGATGGAGTATTTCCTTCAAACTGACAGTATCTTATTGTAAGTCAGATTATATTTCATTCATACTCAAATTTCATAAAAGCCTTCAAGTTGGGGCTAAATATTTGTGGATAGAGTTTCTATGTTTTAAATGTTTAATATATCAGCATTGCATTTAATATTAAAACAATTCTAGACAATACATTACAATACAATACATCAAAACAAGTTTTTATTCTGAGAAAATCATTCTCCAACAGATCAACCCGTGCCTGTCCTCACTGTGTCTCCATCATGGCTGAGTCCTGGAGACTCTGTAACTCTGAACTGCGAGGTTGAACCTCCATCTGCAGGATGGAGGTTCTACTGGTATAAGGCTGTTCCCAAAATATCAGACATGGACATCCCCCACGACACCCTCGATTTGATGGATTATGATGACATTCTGAGTTTCGACAGGTATAAGGCTGTTCCCGAAATATCAGACATGGATATCTACAACTATGAGCTGCTACCTGGCAGCAGCAAGGGGACTGAACAGGATTCCTACATCGTACATGGACAAACACACACAGCAGGATATATGTGCAGAGCTGGAAGAGGAGATCCAGTGTATTATACTGATTATACTGGACCAAAGTTTGTCTTGTCAGGAGGTCAGTATGTTGGTTTCTTTCTTCCTTCTCCAACATAGCAGATGTTATTTTATATCTTGAAAATAAATGCCCTCATTGACATGTCATTGAATTTGCACATTCATGCCCCCTAAAGTCTGAATTATACTTCTACATTGAAGCAACGCCGCAGCATATGCCTGCATGAAGTGCACCTTCACAAATTTACTGATAGAGACACAGAATCTGGGAAGGTCTCATTTAGATGCACCAGAAACAAAAGTAGGAAAAATAACACAGATTGAGGATAAAGTAGAGGGGCATTGCAGACACACAAGTTCACAGGTATAATGCTCATAGAGGCATAGATAACTTGTATAAGCTGCAGTGTAGGCTCTACATATAGCTGATGTTAAACTATACATCAGCCTTAATAACGGAAAGGTCTAAATTGTAAAAAATATTCAGAGTTGGACTCCTGATGTGGTGCAGTGCCTTAACAACACTGCGTAGTTTGACTTTATTTTTTTAGACGATTGAAATACAAATGTAGCCTACTATTTTTAATGTAATTGATATATTAGAGTTAAAATGTAAATAATGAATCGATCAATCTAATTTCACACAATTATTGCTAAAGGAGAATATAATCAGACAGACTAAACAGGGAAATTCAGGCAGACCTGGCTGTTAAAACTGTTACAATAACAATCAGTGATTGTTTAACAGTTTCACCAAGCAATGCAATTTGTTGTAGCATTGGAATGCTCAGTAATTTGAAACTATGTAAACACAATCAAACCAAATAATTATTGCTGTCTCCTTATTCTCACATTATCTCTATTCTTTGTTATTAAATTTGTTTTTCAGACTTTCCATCGCAAGTATCTCTCACAGTGAGTCCTGACAGAGCACAACACTTCACCTCTGACTCTGTCTCACTGAACTGTGAAGGAAACTCCACAGAGTGGAGAGTGAGGAGGTATACTGAGGATAGATACTCATGGTATACGTCACCATACTGCTCTTTCTGGGGGAGTATGATTGGATCCACATGCCATATGCACCATCATCGGCTCAGAGATGCAGTGTTCTGGTGTGAGTCTAGCTCTGGAGAGTTCAGCAATGCAGTCAACATCACTACAGATGGTAGGTTTTCATTATACCTTCTTACAAGTTTCTTGCTTCTTACAACAGTTGATTATATTCATTTGAAATTTGTATTTGAAATACAATTACATTCTGTCTCTCTCTACCTAAACACAGGGACAAACACGCACACAGAAACATACATAGACATTATACATACAATATACAGTACATCCATGATAACACACCATTTACTATTTAAAAATTATATTGTATACATATGTATTGGACATACAAAGGAGTACACTTGTCCATTTATTAAATGTGGGTAACTGGCATTAACCATACTATTGGTCTGTGACACAATTAATTAGTACAAATACAAGTTGAAATGTCGATTTTACAGATGATATTATCCTGGTGAGCCCCGTCCATCCTGTGACCGAAGGAGATTCTGTTACTCTTGGCTGCAAGTTGACAACAGAACAATTACTATCCAATGTCACTTTCTACAAAAATAACAAACACATCCAAAATGGCAACAGAACAGAGCTGAAAATCTCTGCAGTCTCAAAGTCAGATGAAGGTTTCTACCATTGTGCATATTCAGAAAGTGAATCACCACAGAGCTGGATGTCAGTAAAATGTGAGTATGATACAGCCTGTCTTCATTTGCTTATGTGTGCAGCTTTAGTTTCAGCAGAATTCAGTGCAATTATGTGGTATACACATGTTAATAGTCTTCTCTGAGCAAAGTGTATTAATCATTATTATTTAAAGAAAGCAGTAAAGAGTCTCCATCAATTACTACACATAAAATCAAGTCATCATTTTTGGTAGCTTTCAACAAAACATATAGAATTAATAATGCTAGAATCAATGAGGAATGAGCACAAAAGTGACAAATATCTACAAAAAAAATCAATTTTTAAAGTTGATGTTTTGGTTTCCATATCACTTATCTGCTTTTGGCCATACTGCCCACCATACCTTTCATTTTTGTCCTCCTTTTCGTAATCCTTTCATTGATCAAGTTAATTAATACCTATTCTTTATTGCAGCAACCAGCTCTCCATTTACTGTGCGGTTGATTGTTGGGCTGGTTATTGGCATCTTACTGATTCTTCTCCTGCCACTGCTACTGCTATGCTGGTACAAAAAGTCAAAGGGTGAGACCTTTTCCTGTTTTTTCAGATACATTACACTCTTCCTACTGGGGGATTTTGATTTTACAACATAGAACAGAATAGGACAGTGGTTCAGTTTCCAAAACAAAATAATATAACATGATAATTGCTGTCTTTTTCACAGATACATGTTGTCACAGGTTGGTACAACACTCCCCTTGTCTCATCTTAAACATAACATAATAATAATATTTTATATTAAATAAATATATTTATATATATAATATATTTTAAATTGTACTAGTTTTTACATATTAGTACTTATGCATCTGTTGTTACATGTTTCAGGCTCATCCAGTCTCGTAGAACCAATCAGAGCTCTGCTACAGTCCAAACTGTCAACCAAGATGAAAATCAACAGCAAGTATACTCCTCTCTTCTCCATGGTCAGTCTTTCATCTAATCTAGTTATTATATTTATATAACAATATACATTTTATAATACATAAAGTTTATTTTTAATAGTATCACATTTGTGTGCAGCAGATTTAACACTGTCAAACTAAATAACATACTGCAGTATAATGGACCTGAAGTTACTAATTTGTCTTGATTTTTACTGGCCTTTTAGGTGATGTTTGTGTCTATGAAACAATCATTGGCTCTGGAAACACTGGACGTGGTAAAGTATAAACTCTGATTCATGCAGAGCAGTCCAAAAGTATATGATTTTAACAGAGCAGTAAAGTAAGAAACTTTCTAATTTCAGGTGAACGGACAGATAATTACAGAAACGCTGTATCCCAGATTCAACTCAAACATTTTGTAAAGAGAGGTGAGTGCAGAAAGTATGAAATATCCAAAATAAATGAATTGAATAAACCAGCAAGCCTACATTAGATGGCCAAAAGTATGTGGAGAGATACATATCACACCTATATATGCATGTGATTGTTTATTATTTTAAACCATGGATTAATCATTCAGACACAAAAGCCCAAATGTGTTGGATGGGGTTGAGTCAAGTTATTCCACAAAAAACAAATTCTTTATTTTCATGTTGCAACAGGAAAGGACCTTTTCCCTGTCACCAAACAGTTGAAATCACTTTGTTTAAAATACTATTGTCTGCTGTGGCATTAAGATTTCCCTTAATAGGAAAAATTGGCCCAAAGTTCACATTGGTATCCATATACTTTATTTGTAGTGTAAAATACTTGAATGTTTTTAATAATATTCTTTTAACAGGAATGCATGATGATCCAGCAGAAACCTCTGACTATAGTAACGTGAATGCATCTGCAGGTACAATTATTAACACTAGCTATTTAATACTTTATATTCATTTAAACTACATTTTTACTAAAACTGAATCATAAATACACCAGTGGTACATATAACTGTATGTCTGTATGTTTTTCCAGGTTCATAAAGAGAAGTGCATCATCAGCCAAAATAGCAGATGCATGGACAACAACATAAATAGCAACATGTTTAAACAGTGTTGACAGCATTTATTCCCTGTTGATTTCTGCTGAATTTCCTTTTCTATTTTTGTATATGTTTGCTGCAATAGTGTACTGATTTTGTACATTAGATGCCATAGAACTTTCTTTCTCCTTTCTTCTTTTTAATGTCAATAATAGAGTTTAGCAAGGTGTTATCTGCAGTCTTGTTAAACTTCTATCAATAACTAATTTGAGCAGTTGAATGTTTATCACTTATGTTGCATTTTTGGTAATTTCATTATTAATAATTTTATATATGAAGACAGTTTGGTTTTATTTTGTTATTATTTATTTGTTATGTTGAGCATGTTCACTATACTGTGTGTGCAACAGTGTGTGCTGCACTCATCTGTGAAGCTGATGTTATCATAGGCATATCTAGATACATAGCCTACATGTATTGTATATATTATTTTAAACATAAAAACTGATAACTTAGAACATTTATTGCCAAATTTACAAGAAGGCACAAATAATTGATGGAGACAGCATGCCACAAACTTTCCCCTAACTCACAAAACTGCATGATTCTTGGAGATGACCAAAACTAATACATTGTGGGTACTTTTGTTTCTTGTTTTTGTATTGTATTGTTTATAACTGTACATATCTGTTTTATCTTCTTTAATAAATGTTGTGTAAATTGAAATATAATTGAATCAGACATGGTGTTCACAAACATCACAAACATTGTGTACCTTTATCGGGTACAGCACCCAAACTGACAAAAAAACAACTGTATTGCTGCATATGGCTTATAAGTGTTTAATGTTAAAGCTTATTTTATTTAGATTAGTGTTTTAGAGCTGGTGTCATCGGTCATATAACCTGTCACAACCATGGCTTCGGGAGGAGAGGGAGAACTTAAATAAGAGTCCAGAAATCCTCCACCACACAAATAAGGGGAAACTTCTTGAGAAAAATCATCAAATAATTCTCTTGGTTGCGAGAATCAATCATGTTGGTTTAATTCTGATGGACATTCACCTATCTGTCATGACATTTCTATCTGGCCACATACAGTATATTTATATATATTATATGTATATTTATTTGGAGGTATGGTAAATCTGTTTAATTGTGGTGCTGCAGCCCCTCCTTTAAATCATTTTTTAGGAATATGATATGATACACAATATATAACAATATAGATTGAACTTCAAAGTCATTAAGGTAAAATCAGGGTGTATGTTGTTTAAAATATGTAAATAATAACTACTGACAACTAGACAGGTGGCACCTTATTGAAGTTCCAGCAACTTTTATATGTCTTTGAAACATACTGTCACACCATAGCCTAAACAAAGGAATATGACTCTACACTTACTGTGGGCCGTCACACACTGGTTTAAGTGTGAATGTGTTTTTGTGAAGAAAGCGCCATCTCATGGTGACACGTTGTAATGGCGCAGTGACTGGATAATAGCCAGATTCACCTATTGGCACTGGCAGCCAGACTCCTTTGGCTGCGAGCGGCAATTTTAGATGCCAACTACAGTACTACTACTGTATCAACAATGCTAGACTGGGATTTTGAATGCATCTACTTCTGGTGCCAGTTTAGTAAAAACTAATTTCATAACTATTCCATAATCTTAGACATATAGTACAACAATAGACACATAGTAAAACATATGCAAATATATTTGATATATTTAATTCATATTAAATCAAAGTATAGAACATGTCATCAGTACAACTAGACTCGTCATAAAGATAGCTATGTTCAGGATTCATATCCAAAATCTTTTTTAAAATTCAAAGAAATAGCAATTAGAAACACTGCTGACAGCTTACAAGTTTATTGATGTATTTAATGATGATAAACTTAAAAAAAAAATAAAAAAACACATACTTAACTGAAACTAAACTACATACAGTACAGTATATCAAACCATTTTTAAAAAGACAGAAAGAAACTTGCATATGTAATAGGATGTGTGGTTCGATAAGAGATTGTCACACGTAATACACTGAATGCTATAAACATGTAAAGATTTTCAATCAAGAATTTAAAAGGAATGCTGACTTTAAGGCTGTACTATAACCCTGTAAAGGTACTGAGGTTCTAAGAAAATTTTTGAAATAAAAAGAAATTCTGGACATAAACACGAGATGGGAACAGTTAAAGTACTTTTCACCAAGTAGAACAGAATATTAAAGCTGCATGATGTATTTCTTTTAAATGATCTGCTATTAGATTACAAAACACTGTCTGATATTTGGATAGCACAGCTGCACAAAGATTACCTAAAAGCCACAAAACAACTGTTGTGCTGCGGGGAAGTTAGCGTCACCCTGGTTCCTTCGACAAAAAGCCAATGGGATTTTTTGGAGAAAATAAGCTCTCCTTACTGCAGCGGCCTGAGTTCGATTCTGACTCGTTGCCCTTTGTTGCATGTCATCTTCTCTCTCTCCCCACGCTTCAGCTGCCCCAAACATAACCCTAAAAACAAACAAACAAAAAAAGCATAACATCTTATAACTAAAATGTACAAGTTGAGTTAGAACAGTCTGTGTTCAGTGTACTGACATTTATTTTCACCGTCAAACTTTGTGGTCTAATTTAGTCACTTGTCAACATTTTAAAGACACATCAGATATTTCAAGTATTTCCTTACGTATTTTATGTACAAAACATGGGAATCACTTTAGCTTGCGTTAACCACATAACTTATTTTTGGCATCTAACCAAAAACCCATGCAGAAAACTTGGTTTTAGGGCTTATTCCTGCAGCACTCTATTATATAGTATTATATTTAAATTGAGTCTGTTGTATTTGCCTGTACCTGTAGCTGATCCCATTGTCACATTTGCATAAACAGGGCTCTCTTCTGGTTCCTCATTCATCCCTGTTCAGAAGGATCAAATGTAAGCTAATATAGGATAATCGCATGTACTTTATTTATGCACTTCTGGCCTACAAAAGAACCCCAGCTATTGCATGTAATTCTACATTCTGCATTAAACACAGTACTTACTTAGGTAAGATTACACTTAAGAATGTTTTTCTCAATCAAAGATTTTGGGACTTACTTAGATTAATCATTTGTCAATCCATCATTTATAGTTACCTAGAATCATCCTATTGTAGCATTTATATCTGCTCCAAAAGAAACAACATCATACTGTACCATTTTCATCTTCTTTTGGGCTTCTGATTGTTTCATAGAGAGAAACACCACCTACAAGGCAGTAAAAATCAAGCCAAAAGTCATCTTGATCAATTCAATTGAATGATAATAACAAAACATCCTCAGATTTTTTAAAAATGTGTCTTCAAAGGTACATACACACAATCAAGATTTGTTTAAATGCTAACCATGGAAAAGGTCGGAGTAGGCATTACATTCAGCTGTATTCTGGTAGACCACATGATCTGTGTTAGAGTCCTGATTGATGCTCTCAGACTGGTTTGACCTACAACATGAAGCAAATACAACACATTTAAACAAGGACATGTAATGTATTGTTGTTATGTTCAAAATGAGAGAAGAGAGTGTTCAACCAACCTGATACAGCATGAACCTGTCAAAAAAAAAGAAAAAGAAAAAAAACATTAGTTGTTACATGATTGTGTATTGTAAGTATGTTTTAGTCTATGTCATGAGATCAGAATATGTCCATGTATTTTAATAATTAAAGCATAGAAAGGTAAATGTTCTCACTCTTAGACAGTCTGTAGCGATACAACAGGAGCAGAAGAATAATGAGTACGATTCCACAAACCAGCCCAACAATCAACGGTACAGGAAATGAAGGCGTAGACACTGCTATAATAATAAATAAAAACTGTTAATAAACTTATACAGCACTTTTCTAAAACTGAATATACAAACTGTTTTAATAAAGTTAGTCATGTCACATCAAGCCACAAAAATCATGACTCTCACAACCACTGATGCAGACTTTCAGTCCCAGTCATTTATACCTAATGCAACAAGTCAGAAATAATCTGAAACTAGTATTAGTAACTAGTATTTGCCAATAAGTTTCTTTCTCAGACAGAAACACAGTTTACATGAAAGAAAATGCAGAAAATGTTTAATCATACTCACCATTAACTGACATCCAACTCTGGGCTGACACTTGTTGTGAGTATTGACACTTGTAGAAACCCTCATCTGACTTTGACACTGCAGAGATATTCAGCTCCCTTCTGGTATCATTTTGAATCAGTTTCTCATTTAGATAGAAAAACACATTGGACTTAAATGTTTGTCTTCTCAATCTGCAGCTCAGACTAACAGAATCTCCCTCAGTCACAGGATGGACAGGGCTCACCAGGATAATATCTGTTTCTGTAAAACAGTCAAAGAATATGAGGTTTCAGTCAGATAAGCTGGTTGGAAAACTTCAAAATAAGTGGAGAATGTATCACACATATTATTTGAGGGAGTGGTTGGTTTGCCTAAGAAAAACGTGTGGTTTGACTGTAGTCATAGATGAAAAGTCAATCTATTGCATTGTTTGTGGGTACAATTGTTTGTGGGCCCCAGATCCACACAGTGGATATGGGGCAGGACATATAGAGGTGAAGGAGGTTGGTACTATGGACCAAGGATAGGAAGAGATTTATAGGTGAGGGGGAGGATTTTGTATGAGATGCAGGACTTCCCTGGGAGCCAGTAGAGGTGGATGAGGGTGAGGGTGAGGGTGGGGGTGATGTGCTGCTCGGCATTAGCATGGGTGAAGACCCTGAGTTCTGCACATACTGGAGCCTGTCCAGGGCTTTGCTGGGTACCCCAGACAGGACTCCGTGGCAATAATCCAGGTGGGAGGTAAAGAAATGAAATGGGTAATGGTACCAACCTAATATATGTTGAAGAACATAATGGGATATCTGAAATAGTTTCTAAAAGAAATAGAAAATGTAAGGAAACCATACTGTGTATAGTGATATAGACAGCGTTGCTGAACTCTCCTGATCCAGACTCACACCAGTACACTGCATTACTCTGCTGGTTACTGTATATGTTGCATGTGGATCCAGTCATTGTCCCCCAGGAGGAGCAGTGTGACCAGTATCTGTTCTCAGGAAATCTCATCACTTTCCACTCAGCAGAGTTTCCCTCACAGCTCACTAAGACAGAGTCAGAGGTGAAGTGTTGCACTCTGTCAGGACTCACTGTGAGAGACGCTGATGGATGAAAATCTGAAAAACAACATGTAATAATGGATCAAACAGAGCACAGTGTTTTTAAGATTAATAATGTAAATATTCATTGCTTTTTTATTGTTGAGGATTAGTGCAAACATTGCAACACAGTGCAGTGACTTTGGTCAAACTATGATTTCCATGATTTTTTTTGAAAGCGTACTACCATTTGATTACATATAAAATGATAAATGTTCTACTTTTACTCGTAATCTTTCAACAACACAGATGGTGATTATTTCATACTATAATGTGCTGCATTGTCTCCATACACACTCAGTCTTTTTTTCTTATTGGTTGGAGTTGTCTCTGATGGGGAGCTGTTTGTTTGCCTTGTACATTAACCTGCCTGCTGACCTGTTTTATCTGTGTGTACGCCTACCTGACCACTTACCACATATTGTCTAACAAACCATGTCCTGCCTGTGCAAGTAAGAATAGGTATAAGCAGGAAGATAAGTTAAAGTATCCAAAGTACTCATTGCAGAGGCGAGTTCAGTTTCAGTAAAAATCTCATATCTCTCTTTTTGTTTTTTTTCATGATAAAGTGTGAGGACAGAAGGAAACAAGAAAATTCTGCCCAGTCCAGTATGTAACATCACCCAGTAAGGTGGAAAGCTGGAAATATTATAAAGTCACAGCAATCAATTAATTTCTTCCATTCTGGGTCATGAATGTACACAGCCAATTATTTGTTAACATATGTGTTACTTTTCAGGATACTGTATGTTGGTCACAGACAGAAAATAGATGACATAACATCTGCTTCTTGAGAGGACAGACAGAAACAAACTGACCTCCAGACCAGACGAACTTGGGTTTACTGTCCTGAGTGTAATACACTGGATCTCCTCTTCCAGCTCTGCACTTATATCCTGCTGTGTGTGTCTGTCCATGTACGATGTAGGAATCCTGTTCAGTCCCATTGCTGCTGTCAGGTAGCAGCTCAGAGCTGTAGTAGTAGTTGGATGATAGATCAGGAACAGCCTTATACCAGTAGAACCTCCATCCTGCAGATGGATGTTCAACCTCACAGTTCAGAGTTACAGAGTCTCCAGGACTCAGCCATAATGGAGACAAAGTGAGGACAGGCTGAGGTTTATCTGTTGGAAAAGGGATTTTCAGAATAACAATTTATGAATGATATTGTTAATATTAACATTGAATTTACTTTATACACAGTTTCACACCATAATTTATACACATTGTTTAATTCTGTCAAAGGAGCTCTGTTGCTGTGTTTCTGGTCTGTATCTCTACTGTTGCATATCACTTTGCTGCTCCACCACTGAAAACTACATTTGAGAAGGCAGAAACCTGTGTTTGAGGTTTGAAGAGCCAAGCTGAACATTTTCATTGTGGCTTTTCATTCTTTTATACAACTGTAAAATACATGCTATCTATTACTCAGTGATCTATCCTTTGCAGGGTCACAGGGAGCTTGATCCTGTCCAAGTTCACACTGAATAAGAGCAAGGTTACACACTGTACAGGTTATCAATCTATCAAGTGTTAACACATACAGACAACCATTCACACTAACACCTACAGGCAATGTACATTAGCCAATGAGGTGATTAATCTAAACTAACCTGTGAGTTAACTCAACCAATTGTCCAAAAGTTAGCTTCACACCCTGAACCTTCTTCCTGTGGGGGAACAGTGTTAAACTGCACCATTATTCCACCCTATAAGGTACTTGAATATTGTTTATTCATTCCTGTTTATTTCTACACTTACATTTCTATACCTGACCATGACATTTTCAGTATGAATAACAGACAGTCCAACTTACGTGATACATTCAATCTGATGACATTACTCCACTCTGTTGAGGAATATGAGTCCTTTCTACCCTTACACCTGTATCTTCCACTGTGGGACTCAGTAGCACTGTTAATCCTGTATTCACTATGTGTTGGAGGTATGTTTAATTTGTCTGGTTTCCATTCATATGTCCACTGAGTGTCTCCACCTCCCTGGATCTCACATCTTAGAGTGATCGTCTCACCACTGAATATCTGAGGCCAGTTGGGTTGAAGGGTGAAACTGGCCCTGTTGGAAACTGTTGACATCAAATACAAACAGGATTAAAAACTAACCAGATACAATGTAATTATTTTCTGATGCAATCTTTATATTAAATATGTGAATGCATGTTGGTCTATTTTCCACTAACGTTTCAAAATAAATACAAACAACTCAACAGTTAAAGAGTTAAAGAACAGTTATACTGGTGCACTTTTTTAAAAATAAACTACATAATGACCAAAATGCCCAGCAGTGTTATTAGTAGCAGCTGCTGAAGGGATAAAAGAGATATATTTTATGTAGTACACCACAGAATATCTGAGGACAGTTTGGTTGAAAGGTGGAAATGGCCCTGTTGGAAATTGTTGAGATAAAAAAATACCAAGTTAGGGTATCAGATACAAAAAAGGAGCTATTGGAGGAAAGACGTTAATTTGACATCATTGACTCTCCAAATATTGCCAACCAGACTAAAATGTGTAAATACAACAGAGAAACATTTTGTGATATGATGCTTTTTGTTAAGTGATATTAGAAATACCATGCTAGAATGTGGTATTTTCAGTAGTACAGTATATTGTACAGTATATTCTCATTGTCAGTCATTAAATGGAACCACACTTTTTCAGACAGAAATACTATAGGGATAGTACAGGAATATCAGACAGGGCTTAACATTATATACTGTGAACTGGTGTTGGGTATTTATATGAAGTAGGCATACTTTGGACAATATATTTTTGACCAATATTACTGATTAAATTATTCAGTGACTGGGGGACCACAAAGTAAACTCACTAGTCTCCTGAATGGTGACTTTATCGCTGTTCTCTGTGAAGAACAATGGATCTCCTCTTCCTCCTCTGCAGTGGTAGAGACCTCCTTGTGAGACACTGATAACTCTGTCTGGTACAACATCCCTTATGGGCTGAGCTTCAGAAGAGTCTGATGTAGGTTTGAACCAGTAGTATTTCCAGTCAGCAGAGCCCCACACAGAACAGGTCAGTGTCACAGTGCCCCCTACTGGTATGATGGTATTGTGTGCTATCAGTGTGGGTTTAGGTTTGTTCGCTGTTCAGTTTAGAGAAAAAAACAAAACAAGTAAATCACTTGCATAGAATTGCCTCAGAAAAATGTTTTTACTTCATAACATGAATATAAAAAACATCATAACAGACATCTAAACACTTATAATCATACTCTTTGAATAATATCTCATTACAGACATTGCATGTGACATATGACTCCTCCTCCATACAGTAGTTACCACATAGCTGTTAATGTATTGTTAGTGCAGTTTTTCAGTGGACACAGAATAGCTATGGTGATCATGTGATGCATGGTTCTCATACTAGAAGTCTGCAGCTAGTTGGTAAAAAAAAAAAAAAAAGGTGTCCTGTTGATGATTTCAGCACAGATTCAATGTGATTAATAATCACTTGGACAACAACTGCACAGTGCTCTGTTCTTCCCTGTGAATCATTATAATTCAACAGTGCAATGTATGCTGGTTCCTCTAAAGTTATTCTGCTTTTCACAATAAAACAAATTCTGACATAATTTCTTACTGAGCTGCCTGTAAGAGACTTCATTATAGTTGGAGGGAGAAATGTTTCCTGTTTTTTTTTTTATTGAGATGAATGAAAACATAAAAATACTTTTTTAACACTAAATATGTTTTAGTATGAATAGCAGACAGTCCAACTTACGTGATACATTCAATCTGATGACATTACTCCACTCTGTTGAGGAATATGAGTCCTTTCTGCCCTTACACCTGTATTCTCCACTGTGGGACTCAGTAGCACTGTTAATCCTGTATTCACTATGTGTTGGAGGTATGTTTAATTTGTCTGGTTTCCATTCATACGTCCACTGAGTGTCTCCACCTCCCTGGATCTCACATCTTAGAGTGATCGTCTCACCACTGAATATCTGAGGCCAGTTGGGTTGAAGGGTCAAACTGGCCCTGTTGGAAACTGTTGACATCAAATACAAACAGGATTAAAAACTAACCAGATACAATGTAATCATTTTCTGATGTAATCTTTATATTAAATATGTGAATGCATGTTGGTCTATTTTCCACTAACGTTTCAAAATAAATACAAACAACTCAACAGTTAAAGAGTTAAAGAACAGTTATACTGGTGCACTTTTTTAAAAATAAACTACATAATGACCAAAATGCCCAGCAGTGTTAATAGTAGCAGCTGCTGAAGGTATAAAAGAGATATATTTTATGTAGTACACCACAGAATATCTGAGGACAATATGGAAATGGCCCTGTTGGAAACTGTTGAGATAAAAAATACCAAGTTAGGATATCAGATACAAAAAAGGAGCTATTGGAGGAAAGATGTTAATTTGACATCATTGACTCTCCAAATATTGCCAACCAGACTAAAATGTGTAAATACAACAGAGAAACATTTTGTGATATGATGCTTTTTGTTAAGTGATATTAGAAATACCATGCTAGAATGTGGTATTTTAAGTAGTACAGTATATTGTACAGTATATTCTCATTGTCAGTCATTAAATGGCACCACACTTTTTCAGACAGAAATACTATAGGGATAGTACAGGAATATCAGACAGGGCTTAACATTATATACTGTGAACTGGTGTTGGGTATTTATATGAAGTAGGCATACTTTGGACAATATATTTTTGACCAATATTACTGATTAAATTATTCAGTGACTGGGGGACCACAAAGTAAACTCACTAGTCTCCTGAATGGTGACTTTATCGCTGTTCTCTGTGAAGAAAAGTGGATCTCCTCTTCCTCCTCTGCAGTGGTAGAGACCTCCTTGTGAGACACTGATAACTCTGTCTGGTACACCATCCCTTATGAGCTGAGCTTCAGAAGAGTCTGATGTATGTTTGAACCAGTAGTATTTCCAGTCAGGAGAGCCCCTCACAGAACAGGTCAGTGTCACAGTGCCCCCTACTGGTATGATGGTATTGTGTGCTATCAGTGTGGGTTTAGGTTTGTTCGCTGTTCAGTTTAGAGAAAAAAACAAAACAAGTAAATCACTTGCATAGAATTGCCTCAGAAAAATGTTTTTACTTCATAACATGAATATAAAAAACATCATAACAGACATCTAAACACTTATAATCATACTCTTTGAATAATATCTCATTACAGACATTGCATGTGACATATGACTCCTCCTCCATACAGTAGTTACCACATAGCTGTTAATGTATTGTTAGTGCAGTTTTTCAGTGGACACAGAATAGCTATGGTGATCATGTGATGCATGGTTCTCATACTAGAAGTCTGCAGCTAGTTGGTAAAAAAAAAAAAAAGGTGTCCTGTTGATGATTTCAGCACAGATTCAATGTGATTAATAATCACTTGGACAACAACTGCACAGTGCTCTGTTCTTCCCTGTGAATCATTATAATTCAACAGTGCAATGTATGCTGGTTCCTCTAAAGTTATTCTGCTTTTCACAATAAAACAAATTCTGACATAATTTCTTACTGAGCTGCCTGTAAGAGACTTCATTATAGTTGGAGGGAGAAATGTTTCCTGTTTTTTTTTTTTATTGAGATGAATGAAAACATAAAAATACTTTTTTAACACAAAATATGTTTTAGTATGAATAGCAGACAGTCCAACTTACGTGATACATTCAATCTGATGACATTACTCCACTCTGTTGAGGAATATGAGTCCTTTCTGCCCTTACATCTGTATTCTCCACTGTGGGACTCAGTAGCACTGTTAATCCTGTATTCACTGTGTCTTGGAGGTATGTTTAATTTGTCTGGTTTCCATTCATACGTCCACTGAGTGTCTCCACCTCCCTGGATCTCACATCTTAGAGTGATCGTCTCACCACTGAATATCTGAGGCCAGTTGGGTTGAAGGGTCAAACTGGCCCTGTTGGAAACTGTTGACATCAAATACAAACAGGATTAAAAACTAACCAGATACAATGTAATCATTTTCTGATGTAATCTTTATATTAAATATGTGAATGCATGTTGGTCTATTTTCCATCAACATTTAAAAAATCATACAAACAACTCAACAGTTAAAGAACAACAGTTATACTGGTGCCTTGGTTTGGTTGAAAGGTGAAAAAGGGCCCTGGCCCTAGTTGGTGATAAAAGGTGCCCTGTTGGTGAGTTCAGGACAGATTTAGTGTGATTTATCAATCACTTGGACAACAACTGCATTGTTCTTCCCTGTGAATCATTATAATTTAACAGTACAATGTGTTAGCTCTAAAGTTATAAAAACACAATCGACTCTTACTGAGCTGCCTGCAAAAAGACTTCATTATAGTTGGAGGGAGAAATGTTTCTTGTTATTGTATTGAGATGAATGAATAAAAACTTTTTTCACGCTAAAACATTTTTAGTGTGAATAACAGACAGTCCAACTTATGTGATACATTCAGTGTGATGATGCATTCAGTACAGACTTGACCCCAGCAATATGGAAGAATATTTTGTTGTAAGTCTATTGCATTATGGCTAAGATGATTTGGTTTGTGAAACTGCAATAAAAGGTTTCAATAAAAGGAACAAGTCAGCACATTTTTATTTAACCTTAAGATTTAAAGATTGTGAAATTTAAAATCTAATTCTCTAATTCCAGCAATAAGCAAGCAAGCTATTGTGTCTGTACATAAATAAAATATAGGATAATGCATTCTCACCATGTTAAACAATATAATTTGTTTTTTAAACCTTTCTTAGAGGAGTAAGAGGTACTGGGCTAACATCATTTATTCATTAAACTTATTCTTTTTCTTCTAACAGTGGCTTTCTTCCACAACTTAGGCATTGTTTAAGAACATTAAGAGTGAATGTTTTATTCCAGAGCGAATTAATAAACTCACCAGTTTCCTGAATGGTGACTGGATCACTACCAGGTGTGAGGAAAGTTGGTTCATGTCTCCATCCTCTGCAGGTGTATCTGCCTCCAACTGAGATAACTGTGTGTGAGTCATCACGGTTTTCAGTCTGAAGAGAAGTTTTTCCAGAAGTGTCTGACGTCTGTCTGAACCATTGATATTTGAGGCCAGCAGGATCCTCCACAGAGCATGTCAGTGTCACACTGCCCCCTGGTGGTATGATTGTCCTGTCTGCTGTCAGTGTGACCTGACGTTTATCTGCTGTTTAGTTTAGAGGAACAAGAAAACAAGGAATTTACTGTAATGGATATGCATTAAAAATGTATTTATGTAAACAATGATTTTGTCAGATACACTCTTTTCCTACAGCAAGCAAGCTTTATTTTGAAAGTGTAACCGGACGTTGCATATTTATTACTGCTGAAGTGAAATGGGACACTACCATGGTGGTGTATTACAGTCTTTAGCATGATACCACAGTGGCAAAAAAGGAGCTGCAAACAACAATAGAGAATATAGAATATAATATATAAGAATATAATAGAAGTCATCCATCCTGTTTAAAAACTAGAATAAAACAAGACAATCCATCTCAGCTACTGTAAAATATTCAGCAGAACGGCGTTTAATGTCAAGAGTCTACAAATACTGCATTCAGCTATCATGTGGTTTATCTGATTACAGATATTTATCAATAAAACTGAACAGCATAAATGAATCAACATCAACTCCTCTATTGTGTCTGTACACACACTGAAGAAGGTCAAACAAATAGTCCATTCTCACCATGATAGGAATTTCTTTTTTTTTCAAGAGTTACTGGGCTAACATCATTTATTAATTTATTAAGCAGATTAATAAACTCACCAGTTTCCTGAATGGTGACTGCATCACTTTCAGGTGTGAGGACTTCTGGTTCCCTTCTCCATCCTCTGCAGGTGTATCTGCCTCCATGTGTGATAACTGTGTGTGAGTCATCAAGGTTTTCAGTCTGAAGAGAAGTTTTTCCAGAAGTGTCTGACGTCTGTCTGAACCATTGATATTTGAGGCCAGCAGGATCCTCCACAGAGCATGTCAGTGTCACACTGCCCCCAGTGGTATGATTGTCCTGTCTGCTGTCAGTGTGACCTGACGTCTACGTCCTGTTTAGTTTAGAGAAACAATAAAACAAAGAATTTACTGTAATGGACTACTACTACTGTACTGTAATTTTATGCATTAAAAGTATGTTCACATTTGAGGGGTGGCAGAGATAACAACGGAACTGTGTTTCAATGCAAAACAAACTTTCTAGGGGATAAGTGTATTTTGGTCATTGGATTTTCCTTTCAGAAACGGGTATTAAAAAACAGAAAACGAGTGGTTATTTGATTTTCGTTTTAAAATACAAAAATTAAAATTGAAATACATATATAGTAAGCTCAAATATAAGAAAATCTGGAATCTGGAAGTATAAATATGGGACTTTTATTCTTCAATTTCTCCAAATTGGTACAGTAAAAATGCTTGATATTAAGTATACTTGTAGTCTTAGATGTGTAGAAGTCAAATATACCAATATAGCCAGGAATTATTGAGCAAAGTGTTTTTACAGTAGCTCAAATATATGAAAATACCACTTGGAGGTACACATATGGACTTTTATTGTTGAATTTCTCCAAATTGGTACAGTAAAAATGCTTGATATTAAGTATGTTTGTACTCTCATATGTGTAAAAGTCAAATACACCATCAGTAGCCAGGAAACACTGAGCAATATGTTTTTACAGTACCTCAAATATGGTCAAATATGCAATCTCTGGAGGCATAAATATGAGACTTTTATTTTGGCATTTCTCCACACTGGTGCAGTAAAGATACTTGATATAAAGTTTTTTTTTATTCATCAGGGGCACACAACACTTTAATGTAACATATTTTAATTTACGGCTCTAAATACCTTTATTTTGAAAACCGGAAGTAAATACGCTGTTTCTCCGCATTTACCATAATGCTGAGAATACTTGTACACTCTAAATTTAAGTGCGGCTGATTTGACCACGGAGATCGGACTCACGGCTGGATTGACCGCAGTCTACTAGTCTACTGTTTCTTCTCCACAGCACCGTCCTGTAAATGACAACATCCGGTCTCAGAATATGAAACAACAGGCCTTTTTTCCGTTTCTGTTTTCTAGTGATTTTATTTTTTGTTATATGAAATAGAAAATGAAAATCGAATCATTTTTTAAATTTCGCTCATCCCTTTCTGACCATGAAAAAGAAAAACGCCTTGTATTTCAATTTTAATTTTTGTATTTTAAAACGAAAATCAAATAACCACTCGTTTTCTGTTTTTTAATACCCGTTTCTGAAAGGAAAATTCAATGACCAAAACATACACGGACCATACACGGACCCCTACCTTGCTTATTGGTTTTTTGAGTGATGAATACTAGCATTTTCTTTCCCGACTGAAGACAGTGAAATGCCGCTCAGTTTGATCTTACATTATTTTGTGACCTATTTTTTGCATTCTGGTACAGAATCTTAAACAACAATATATATATATATTTAATCACAGATTGACAGCAACTTACCTTCCACTTTCATTTGTCTCGATTCAGATTCTGCCCCATCATCAAACTGACACTTGTAAGTGCCCCTATCTGAAACTGACACTGGATAAATGGTTATTTCTCCTATGTTGTGAGAGTAATATTCTCTGTCCATTTGAAGAGGTGATCCATCTTTGAAAAATGTAGTTTTCATCTCATTTTTTGGAGTACTACGACGCTTACAGCTCAAAGTCACCAAGTCTCCTTTAAACAAAGTAAATGCAGGCAATTGAAGGATTACATCATCACCTGTAACAAAGGTAGAGAGCTTTATTAATCTCAATCAAATGAACATATACTCCATCTGACAACATACCTTTTAAAGCTGGAAAAGCTCGGGAAGGCTGCTAAATAATGCTCCAAAGTTAGGCAACATTTTGGCAATGGGAAAACTGCAATGTTCAAAGCGATCCCTTGACCTCTGACCTCAAGATATCTGAATTAAAATTGGTTTTGTGGGTACCCACCTTTGCAGACATACCCACTTTATTCTAATCCCATGCAGTTTTGGGGAAAAAAAGCATGCCAGTTGTTTGCTTGTGATCTAAAAATGCGGACCATAAAAAATAATCGAACAAAAATTAAAAGAGGAAATGACTCGAAAGATGAGACATAAATCAGTGCCCCACTTGTGCCACTCCAGTCACAAAAGTCTGGAAGCGCCCTTTCTCCTCACCCTATACACCTTTGCGTTGTGTCTTTGGCTTTCTTTTCATTGTTTTAACAGCACAGCCTTTATACAGTACATGTGATTATGAACTGTATGGATCATCCACTCCCCCCACTATTGACTCTACAGATTCCTCCCATCCATGTGTTTGTATTTGATTATTTTGTTGTAATAAATTCTTTATTATTTAGTTTACCCACATGTCTTCCGTTTTTGTTGATGAGCCAGGCTGTAACAATACATAGAGGATAATTTTACAGTGCACACTGTCGCACTTCTTATGTGCATATTATTTTCCTTCTGTGATAGTTGGCGATTTAAACATAAGTTCAGGTTATAAATGTCTACTGAGCTTCATGCCACATGCTTTCCGAGAAAAACTGTTCAGAACCTAAAAATAATATTGAGTTTATATACCATATAAGCCAAGTGTCAAACAGGATGATGATATCATTGTTGCTGCTAAACTTGGTGTGAGTGAGTGTGACAGACCTTTGTAACTGACTGTATCACCTGTTTACCTCTTCCACATATCCTCAGCAATCTCATAATATTCATTAATAATATAAATTGTTCTGTCCTGTTTATATGATCAGATGAATGTGTGAAAATAAAAAGGTAACAGATTCTTCAGTAAATATAATTCAATTCAATTCAATTCAATTCAATTTTATTTGCCTAGCGCCAATTCATAACAGAAGTTATCTGAGGACACTTTTTAAATAGAGCAGGTCTAGACCGAACTCCTTATAACATTATTTACAGAGACCCAACAGTATCACGATGAGCAAGCACTTGGCGACGGCTGCAAGGAAAAACTGCCTGTTAGGAGGCAGAAACCTAGGACAGACCCCTCGGCTCTCGGTGGGTGGTCGTCTGCCTCGACCGCCCACCTAGAGTATACAGTTTGACTTGAGGGTCACTACAGCATCAGATCTCCCGAAATAAATATGCATACAAAACTACTATGGCATTAGTCTAGTCATTTCATAATTTGATATGTGGAGTAAAATGATGCAAACCTGGGGCACGAAAAGTGGAGTGATCAAGAGTGATAAATAAAAGATAAATAATGAGTGAATATATATTTTAAAAAAAGAAATGTTTAGTCACCTTCAGCATGTCCGCAGAGGAGTGTGTTCAGCACTAAAATAAAGATTAAATTCATCAGACAGTAATAGAAGACATTTAAAATCCAGCTGGAGTTTCACGAGTGGCAACTGTTGTTCAGTCAATCAACAGTATCAGACTTTTTTGTGACAATATTCTGTGAGTTACTAAAGACACAACACTTTAACACTCAAAATAAAATATATAAAATAAAATAAGCAAAATGAACATGTTGATAAAAAAAAAACAAGAGAAATCAGAAAGTCACTGATGTACTCACAGAATAACCCCAGCACACAGAGCAAAGTGTGCCCCATCTTCACATCCAGCACCGACACTGTCGCTCTGCTGCTCTGCTTCTGAGGGGAATGTTTCTACTTTGCCATAATAATAATAATTCAGCAGAGAGAGCAAAATTTTTCTTCACCTCCTCCTACTGAATAAAACCAACAACAACTGCAATGGCTTTGACTGCAAAATATTTATTTATGTTTAGACTTTATACTTCCTGCCCTCTAAAAATATATATTTACGTCTCTGTTGTGCAAAGGTTTCTTCCTGGTCCCTAAAACAAAGTTATATATATAAAGATATATTTAATCACATGCACATTTGCACGATTACAATGTGTAGCTTTGTGTAGTCCATTCTGTATGTCTGTGTGTATGTCTTATGCTCTCGATAGTACATTTAAACACACACAAAAACACAGTTTCTCTGACCAAATTAACTCTAAAATATTACCAAGAGCTGTTTCCTATTTGACTTTAGAATTAAGATTGTTCATCCCCGGCTGCAGGACTAAGAATGGAGAGAGGATTTTTGTGTCCAGGACATAGTGGGCCACGTGTGTGTGCGCGCATGTGCGTGTAGGAACAACCCTACCTGTGATGACGACTACCGACCAATGGCCTCAACTTCTTTCGTCTTTCTTCTTTGGTAATGAAAAGCTTTGAGAGGCTTGTCCTTTCCCAGCTACAGAAAGAGGTGAACATGCACACTGATACCCTCCAGTTTGCATACAATTAAGGGGGGGCTTGATTATGCTGTTCTGACACTGCTGCACAGGGCCTATACCTTCCTTGAGAAGCCTAAGACTTGCAGACCAGGAACACCCCACAAGAGCTGCAGATTTGGAGATGCTCTGACCCAGTCGTCCAGCCATCGCAACGTGGCTCCTTGTCAAAGGACACACATCAACTTGGAGGACAAAATGCTGCCTAATATATATCCCACCCACTGACAGGTGCAATGGTAACAAGATAATAATGTGTTATTCGTTTCACCTGTCAGTGCTCATAATGTTGATCGGTGTAAATCCCAGTAAAAAATAAGAAAATCATTATAAATTGAACTGATGGTTTGTAGTATGTCTGACTTTAGGGGGCGCTGCACCCCCCTCAGGAACACTACTATCCATGTCCATGTCTGTGCTACTTGTATTTTTTTCTAAATGCTTGCATCAGTTGTCCAATTGGAGAAGACTGTAGTTTATCTATTTGCATGTGTCGCCAAGTGCTTGCTCACGGGGGGAACGTTTAGGTCTCTGTATATAAGTAGCAGCAGAGTACAGTCTAGACCTACTCTATTTAAAAAGTGACCTGAGATGACATTTGTTGTGAAGTGGCGCTATAAAAATAAAATTGAATTAAACTGGACTGAAATTAATTTGAATTTGCTGCAGTGAGTTGAGCTCTCGGGGGCAACACAGCAAAACAATCTTGCATCATTCAGAATTACTGACCCTTTCACACGCAGCCAAGCGGATGATCGTATCTGTCTCAGGAAGGAAATTAAAATGACAACGTATCAACAGCTCAAGTTTAAGAAATACCTGCAGAATTACTCATCTGCTCACTGCTCAGGACCTGCTGGTGGAATATCAAACCAGGAATTCACAGGTTAGAGGTTTTTACCTATAAAAATTACAGCTAAGTTAAGAACTAGATACAATTACTAATTACCTGGTAAAAAAATGTAATCTGTAACCTAATTCAAGTATGACAATATTAACGTAACTTTCCATTGTAAGCTTGATGGCTACTATCAAGCTCAATTACATTTCATAGTTGGTGCTTTTAATTAAAAAAAGCCCATCAGGCAGTTATTTGTGTACTTCCAGCGTAGATGTGTCAACATTGTGTAAAAGGGAAGTAAGCAGAGATAAACTAAGGTGTGAAAAATATGTCTGATCTGCTTGATATCAAATGTCAGCTCTTCTCCCCAGCAGCTAAGTGTTTCAGTGCTGGCTGTGAGGATGAGACACTTTTTGGTCCGTGCACTGGGGTTATTCTGTAAGTACATTATTAATTGTATGTCGGAAAATGTTTGTAGTGAGAAGAACAGTTATGATACCTATACACAGTGTAACTATAGTTGCCAGTATGTGTGTTTATCCCTTTAATAGTTTGGTCAATTTGGTAATGTCTAATGAAGCATCAATCTTTATTTTAGTGCAGAACATACTCCTCTATGGACACGCTAAAGGTAATGGCACAATTTCCTTTCTTTATTGCTTTTCTGTTTATTTACTTAAAGGTCCAGTGTGTAGGATTCGGTGGCATCTAGCAGTAAAGTTTCAGATTGCAACTAACTTAACCCTGCTGGTGAAGTGGTGAAGTGATCACGAAACCCTACAATGGTTGTAGACAGGGCTGTTAAACTTATTTTCTCTCTACACACTTGAAAGGCGAGCAGTTATTCAGTTGGTTGTAATCTGCAACTTGTGTGCAAGATGCCACTAAATCTTACACACTACGCACTTTTTAATATGAATCTCAATGAAATTTGGTCATATATTGCAGAAAGTCAGCTTTACTATAGCTGAAAATTTCTTACCACTTGTAAAGCTTAGCAGACTGTGTAATCAACAGAACTATGCTGTTAAGGATAAACTCTTATATAAATATTAAAAATGAGAGATAAAAGGCAGGTATTTGCTTAACACACTATCAATTATAGGAGGCTTTCAGAAAAAACCCTCTCATAATGTAATATAATGAGTTTGGTACTTTGGTAAACACTGCCTGAACAACATTGAAAACAACACTGTCAAACTTCTTCAATATGAACAGTGACAAACAAGGCTGTTGTGACGCTACAACCCAACTGGCCAAACATATACACAGGAGAGACAATTACCCTCAGATGTGAGATAAAGAATGGAGGAGACACTGAGTGGGAGTATGAATGGACAGCGACCATCTTATCGCTCCCAAATAAAAATGAAGTTAGGATTACTGCACTTCACAACGAAGACTTCAGATGTATGGGCAGAAACAAAACCCAACAGCAGCCTTCGACAATGTGGAGTGATGCCTTCAAATTGTTAGTACATGACAGTAAGTCACATTATCTTAAATGTACATAATATATTTACATATTTTAAGATAAATAATAAGATAGTATTTTAAGAAAATATGATCTATGAATAAAAATGCTCTGATTCTGACGTTCACACATTCTGAAAAAGAAATATCACTCTCCAACAGATAAACCTCAGCCTGAAATCACTGTGTCTCCATTCTGGCTGAGTCCTGGAGACTCTGTAACTCTGAACTGTGAGGTTGAACATCCATCTGCAGGATGGAGGTTCTACTGGTATAAGACTGTTCCCCTAAAAAAAAAGGGGAAAAAATGGACCTACTGCAGGATGCCGCTACATGAACGCCCCAACGGGACTGCACAAGATTCCTACATCGTTCATGGGCAGACACACACAACACCATATGTGTGCAGAGCTGGAAGAGGAGACCCAATGTATTACACTCAGTATAGTGACAGGAGCTTCGTCTGGTCCGGTCAGTTTGTTTCTTGCTTTGTTTCTTACACATATTTATTTTACATGATGGTGTTCAGCGTCATGTAAAGTATTGACTTTAGTAAGTGCTTGACCTCACTGCACATGCCAGCATCAGGTAAATGTTTTTTAAATCCACTCCAGAATGACAGCGACAAATCATTCTGCTTAACTGCAGATTCAATTAAATGATAAAATGTTTTACCAGAAAAAGAGGAACTCAAAGTCACATTTGATTGTTGATTGGGTATCCATTCTATATCACGGTCAACTACATTCTGTTACACCACCACTATAAATACAGCGAGTGTTGTTTTTAAAAAAGTGCAATCACTTTTTGCTTGCCACTGCCCTGTCTCACTGTGAGACAAGCTGCAGAGGTAACATAGTCTCGCTCTCTCTTTGGTACCCAACCCTAGTGGTTAGTCACTCTCCTCCTGTCCTCTGAACTTCCACGTTACACACTACACAGCCACGACGCAAACAATTTCTGTTACATTATGCTGGGACTGAGGGTTCTAGCAGTATTTGAGGGTGTTGTTACCCTTTAAAAATTTAGCTGTGGCTAATTCAGTTTTACATTTTACCAAAAGCTGAGGAGAATCTTTAAAATATTCCAACCTCATGAAAATGAATAAAACTTAAACCTAACTTAAAAGTTATTTCATTGAAACTTCCATCTCTTCTATAGTAACATTTCAACAAAAATACAGTGAACTATCATTTAGTAGTTACATTCAGCATGTCACATGCAAAAATGTCTGTAAAGGTTGTTGAATATTTACCTTCACATAAAGACCAATATTTCAAAAATTCAAAGGATTCAACACAAGTAAAAGGTTCATTTCCACTATGTTGTCCTAAATTGTAAAACATTTTGCTTGGATTGACTCAACATTATGTCTTATTTTTCAGATTTTAACTCAGCGGCGTCTCTCACAGTGAATCCTGACAGAGTGCAATACTTCTTCTCTGAGTCTGTCTCCTTGAACTGTGGAGGAAACTCCACAGAGTGGAGAGTGATGAGGTCTATTGAAAGAGAGACAGCAAACCAGTGTTCTACCTGGGGAAAAGTGACTGGACCCACATGCAACATCAACTTGTTACTAAATTTTGATGCAGTGTACTGGTGCGAGTCTGGATCAGGAGACTTCAGCAATGCTGTCAACATCACTGTATTGTGTACGTTTCATTATACATTTCTGCAGGGTTTCATATACCAAGGCATTTCATGGCAGGAACGACAATCACAGCATTTTGATGTAAATGACTGATTCCATTGTATACGTCAACAATTAAATTCTGATGCAAAAAACTAAGAAGCATAGGATCCACAGCATCATTCAACAAATTTGCATTAGATAAACACACTTTCTTCTGCTGCAGTTAGTAACATGCATGATTTTTGGAACAGGAGAATCAGTAATTGATATGTTTCAAGTACATACTGTTTTAATAATACAGTTTCTCTCTGCAGCAAACAAAAGGCCTGAAAGCCTTTCAATTCTTATGTTTCTGTTCCTTGGGTTCCTGACTGGAGTTTTGTTAATTATTTCCCTGCTCTTGCTGTATAGCTGCATAAAGGGTGAGAATGTGCAAAAACGTAAAGTTACTGGGAAGACATTTAGCAAAAAACTAAACAATAACGATCTTTGTTTTGTTTTTTTACAGAACCTTGCAGTGAGAGGTTTGTTCAGTGCTGTCTTCTCTCATCTTTAGCATAACAGCAATACTTTAATGTTTCTTGTTAAATTTACTCCAATTCCCATTCATTTTAGATCCATTCATTTTAGACGTACCCAGTTTCAGTGCACCAGTCGGGATGAACAGGTCAACCAGGTTGAAGTTCAACAGCAAGTATACTCCTCGCTTCTTGAAGGTCAGCTTTCACAACTGTTTCTAATATCATTGCTGGTTTTTAATGCCACAATCGTATATGGATATTATTTTAACCTTGCTCTCCAACAGCACACCCTCTGCTGCAGGTTTAATACATTTAATCAAACCAGTGGTTAAAATGTTGCCCTTTGATATGAATGTTATAGAGATGAAGTGACTAATTTGACTTTGTCTTGACCCGTTAGGGGATGTCTGTATCTACGAAACAATCAAGGGTTCAGAAGACACTGGAAATGGTACGTTTCATATAATAGAACCATTTTTGTAACAAACTGAATGAAATTGAAAACATACACAAGCTAAAGAATACAGGGATTGCACATCTCGTTCTAGGTAAGTATGCAGTTCAGTTCACTGGTTATTTGTGTCACCTCAAAAAATTAATCTGTGCACCAGGCACAGATTAATTTTTTGAGGTGTCTGCGTGAGTGTGAGGACACGGTACGAGGCTATACACATTTCCAACACCGTAACCCCCATCAATTCAGCGCAGAAGTATAAAGCAGGCTTAAGAGCGACTATAACTTTTGTTTTGTTCTAGAAGCCATTACATTTGTCAACTGTCACAATACAAGAAATGGTCAGTTTACCTTGTATAGACTGATAGATGCCCCTGCTCTTTTGACCATATCCTAATCTTTGTGTATGTCTTCTAATATTGCCATTTTTGTATTTCTACATTAATTTTGATTTGAATAAAGTTGTGTCCAGTCATGCTGACCATGCTGTTTTTGAAACTTTTTTAACTATGATTTTTTTTGTTCCAGGTCCATAAGGAGAAGTCCATCATCAACAAAACAAGTGACGCACTGATGACAACATAAAAAACTGCACATTTTACAAATGCTCTTCAAATTTCTTAGTGCGTTCTCTCTTAGTACAAATCCCTCCTGTGCAGTTCAATAAGAGATCATATCAAATATTTACATAATGTGGAATTAACCCCCTATTGGTCTCAGCACAAACTGCAGAACTGCTGCGGCATTTGAGCTGTAAAGGTCCATTAACCTGCTTACAACAGTAACAATAACATGATGTGAAAAGGAATAAAATATCTAATGTTGGTCCAGCGTTTTGAGGACAGACTGCTCACTTACTGCTGTGTTTTGCTGCAGAGGTTCACTTTATCACTTGCTGTGGTTGAGTGATCATATCTGAAAATTGAATTTTATCAAAAGTGGGAAAATCTACAGTCTGTAAATTGGATTCTTTCTTTTTCCTAGTACAGCCCAACTTTGTGATTTTACGCTGATGACACAGGAGTATTTTAAGGTAAACAAAGTCAGGGATGGACAACAACTATTTCATTTTTAGATTTAACTGTAACTGTAAATATGTCCTTTTATAACTGTGCATTGTCATGGAGTGAAAATGTACTCTTGTCATTTGTACATTTAAAAGCTTGGTCTTTAATATGCAGCAAGAATATGTAAACTTTTAACCAAGCTGCAAACATTGTTTTTTACACTGAAGCAATTTCTCATGCCTGCACATTTAAACTATCATCCACTTGGTGGCGCCCTGCAGCTTTACTTTACTTCAAAGGTTACTGTGGTCAGATATCTTTGCTGCTGCATCTGTGAGTGCATGAATGATGCATTTTTAATTCATTATGTTTAATTTGTTTAATTATGTAATGTTATTGTATATTACTTAATAAAGAAAGTAAATTAGTTTTCATTCATTTGGTTAAATAATGTTACCTGTTGTTCTCTTTGTTTAAAAGTGTATGTATGTTTTCTAGTAAATACCCATGAGTAGTCATAATAACATTAAGTTTCTTCTTTAACTTAATACTTTAAGTAGTAGCAATAGCTCCTGTATGTGTAAATATTTATTTAAAAAAAGATAGGCACTTTTAAATGTATCTTCTTAATGTTTCAGTTCTTCTAAAGAATATGATGAGGTGGTTTCTGCAATTTGACCAGTGTTATTTTTACTGGATCTCTTTGCAAACTATAGTAATGTTACACTTTCTTGGTTTCACCAAGTCCTTCCTGTCAGCTGGTCAGTTGATCTTGCTCAGCACCCAATGCAACAACTATATGAGCCAATTTAAAAAGAATGTATGAAATAAAAAATAGTGTTAGAAATATGTACAGTACCTGCTATATGAAACCTTCTGAGAAAAACAAACAACAGTCTCTCTACATTAATATACACACATACCGTTTCTTAGGGTAAAATTACTTCAATGCAAAATATCTAACTAATCATATCTTATTCAAATCTAATCTGTTAAACTTTTTATCAGGCCTGACCAAACAGAATGTTGTGCTTACTGTCTCACTTTCCACCCCTTCCGTTCTTTTCTATCTAATTCATTAGAGCAGAGTTTCATAGACCAGAAGAGGAAACAGACTTTGTTCCTCTCAGAGATGGATGGTGGTTGCTTCGGATACTCTATCGGTTTCTTTACATGTGGTACTCTGCTGCTGCTGCTTGGAGCCCCCCTCCATGGTATGTATACCTCTGGTAGAGGTATTTGTCTGGCTGTTGCATTTTTGCATGAGCATAGAATTACACAGCTCAAGTTTGTTGTTCATTTCCTACATTTCCTGGATGTTTGCCTATCATCTGTATCACGTGTGTTTAGAATCACAGAAAAGCTTACAAAGTTGATTGTATTTTCAAATGTTGTTTTTATTGCATTTCTTTATCTTGTGTAATGATTGTCTGTGTTTAACTTAACTAACCCTGTGGTTAAGATATGAGTGTGAGATATTTGTTCAACAAAACATATGTGAAAATGGTTTGTTATACTGGGTGTGGTGAAAACCTAACAAACACTATACAAAGAGATAATCTGCTGTCACGATTACAGATCCTTCTTGTTCATCTTCATGACCATTGTCTTCAGGATTTCTGAACAGTCTCCCTGATATAAACAACACACTGAGCTTTAATCACACACTCAATCAAATCAAAGAATCAATAACTAATGGTGCAACAACTGTAAGCGAGCGTACCCTTTGGATCAAACTAGTACCTCAAGCCTGGGAAGTGATCTGTTTTTGTATTTACTTTATATACAATGCAGCAAAAGATAGACAATGGTCTTTAAAGAATTATTTACAGAGAAACCGCCTCTGCCCAAAACAAGGTTCAATGAGAGTAGTGACTCATCTACCAATCAGAAAGAATGACACCCAGAATAACAAACCTATATAAAGAGGGAGCCGACTGTGCTCCGGGTACCTGATCCAGCGGAGCTTTCGAGTGAAGCAGATCGGACCCACAGTTGTGTTGTTTACTTGTTCTCTCAAATAAAAGAAGTTGAGGACAACAATTCCTTTAATGTCCTTTCTTCGAACAAAGAACATGACATGATGAAGGGGTAACTTGATACCTGAATGAAAAGCAATGTTTCACTAAACTAAAAAATAACAGCAGTTGTATAACTTTATATACTACTTTGTGTAACTAGGGAAACGTATATGTCATGGTTAAAGTGGTGACTATTGGCAGGAGGAGATAGGACACAAACAAATGCAGAAGGAAGACATTTTGTTTTCTGGTGACAAGTCACGTCATGATCTTATATACTCATATATTTTGCATTATGTCATATGTTATACATTGTCATGTCGTCTTGTCATTCATGTAATGGTGTCATAATACATAATTTACGCCATTTCCTGTCTTTGTTATGTCATGTCATGTATGTTGGTATTAAATAAAAGTTTTTTATATCATTCTATCCACTGCTTTGCTACTTTATGTTGAGTATATAAACACGTACTATTATACTTTGCATATTAGTCCTAGAGGCTGTGGTTACAAGACATTTGGTCCTTTTTATCTCCCATATTAAAGACAGTCTGCCCAATGTTAAGAGACAAATTTGACAGTGATTTTTCATACTCACTCACTGTTTGTGTTTACTTTTGTGTTTCAGATGTGGAGGCTTCCAGTTGTCAACGTGTCATCATCCATAAAAAAGTTGGAGACACGGTGGAGTTTTCATCATGCTTACCGACTGAAGGGGTCACCAGTGCAAACTGGAAATATGGAGGGTTAGACATCACAAACAACGATAAGATTTATCCTCAAAACCAGTTCCAGGGCAGATTAGAACTAAACCCCACAAACTTTAGTTTAACAGTCAGAAGACTGACTCTCCAAGATTCTGGTGATTTCAGTTTTCTATCAGAGGTGGATGACAAAGATCAGAGGCCAACAGTCGTCATCACTCTGCAAGTTCATGGTAAGGTTTTTGACAAACTTAAAAAAGAGAGAGTTAAAATGCAGTGAGCTTACCTCTGTAGACCGCTCCAGTCCACTCCTCATCTGCGGCTAGCAGCTCAATGCGGCATTAGCTGCTACAAGCAATGTCAACTGTCAGCAGCCATGTTGCATTGTGGGTAATGTAGGAAGAAGGAAGTATGGAATACAAAAGATATTTCTGCTTGAGTGCAACGCTCTGTGGTTTCAATGTCCTATTTGCTATTTTAAAAGCAATAATGGGGACAGGAAGTTTTGTCACTATGTTCCTCCACCATTATTATTGTCTCTCTCTCTCTCTCTCTCTCTCTCTCTCTCTCTCCCTCTCCCTCTCTCTCTCTCTCTCTCTACTGCCTCAATAGATCTCATAACTAAGCAGCCCATCCTCACCATCAACTCCACTTGGCACACCTTGACCAACTCATGTACAGTTTTCCTGGAGTGCAAAGCAACCTCTGACAGCAGTGCCAACTACAACTGGACCGTAAGGAACCAAACCCTAAGTGGCCCCAGGCTGCAATACACCATCAGGGCACAGGACGGAGACACCAAATTCACTTGCACAAGTTACAATATTGTCAGCGAGAAGTCGGCATCCAAAATAGTGAACTGCAGCAACAACCTACAAGAACCAGGTATGTGAAGAGAAGAGGAATTATGAATTTATTGCTTTAATTTATGTGTATCTTTTGGTGCAGCGTGTACATATTTTGAATGTAGTTTATTAGCGTCATTAATGTTGGGTCCAGTTCTGTGAGGGTGTCCATCATTCTGTTTAGTTTAATCCACCACACAGTTGGTTGAATAAACATTTATTTTAAGTTGTATTACTGCATTTTAATTCTCACGGAAGTCTGGGATCTGAGCATGTTAAGGACATATCTGCTGGGAATTAGCTTTTAATCATAAACATTACATTTTCAAAGAATACATTGCTACCCACCTTTTACAGGAGTAGGAGTGACTACATTGTGTTCACAAAAACCTGCAAAAAAGTGAAGTATTAACTTCCCACTTTAAGCAGTGCTTCCTTTTAGCTTCTGTGTGCTAGGCTAAAATGACATTTGAAAATAAAGATTTGAAAATAAATACTGTATCATAAAACGTGGCCAGGACAGACATAAATGTCTCATACTGATAAAACCTGCACCTTAAAACAGTAACAATAGCAACTGTCTCCTGTGTTGTGGGTTAAAGACAATCCTGCACAGATGATCAGAAATGTGGATAGTGTTAGAATCATACAGGGATATGAGTCATCTTCCTGTTGTGCAAATGTTTCAAATACTCTCATTGATATAAATATACATGTATGTGTCTAATGTGTTTCATTATGTATTGTACATACTCTATTGGAAGTTATTTTTAAGGTTTAACACTCAGTAGACTCTTGTTCCTCCTTATCTGTCATTGATCTGCTTGCTCATGCAATTCATAAGAAACAAACTTAACTTTCTTTTTTAGTTTATTGATACTAATTAATTCTTTTTGCAGTGTCTAGCTCCTCAACAATTGTGCCATTGATTATTGGGCCAGTTATTGGAATTTTACTGATTATTCTGTTCCCACTTCTTTGGTACATAAAGTCTGAGGGTAAGTCCTCTTGCTGATAACACTCACAATCACTAAATGATTCTGCAATGGTTACATTTGCAACACAAAAACCATGTTACATTTTTATTTTTCACAGGTCTATGTTGTAACAGGTTGGGACTCTTTCATCTACAACTTAACAGAAGCAAAATATCATATATGTCCTTAATTCATTTTTTATTTTGACTGGTTTTAGTAAAATTCTATAACATACATTTTTAACCACATGTTTCAGGCTCACCACTCAGTCTCAGATGGTCAACCAAGATGAAACTCAACAGCAGGTGTACTCCTCTCTCCTCCATGGTCAGTCTTCCATCAAATCTTGTTTGCACAACTAACTAAAACACAACTTTTAAAGGTTACAAAATTCACTGCCACTAGATGTCGTACTAGATCTCAGAACTAAAATGTGCCCAACAGGCTCCGTTCTCTGCTCAGGACACCATTAATCCACTATATGTTTACAAATAGTTTTTTGCTGCTTTTTTAATGTTTCAAATTGAGTGGAGGAATCATCACAATAACCTTTAACCCCTTAACACCATCAGCGGGTTTTTGAAAGAAAGGTGAAAAAAAATACTAAAAGAAAGGGATTGTACATATTTTAGTGCATTCACAAAACATTCATTAATATGACCTTGTATTGATTATCTCTGACTTATAGGGGATGGTTCTGTTTATGAAACAATAAGAGGTTCTGAAGATGCTGGAACAGGTATAGTATAAACATTGATCACCTTAGAGCTTTTTCATAACATAACTTAAAATCCAAGTAATCATAACATTCCTATTTCAGGTGGACAACCAAACCAATACAGGAATGTGACATCTCCAATCAGCAGCAAGGAGAGTAAGTAATATGAGACTTAAAATGAATGCAAAATATGCATAAAAGTAACATGTTTGCAGATCAGAATTTAAAAGCAAAAACTCAAAGATGGGGTATTGAGGGCACATATTTTTGCCACTAAAGAGATTTGGGTGCACAGCATTTCTCAAAACTTTAATCATACTGTATTCCCTGTGGTTTTATCACTGTCTAAATGTGGCGATCACAGCAACACTTCTCTGTAAGAGGAAGTATAAAGATGAGTTACACCCAGCCAAACTGGCCAATAGTGTCGTGGCTTATTTCATCTCTGCTAGCCAGTATCTAGATATGAGAACTGAGGTCAGCAGGTGGTAAGATATTCTTTAAAAACTAGTAATTAGTACATAAAATATTAGAAAAATGAAAATAAATGCCAAATAAGAGCATCTTCCAAGATGTAAATATATTTACATACGTCTGTTAGAAATGTGAAAATATGAATGTGCAGCATTCTTAAAACTATTCGCTGTAGTGTTAACACTGTCTAAATGTGGCTATGACAGCAACACTTGTCTAGAAGGGGAACTGTGAAGATGAGTTACACCCACTCATTCTGACTAACGGTGTCTAAACCTTTTCCAATCAGTGTCTCTATCTCTATGTGCTTTAATACTGGACACACATTTATTAGGTTAAAAAACTGCATATGGCTTAATCTTATCTTCCATTTTGAAGTCTGTTTTTGTAGCCTCCTAAGTAAAACATCTCAAATCTTAAAGCATTTTCAAAGAGTATCTTAATAGCATGCTGAACTGCATCGTTTTGCTTCCTCTTCTGGTTAAAATGGTAAAGCCTGTTTCACCTCTGACCAAGCCCAGTTTCCAGGATGTGTGTGGTTAGATATGATCAGAAATGTGTTCACTGTCTAAGGGGTCCTTAAGTACAATGATCATTTCTTTATTTTTCAGTTCCAGGTCAATAAAGAGAAGTGCATCATCTGTAAAACAAGAGAAACGCAGAGGACATCATGAAAAAACATGTTATCTTTTATATTTTATAGTGTTATAAGCAGACAGAAATACCGAATGTTGTCTGTACTTTATCTTACAATCATACACAGTAATTTTCTCAGGTATGCATGTTTCCATTTTTAGCCACTTGGTGGTGCTACGTGGTTTTCCTTTCAGAAACTCAAACCACTAAGCAGGGTCTTGTGGTTAAATATCATTGGAGATGCATCAGTGAGTGCATGCATGAGGCATAACTTAATGCATGAGCATGTTTAATGTGATCAACTAATATCATTGGATAAGAGTGTTTTTAGAATTATTTTCAACAATTTGAAAAATGTTGAAAAAATTGGTTTTCCTCCATCCATGCAAACAGTGTCACACATAATTTCCTTTTGACTTCTTAAATACTATGTACGTTTGTTGTATGAAACTATGTATGTTTCTTGTGAGTATTGTTATTACGTTAAGATTAATTGTTTTATGTCAGTAAATCATTTCATCTCAACAATTAATGACCTGCCCTAACTTGGTAGAAATATAATTGTGAAATTAAAGAATATACACTTTTATACTCATATGGTTCGTATATCAGAGTTTTTTTAAAGGATATGAAGGGTCACACTGTTTCATCATTGGTTCTGCTCCGTTAATGACTCACTGACCAGCATCGTTTTACTGACACTGTATCACTTCTCTTTTCAAAAGAAATGTCGGAAAACTGTGACACTTCAGGGTTTCACCAAGTAAATGGGCCGCTGGTCAGCTGATCTTTCCAAAGGGTATGTCCAAAGGGACAACTTGAGAATGAAAGTAAAGAGATTTTTAAAATTGAAACTACTGCGACAGAGAGGAGAATGGGAGTGCCCTCTGTATGAAAAGTTCCTAAAAAATAAGTTGACATGTGTAATCCACTGGATGAACATGATTTTGCAGGAATCACTTCAAACCAGTCAAATCATTTTAGATAGTCTACTTTTTATTGGAAAGGATAAATGCTAAATGCTAACGTAAGTGTGCTAAAAATGCTCAGAATGACAATGCTAACATGCTGATGTTTAGCAGGGAAACTTTACCGTGTTCACCATAGCACTAAACACAGAAGCGGAGGCTGATGAGAAATACAATTCAAGGATCACCTTAACTGACATTATAGGTTTTCATATAGAAATGTGTGTTTTTTGACCTGTCATCATATATTTATCCTATGAGAACCATCAATCCCGCTATCAGAGCAATTTAACCAGTAGTTGTTGAAATAATTTAACTACTTTAAAGCAAAGCAGTGCAAAAATGTAGCTACGAACTACTAACTATTAACTAATTCTACTTCTATTGGATTTATAGCTGAGCTAGGGAGACTCAAAACAAGTAGTCGGCAAAATACAGAGGAAAATAAAGGCAAAAAGCCCCCAAAAATAATACGGAGGAATGGTGCCACGTCAGGACAGTATGACACACAATTTAGTTGCCGAAATGTGGGAAGTGGGTGTGTAATGACTACACAATTGTATATTTAGGTTACGTTTGGCCTACTCATTTCCATATCATTTAAAATCAAAGCCACAGGGAGCCACTGGAGAGGGGTTAAAGACCCGCATGTGACTGCAGAACCACAGGTTGCCCCCCTGTGCGCTAATGGAAAAAGATAAAATGAGGGGGCTGAATGCCTTTGGTTTGTGAAGTGATGAGACAAAGGTGAAATTTCAGAGAAAATGGTCCCAATTTATGGACATAGATGTGATTGTAACACATTTGTGTAAAAACACAGTTAAGCAGGGTGTTCCTCAAGTGGGCTGCATTGTGTTTCACGCTGTGGGTTTTACATCAAGTTTAAAGTTCAAAGGAAATCCATTTAGGTTGTAGGCAGTGCACAGACCACCTCTGCAAAAACATCACACAGTATGATGCAGTTTACTGCGGACGTTGTTTAGACAGTGGCTAACAGTAATCACCCACGCTTTTTTTTTCACAGTCTTGCATTGCCGGCTGCTGAAATTGCTGAGAGTAGTGACAGTGGTTGTGGTTCTTTTTACTGGCGAGCCCCCCTTATCATATCATCATTTTCCTTGCCTGCTCACATTATGGATGGATTTAAGCTTTTGACTTTGCGAGTATAAGATAATCTATGTATTATTTTTGTCACTTCTCCTCCTGAATGATAAGACGGTGCTGTATTTTTGTAGTATGTTGTGCAATATAAAATCAGATTGGGATCAGACTCTCTCTCTTTCAGTCTACTGTATGCACCCTGTGGTCTTACTTATCAGTTTCCTGCAAATTTTCAAAGCAGATCTCAAGTTGTGTAAGTTTCAAATTGCAAGTTAAGTCTTATTTGGGCGTAAAGTCTTTTATCAACGATGTATAACCATCTTATTTATACTTCATCTTTGTACTTTTAAATAAATACATACTCCTCACACACTATGGAAATCATTTGTGCCGATATTGACCTCTATTTTAGCAGCTGTACGCTCCTCAAGAGACATTTAACATATTTAGTAAGACATATGGTCTTGGCGGGTGGCGAGTATACATCCTCTTTTAAAGGCAACAGCATTGATGACAACTCACAAGCCTTTATCTTGATGCTGGGTTGTTCACTTCCTTCTTTCTTCACCAGTACTTTAAGCAGCACACAAACCATAGATTCTGTTTAAGATGCATGCAGTTTTAGACCTCACTGCAAATTAAACAGAGAAAAATTTGGATTTTTATTTACACGTGTGGAGGAAAATAGCACATAACACACAGAATGCAGGTGCAGAAATAGTGTAGAGCCTGTATTAATACATGTCCACCCAGAGTTAGTACTAGCAGTCTGAACCTTAAGTCAGGACTACCAGAGTTCATAGCATTTACTTTTTGTCACTTGACACAAATAATACAATGGTAATACAGAACAATCTACTGCTTGCTACTAGCTGTGATTTAACGAACGATCTGACCAATAATCTAAACTTTAATTTTTAATACTTGTTATGTTATGTTCTTTCTCCTGTGCATATGTTGTATCTCACAGTATATCAGACTAGGCCAGGCAGCTTCATTTGCTTTTTCATAGACAGGAACCCTCCCCCCACACTCCACCCTCCACCCTCTCTCTATTTTTTTTTTTTTTTGCTAACTTGCCACAGCACAGTTTGATAGACAAGAAGAGGAAACAGACGTTGTTCCTCTCCTCACAGAGATGGTTGGTGGTCGCCTTCGTTGCCTGACCTGCTTCCTTATGTGCAGTTCTGTGCTGCTTATTGGGGTCTGCTTCAATGGTACGTAAACCACAGCTCGCTAGTTTATGGACTTTTACTGTTATGGAAACTGCCCTGTTTTTTGCCCGATGCACTCTGTCATGTGCTTAGAAAAGAGACTGCATAATTGTGTGCGCATGTCATTTGGACATGACGTGTATTCCTTGGAAGACGCTGCTCTTGTGTGTTTGCAAGTGCAAGACGGTGTTTGAATAGCAACATTGAGAAATGCAACTGTGGTTTTGTTTTGCGATGTACTGATGGAGCATCCAAATTGAAGAAATTAATACAAGGAACAAACTTTTTAATGTTCAAAAAGTTGACTCCTGATAAAAGTCAGGATAATAATAGTAATATGACAAGTCCTAATATTCTCATGGTACTCGAGATTTTTTGAAACTTTTTAAAGTGGTTATGATTGCATAAATAGGCAAATTATATCTTGTGGTCTATATTTGTGTATATGCTTTGCATTTTGGTGCACTGTGTGTCAGCAAATTTCCTGCTGCATCTACTTGGCAATCTTTATGCAACTCAGGGATGGATCGTTCTTTCCTCTTTCTGTCTCTCTTCCTCTTTATATTTTAATACCGTCCAATAACTATTTATAATAGTAATATAGTAAATTCTGGTAAATCATGCTTGGTGAAACACAGTAATCGCTTAGAAAGGAACAAGTTTGCAGAAGCAGAGGAGTGCACGTAAGTATTAAAAAAACTTGCTACTTCTCCACTTACAGTTCACAGATACAAGCCAGGAATTTTTAGATATTGTGTCAACATATAGTTAATAGCAAGCACATAGTAACTTAGTAATTGACAGCTGTTTGCACTGGGAACACTTCATCATAGCAACAGAGGTTTAAATAAAGATTACATACGGACACATCATGACAGCAGAAACAAGTGAACATTTCCTGAGTATCCACCAGTAGCAGCAGCACTGACCGAAAGTGATGGCACACTGTGACTTCAGTCTTACCCCTGTGACTGTGGTGAGAGTCTGTGGTTGCAACACTTTTTCATGAGAAAACAAGCAATGGAAACCTGGCTAGCTTTACAGAGTATTACTATAACTATCAATACAGTATCAGCTGCTAATAATAATTCACAGCCACAACGGTGGCTTTGAGTTTTTTTTTTTTCTGATTCTGTTATGTTCAATTGGCCTACCTGATGCCATGGAACTAACACTATTGTATTTCCAATTTCGGCAATATGAAAAAAAAAACCTGATGTTTTTTTTAACAGGACAAAATAAGTCCCAAAAACTCACTTAAAAACATGACTCATATGAAGCCTTTTCCGATCCTCCTCCAGTACATGGTTGAGTCAGATAACTGAAAAAGTTTGTTCTAGTTAGGGAAAAGTCTATGTCATGGTTAAAGGAAACCAGTGTTGACCGTTGGCAGGAGGAGACAGGACACAAACAAATGCAGCAGGAAGACATTTTGCTTGCTGGTGGCCTTTTGAAAACAACGAGGGACGCCCACACACTTTCTGCTGAGACAATATTTATTTACGTTTCAGTGTACTGACAACCTTCATCAGGTTTTTTTTATATATATTAAAGTTTGCTGGTGGCATGTGATGATGTCATGTATGTTGGGTTATGTAATCTACTTTGTCATGTCGTCTTATCATTCATGTAATGTTGTCATGCTAATTATCTACGCCATTTTGTGTTTTTGTTATGTCATGTCATCTATGTTGGTCGTTTTTTTATCATTCCATCCTCATATACTATCTACTCTGTGCATACTAGTCGTAGAGGCTGTGGTTACAAGACATTTTGTCCTTTCTATTCCCCACTCTATGGACATTGAAGACAGTCTACCCAATGTTAAGAAACACATTTGACAGTGATTTTTCATACTCACTCACTGTTTGTGTTTGTTTTTGTGTTTCAGATGTGGAGACTTCCAGTTGTCAACGTGTCATCATCCATAAAAAAGTTGGAGACACGGTGGAGTTTTCATCATGCTCACCGACTGAAGGGGTCACCACTGCAAACTGGAAATATGGAGGGTTAGACATCACAGACAACGATAAGATTTCTCCTCAAAACCAGTTCCAGGGCAGATTAGAACTAAACCCCACAAACTTTAGTTTAACAGTCAGAAGACTGACTCTCCAAGATTCTGGTGATTTCGGTTTTCTATCAGAGGTGGATGACACACAGAGGCCAACAGTCGTCATCACTCTGCAAGTTCATGGTAAGATGCCTCTGTTTTTATTACCCAAGTGACCTAATATTTTTTTATAAATTATCATTAATCATTAATTAGTTAGTTGTTGATTGATTAATTAATACAAAACAGATGTCACAATAATGGCAGCAAAAATAATTAAACCCAGGTTTTCTTTCTGTGCTTGTGTTTTCTGTGCTCTCCCTATCGTAGCCTATTAATGTGAAATGGTGGCGGTGTCTGATACTAAAGCCAGTAGACCTTTTTCACAGCAGCCATTCAGGTCAAATAGGGTGCTGCTATTGTGCATATTGCCTCACTGGAAAGGCTCTGCTACACTTACTGGCTTAATTTGTATAATTGGTAGCGTGATTACCCTACTATTTTATGTCAAAATGGCTGCAACTATAAAAATTCACCTTTATTAACCTCTTTGTTTATCCGTCTCTCTCTGTCTTTCAGTGAAATCTATTTACTTGAAAGTTAATAATAACTTTGCCAAAGCCTCAAGATAAGATTATTTAAACAACAGATGTTGTAAACTGTGTCCACATGTGATATCATTTCTTGGTGTCTGTATTTTTTATGCCTATGAAGTATGTCATCCCTAAGTCGGTCCATAGTCAGGAATTGCTTTTACTTATTAATTCTTAATAAACTTCCAAATTATCACAAATTAACCTACTGATTTATTATCTCTTTTTGGGTCAGATGACATTAAAATGTATTTTTAGTGTGTGTGTTTGTCGGCCTAGTTCTCCCATACATGCATTTCTTACCATTTTATATGTACACGTATAATGTATTTACCAAATTCAGCCAGATCTTAACTTAACTGTCCCTCTTTTTCTCTTTGTCTCTGTCTACTGCCTCATTAGAGCCCATAACTAAACCGCCCATCCTGACTTTCTATTTCACCTGGAACGCCGTGAACGAATCCTGTACAGTTTTTATGGAGTGCAATGCAACCTCTGACAGCAATGTCACCTACAACTGGACTGTGAGGAATCAAACCCTAAGTGGCCCCAAGCTGCAATACACCATCAGAGCACAGGACGGAGACACTGAATTCATCTGCACAAGTAACAACATTGTCAGCGAGAAGTCGGCATCCAAAATTGTGAAGTGCAGCAACGAGACACAAGAAAAAAGTATGTACACAGAAGTGATCATAGTTTATTAGTGTTGAATTGTCTTTAATAACGTTTTTATAAATCACAACTGGCGATGATGCAGAAGAAAAAGAGGCACGCAAAGGTGATTGGACATATAAATGGGTTCACTTAAGTATCTGGAGTTATATGAAAGATATCCACAAATGTATTTAGATGAGTCTTATAACAATGTGACCAGTCAGAGTGATCCTTTATGCAATTACAATCTGACTTGTGAGAAACACTTAAAATATTAAAGATCCCCTCTGGACATAGGCTATATAAAATAGTTGATTTTCATATGATATGATTTTTTCTTTTTTTTTTTTTCAAACGGCAAAAAACAAAAGCATAATTTTCAAATTAAAATCCTCAAATAGGCACCTATTCTTTAAAGTTCTTTAAAAATTCAAGAATCTATGAATATGCAAATGTTAATTTCTAAAGTTTTCCTGCTGGATACAAGATGTCTCCTACTTCACTGTAAAGTCCATTCTCAGTGTATGTGCACTGGTGAATTCACATTTCTACATCACACTTGTATAATGATTTGTGATATCACAAATCATGCTCATAGGCCCTGTGTCAAACTCTGCACATAGATCATTCTGCACAGTGAAGATCAAACATCCTATTATAGGAACAAGAAGAAGTGGGAGGGGGAATTTAATATAGCTATGATAAAACTGCAATACTTTTAATATCTTTGATTATATTTTGTACAGTATAGTTATTCATGCCATTAGGTTGTGTGAAGCTAATAAAATAAATTTTGAACATTCCAAATGTTAATTCCAGATGTTTCCATTTAAATTATGACTAATCAAAACTCAAATTTAATATACCACCAATGTAGTTCTGGCTTGTAAGGACAACTATTAGAGGATGCACACAGAGGAAAGCATTAGCCAAAACGCCGTACCTGGTATTCTTCTGCAATGTAAATGAGTGAAGTGAAATTCTAAAACTCAAAATTGTGACCCCGATTGCTTCTGTTTATTTTAAAGTGTGATAAATTGCATGTGGGTTAAACCAGTGAGATATCTCAGATTATATCTGTCACGTGAATCTTGTCAAGCTGCTAAAAGATAAAAGCAGCCTGCCATACCGGATGAGAAGACCATAGATGATGGTGATGATGTTAATTAGTGTGAACATACTGTTTCAGTTTGACTTGAGGTTAGATACTGTTCTGACTGGTGCTCTTTTATAGTAAAAAAGTGACATTTCTGTATTTAACACATTTAAGTTATTTGTTTTTGCCCTGATTGTTTTATTGTCTGTCCATTGCTGTTACTCAGTCATAATAATAACAGTGATTATACCTATTATTTGCAGGCACAGTAAACTTGATCCTCATCGTGGGTGTGGCAGCTGGAGGTTGCTTGATGATTGTCATTATAGTTGGAATAGCGGTGGTGTTTTGTCACTGCAAACCAAGTGAGCCAGGTAAGAAACGCTACGCTTGATAGCAGTTTGCCCCTTTTAACTTTATAATGGTGACATTTTTTCATGCTCCCTGAGGTTTCCATAATGTATAATTGATTTTTGATGTTGATGTTGCCTTGTTTTTTCTTTCTAACACCAGGTAGCGACTCAAATGACCTCACCGTGTACGCCGATATCACTGAAGTTACAAGTGAAGATGTAAGTGTGCCCCAAGCAGTTTCAATAAGAGTGCAATTCTTGTTTTAGACGATCAAATGCATGTTTTACCCACTTTGCTGTTTCTCCTGTTCTCTTTCTCTCATGCATGCACATTTAAACTTTCAGAACATGTCAATGAAGCCATGCTCAGTGTATGAAACCATTGACAACAGAGTCAGCACAGTCACACCTGGGGTAAGAGCAAAACATTTATCTTTAAGTTTCTTGCAGGTGAGACTGAATTAGTCCCTGTAATTTGAGTTTACAATATACTACTACTACAGCTAAAGCATGTGGCTACAGTGTACTTTTACCTCCTTTATACTGATTACATGATGCCTTTTTAGAATTTAAGGATTGCTTTTATTGAAGGGTAAAAAGTGCCAGCAACATTATTGGAAAAAAGTAACTCTTGTATGGAATGACTGCTGACACAAATATGGTTGGACTGTGGTCACTAGTGGTAACTAGAGGGTGATGATTAATGCTAAAGTTAAGTACATCAGTAACACAAGTAGAGGTCCGTCACCAAGTCAGTAAAATTCAATTCAATTCAATTTTATTTGTATAGCGCCAATTCATAACAGAAGTTATCTCAGGACACTTTTCAAATAGAGCAGGTCTAGACCGAACTCTTTAACATTAATTACAGAGACCCAACAGTACCACCATGAGCAAGCACTTGGCGACAAGGGCAAGGAAAACTGCCTGTTAAAAGGCAGAAACCTAGGACAGATCCTCCGGCTCTAGGTGGGTGGTCGTCTGTCTCGACCAGTTGGGGTGAGAGAGAGAGAGAGAGAGAGAGAGAGAGAGAGAGAGAGAGAGAGAGAGAGAGCGACAGACAGACAGACAGGTTCACAGCAACAACAGTATTGGCAATGGCAGTCAAGCAGGACCATGGCAGGAGGCTCCACCAGGATCCATGAGAACCTGCGAGACGAGAAAGCACAAGAACTCCGGGGAAGAAGTGGAGTTAGTAACATGCATTAAAGGGACATGAATGAGTGCAGAAAGAGAGAGGAAGAGAGTAGCTCAGTGCGCCATGGGAAATCCCCGATAGTCTAGGCCTATAGCAGCATAACTAAGGGATGGTTCAGGACTCACCTGATCCAGCCCTAACTATAAGCTTTATCAAGAGGAATGTCTTAAGCCTACTCTTGAATGTGGAGAGGGTGTCTGCCTCCCGAACCACAACTGGAAGCTGGTTCCACAGGAGAGGAGCTTGGTAACTGAAGGCTCTGGCTCCTGTTCTACTTTTAGAGACTATAGGAACCACAAGTAGCCCAGCATTCAGAGAACGTAGTGTTCTAGTGGGGTAATAGGGTACTATGAGCTCTTTAAGATATGAAGGGGCCTGACCATGAAGAGCTTTATAGGTGAGGAGGAGTATTTTAAATTCAATTCTACATTTTATAGGGAGCCAATGCAGAGTAGCTAGTACAGGAGAGATGTGATTTTTTTTCTAGTTCCTGTCAGTACTCGTGCTGCAGCGTTCTGAATTAATTGGAGCGTTTTAATGGACTTATTGGGGCAACCTGATAATAAAGAGTTGCAGTAATCCAGCCTTGAAGTAACAAATGCATGGATTAGTTTTTCTGCATCTGTCTGTGATAGTATGTGTCTAATTTTTCTAATATTACGTAAATGAAAGAAGGCAGTCCTAGAGGTCTGCTTTATGTGGGAGTTAAATGACAAATCCTGATCAAAGATAACTCCAAGATTCCTGACAGTGGTGCTAGAGGCCAAGTTAATGCCATCTAGAGTGACTATATCTTTAGACAATGAGTCTCTAAGGTTTTTGGGGCCAAGAACAAGAATTTCGGTTTTTCTGAGTTTAACATCAGAAAATTGCAGGTCATCCAGGATTTTATGTCCTTAAGACATGTTTGTAATTTAGATAATTGATTAATTTCATTGGGTTTGATTGATAGATATAACTGCGTATCATCTGCATAACAGTGAAAGTTAATGGAGTGATTCCTAATAATGTTGCCTAAAGGGAGCATATATAAAGTAAATAGTATTGGTCCAAGTACAGAACCTTGTGGAACTCCATGACTAACTTTAGTATTTATGGAGGATTCATCGTTAACATGTACAAACAGAGAACGATCTGATAAGTATGACTTAAACCAGGTTAGGGCAGTTCCTTTAATGCCAATTTGATGCTCAAGTCTCTGTAAAAGAATATCATGGTCAATGGTGTCAAATGCAGCACTAAGATCTAATAATACAAGTACAGAGACAAGTCCATTGTCAGAAGCAGTCAGAAGGTCATTATTAACTTTAACCAGAGCTGTCTCTGTGCTATGATGAACTCTAAATCCTGACTGAAAATCCTCAAATAAACTATTGTTATGTAGAAAGTCACACAACTCTTTGGCGACTACTTTCTCCAGAATCTTAGAGAGGAACGGGAGGTTAGAAATCGGTCTATAGTTGGCTAAAACCCCTGGGTCAAGAGTAGACTTTTAAGAAGGGGTTTAATTACAGCTACTTTAAAGGACTGTGGTACATATCCTGATAATAAAGAAAGATTAATCATATCCAGTAAAGAAGTGCCAATTAAGGGAACAACTTCTTTAAGCAGCCTAGTTGGGATCGGGTCTAACAGACAGGTTGATGGCTTCGATGAAGAAATGATTGAAGTTAACTGATGAAGATCGATTGCAGAAAAACAGTCTAAATATACATCTAAGTTTACATTGACAGAAGTCCCTGAACTTGGAGAGCCACTGATAACTGTTGATGGCAGTTGGTGATTAATTTTTTCTCTAATAGTAATCATTTTATTATAGAAGAAGCTCATGAAGTCATTGCTACTTAAGTTTATGGGGATATGTGGCTCGATAGAGCTGTGACTCTCTGTCAGCCTGGCTACAGTGCTGAAGAGGAACCTAGGGTTGTTCTTATTTTCTTCTATTAGTGCTGAGTAATAGGCTCCTCTGGCATTACGGAGGGCCTTTCTATAAATCTTAAGATCATCTTGCCAATTTGAGCGATATTCTGATAATTTGGAAGAGCGCCATTTCCTTTCAGATTTCCTAGCTATTTGCTTTAACTGGCGGGTTTGGTGGTTATACCAAGGTGCTAGTCTCCTATGTTTTAATAATTTCCTTTTTATAGGAGCGATATAGTCTAATGTTGATCGTAGTGAGCCTGTAGCACTATCGACAAGATTATCAATTTCAGAGGGACTAAAGTTGTTATAGGACTCTGTTAAATTCAGACATGGCATTGAATTAAACACTGAAGGAATCTCCTCCTTAAATTTAGCTACAGCACTGTCAGATAGACATCTGCTGTAGGAAGTTTTGCCTAATGGCTTATAATCTAATAGTATGAATTCAAAAGTTACTAAATAATGGTCAGATAGGAAAGGATTATGTGGGAAGACTATTAAATGTTCAATATCAATGCCATATGATAAAACAAGGTCAAGAGTGTGATTAAAACAATGAGTTGGTTTATTTACACTCTGACAGAAGCCAATTGAGTCTATTAATGATATAAATGCATTACTAAGGCTGTCATTGTTAACATCCACATGAATATTAAAATCACCTACAATAATTACTTTATCTGATTTAAGGACTAAGCTTGATAGAAACTCTGAAAATTCAGATATAAAATCAGAGTACGGTCCAGGAGCGCGGTACACTATAACAAATAGAACTGGCTGCAGTGTTTTCCAGTTTGGGTGAGAAAGGCTAAGAACAAGGCTTTCAAATGAATTATAATTTAGTTTAGGTTTAGGGTCCATTAAAACGCTCGAATCATATATAGCTGCTACTCCACCTCCTCGGCCTGTGCCTCGAGGAATGTGAGTATTAATATGACTGGGGGGTGGATTCATTTAGGCAAACATACTCCTTGTGGGACAACCAGGTCTCAGTAAGACAAAGTAAATCAATATCATAATCTGATATTAATTCATTCACTAAAACAGCTTTAGAGGACAGAGACCTGATATTTAACAGCCCACATTTCATTCTCTTATTTTGTGCTACTGAGGAGTTGGTTTTAATTTTTATTAGATTTTTATGTTGAACTCCTCTTGTTTTTATTTCTTTAAATAATTTAGGTGGTCGGGGACAGACACAGTCTCTATGGGGTTTTGGGTGGGTGACTGTTCTAAAGAAAGCGCAGAGAAGTGTGTAAGACGCAGCTCTGCTTCCTGGTCCTAACTCTGGACTGTCAGGTTTTAGAAATAAACTTCGCCATATTTCTAGATAAGAGAGCCGCTCCATCCAAAGTGGGATGGATGCCGTCTCTCCTAATCAGACCAGGTTTTCCCCAAAAGGCTTCCAGTTATCAATGAAGCCCACATCGTTTGCTGGACACCACCTCGACAGCCAGCGGTGGAATGACGACATGCGGCTATACATGTCATCACTGGTCACATTGGGGAGGGGTCCGAGAAAACTACGGTGTCCGACATTGTTTTAGCATAGTTACACACCGACTCCACATTAATCTTAGTGACCTCCGATTGGCGTAAACGGGTGTCGTTACCGCCGACGTGGATAACAATCTTACTGTATTTACGTTTACCTTTAGCCAGCAGTTTTAAATTTGATTCAATGTCGCCCGCTCTGGCCCCAGGGATGCATTTGACTATGGCCGCTGGCTTCGCTAACTTCACGTTTCTGACTATGGAGCTGCCAATAACCAGAGTTGGTTCCTCAGCGGGTGTATCGCTGAGTGGGGAAAATGTATTAGAAACATGAATGGGTTGGTGGTGAACTGTGGGCTTCGCCGTTCTAGTCTTCCTTCGCTCAGTCACCCAGCCTCCCTGTCTTCCCGGCTGCTCGGGAACTACCGGAGGATCTACAGAGCTAACAGAAGCTACCTTCGGTCGGACCGCACCGGCTACCGGGGGCTGGCTAACTATAGCGGCTAAAGATATCTCAGTGGTGCGGTGCCGTTCCTCTAACTCACTAAGCCTCGCCTCCAGCGCAGTAAATAAACTACATTTAATACAGGTACCATTATCTTTAAAGGAGGCAGAGGAATAACTGAACATCTGACACACTGAGCAGGACAGAGGAGAGGGGAGGGAGAAGCCATAGCTAACTGCTAATGCTAATGAAACTAGAGTGTATGAAAACTTTGAAAGTAGTGAAAAGTCCCTAAAAGAGGGAGAAACTCCAAGTGTTTACGTAGAACTAGTCTACGTTTAAATGTTAAGCGGGTAAATAACCGCTGTAACGAGTAAAACTAATTTATATTTAGCGTTCACTGACAGAGCTACAGCACCAAACAGTGTCACAGAGCAGGAAGTAAACCGGAAGTGAGTCAGTACGCTTACCGTGCACGTCCAACCACCACTCAGTAAAATGACTGTAATGTCAGTTACACCGCTATCTAATTCTCAAGTTTTCTAACTGTAGCTAAAATTAGCAACCATCTGCCACTGGGCAACGTTCGAATAGCAAAATGTGTATCGCTAATGAGCTATTTGTTATGTCATCTTTTAAAAGTTGCATAATATCACTCCAACATACATTCTGGTAGGCGGGTAACTTGAAGATTTGCTAGATAAGCGGACGTCGACGGTGACAGACCAGATCCTGAACAATTATGCTTGTGACATTTCTTCCTCATATTGCAAAACACAAAGTGGTAGTGTGTGAATTATTGTTAAAATGTGTCTTTTCTACATCCTTTTTCCCCACATGTAGCCTCAGACTGTGTACGATAAGATCCAGCTGAGTCGTGTGAGGAAGGCGTCGGTGTCGCCATACCAAGAAATCTCCTAAAGGGTCACAACACAATGTATAGCTTCAGATGTTTGATACTTTGCTCAGAACAACATTTTATTTAGGCATTTATAACTGTTCTACTGTTGGCCTCGACAGATTGCACCTTCCCTTTATTGTATTTAAGAACAAAAACTTTCACTTCGAGGGCCCAGGCAGTAGCCATTTTAAATAACAATTTTGTAAATTCTGTAAATACAGAGATAATATTTAAATATTTTTTAAATGTTTTGTGTGTTTTGTATGTCCCCTAATAAGTACTGTACTATGCAAATCCTTTGTGGATGTCATTCCTGACACCTGCTTAACAATGTTTCATCCCGTGCAAAGGTCATATTAAATTCCATTTACCATCATTACTGCAACTGTGTATTTTTCTATTGTTTCTTGTATCAAATGTATCAAACTAGCAGAAGTAATATGATGTATGTTAATGTTATGACATGCAACATTAGATGCATACAAATGCATCACCATTAGCGTCTCAACTTCCAGCTACACTGATATTGTTTTCTAACTTTGCTGGCTGGGTGGACCGATAATAAATCATGCTCAGGCATTATTCTAACTGTCGCACTGTAAAGAGTTTTCACACATTCAATTCAATTTCACACATCATTGCAGGAAAATCTGAGTGTTAATAGTGTCTAATAATCTCAGACCTGAGCTGTGATGTGCAAGAAAGACAATAATACTGAGGACAGGCTCAGTTTTGTACAGGGGTTATAAAACTTCGACTTCCTCTCTCACTAACACTTCGACTGTGGTTCAGAGGGCGGGTCACCCACTAATCGGAAGGTGGTTATCGGAAGACTAGAAAGGTGCTATACAAGCACAGGTCCATTTCCCATTACTTCACTCTGATGCTCAAGGCTCCACCCACTTTCATTTACAAAACTCTGGTTTTTGAGGTGTGTTTCTTAATATTACAATCTCCCATATATTTTACACACTAAACGGCACTAAGGGAAACTTCTAGAAATGTGACGAATGTGCTACACATGTAAACCTGTATCAAAATTGTTGTGATTACTTAGTACATTGTGATTTGTCTTAGATGACATTGTAGCTGTCATATTACCTGCAACAGTGCCATGTTGGTGAAAACAATTTGATAAAATTTATATTTTTTGCCTTTAACTAGTTTGACAGTGATAGTAACATGTGTTACTGTTCCTGGTGACCACATAAATGTATTCACACTACTTCTGTTAAAAGGCTACATTACATTTCACACTCCTCACAATGACACTTGACAATAATTACAACACACACTTATATAAAGTAATGTCTCTATCCATACAAAAGGTAGCTAAGTGAATGCTGCTTCCCTTCTACGTGTGTAGTGTTTGGTTTGTCCATTCTGGGCTACTGTAAAAACATGGTGGTTCAAATTGTCTAAGGCAACCCACTCCCTCAGTAAAAAAAACAGCTCATTCTGAGGTAAGAGAAACACAGAAATTCTTTATTTTCAGGTGATTATACACAAAAAAATACACACATACAATACAAATCTGTATGTGTGCGTGTATATATACACACATACACACACATATATTATCGTTTACATATGTACAATTGAAGTCTTCTGGTTTTCATTTTCCTACCCTGTGTAGATTCTCTGAAAATACATTCATTTCTTTCATTGCATGTTTCATTTTATAAATAAACATACAACAATTGCATGTTGTTTATTTATTTATAAAATGAATATGGTACACAAAATTTACTGAGTAAGGAACGAGTGGAGGATGACCAGACAATGACTGAATCATCAATAAGAAGTTATAATTCTGAATGAAGGTCTATATAGTGGATGGTGATTTATTAAAGCACTGACTGGGAGATACTATTTTAAGGAATCATCAGGTAATGATTACTTCATAAATATCAACCATTTTCTTTGTGGGTGATTCCTGATTAACTCTGAACCAGCTGCTGAGTGGCACAAAACTATTAACAACTAATAACTTAATCATCAGTCTCTTTTTGTGACCCCTCAGGAGAAGTAATCCCTAATTAATGATTATGACAAGTAACTACAGAGTTTTTACTGGTGAATTTAAAGATTCTGAATCAGAATCAGAATCAGAATCGGGTTTATTGCCAAGTAAGTTTTTACTTTTGAAATATAAGATAAAGATAGAAAGATCTGAAGCTGTACAAGAATGATATTTACAATGATTCTCTAGCTACTTGTCATATAGTCCCCCTGTTGTAGTTATTCACTACCTACTTATTAATGATTAATAAATAAGTAATTACTCACTAGTGCATGTTTTTAGCTTTACCAGTACAAAACACTTATGGAGACATCTTCAGACATGATGTTGTCCTCCTGAAAACTTTTATGGCTTGTTCGTTACGCTTATTCTAGGGAGGAGAGAGAAACTTTGTCATTTCTCAGAATCGTGACATTGTGTTACCATTCATTTCTACAAACGCTCGGACAGTCAAAACGGATACAGAAGCTTACCTTAAGCTGATGTTTCATGTTTTGCTGAAAACAGTTTTCCTGGAAAATAAACGAGAATACAAATTAATTTTTGTAGTAGTTGTTGTTGAAATTTTGAACAACTAAATGAAGAACATACCTCGGACATATTCCCATGCACGTATGATTTGTTCTTTAAAAACAATACAAAAAAAAACATGTCAGCATGTTGTAATTATTGCTTGAGAACTAAACAGTCTTTATTATTACCACAATAGAACAATAGAGGGGGTCCACCCTTTGCCAAAAATGTGTTATATCCCCCCCCCCCTCCTTTTTTTTTTTTTTGTTAATTTTAAACAAAAAATTATAAACCCCCAATTTGGTATGAAACCTACTGATTTATTTATTCTGAGCCAGGATAGCAAATGTTGGTGTTCTTATCCTGAAATTGATTATAGCTCCTCCAGAAAATGTAGACTGTCTTATACGTTTTTTGTAAAATTGTTGACTGCGAAAAATGTTAACTGATGTGCTTTGCATTGCGCATTTAAAAGCATGAAGGTTTCAACGTTTGTAAAAATTCTCCAGCACAAATTTGTCCTTTGCAGGAAGACCAGAGATGACATACATGCAGTTTGAGCCTAAATTGTGGAAGGGATAATGGCCAACGAGGCATCAATTTTCAGGAAGTAGTAGATGACGTGGAGTAATGACACTGTTCCCAAATCAATATCAAGATTTTCACGAACAAATCATAGGCCATGTGTACTGGCCGGTGCAGCCTGAACTAGCGAGTTGAAAAGCTAATGGGATGCGAGATGATCGCTTGCCTTATCCATGAGTTCAGAGGGGCAGTGTAGGGGCTTGTGTGTTACAGATGCCATCCTGGGGTGTTCGGAGGATATAGAACTTAAGGACTGATGCGATGCTCAGTGTTGTGAGATATGTTTTTAAGATATTCAGGTTTTGTTTTCATTAAATGTATTTCAGCGCAATAATTTAGAGTGGTGAACCGTTTCACTGGAACTACTTAGTAGGTGTCCTACATCAGGTAATGATAGACACTCAGCAGCCAATCAGAATCAAGTATTCACTTAGACCATGGTATAACAATTAATATTCTTCTCTATATTGCAGTTGTTTTAATACTGTTGTTGCTTAATGTCACAATAGACAAAGTAATTTAATGTAGTAGTTAAGCAAGATTTGATGCTTCTTTACCAGATTAAATAATATAATAAAAAGTTAAAAAGTTAGAAAATGCTAAAGCTGTATGCTACCTCCACTGTGCGTCTTTGAGCAAGCTTAAATGAGATTGTGACCTACTTCTGGAGTAAGAGGACAGAGACGAATTTTTAAATAAGGATGATGTTTTGCTCTCACCTTTGAAACAGCATATCAAAATGACTGGCACTAAAACTGTCAGTATGCCTCCAATGAAGAAAGCAAAATGTCTACACCTGTGTAGAATTAGTTGTGGCTGAGGTGAAGGCCCAGGCTGAGGCTGGTCATCTGAAACAACAAGGAGGAGACAACAACATAATTAAGATAACTTGTTGAATTTAACCTGTTACAGCCCTTGTATCTCAACATACTGTTACGTACAAATGTTCATTTAAGTCCATTGTGTCCTTACCATCACACTTTAAAGTGATGTCATTTGAGGTTTGGTCCGTAGCCCTTCTGGAGATGCAGGAGAATTTCACATGTGTGGTTTTGGTGTTGATAAATGCTAAAAGTGCAGAGTTGCCAGAGTTGCTCAAGTCAAAGACATTCACAATCGGAGGTTCGACCTTCCAGGACAAGTCAACACCTATCTCAGGTGAAGAACAAATCAGTCCCACCCAGCAGCCTCCTTTTGTAGATGTTGTAGTGACGTTCTCTATGTTCGGTTTCTGGGGGAGTTCTGCAAAAGATTAAATTGGAAATGTTGATTAGATGTAATCAATGTTTTTGTTAGGGACATGCTGAACTCGGTGAGAAAATCGCAATGCAAACAGCTGAGTAAGAAAAAGCATTAAAGATAAGAGGGAAAAATAAAGTCTGTCTCATTTCATTTAGGACTGTTCTACCAAGTCAAGCTGGCTAACTTTGAAAATACAATGTGTGAAAATACTTTTGTTCACATAAGCATATTTAACCGCCTGACAAAGCCAAAATTTCAGTCAGTAAGCTAGTGACACTTACGTTTCACTATGAGCTTAACCTTTTTTACGCTGCTCTGTCCTTGAGTATTGATGAGGTTGACACTGTATTCCATGGCATCCATTGTGTTCACATTACGGATCATCAAGTCACCTAATGAATACAGAAAAAACTGTCAAGAACAGAACAGATACTGTCAAGAGAGAAATAAAGTAACGATCTGTTTGTCTTACCTGAGGTGATGTTGAGTCTAAGTCTCCCTTTATACAGGTAGAACCGCTCAGTAACTTTCCTCCCATTGCGATAGGTGGCTATCCAAGTGGTGTTGGAAAATACTGACCACTCAATTTTGGAAAGGGTCCATGAAGAGTTGGCCTGTGAGGGCAGGGTAACAGTATCCCCAAGGTACCCAGGGACCTCGAGGGATTCAACCAGTGCCACTGTAAAAAAAAGAAAAAAAACAATTTTAACAGCCATTATACCCAGTTCTCTCAGGTTTTATACAGAAATGAGCAGAAGAAAAAGCAACACTTACATAGAAACAGCTGGTTTGTGCTTACATTCAAAGATAGTCGAGACTACTAAACAACAGTTTTAGTTTCAGCAGCATTTGGTCTTTCCATGTTTTTAACTGCACTGTAAAAAACAACCTATAGAATTTACCCAATAAAACTGAGGTAACAATTTGCACTCACTTTGTTTGGGTATATTTGACTCCATATTTTGAGTAAAGATTACCTTAAATCAAAAGCTATGAAATACTCAAATAAATTAAGTAAAGTTTACCTCATATTTCTCAGTACATTCCACAACTAATTACTCATTAAAAATGGGTAATATTAACCCTTGATTCTTAATAGGTATTTACTTAATAATTACTATTCATAATTTATTAATATGAGTAATTAACTGTTACTTATTCAAGGAAGGTAAGATTTACCCAAAAACTTACTGTCAGACAGTGATGATGTCAATGTTTTTTATTCACAAAATCACAAAATATTTCCACCTGAGGATAAATTATTGCTACAGGGAACAAGAGTAGAGCAAGGGAGAGATGAAGCACCTTCAAAAGTGTTCAAAAGTGTTCAAAAGGTTTAAAATAATATGCAACGTTCTGCACAACAGGATCACAAAACATTTCAAACACCTGTTTTATAATAACATGTAATAATATATAATCCATGTTGTTCCTGAACAACTAGACAAATCATGTTTACTTGTTTGAAGTATTTAGGATTGCTAAAATAAAATAAAATAAAATAAATTAAAAATTACACAACCCCATCCAACTGTGTCCATCTACAAAAACTAAGTGCTATGCTCTGCAGAATGCTATGTATATGAAGCAAGTTCCTGAAATTATATGAATGAAAAACCTCATTAGAACAAGAGGGGAAACGTCAGATATGCCAGATCTTTCATATAAACAGTTAATTCCATGAGCTTGCTTTTGAGGCTGTGGTCAGGGAGGAGAAGAGGGGAAGAGGAAGAGGAGAGGAGAGAAGAGGAGAGGAGAGGAGGAGATCAGAAACGTCAGGTATGCCAGAACTTTCACATAAACAGTTCATTCCATGAGCTTGCTTTTGAGGCTGTGGACCTTCTTAAGAAGTGTTGTTCCGTCAAGCTCCAGAAAAAGTTTCTGGAATACTTCCAAGGTATTTTTCAGTATCTTGGAATACTCAAGGTTGAGGGCATAGATCAATCCCATGAGCAGCACACATGCCTTGGTTCGATTTCCACACCCAGTCAGCACTTGGTCTCCCTCAATGACAATGGCCACTTCTGCTGGATCTTCCTCAGCCATGACATCATGGATCACAATGACCTTAATGGTTTGGATTGTGTAGTCCTCACAGTCCTCCATGTTAAAAAGAAAAAAACAAAAAACATATACATTTTAATTGAAATATATGATATGAGGTGATGTTCCAATACATTTGACTCTTATCATCTTGTCAAAGGAATTTATTTCAACTCAAGCAGTTTATTTTGTATTAATCAGCAATTCAATAAAAGTAGGTGTCATTAAAAGGCTCAACATTCCACAATTGGTACATCTACATTTTCCATGATGCAATGTGGAAAGGAGAAGAGGAAGAGGAGAGGCGAGAAGAGGAGATCAGAGAGGAGAGGAGAGGAGAGGAGAGGAAGAGGAGAACTTCACTGCAAATGACATTTTAATGCTGTCTTTTAGAACATCGACAGCCACTTGAGAGTGAAAATATATATTTAGAAAATATATTTAGCGGATGACTAAAGAGAAATGAATGTTAACAAGATGCGCGGAAAGTAGGCCTACACTGCTCTCCATCAACACACTGTGGAGGCTCTGCACAGCAAACACACATAACGGTATGATTGCTAATATTGTAAAATACAGAACGCGAACAAATTTCACCGCAAACCCTACTTTCCGACTGTTAAAGATTGTTGAAGTCCCTATACGGTTATGTTATTTCCAGCGTTTTATCCCGACGTTAGACAGTGAACAACCGGCGCTGTCGCCGATTCAAACTTTCGGTTCAAGCATGCATGGCACGTAACACAGAAACACTCCGACTACAACTCTTGTGAAACAACTCGACAATTCCTAAACTGTCCTATGCATTCGCGATATTGTACACAGCAACATATAAAAGATTAAAGTGAGTTTACCTTCAGTTCAGACGGCAGCGGGAAGCAGCAGGCATCCTTCAAAAATTCTAATCCCGCTCATCCAGGTCTGATGCATGCGCACATCGCAGCGTAGAACCGGTTGCTTTGGGTAAATGTTACCCTATTTTTCCATGTAACACTTGTTACTGTTAAAAAATGGGTAGTGCAGGTATAATTTACCCATTATTTTATAGTTTCTTTGATAACTAGAATAATCTGGTAAATTTTAGACAATTTGCATGGTTTATATTTACAACCCTCAAAAATCCTTTTTTACAGTGTGCTCACATGGAGGATTTAAAGAACAGAAGGGAAGGAGTCTGATCTGTGAACTTTACTTCTAAATAAGGGTCGGCATAATTGGGGAAATGTAGTCTTCCTATTCAAAGATAGGAACCATTCACTTCTAACAGCCATGCTAGCGTCCCTGTGAGAATGGACTGAAGCACAGGAGCATTTTAGACTAAATGCTCACATAGTGGACTATTAAGAACATACAAAATATACAACATACGTAGTAGCAATTAGGTTGTAGGAATAAAGAGGACATAATTATATACATAAAGTTTTTTACTTCTTCCTTCTTTTTGTCACACATGACTCAACAGAATAAACAATATGCTATAGACCAATTCCCTTCCTTTTGACTTTTAATCAAACCCAAGCGAGACATTTGAACTGATGAGTAAAAAACTAATTGAGTATTTACATTTGGTCTGTGATCAGTTTTATCAATTTCTAACCCCAGATAGTATATCTGCCTCAAGAAGTTACGTCTACTTTCTGCTCCAAATTTTCATTTCTCATTTTAAATATTTAAACGTTTTTGAAAGTTTGACACATCAGCTGCTGCTGGTATTTTCATTCGATAAAAAAACAGGACCTACCTTGGAACAAATGTAAGAGTAGAATTTGAAGCTGCATTGTTTCTGACAAATGGTGGAAGAACTAGCGGAAGAGAGGCTTTTTGAAGCTTCCTGTTTTTTTTTTTTTTTAAATCCAGCAACACCAACACCAATCACATGCTGCATGACATAAACCATTTATTACAAGCTTGGCCTGGAAATACTTAAACAAGCATTAGATTATTAATCATGTATCGGTCTTCCAGGAGTAACAAAATATTTTTAGTTGTATGATCAATTCTACACTCCCCTCACATTTATTCTCATATGGAGTATTTTTTTGCGTAAATATGCTATAGATTATTTCTTTCAAACATGACTGAACAATAGAAAGATGTTTTCTATTATGTAGTGTCCGTATTTTGAGTTATGCCATGGAATGTTTTTTTTCTTTCGTTTGGTGGATTCCAGTAGCTATAGGTAAACGTTGTTGTATAATACATTTAGAACACAATGGAATTTTTTTTACACGTCATTCTAGGTTTTCATACTCCCACTCGGTGACACTTCCTGTCTTCACCCCCAATAGATAAAAAGAAGAAGAAAAACTGGAGACAGCTGTGACTCATATGGGATGATTTATTAAAATCCTTTTACATCAACTCAGTCCTCAAAAAAAAAAAAAATAACAATCTTGCTTTTAAAGATACCTTTCTTCAGAGACAAGTGTTAGGAGCTTAAATCGAGTACAAAAAAAGTGATCAATCGAAAAACAGGAAAAATACAACCTTAGAAAACTGCATTGAAATGTAAACGTGAACTGCTTGTCAGTGGCACAACAATCTAACTGTAGTGTATAAAAGGACATCTTTGAGCGACAAAAGACACAAATGTGCACACGTATCAATCCATGGCCGGATAAGTCTGCTGGGGGGCCCGGTTTGACCCCTAGTATGTACAGCAGCGTCATTATTTCTCCAGACACTCAGGAAACCAACTAGTACTCTGTGGAGCGATTAATCGGTTAGTTCATCAACAGAAAAGCAACTATTTTAATAATAAGGAGTTTTTAAACGTTTATGAAACAGTCTCAGTTTAATACTGATGCTTCTATATGACCTACATAAACAAATAAGACCATCAGCGAGAAGACTGGCTATTTCTATAAAGTTATTCCTAATGCCACCACCTTCCACCAGGTCGGAACACTACCACTATTGTCCACTGGGACCGCCATAAACAACATAAAATTAAAAGTTCCTTGTAGCTGCTTTAAAGTACGAGTTTACACGTCAATGTCTGTTCAGAAGTCTTGGTGACAACTGCATATGTCAAATAAGTCGTATTAAGCCTTTTGCGGCTCGAGAAATGAAGTATGAATAAAAGTAGGAAAAAATGCCTCAAGTGATGTCACTTGAGTCGGCGTCACTTGGGGTTGGAGATTACAAGTTTGGAAATGGAAAATATCTGTGGGTGTGGAGTTTAAAATAAGTGAGCTTACCAGTCCTCTGTAAACGGCTCCTCATCTCTGCCTGAGACTCGAGGCTACATTAGCTGCTACTAGCATAACATACCCAAATATCTAACTGTGCTGTGGGCAGTAGGGTTGCATTGTGGGTAATGTAGGTGTCAGGTTTCAACCAGGAAGAAGAATGTGTGGAATAATAATAATAAAAAAAAAAAGGACTGCATCTCTGGTTCTGCTGCATTCATTTTGATTTTTTTTTCACCATCCACTGCAAGGGGAGTTTCTCTTATAGGGCACTTCTATAAGACAGGGTCACACAGTCTGGTAATGAAGGTTGCAATTTAATTTATATTGTACCTTAAGTGTGAAAATTCATAAAAAATAAACTAATTTTTAATCAAATTACATAGATGGAATGACCTATGGGCTTTTGGGCCTCTCCCCACTTTGTCAAGTTGCTCAATCACACACACGAATTCACCCACTCGAAAAATATAAAAAAAGACAGTAATTAACATCAAGCTGCCAAAAAGAAGCACATCGGTGGTACTAGGCGGTGTTATCCTGGAGTGTGAAAACATCTGTTACCAGGGATACTGGACTTAAACTCGTCTCCTATACTGTGCCCACATTGTGCTTAGAACGTTAAAGTGTACGCCGTTACACAAATTTCCGTGGGTGGATTTGTAGAAAAAAGTGGTTCAACAGAACCTGAGCAGGAGATAGTTCAACAAACTGATTATGAAATACTCAGTGCATCAAGTCAATCCAGTGTTTTTTTACTTCATACTTAGATTGGTAAGTTTATCTGCCCACTTTTCAGTAAACTTTTCAGCGGAATCAAACATAGAGGAAGCAGTTCAAAAGCAGCATCATCTCCATTTGATTCAGTCAGTGAATCCAGTCAATGCACAAAAGGTGAGAGAAGGCCTGACCTTTTAGTAGATTCTTTTATAGCCTGTAAAGGCCACACAAGAAGTTCAAGTAAAAGAGAAAAAAAGAAGTAAAATTAGCTAAGAGTGAGCTTAAGTGAAGCCTCTCATGTCTGCATAAGAAAAGGTCAGCTGTACAGTGTTCCTGCTCATAAGACTATTTCCCACCGACAGTCCATATCGTACATGGGAAAATCTAATCTATAGACTCATGGGGTTGTTTTTTAACCAAACAATCAAATTCTTATCAAAACAATGCATTACATTAAATCTGTAGTGTAACACTTCTAAGAAACAGCCCTATTTCTTCAGTACCATGGAAGTTGAAAGGAGTCAACAGTGTAAGCAGAAGTTAAGAGTCAGCACTTCGGTATAAATGTCCACTTGTTCACCAGAAAAGAGGAACATGGTCAGAGATAGGGCAGTTCTGCAGGCGTGAATTTTTTTCTCTGTAGCTTCCTGACATTTTAGCCATGTCTTCTTTGCATATTTGGATGTCACGCTTATAAACAAATATAAATCATTAAAAATAACTATGCAATTCCAAAAAGGTATAAAAAAAGATACCCTGAAAGCACAAAGATTAGTAACTTTGAGCCAACATCCTTCTTCTTTCTTCCGTCCATTATTTATCACCTTCCTCCTACACAGAAGTCTCTGACTGAAGCTTCATGACAAACTTGTGGCTTTTCGGGTCAATGAACTCCTCGCCCAGGTGCAGGAAGGGGAGGGGTGTCACTGTGACGACCAGAGAGAAGTCAAGGCGTCTCAGGGAGAAGACCTGGCCTTGACGTAGAGCAGCAGTCACAGGCTCCTCACTCACTAGTGTCCACTGGCGTCCCCTGCTGGTGTCTAGGTACTGGAGGGTGGGCCCTGGGCTGAGGTAACGCTCAAGGAAAGCCTGAGACACACATGAATAGTTGCACCAATAAATACACTGTCAGAAAAACTTTAACGTAGTTTTTACATGAAGAGGACAAATGATCAGTTTATAGTAAACTGAGTTAATATACTTGTTGAAGTAACTGACAAAAAAACAATAAAAAAAAAACAAACAAATAAGATCACATAAAATAAATACAAAAATCTAAATAAAATACAATAAATTAAACACAGCTGTGGAATGATGATTAAAATATTATAGAAATAGAAATAACCAAAATAAAATAAGAATCCCTTGACACTTGTAACTACCCTCCTTACCTTGGGGGTCATGTTGTGCGTGATGCAGAACTGCAGGTGGTTGATGATGCTCTCCATGCTGTGGTAGAACTGCTGCCTGGTGGCGCGGAGGTATTTCTGCATGGCTCGTGCCATGGGGGCAAAGATGGCTTGGGCCGCCTCCCTGGGGTCCATCACCTCCCGCGGGTGTTTCGGGGAGGACGTGGTCGCCTCTTCTTCCTGGTAACGCTTGATGTGGGTGAAGGCTTCTTCTACTGCCACCACAAGTCTGGGAGGAGAAATGGCAGAGTGAGTGAGACGCAAACTTAAAGCTGTTCTAATCAACATTATACATTAAATATTACATAAGAGTCAAATGACTAATGTGAAAAGGACTGCTCGTAGCAATGAACCCACAGATATTGCAGCTTTAAAAGACTTTGGTGACTTTCGGGCAAATTCAGTCCGTATCTTTATGTGTGATTTATTATTTGTGAAGATATGTCCTCACCTGGCTTTGCGTTTGCGGACCCTCCGCTCCACCTCGGCCTCCTCGTAGTAGTATTCATTGTGGGAGTTATCTCTTCTCCGAGCAGCGGCTGCAACCATGGTTCTGGACTGCCCCGTAGAGTTATTTGTGCTGTTCTCTGTACACAGAAACACTGAAATTAAAGAGGATCGATCCATCCAATTGGCAAGAACATCCTGGGCATGTCTGCAAAGTATAGCCGTTTTTATTCAATGTATGATTTTGGGAATTTACATACCAATTAAATAATTTTAGTGGGGGAATTTTTTCCTTAAGGCAGTTTATCAATTTGTTAAGTTCTGGCTAGTATAAAATTAAACTGAAGCATTTCTGTCAGTTACATAGACACCACAGAGATGTACTGTAGATCATCTGTATCTCATTGTTACTGCAGGCGACATAGTACAATTGTAAAATATACACATGGTAGGAATTGCTCTAATGTAGAGCGGGCTGAATGGGGAAAAAAAACATTAAAGATGAAATACTGCACACAAGATCATTTTACCTTCCCCTAGATTGTACACTTTGAAGGCAGACATCTTCTTGGAGAGGATAGACTTGGGCAGATTGAGCAGGGCGGGGTTATAGACCGGGAAGTCACTGTAGTACTGGTCCAGAACCCACACAGCTGCCCGCTGAATACTGCGTTAGCGTGAGAAGGAGGAAAAAAAAGAGAAGTTAAGCATTTAAAATGGCAAAGCGCTGTTACTGGTGCATATCAGCCATGACCACCCGACAGTTTCATGGCCACTCAAAATACGCCGATAAAGGAAGTGGTGCACCACTTGAGGTAGAAACAGCCTCTGCCATTGTGCACGCATTAAGAGACATGTCTACTGATACTGTGGGAATCCCATCATCAAGCAAATTACAGTGATAAGCAGGAAAGTAACTAGAAAACACAAAATGTATATAGTTGCTATAACATACAGGAATGATCTATGACTGTTGCGGTTTTCAGCATTCATTTTCAGGCAACCTGAGCTCATTTTGTATTTATTACATAATTATTATCATCATCTTTTTCAGACTTGACAGCACCCAAAAAAAATCCTGCACAATTGTCTGTATTTGTTCTTCTAATGTTTGAAAATGTTGTGCAAGGACAAACTGTGCTGAATTTCAAGTGACTCAGGCACATGACTACTGAATTATTCATTTACTATATTTTTGCTGAAGTGCTGCCTATAGACAGACAAAAGTATCACATCATGCATCACCTAAATATGGTTGTCTAGTGCAGTCAAGCTTGCAGTTGCAATGTCACACTTCAATATGGCGACGTCTACACAAGCAGAGGCTTGCGTTTGCATACTCTTATCACAAGTAAGACGACGGTATTAGGCAGCTGGACTGATTGAAATAGAAGCATATTTGTTTAAACTCTGATGGATGACGCATAATGAAACTTTCTGTGTAGACATGCTGTAAACTTAAAAGGCTTTTAGGCTAACACCACCCACATGTTTAGGGTACTAAGTGTCGCTATTACATATCCTGGGTGCGTCTTTTAAATCATCTTCAAAGTGTCTTTGTAGTTCGTAGCATTTAGCACAAATGTAGGAAAATAGGTAGTAAATAAAGAGGTTTTTATACATCTGCTAATAACAGACAAACAAGGCTGCAAAGATAACCTCCCTGACCTTCAATTGGCAATTGTGGATTTCTCATTTGGAATAAAAAACGAAAATGAAAAAAATAAACAATGAATATTCCAGATGTTCCACAGTCCACATATACCAACCTGAGATAACCCACGTTGTAGAAGCGACTAGCTCCATCTGTGGTCCTCACAACCTTCAGACAGAAAGCAGGCTGCAGATGTCTGACCTCCAGAAGCACCAGGGCCAGGTACTGAATGAACAGCAGCGCGTCCACCAGAGATGCTGCGTATCCCACAATCCCCCTGTAGTCCGTCTCCCTGGGCTCCAGCACCCGCACCCCGTAGAAGAGCCAATACGATGCCACAAAGAGGAAGACCAATGCCAGCAGCAGACAGCGGAAGATGAAGAAGCGTGGCAGAGTGGCTCTGGGCGGGCGGAGAAACAGCGCCCAGGTGGAGATGAGGAGGATCAGGAGCTTGAAGGCCAGGGAAATGTAAAGGCCCTCACACGGTGTGCCGCAAGGTTCCAGCGTGTCCCGCCACAGCAGCTGTGGGAGGGCCAAGAAGGCCAGAGGAGTGATGAGAGCAAAGAACCCCAGGACCGCGCCCAACGCCGGGCCAAGATACCGGCGGCACTCCAGCGGCGAGGAGTCCTCAAGGTCCTTAGAGAGCCGTGTCAGGTCCTCGTTGGAGATGCTGTCCACGGAGGTGCCAGTGACCACCGTGGTGGTCTCGCCCCAGTTGTCATCCTGAAGAGAGAGAGAGAGGGGACAGTGTTGGTGATACGTGGTCGAGCACAGCTTACGCAGCTAAATGATTCAGATTTAACTCTGACCCTGTCGTCTCCTCTGGTGGACTCGGCGTCCAGCAGCGACTCCGTGGGAGCCTGGATGGTCACCGACTTGTCTCCCCGGATACCGATGTCCCGACTCTTTGAGCGATGCCTGTCCCTCCGCTCCCTGGAGGAGAAGAAAAAGTGTACAGGTTAGGGGTAGTTTATTATCCATGAATAGACAATAAGTGCCCGTTTACATATAAACCCCGAGGCACTGATTTGATCATTTGATAGCCATTGTGATCAAATGCTAATCTGGCAAGCTAAACCCAAAGCCACTACGGGTCAATTTTTATGCAATTATAGCATCTGGGGGTGCATTTCAGGGTTGCAACTAACAATTACGTTCAATATCAATTAATCACTCAATTATTTTCTATTTTATGATCAACAAAATAATCGGCAGATAATTAAAATGCATTACTAGCTGCAGCCCTTCTTGGAATACAGTACAATCTGCGGCCCACTACCTGTGTTTGCGGGAGCTTCGTGAGTGGGACGACTTGTAGGAGTAGCCCGAGTACGTCGACTCGTTGTCCATGTCGGAGGCCGGCGGTGGGCGGGGTTTCCTGGCTCCTCCTGCCCCCAAGCCGCCGCCTTTCTCCCAGACCACGCCCAGCTGGCTCTTGCGATTGCTGATGGACTTGGAGGAGAGGGCCAGAGGGAGGCGCAGCAAGTCCACTTTACTCCTGAGGGAATCTATCTTGGAGGCCTGGCCAAAGGAAAGAAAAGGATGGGGGAGGAAGACGATGGCGAGAGACGGGAAGATAAATGGTTGAAATGGTTGAGTTTGGGAGAGGCCAAAGATGGCGTGAGAGGGAGAAAGTGGAGAGAGGAGAGTGAACGGAAGGGGAGGCAGAGAGAGAAATGAGGAGAGAGGGAAGGGCGAGAGATAATTTGTCATATCAGACGGGTATAAAAGCATCTCAGAGGGAAACATACCAAGTAACAGCAACAAGAAGAGAGACAGCATTGTTAAAGTGCTGGCACCGGCAGTGTGTGAAAGTGTCTGTGTGTGTGCTTTCAGTCGCACAGGACGCGGCTGGGCCCATTCTTCCGCTTTGAGGGAGTTTTTATGAGCAAACTCAAGTGATTTGGCCCCAAGTGTGTTCTCGGCCAATAAAGGGCAATTACGCCGCCTTCTATTCTGGGCTGCAAGTCTCCGGTGTGCACGACATGCAGGAGTGGAGGCAGAACATCAGAGTAGCTCTAAAAATGTTCCAGCTCCGCACAAAACCGACATTGGAGACCGTGCACAGTGTCTCATTTATACAAATAAAGAAAAGATGTTTTATTTTTTTGTTACTTATGTTGGTTTATCTCTGTGTTTTGGGGGTTTTTTTTTTTGGGTCCATGTGATACACACTCGCCCGGATGCCACATTCCCCAACTGTCCCCTGCGGTCTCCAAGGGCAACAGAGCTTAACTACTACAATGGGGATGAATGGGAGGCTAGGGGTGAGAAAGGACAGGAGGGGGGTAGTTGCCGGGGTAACCAGACCATCAACTTTACACCCCCTCCTCTCCTTCTGCCTCAAATACACACCTCAGAAGACAGAGACACTTTAGCAGGCCCCTGCTCTGACTACGAATCTGTTTTTCCCCCTATTTTTAGATTTTCAAATGGACAATCACCCCCCCACCCCCCCAAAAAAAGGGTACTTTCCGATTTGGACGTAGAACAAGCAGACTCATAATCTAATAACAAATCTCCTCACGCTCTCAATTTGCGTCCATCTTCCACATTAGACACTACAGTGTTCAGTAACAGCTTTCATGTGATTCACACATGGACTTCTCAGCTGGGACATCAGCAAGCAGATATATTAGCGGGTCACACAAGGTTGCACTCATAAAAAAAGCTGTGAAAATGTGTTTCAATTCCAACGAGTTTCCTTAAACCTGGGGTCAAAAGCTCACATTTATAGGAGTGAAAGAGTAAAGCCACTCTTTAAAAAGCAGTCTCAGAAGGCACCTGGGACATGGTTGTACTGTGTGATGAAACCAAAACAGAGCTTTTTGGGCCATTAGACTAAACCTTCTCTTTAGTATAAGCCAAACACTGCTCATCCTCCATAATGTACCACCTCTCCCGGAAAGGCTTGAGAGGGTGGAGGAGAAACAAACGCAGCTAAACACAGAGAAAGCTTTACACATCTGCAAGAAACCTGCCACCTGGGAGAGGGTTCGTTCTCCAGCAGGAAAATGAGCCCAAGCATGAAGACAAAGCTACACAGGGATGGCTTTACGACAATGTTTATGTCCCGCAGTGGCAGAAGATGCAATAAAACATTTAAAAATGTTTCTAGTACAGGGGAAAACAACAACAACAAAAAGGACAAAATACTGGGCTAGTCACATCGTCACGCCAAGCTGAGCAGCTCATTCTCTCGGTTAAAAATGGAAACCGCACAGACCCAAGGGCCCAGATACTCAAGTGGCGTGAAAAAATTATCTTTGGGTCTTCACTGCATACTTAGAAAGCCTTTTTTTTTTCTTCTCACGAGCAGGAAGCCAGGAACCGAGAGTGTAATGGTGGAAATCTTGGGACAGACACAACTGAAGAGCATGAGAATAAAGACAGAGCTTTAATCCTTGACGTCGACACAATGCACACCGCTGACTGACTGATTTGGAGGTTATTCTTCATTTAAAAAAATACATGTTTAGAGAGCGCAGGCTTCTTCGGTTGCCTCCCTTTCAAAAACAGTTCTCTATAAACATGTCAGAATGCACAATACCAGAGATTTTAACTTTATTATTGTACCGTAAACACAAATAAAACCAACCCTGTCTCTCTCTGAGACAGTCAATCCCATTGATCCCACTATTGAGCCTCACTGCAATCAATCCACAGCTGATCGATCCATGTTCAGCATCCTCTGGGATGTGAGAGGTTTCCACGTGCAGGGCGTTAACAGGATGGCCAGGGACAGAAACTGTTACCACAACAACCAGAAGATACCAGACTTTAAATCTGATGTTCTGTAGCTGAAGCTTTAAGAAGATCCTAAAAGTACATCTGCACTTGTTTTATGAGTTGTATCTTTAAAAACGAGTGAGATTCCTCTATTTTATAATAAAAAAGGTTATAAAAGTTTGTTAATAAGTGAAATGTTTGAGGTTTGTATTAAACATCTCGTTTAAAGTGGGTGTTTCTCGCCGTGCAGCCTCAGGTGGGTGCTGCGGGGCTCAAACCAGCTTTCCCCGAGTGGCTCCCGGGGGCCTCCAGGCCTCAGGGTGGCAGTGGGCCAGCGAGGCGTGGCTGCTGCCTCAACGCTGACTCCTGCAAACAACCCAAGCCCAGGCTTCGAGGCCTTTACCAACACACACGCTCAGCAGCATGGGGGGGGAAAGAGAAATAAAAGATAACCAGTGAGCGATGTGTTAAAGGCTGCAGCCGCGCCGAGGACGCACCGATCCAACAGCACGGCGACAAAGCAGAACACACCCAGGATGAAGTGATGCCGCAGTGAGCAACAGACCGGTGACCACACAGAAAGAAAAAAAAAAAAAAACAACAACTCACAAGTGCGTGAGCAAACCAGACTGCGCGGTGTCCATTTGGCCACACAGTGCGTAAAAGTGCGAAAATGTGGATAAAGTGAAAGGAAAAAAAAAGTCACTGTGCAAACCCGGAATACGCGTTCACACCGAGCCAATCTGTGATCGATACGGTTATCTGCCAACTCATCAGTCCTCACAGACGAGTGAAGGTGGACAAACAGAGTAATAACATGTGTGTGTGTGTGTGTGAGGGGGGGGGGCAAAGTGGTGGCAAATGTTTGTTTTTTTGGGTCATTTTAACACAAAAGCTCATGTAGAACTATATACATGCTCACACACTAACAGCCCATTGTACCCGTAAATCCCTGCAGGAGACTCTTACCTTTCTACCCAAAAGGAAAACGGCTGCGACCCGCAGCACAAAGAGCAGACCACCACCACCTCCTCCTCCTCCAACACCACCTCCACCAGCAGCAGCAGATCGTTTCCGACTAAAAGTGCCTCCAAATGCTCCAAAATTCACTTTCTCCCGACTCTTGTTTGTCCTCGGTTTCCGCGCTCATTCATAAAGCGTTGTGGTTTGTAACTCGACTCCTCGGCGTGAACGCAGTGGGGGTTTTTGGTTTTTTTTTTTCCGGCTGCAAATCGCATCTCAACTCTCGAGCACCGGAGCCGCACAAAAGGCAGCGACACGCACCTCATCCCGGCGGAGCATCTGCTGTGTGGCGGAGCCCCGCTGAGCTCTCTGTGTGTGTGTGTGTGTGTGTGTGTGTGAGAACATCCAGCACCGGCAGAGAGAGAGAGAGTTCAAATTGGAGAGAGTATATCCACAGCTTCCGGTACAGATTTTCAAAATAAAACAAGATATTTTCCAGTGCAACAAACCTTGCGTGCCTCAAAAAAAAAAAAAAAAAAAAAAGAAAAGAAAAAGAAAGAAGGCGATTGGTAAAATTATTGCTGGCTTTTAACAGTTACATTACTGGAAATCTGGAAGGAAATCTGTTCAGTATGAGATACAACCTCGATATATTGGGTGGGATCTTTTTTTAAATATAAATCTTCAAGTTTTAATAAATATACGGTTTTACCACACACACATATATATAGAAAAAAACTACATTCAGGATATTTTCAAACTAATTAATATAACTGCTTATGTATTGAAATTCTGATATCTGTCCTCAACATATTGAATATTTTTGCAGCGTCAACGGCTTTTATTTTTTGGCTGAGTATGCTCAACTTCCGGTCACGTTTCCACTGTAGCGACAGTGCTGGACACATTCAGGCTTCACCAAGCATGAAACTAAATTAAACCCTATTTTTTTTCCCTTTCTTTCGACTGTCAGAGAAAAAACCCATAGACCTTTTTCACAGCAGCCATTTTGACACGAAATATTAGGTCATATTAGTTAACAATGATACTATAGCAGCAACCTGTTTGACCTGAATGGACCAGAACCACCACTTGAGTTTACCCTACTATTTCATGTCAGAATGGTGCTGTGAAAAAGGCCTATACTCAGTCTTAGTTGTTATGAACAGATGATGTTATTTTATTGTTTTTTTCCTCACTTTTTTCCTGCACTGACCCTCCTCATCATCTGTTCTCTCTATCCAAATATATAAAAGTGTCTGCTGGCTTTTTGTTTCTGAACAATTCCTCTCAAACTGCTCAATCAAAAGATTCAACAGAAGTTGAAATAAACTAATGTCACAAGTTGGACATCTAGGAAATCTGACGCCTAAAAAATTCAAAGCAGACTTAAAAAAATAACATTAAATGGTGACAAATAAATGTAAAGGTCAAAGAGTCACACTCCACATGAGTCGTTTTCTTTATCCAGTTTCTTTTTAATCTCACAAAACACATGAATCTGAGACATGAGCTCTTTTTTTTTCCTTCTGTGCAGCTAAACAATCTCACCAATTTTAAAAACAAGGGAGAAGAAAATAATTTATACATCCTTTTTTTTTTTTAATCATATCTACAAAAATAAAATCAAATACGAGGACTAAGGCTTTACAGAAAAAAATTAACATATATAAAACAAGTGGGTCTGATCTCTCTATATTACATGAGTGAACAAGGTTTATTTTTTTTTTCTTAAAAAGACACAAAATAAAAAGACAATGAGATGATAGTAAAAGACGTGTGTATGCATACAGTAGTTTGCACCGTGCAGGGAAGTTTGTTTGTGCAACATTTAAAAAAAAAAAAAAAAAAAAGAATCAGTTGTAGCTTGTTTTTTGTTTGTTTTTTTACAGCCGGTTAGGGCTTTAACGCTGATGTCAATGTACAAGATAAAACATATGGGGGAAAAAAATAAAATAAAAATAGAAATCATGGAAGATATAAAGAAACTGAAGTGTAGAGGTAGAAATTGGAGATGGAAAATGCTGTAGTTAGTAGTGGGAGGAAAGAAGAGGGGGTGTGTGGGAATGGGTTTGTCGAGTAGCAGAGGAGATCCTGATTCAACCAGCTCAACAAATAACGTGTGTGATGAACGTGCGCCCGTAGTGTTAAAACGGAGGAATCTTTTTACGTTTTGTTGTCTTTTCATGGACAAAACTTTTGTTCTGAGCTGCTTGAAAATCAGCATCCGAAAAAGGTGTCCGCCCCCCTCCCCTCCCTCAACACCTCTGAAAAGAAACTCCACTTCGGTTGAACATTTTCACATTTTAGCACAAATTCATCAAGTTCGTACAGTCAGCTGCCAAAAATCAGCTGTCCCAGCGATCGATAGCTCTCATTTGAAGACGCAATATTTATTTTTTTTTGTTCATATGCGACAGCCGAGTTACACCGCTCACCGACGACTGCTTTGGTGTGTTTTGGCTAAAGAGTGAAAACCTTCCAACGGGCAGTGAAATATCGTTTTTAATAGCAGAATCAGTGGCTGGTAGTGTATCAAAAAGTTCTTGGCTCTCGGTTTGGTTCAGTTTGGTAGTGTGTTGTCGGATTGGAAGCTGGTAAAGACGCTGGGTGACTCACTAAAGCGCTCCTCAGTTAAGTATTTGAAACCAGCTCAAATAAAAAAAAATTCAGTCCAGTGTGATCCTGCCCAGCTTGGTAAGAGAAAGAAAGAGAAGAAACGTTTAAACTGGTTCACGTAAGAACTATCTCGAGAAGAAGTTATTTCCTTGTCACAGTTTAAATACGTATTTTTCGGTCTAGTGTGTGTTAGAATTAGTTCAGGACAGCTGGAGTTTGAGGGTAAAAAAAGAAAGAAAAGAAAAGCACTTGGCTTTAGTGTCAGTCATTGCTGGTTACACATGCCTCAACCGAGGCATACAAAAACTTTTATGAACGTCGAGGACATTAAATCACTCCTGAACATGATCCAAAAATAGTTAAAGGAATAGTTTTTGGGAAATACTCTTCTTGCTTTCTTGCTAAGATCGATAACAACTCCACGTGGTCGGGCACAGTGACTCCCGTCTTGTCGTGACTGCGAGGTTGCAGAGACTCCAGTAACTGATGAGATGTAACATGAATGAGTGAGCTTTAGAGGTACTGGTAGGTTAACCTTTGGACAGAGCCAGGCTAGCCGTCTCCTCCCGTTTCCAGTCTTTATGCTAAGCTAAGCTAACCAGCTGCTGGCTCTTTATGTGTATTCTATATATTTAAACAGTGGTATCGATCTTTGCAAATAATAGCATTTTCCAGTCAAGCTATTCCTTCAAATGTTTGCTTGATCCAACTGTGCTGCAGTCACAGGACAGTTAAATATAGCTGTTATACTTGGACCATGTGCGTAAACTTGAGTTTGTAAAATTCCATTTTACAAAACTTTTCCCAGTTAATATGAGTTGTTCTGTGCAGGCTGGGTGGGGGGCGGGGCGGGGGGGGTGTCTTTCTGGGAGGCTACTTGATAAAGAGCACAGTCATTTCATAGCTTTGGATGTGGATATAAACACTATGCATGGTATGACCACTGGATCATAGGAGAAGGGGTTTGTTGCTGGTTCACAGTATTCACCGTGCTATTTACACACACAATACGCTGGAGCGAGGGCTAAAAGGATGCACAGTCAAATCTTTAAAAGTGTAGACAGGCAATGTCAGCGGTGATATTTGGCAGCAATTTGATTGAGTGACAAACAGGTCTTCAGTGAAAATTTCAAGTTTCCGGGTTTGGATCAGTATTCGTCCCGTTCCCTCTCGCTCGTCGTCGTCAACATTGCCTGTCTCGAACCTTGCCCCGAACACATCCTGAATCACCCAAAACCTAAAACATCTTTACATGATCAGAACACCTGTGTGAATCCACTGAGCTTGTTATTTTAAAAAAAAACAACAAAAAAAACTGAATAGATCCCTGTATGCCTCTGAAGCAGCGCTGAAAATAAAACCTGCCAGCATTTCAGTAGTAAACAGCGCAGTAGTGTTTCCAGAACTTAAAATGAACAATGAACAATCAAGACGAACCACGTTATGATCAATATGTTGCACTGAATATGAATATGATAATGTAAGCGTGATAATAACTGTAGTGTTTCTGAATGAAACGGTTAAATGCTGTGTGTGTGTGTGTGTGTGTGTGTGTGTGTGTGATATTGGTTTCCTTACCCAGTGCAAATAACCTGAATTATATAGACACAGTCCTTCGGCCGTGGTGGCAGGTGAACTCAGTGTAAAGCAACCAATGTGGGAGGAGGGGGGAGAGGGGCCCCCCGGAGGCCAGTGGCATCTCCAGTCCCTGATCCGTCCACTGTGGAGGACGTACGTGACAGAGGGATGCATTGTGGGTAAAGTGCAGGGGTGATGGGTCCCTCGGATTTTTCCTTAAATTAACATTTCAACACTTTTCTGCTCCGCTCCTTCAACCAGCTCTTTAAAAAGCAAGACGTACAACTCATTTTCCTTCACAAGTATCCAACATTTTTTTTTCCCCACTTTCAATTCTTCCCAACTTTTCCTTCCTCTTCGCCAGTCAACTTGTCTTCTGCCTTTTTTTTTTTTTTTTTTGTTCCTTCATACTTTTTTCCCTCACTCCATCCTGGACTCCCTCATGTTCTGGTAGAAGTCAGAGGTTGTGCTGACCCCCTCAGAAATCCCAGTGAGTCCGTCCGGCATCCTGGTGTCCCAGGGCAACAGAAAACAACAACGAAACAAACAGCCATGGTCCTTCCTGGGCTCTGTTCCACTGGCCAGTGCATGCAGGGACGAGGGGCGAGGGGAGGCACGGCTGAGGTGCCAGAGTCTGACGGTGGGTACATATTGGTGCCTCCATCAAGATTGGGTGACATGTAAATCCACTCTGCAACGATGTTAGAATCCAGTCGACTGAATCTTGGGCTCTGCTGGGATGCCCTCTTTGTCTGCTTGGGTTGAAGGAAAAAAAAAACTGTATTTAGTATAGAAAAAATCGTTTTGTTAAGTTTTACAACGCAAAATCCGAGCCCCCTCACCGTCTCCTGATCCGCGATCCAGTGATGGTGTTCTGGAGACGGTTGCCGAGGGACACGGTTGGTCCTCTGACTCCTGATTGACAGATGGCTCTCTGAGGGTTTTCAAAAGCGTGTGATGGGCCTTCTCAATTTCCTGCAAAGGGGCGAACATTCAAGAGAGTCAAAATGAGGGGCAGAACATCAAGCTTAGGTAGTGAAGGAGGAGGGGAAAACATTTTGTCAAATTAGAAATACGAGAATATCCTGCTTTATAGATATGTTTGGCCCTGTGGATAACTTTGTTGCTTGGTGTTCAGGTTTCAAAAACTGGACAAAACGTTCTCACAGAGAGATGTATGAATGTGATGAAGGCAGCAGTGGCGCCACGACAGAAAAACAAAGACCCCATAGTATAAATTAAGTTAACAATCTAGTTGGGTAATCTAAGCTCCAGTGTTTTTCTCAGTTTTTTCAACCAGATGATGTATGCTGCATTCATTACATTCCCCTCCAAGGCTGTGGCGTTAACTTCTCCTCCCTGAAAGCTGATCTCTGCTGTTTACTGCAATTTAAAACAATTAAATAAACAATGTAGGGGTTGAATAGAAGCCATTAAGATGGACTGCAGGGAAATCTTCACTTCTCATAAGACACACAAAACGAAGCCAGGTAACACACCGGTTCACGAACAAAAAAAAGTTCAAACTGTGGGTTAAAACAAGTCGAGAGTCGATGGAAACGTTGCCACCTGAACACAAACTCACCTTCAGCTGCCGCAACTTGCTCATCAACCCCTCAATCGTGTGGAAAATCTCGTCCACGTTTTTGATCACGTGGCTCTGGTGCCCCGCCTGCGATTGACCCGTTTCTTCTTCCTGTTCCGGTTGCATAGCCTCCGATCGGTCGGGCGCGGGGACGCAGTCGGACGTTTCCTCCTCCGGCTGCGTCTGTGGTGACATCACTTCCTCGAGAGGCTGAGGGAAGTGGCTGGCGGTGGGGGTCGGGGGGTCGTCGTGGTCATCGGTGATGCTCTCTCCTTGCTCTGTAGGCATTACCAGGTAGAAAGTGTTCCCTGGAGCACAGAAATGTGATAACACAAAGTGTGCCGGTGAGTAACTTCAAGGGTAAAATTAAGGCCAACTCTTAAGATTATAAATTATATTTTATATCCATTATCTTGATTAATATTACACATAAATAAAGGAACGTGCTTGTCTCATAAAAACAGCACTTGACCGATTTAGTCATCATTACCCTGCGCGGTGGCCTTGCCTCTCGGCTTGGATGATTGGTCGGAGGGGAGGGCGACATCATCAGTGATGTCGTCAGGGACAGAAGAAGAAGAAGAAGGACCCGCAACCACAGCTATGCACAGAGGATAGACGTGTGACAGGAAATAAAGTGTGTGCGGAAGTGTGTCGTACGTGAATAAAAGAGTGAGGGAATGAGTTGATGTAGGAGCAAGTGGGTTGTCGTGTTGTGAAGAGCAAGCCGACACAAGAGAGAGAGAGAAGATAAAGTGCGTAAGAACCCAAACAACGAATCACCGAATGCAGAGAAAAACATGCAGAGGAAGGCAGCCATCAGAAACTTGATCAGATTTGATCCAAAAAACAGACAAAAAGCACACGGAGCTGAATTCACTTTCAGTTCAGCCAACAATCAAATATTTATCTCAAAAGAAACAAAAAGGTTCATAATTGGGATTTATTTTGAAACAAAAGCTTCAAATTGTATCTGAGAATTGAATGACCTCAGAGTGATCAGCCAGTCGAGCCCCGCTGAACAATTAAATCAAATTATCTGAAAGCTTTTCTCTATCCGATCCTTTACCTTTTCTCACGACCTGAACGCTAGGCTGCTCGGTGTCCGGGGGCGGAACCTCTTCAGGCTCGGCCTCCCATTCGTCGACGCTGAAGTTGAGGACCGTCTCCAGAGACTCTGGCCGCTGTCTCTCTGTGAACGAGCTCCTTTCGTTGGTCGTCTCGTTAGTGGGCGTGTCATCGGAATCGTGGCTCCAACCGTCCTCTTCTAAATCCCGTAATATGAGCTGCTTTAGTGTTTCAACTGTAGACGCATGAAAACAGCAAAAAGGAAAAAGAATAAACAGAATTTAATTATACATGTTACATTACAGGTTTTGTAGAAGTCATGAGGTTTGTTTTTCATTCCTTCTCACCGTCTTGTAAAGCAGCCTCTGCCACACCGGCAGCTTTCCTTTCTGATTGGTCCGAAGGTGTGTTGGCTGAGAGCACAATGTCGTCGTTGTTGGAATGAGTCTCCATGGAGTCCGACGGCTCCGTCATGGAATTGTCTGGAAGATTTCAAACAGTTGGAGGTGTGACAAAGCCCAAAATATCGAACTCTGTTTAGCTTCACAAATATTTGCGGGCAGTTGAAATACTCAGGTCTGTTGATTATAATGGTGGTTGTTACCTGCATAGACATTACTGCCAGTTGAGACTGGGGACGCACTGCGTAGACTGGGGGACCTACAGAAAATACAAACACAACAAACACTAAGCATATGCAAGGTGAAGAAAATAAGCATATATAAAAAAAAAAAAAAAAAAAAAGAAGAGAACACACCTACTAGAATAAAACTTAAAAGTAACACACTGTTTATTATTCATAGAGATAAGATTTACTCACGACAGACGCATGGATCCGTGATTGATCAGGGGTGATGAACCATCTGCCGATGAGATGGTCTTTTCTAGTAAATCTTTCCAGCTGCAAAACAAAAATCAACAGTCAAGGCAACCTGCAGACATACGGCGCAAAAAAACATAACATAACATAGATGCTTTGTAATCCTGCTTAAGGTAAATACCAGTTGTAGAAAAGAGCTTACTTGTTTTTCTCCGATGACGTCCCAGCCACCAGTTCGTAGATCTGCCTCTCTGTGGTGCTGATGATGTAGAGGGCTTTGTTGTCTGGAGAGAAAACAAAAGATTTACACGTGTGACCGCGGCCGCACACACAAAAAAAAATCTATTTTAAGATTTGCTTTCTGATGTGTGACCACAGTCTTACCTGTGGCTACTGAGCGGACCAGCAGCGAGTGCAGCTTCACCAGAGGGCTGAAGGAGGTCTTGCTGTCTCCGCTGCCTCCTCCGCCTCCACCCAGCCAGCGGGATGGATATCTGAGCTGCAGCCGGTCGTCTGGGCCCCTCTGTAGAAGGACCAGGCAGTCTGACAGCAGCAGCGCTTGAATCTCTGATGGAGGGATACAGAGACGTGATTAAAAAGGGCATAAAACCAAACTCATGAGACCGTATGTGTCCACACAAAAAGTACTGACCTATCTGCTTGTCTTTGTTGACTTTCCACGTGAGAGGACCTTCATGGATCATTCTCTTAGTGGATAAGTCCAGACTCTGTGAGAGAGAAGAGTAAAAAAAAACAAAAAAAAAAACACATTTAGGTATAAAAGATGGAAAGCTCATATGGGACATGGTTGGTATCCTTCATTGCAATATGAATAACGTGAACAAGGGAGGAAGGTTAACCAGCATGAACTATTTGGCCACCTTGAATTGCGGGGCGGCGTCCAGCCTGCGTTGGTATTGGCTGAGGCGTTGCCGGTGTTCCGTTTCCCTCACATCCTCGTTGACAGCCTGCAGTATCCCTCTGCAACACGCCTGGGCGCGCTGAAGTGAGGGGAGGTCCGATGAACCCGCTAAACAACAAAACAAGAATACACGCCTTAAAACTCCTGTACTTTTTTAGTGCATGATTTACTGTGTTGATGGTACACGATGCATCTGCTGAATCCTCACCCTCTGTGTGTTTAATGATGTTGTCCAGCAGCAGAGGATACTTGGTGAGTCTCTGCATCTCCGACACCAGCAGGTCTTTGAGCTGCAGCCTCCGACAGTGGGGACTCGCCTCACACTCCTGAACAAATGTCAAACACATAAGCACATAAAGCACAAAGCTACAACTACTCATACAGCAGTATAATATACACAGCGTGTGTGTGTGTGTATGTACCTGGATGATGTGCGCGAAGCGAGGGTCTTTACGTTGTTTGTTCTTGATCAGCTCCAGGGCCTGAGATTGCTGGCTGCACAGCTGGGACGCCTGTTCCTGGAACTCATCTCCAGCTGCATCTTCAAACTACAAACACACACCACTGTTAAACACACCATATTATATATTCATGAACACCTGGGATGAAAATGAGACGACGCAAACGGAGTTGCAATGATGGCGGTAATTATTTCACACACCCTGGCCAGCATAACGTCGCCGATGTCCTGAACGATGGGAGTTTCTCTTCGCTTCTTCATCGCCTCGCACAGACTTGCTGCAAAGAAGAGTGACATTCATCATCGGTTAATTTCAAATACTACCAATAAGATAATCCATATCGCCCTTAAAGACATAATTATATGATCCAAAACAAAACTATTTGCAATCATAGCATGGGAATTATTTCACACTGTATACTTCCATGTTCTCTTTATGCTCTAAATTAAAGCGCAGAATACATATTGACTCAGTAAAGCTGCAAGCAGATATCCAATTTAATAGTTACGACCTTTGCTTAGTATTTGCTTCACTTATTATTATTTACCTAGCAATATAAGGGCTTGAATACATGTTGATTCAAAGTACAGCTCACTTTATTGTGCAAACAGAAGAAACAGAAAACAGTGACATGAAAGTTCCTTAATTTTCCATATTTAAATTCTCACTCTTCTTAAAGATTGATTTCTTAAATTGGAAAATATCTTAAAATAGTATTAGAAATATGCTCATATTTATCCATAGCCCAAAAACACACACACACACACACAGACTGACCGTGGAGTTCATAGACCTGGGGCAGGTTGGGGAAGATGCAGGCGAGCTCATCAGAGTTCAGCACAGACCTCATCTTCTGGAAAAAGACCTGGTCCAGGACCTTCAAGGTCCGCAGGTGAGACGCCTCAGTGGTGAACAGCTCTGATGATGGCGAGAAGAAAGTAGCAAACAGATAATCAACATCAATGCACCTCCATGTTACTATTAGACATTTTAAAGTAGAATATATTTAATGACGACTGTGGAGTATGAAGTAGTTCTTGACTTGTACCGTATATGACCGCCTGTCTGTCCACTTCCCTCGGACTGAGCGTGGCGAGGAGCTGAGGAGGAACTGTGTCCTGCCAGTTCTGACTGTCGTACACGTCTTCCTCCAGCGCCGCAGCGTCTGGCAGCAGCGCCAGCGGTGAGTCTACACTCCTGCAGAGTCACACACACGGACACATAAACACAGGTAAGGGAGTCTGACATGCACATGAGAGACAAACAGAGAATGTCTTATACCAGCATAGCTACTGCAAAAATAAAACTCCTTTGTGTTCACCTAACATTACGGGGAGACTTGAAACTGAAAGACGCTGAAAGCTGACGGTTCTTTCTTGTGAACCAAACAGTTTCATCATCAAGAGTAGTTTAACAGCTGATCAATCATCTATGGGGGTGACACGGAAACTCACCTGCGTCTAGACCGAGGGGTGTATGGGGGTGTAGGGTTCTCTAGAGACCTGAGGTTGAGAGAGAGTGGAGAGAGAGAGGGCGTGAGGCGAAAACCTATACTTCCAGGGGTAACATCTGGGGTGTTTGGGATGTGAAGCTCTTATTAAAAGGGGAGGGTTTTGAAGGATGCAATGTCTGTATTAATTATCTTCTTTAAGAGAAATTTGAGATGATTCTGTTTTCAAAATGGGAAAAAAAAAACCTCATCTTTACCGCGCAGAGCTGCTAGATGCAGATGACGACGCGCTGTGCTGCAACGGCCTGAGGCCCGGCCCCTCCCCGCAGTCCTCCATGTCCACGTCGCTGCGAGAGCGAGGGACAGACTCCGTCCCTGAGACGACACCCCGCCGACGCCCCTCTCCCTGAGCCTTCAATGACTCGCTACGTGCCAGACGCACTGAGACCGTAGGGCTGCAAAAGAGAACAAAAACCCCACAACATTTCACAAAGCCATTAAGGATCAAACACTTTGAAAGAGGTTCTATGAGCTCATACTGAATATAAACTCAAGGTGGACTTCAGAGCTACCTGTCCATGCCGTCTTCTCCCAGGCTGCTGGAGGAGAGCCTTTGGGGGTCAGCAGCGTCACCCCCCTCCTCTTCCGTCGTCTCCGTGTGATTCTCAAACTGCTGAATGATGTTCCTCACACTGCCGGGACGGACTGCACACACAGACATGACTTAATTGTACAGTGTAATAAAATAGCACACATGCTATCAGCAGATAGTTGATATGTATAAAATGAGGTGGAATCTTATGTACAGTAACTAATGTTTGGTGAAAAGGAAATTTTAACCAAAGAGTAAAAACAAAAAAGTGCAGTGACAAAAAATATATACCTTCGGTGGGTGACAACGGGACATGGAATGCTATAAAATCAAAATGAACCAAAAAGAAACCATGAAATCAGGACAACAAGACACAATGAAAATTCCATAAATCAATAAACAAACCTGCAAAAACAATAAAATGACAAACAGAGGGCAGAGGGAAATCAATATGGTCTGACAAACACAGTGAGCGAGAGCATCACACGTGTTAGCGTGCCTCTCATGTGGTGTGCCAGTGAACCAATACTGTCAGCTGATAATTACTTTTTCACAGATGGATCTGACATTCTAAATACTGATAATGTTCTCATGAGACCCAGAACAATAAACTATATTTGTAAACCTCATGTTGCATGCATGTATTAGCATTTTAGCATTCTGACAATGAATATGGTTATAATAATGATTTAGAGCAAATCTGAATCAGAAATGAGTGTGTGCGTGTGTGTGTGTGTGTGTGTGTGTGTGTGTGTGTGTGTGTGTGTGTATTTACTGGACTGGGATGTGCTCCTGGGTTTGCCGATGTACTTCAGGATGGGATTTCTCTTTTTATCCTCTCCATCTTTCTCTTTCTTGGTACCACTCAGCTGTGGAGAGAGGAGCCACGTTTAAAGTGCATCATTTTAGCTTCCACTTGAACGTAGAAACACACAAATCTTTTGATTTAAGCATTTCTGAATGTGGAAATACATGTACGATCCATTTCCATTTCAGAAACGGCAAAGCTTCTGTGGAAACCACATTGAAAAGAGAAGTCAGACGGGGTTGCAAGTCTTCTACAGGTGAGCTCTAGATAAATAATACCTCAGTGATGTACAAAGTGGCACCGCGGAGCTCACACCTCGTATAGGTATAGCAAGAGAGGACCAGACCACACAGATGAGCTAATAGAGCTTTACAAAACTGCTAAAAATAAAAATAATGCAATTTTCTTTTTTGCCGATAGTGTAAAACACACGATACTGCAGAAAGGATTTTGCTCTTGTATGTTCAAAAAAGAAAAACAATTTGAAAAAGTAACAAGATGCCCATGTTTACATTTGCAGGTACATTGACATTTACATTATTAACTACATTTGCAGAAGTGTGGTTGCAACTTGCAACATCTTCTCCTTCTGTAGAAAAAAAAAAAAAAGACGACTTTTCGGAAGGGCTCTTACCTTTTTCGTCTTTAAGAAAGCGAGCCACTTCTCCTTCTCTGTGCTCAAACCAGGGAAGACCTTGGAGTCTCTTAGCTTGATACCAGAATGACGCAGGTACAGGAGCACTGCCGACGCCAGAGGAGAACTGAGGGAGAGGAGAGAGGGGGCGGAGGGAGTGAGAGAGAGCGAGGGAGCGAGAGAGAGAAAGAAATAAGACAAACATGGTGGAGGGAAACGTGAGGAGAATAGACCACAAGGGGAAACAAACAAAGAAAAGGTGTGAGCAAGAAATGAGCCAATCTCTCAGACAGGTGTTGCTTTTTCAAATTATATTCCCCTCCGACAGACGAGACACGTCTTTTACCTTCTGTCCTCTTCGTGCTTTGATCTGCAGCGGGAACAAACAGAGAGACATAAAAAGGCGGTTAATTCCCCTTCACGAGAAATAACAGGCTTTCAAAGAGATATCCAGTTTAATTCCTCAGAGTTATATCCATTTAATTCAGCCGCAAACGATGTGAGAAACAGATTGTGGTGCGGCAGTCATGTGACGGGAATCGGCCCGTGTGTGCATGAAGTCAAAGAAATAAATGTCATGTGGTTTACAGGTTTTGCCGCTGTGGTAATGACCTTTGTTATGGTAGCTTGGGTGAGCTCCTTCTGTCGCTTTGTAATAACTATTTTATTGGGCCTCAAACATCTGACCCTGTTGCTAGGCAAACCTGCCTCAACAGTCTGAGTGTGTGTGTGTGTGTGTGTGTGTGTGTGCGCGTGTGTGTGTGTGTTAATATTCGCTTTAGGATTAGAGTTACATGTTAAAGCAAACCAATGTATAATTATTTAACAGGTTGATAATGAAAATGTTGGTCGATATTTTTTGTTTTATTATTTGGTCGGCATAAGAGTAAAAATATATTTAGATGTAAAACAAGCTGATCATCTCTGGTTTGACATCAACTTGTCCAGAAAACGAACCCGTGCCCTCGCCATGAACCTAAAACTTTAAAACAAAAATTTGCACAGGAAAAACATGACGCAGCAGTACTTCAGTAAGTTGCAGACTCACAGTATTTCCCAGAGGGCAGTGACCTGTCTGTCAACCACTTGTCTCTCTTTCATCGGGTCTCCATCCAGCTGCTGCAGGTCTCCTTCTCCAAACAGAGAGCCAAGACCCATCATCTGCTTGTTCCTATGAAACACAAGTTTAACAGGTTATTATGAACAGTAGAATATGGTAATTGAGTCAAAGCTGACCTTTATGGTCATTATTCTGCCTCAGAACAGGGACACAAGCCCTAATTTTCACTGAATAACCCCCCCAGTATTAATGTTTATCAATGTGAGAAACAAAATCAATCTTAAGTAATATACCTGTAGTCCTGTATCTGGTCCTGGATGTCTGGCAGCACCTGCTGCTGCAGCTCAGACAGAGGTCCTCTGATGTCCTCCTGGGCATGAAGTCGACTTTCTGAAGGAGAGATGGACACAACACAATGTCAGTGGGTACACTTCTGCACAAGCTAACATAATCATTACATCCATGTGGCTCATCCTTTGAAATAAAATCAGTCACAAATCAAATTCCTAGTTTTCTTTTTATATCTCACATGAAAGAAAACCTTACAAATCATCAAAATGGAGGCACGAATATCAATATGAAAATTCAAAACGCGTAAGACGACAACTCAACTAGCTTTTAGTTGTCTTACCTATATCTGTGAGGTATTCCTCTCGTACTTTGATTTTCAGGGGCTACAAGGGAAAAAAGAAAAAGAAAACACACGCCATATCACTTTTATGGGAGGATTACAGTATTAACATATTGCACATTAGCAGCCAATACTGGGATATAACAGATAAAGGAATACAAGTTCAAATCATTAAGGCAGGGTGGTACATACAGCATCTGGGTCCAGGAAATGGGAGCAGATCTGAGGTGCAAGTGCGCGGGCGTCTTTAGGACTGGAGCCCAGGTAGGCCTCCACTGACAGGTAAAACAGCTGATGTAGACACACGCAACCATGAATGTCAGAAAGCAAGCGCAGATACACAAACTGCAATGTCTTCCAAAAGTACCAGAATACATTTAAAAAGGTTACATATGAAATTTAGAACATTAAACGAAGCTAATAAAAGTACAACGCAGACTGACCAGAGGGTTGGGGTCCAGAAGCTGGGTAAAGACGTATCTCATGAACACGGCCATGTGCGCCGGTCGCGACTTCAATAACTCAATGTCCTGGAACGGACCGTCCATCTGAGAGAAAGATTGGAGAAAATACGAACACTTAAGTATAGATGGAGGAAACGGGGCAAAGTATTGAGGCTGTAAAATAAAGACTCCGCTGGATGCACATGAAAATGTCTTTCTCACCTCGTTAAATGGATAACCGCCATCCTCTTCATCCTCTTCCTCTGGGCCGATGATCTGGGCCTTTCCGCCCTTTGAACACAAATGCGCACACACACAGATTTAAAAAAATCAAACAAACAAACAGAAAAAACAGAAACTCTTAGTCACACACTGGAGGACAGCAGGTCCAAGCACGTCTGCTCTTTTCATGCATTTACTGTACGTGCGGCGCTCATAGCAGAAGAGTCGCGATGGCGTGAAATCTGAATCGAAGGCCGTGGTCATAAATTGTTTTCTCGGTCTCGCTGCTTTGTCACACACATTTAAAACAGCTACGTTCAAAGACCGACGGTGCATGACAGAAATGGAGAGGAACGGATGAAGAGGAAATAGCCGAGCTACATGTCAAAGTAGTTGTTGTATCATAACTGACTCTGTCGTACTAGGAAATAGACTACACGTGTTTTCTTTTTACCTTACTTAAGTCATTAATTATTAAGTATACTGTTGGATTTGGTAACATTCACACGTCAGCTAAGCATGTGTTAATATGTCTTTACACTGCGTGTGGCGAATCTCAAAAATGAATGCGAGTGCGTGTGTCCATCTCACCGAATCAGACAGGGTGTGTGTGTCGGAGTTCTGCCGTCGGTGTTGGGGGGTCCTGAAGGAGGATGAGGGGGAGGAGTGGGGACTCTCAAAGGCCTGGGGAGGAAGGAGGAGGAGGAGGAGGAGTGGGAGGAGTGAGGGAGGGAGGGAGGACGAGGGGGGACGGGATGAGTGGGACCATCTTATACACAAACACACATACAATCTCACCAGTGCGGGAGAAGACAGGACACTGCGGCCTACCTCCGTGTCTCCTTCGCTTGAGTCCATCGAGAGTCGACCTGCCAAAGCACAGAGCAGTTTTACACCACTTATAAAGCCGCTTAAACTATGACCAGTGGTTTACATTGGAGTGTATATGCTATTTTTACCATATAAAACACAATTTAAGACAGCACTTTAAGAAGGATACTGACGTGTGGCACCATCAATTATTATTTGACCAATTTCTGTGTATTTTTGGCTGATATACAGACTAATTCAATCAGGAACTGTGCATGATCCAACCCAATCTCCGTAGCACTGAGAAATTGAATTAAAAGATAAACAGATACAAACCTTCTCCTGCAATGACGTAGCTCGTGGCAGACTCTGACCGCGTGCCCTCCTGTAGTAGCAGGATAAAGCATCAGTTATTTTTCAGCACTGGTAAGTAAAGGTAAATTATCATCATGGACGCTGGATTAATTGTCTTTTTGAGCCAAAAGCAACCAGTAGAACAGGCTGTAAACACTGACTTAACTTAGAATTTAAAACTGCATGCAAGGCAAAAGGAGACAGGTGAGAAGATAAATAATAATAACAGGATCTTTCCTCTTGAACATAACTGAATTAACTGTATCCAATCAGGTGACATGACAGGTGAATTTGAATATGTGAACATGTGGCCTGGTGGGTGACATAATGCTCCTAAACATTTGCAAATCAAATTTCCTATGCTGGTAAAACAAGAAGTTATATATACAGAGGGGTTTTTAGTGAGTATAGAAAGTCAGAGTCAGTCACAGGTGTGTCTCCTCACCAGATCTTGCTGAATCTTGACCCTGACTTGGTGGGCTCTCCTCTTGGCACTTTCGATCCGCTCCTCCAATGACGGCGACGGGTTCTTCAGCTGCTCCTCCAGCAAGTCCTGTAAATTGGTCGGGTCTGGTTATCAACAGCAGACTTTAGCTGCAAAAATAAACTTGTAACTCATCATACAGGTAGCATGATGCAATAAGAGATATTTGCGTCTACAGGAAGATGCAGTCAGGGATCAGAAATGCATCTTAGAGCACGGAGTAAAACACCGGGATGGCTTATTTGTTTGTTTGTGTTTGTGTGCGAGTGTGTCTACCTGTAGTTCGGCCTCTTCCTGCTCCAGCATTTTCCTGAGTATCTGAGTGGCATGTTTATGTAATTCTGGGTCCTAAAAAACACATTTACAACAGAAATAATAAATCATTTAATGATGCCAAAGCAATTATAATATTTACCTACACATTGTCCATTTTAAAGCTGAGCATTTGTTTCACGCTGATGGCTGCTGGGAGTGTCCACGAGCCAATAGTAATAATATAATTGAATATGTAATTTAATTCACCTGTAGTGGTTTAGGTCCAGTGATTCTTTGGGAAGGGGTGCTGCTCAGTCCAGAGGGCAAGGGTGGAGGTGGAGGGGGTGGGGCCTCCCCACCCAGAGACTTTCTGTGACCCGGTGCGAGGTCAGTGGGGAGAGGCTCTAAGGGCAAGGAGGCAGTTGAAGGGGGTGGTCCTTGTAGTGTCAGGGCTACATACGGTCCAGCTGTGGGAAGATAAAATGTGGGGACAGAATCGGATAAACACGGGCAAAAGAACTGAAACATAGAAAACACATGAGCATCATCTTACAACATCTTACAGCAAATACACAGAAACAATCCAGCTTATTTCAAACTTACATTTGATGAGCTTTACCACCTCCTGATGGGACATGGAGGACACCAGCGACCCGTTCACCTGGGGGGGTGGAGACAGATGGAAAAGAGGAAGTTCAACAACACAAAAAACAGACAGGAAGAACTCTTAAATTCAGTGTCCGTGGTGGAAAGTAGTAAAAACCTTTATGATTCTGTCTCCTTCTTGGACCCCGGCCTTGACTGCTGCACCACCTGTAAAGACGAGTAAAGACATACGGATGAGTTTTAACTCAAATGTCATGTGCGCTACAACAAACAACTTATTTATCACTTCCCATTTCTATGTCATCATATATTTGAAAAATAATCTCCAAAATAAGCTGCTGTTGTAGTTTGTGATTTGATGGAGCACCTTTAAAATCATAAATCAACAACTATGCGTTTATAAATTGTAAACTGTATCACAAGTTTTTGTCATTTCTTTCATGACAGAAGAAATTCAACACATAAGCTGCGCACATGTCTCACCTGGTCGGACATTCTGCACTAGCTTCACTCTCTCTCCACACACTGTGAAGCCAAACCCGAGCTGGTCCTTCTGCACGACCACACACCTCTGCACAAGACCGGGACCTGGGAGAGGAGGGAAGAAGGGTTTAAAAAAAAAAAGGTGTTTTGGGGGGGGAGATATATTAAATGATATGAAAATAAACCAGTGTGGGAAGTTTCAATTACCCGTACTCTCGACAGGGATGTCAGCCGTTGGCTCCCTCTGCTGGGTGGCAGAGGATTTGCGCTCCGAGTCCCCGATGGTCAGACTGCTGAGCCTGGGGTTGAGAGATGAGAGAAAGAGAGGTTTAGCGTGAAACAACACTAAACCAGGAGATTTAGAAAAACAGTGGGAGGGCTGGTTGGGCTGGGAGAAGGGAGATCTGAAGGGGATTCACAAAAAGAGGAAGAATTTATTGAATCAAATTCACTGGAACAGGCCAAAGGGGAAAGTGGGGAAGTTTCCAATAAGAGACAGAGCAACGTGAGTGGAGAGAGGGAGGTCAGAGGCAGAAGATTTGAGGGAGGCGCACGGTCAGATAATGGTGGATAGAGGGAGTGAGAATATGAAAAAAAAATGCACGAGAGGCAACACGAAAGCGGTCGACAGGAAAACTCACCAAGCGGCAAAGGGGCTGAAAGCGAAGCGTGACAGAAAAGAAGGAAGGAGGAGATAAAAAGGGGGAAAAAGGGGGGGGACAGAGAAAAGCAGAAATTCAGAATGAAGCCAAATATTGAAGTAAAAAGCACACAGAGAAACGGACCAAGAGTTCAAAACATCCCCACGCCCTTTATACTCTACAGATTGTAAAACACTGAGAGCAGCTTGACTTGCAAGAATGTATTTATTTAAGGGTGTGTGACGCAAGGGCTCGCAGTGTAAACACTGAAGTGATTTAGTCCAATGACCGGTCGGATTATAGGGACAATTCACCAAAACCAAAGTGAAACCATCCAGATAGATTTGTTGTGATTTACTGAGATCTGGAGGTATTGAGCAATAGGTCAATTAATGTACTAATACTGTAAGTATTGTCAAAGGAAAAAAACACCAAACTTTCACCGCTTCTAGCTTCTGTAATGTGAGCATTTATGCTTTTGGGGTTTGGACTCTTTGGTCAGACACAAGCAATATGAAGACTTCACATTAGATTCTGGGAAATTAAGATCCATCTATTTTTTTTTTTGTTGGTTTATTTAACAGTGACAGTGCACATTAATAACGTTTGATGTAAATGTGCAAAAGTTAACTCAAAGGCTAATTCTATCTCAAACACATATAATAAAACAATAATAGAGGAATTAACTGATCGTGAAATGGATAATTAGACATATGCCTTAACAAATCTCAATATATCAAACCAAATCTATCTGAATGGATCGATTTACTCTGAGTAAGAGCAGACGACTAAGTTTAGATGTGTTTTTTTGCCCTTGTACACCTAAGCTTGCCCAGGTAGGCGGAGTCAGTGCTGGGCGCTCGTCTGCCAACTCCACCTACGCTGCCGCTTCAAGCCCGAGTGCCTTTTGAAATGTGCTGCCGCAGCTGTACAATCTGTAGGTGTCATTAACCCCAAACCCTGACATAAGCTCTCACCTGAACAGGTGGGCGTTTTTCTTATTGGCTGCCCTGCTGTCACATGACACACACACACACACAGACACAGACACAATAGTGGGCACGTGCACAAGAACACACACAGGGGGGAAAGAAGTTGACAGCAGCAGAGACAGGAGAGACACGTGATCAAGACAGAGCTCAACAGATGACCACAGAAACACAGTGTGGGTGAATGTTGTGATGGCTGACAGTAACAACAGGATGAACTACAGTACACTGAGTTTTAGCAGCGGCAGAGCTACACACAGCATGAACAACATGAGATCCAAGCAACAAATAGACACCGAAACTCCCTAAACAATAGGGATGGGGATGTTTTCGAATATCTCGATTGAATAAAAAAAAAAAGAAAGGTCTGCACTATTTTTCAAGCTCATGCTGAAATGCAATGTGAACACAGAACTGAGAGTAAAGCTAATCGGCCGGGGCGGAGGTCAGTTTCTGACCGATCACAGCGTGTGCTTCTTTCCTTCAAAAAAACATTCACTGCATTTGTTTGGAAGAAATTTCAGGCCTCTGTCTGTGTGAGAATAATGAAATGAAAGTGAAGTTTTCTGACCAACATCACTAGTTAACTGGGGGATTTTTGGTAAAAAAAAGAGTGGGTTTGTAAAGCTCTGCAGTGTGAGTCGTTGTCGTCAGCTGGTTTTTGTTTGTCTGTACATCGTCCGGATGCTGCACTGTGCTCTTGGTGCTGAGTTCTGCTCTCTTTTTGTTCCGCCAACAAACTTTATTAACGTACAAAAAATAGATTCTTTGGCATTTTAGAATCACACAGGGGTAAGAATCGATCAATCTTCGATCTTATAAACAAACCAAACATAATTGTAAAATCTTTCTAAGGATGTTTTGAGTAATACTTTTCAGACTGCTACTATTGAAAAGCATACAGTATTTTAACTCTTTCCTTGTTCCAGAGAGCAGTTTTATCACCTCCCAGTCAACAGCCTGTCAGACAAGTATTTCCAGTGGCCAGACTAGACCTCAGCCAGATAAAGACATGTGGATTGGTTGATCTGGGGGTACTACAGGTTTTAGAAAGGTGTTAAGTTGTACCCTCAACCACAGAAATATAAACAGTCTGGGTGTAGCGGATGCGAGGCTCGTACCTGTCCAACGTAGAGGTTGGTTGGCGGAGACTCATGTCTGCAGCCTTGTGACACTCCTCTGCTTCCTGGTGCGGGATCAACACTGTCACTGGGCCTCTTTTATCATCATCCCCATCATCTCTTTCCTCGTCGGTTTTCAGTCCACACAATGGGGCTCTATGTTGTGCTTTGATCAGATCTTCAAGCTACTGGGAGGCTTGTTCAGATCAGACAGAGTGCTCCTCATGTTCCCATCCAACCCCAGTGGTTCCAGTTAGGTGTCAGTGGGAAAAACAAAGTCCTCAGTATCTCCCCTTCAATGGATTACATTAGTGGTTAAAAATATATACTATAACACAGGCTGATGGTAGCTTGGTGTAGGTTTCTGCTGTAGTGGAAAACAGATAAAAAAGGGACAGTCTGCTTCCTCAAAGGTCATCAATCATGAATGAATGGCTGATATGTCTCGCTATGCTGCAGGAGGTCAACAACTCCCATGCCATTTAGTGTCTGTGCAAGGCTGATTCCTGGAAGATAATTCAGTGTAACTACACACGCAGTCGGGGCTTGTTTACATGCGTGGCTTTGGACAGCTGTGCCGACCTAAATGGTCCCATAAAAGCGACGCACTAACTTAAATGTCGCTGCTTTTCTCACTCACACGCTTTGCATAGGTTATTAAAACTCTTCACACGAATGGCCCAATGTCACCTGCACTGATGTGTATGTGGCTTTCTGCCTCCATACACCAAATAACGTACCTTAGTTTAACAAAAGGGGGGAAATGTTCATACTAACACTGTAAACAACAGCCGACACAGACGCTACCGTTGGCTAACGAACTAGCTGGCTAATTAGCAGATTACCCGGCATTAGCTACGTTTTGCAGTTCGCTTATTAAAATAAAAATTAAAACAAACTCCGCGCAGGATGAATGTTAAAGCTGCTTCTCGACTTTGAGTTGTGGCTTATCTAACAAACCGGCTAGGGAATGATAAGGACCATCTGAAGCGGGGCCCTGCTGTATCCAGCTAGCGTTAGCTTCCTGAAGTTAGCTCTGCTGAAGGGCCGATTTCAAGCCGCGGCATGGCGTTGGTCCTCAGGCCGACCGAAAGCGCCGTGGGTTCGGCTACCAGCTGCGCCAACGAGTCGGTCCTTTAGAGGTGGCTAGCTAACCTGCTTATGTCTGCAAGATGAAAGGCCAGCATGACTTTTAACTGCGTGCGAATAGATGGATATTTAAAGTGGTCGAGATAGTAGCAGCCCATGCAAATTCCAGCTCGATTTTATCCCAGAATTCCCAGTTTTTTTGTGCAAAATCCAAACACTAAAGCTGCATGTTAGCCAGCGAGCTAGAAGGCAATACGATTCCAGTAAAGCTCCACCTCAGGTCCCCAAAAAACAAGTCACAGTGGTAAAATCCGGATTTGCTTTTGTCTCTCGTGGTTTGCCAGAAGACTCAGACGTCAATCACGACCGCTGCATGTCTTTATTGCCTTCTTTAAAATCCCAGTTCTTGAAAATAGTGATCTCTGCTGTGTTGTTGTCCTGCTGTCTTGACTGGCTGCTGATCCACCACCATGTTCTCAAAGATCATACGCGCAGAGCAACAGCGCCCCCGTCTGGACGGACCGCGGTGTTGCAGGTAGTGTGATGCTGCCGACTACCTATGGATGCGTGGAGGCTGCAGTGAAGTTATTCCCTAAAAGTACGAAAATATAAACAACAAGAGTGAAAGATAATACTGTTAAATTGTTTATAAAAGAGAGATAATGTAGGTTTTGTGAAGAGGTCGTGTTTTTACCATATATGGAAGTTATGGCATATTATTTAAATTATACAAGGATTAATACCACAATAAACTATGCTTATGTTTTGCGCCAGTCACTGTTAAAAGATAATATTGTTTATGCTTTATTTTATTTTATTTTTTGGTCATATTGCCGTTAGACAATTGATTGCTTGTATTATATGCCTTTAAATACTTCTTTTTCATTCATTCAACAACAACAAAACATGGCGTATGGAGCCAGTACCCCAATATCTTCCTTCTGGACTCACTGTTTTTCATCAAAAAGTCTCCAGAGAGCAGAATGAAACGCAACCACAGTTGTCTGTACTGTTTGGACTGAAAAGAGTGCTGGAGTTTAAATTACATCAATACAAATGTCCATAGTGATCCAATAATAAATTATCTACTAAGCCCATTAGATCATTCTTATTACAACAGTGTATTATTTGTAATGTGATGAATGTAAGTTGTTTAAAACTGTTGTGTACTGCCAAACTTCTTTCATGCTTAAAGCTGCAGTAGGTTACCTTTATTAAAGTACTTTTTGTCATATCTGCTGAAACCCTCACTATATTCTAGCAATAGTACATGAGACAGATAAAAAAAAGGCTACTTCTGACACATCCCAGAGGTCCTAATGGCATTTTTTAAGAATCCTCCAATGCCTGAATGAAAACAACTAATCAGAGGTGATCCCAGCAGGGGAAGGTTGCTGATGGCTGAGTCTCATTCTCAGGTGTCAATTACAAAGGCTTTGGGTCCCAGAGATTCAAGCCACCAACCCCAAAGCATCAGTATTTGAGACCTGGGAATGAGACTCATCAATCCGCTATCTTCCTCAGCTCTGATTGGTTGTGGATTCTTGCAAATGCCATTAGGAGCACAGGGAGGAGCCAGAGGAACCTGATTTTGTCACACATAATCTGTGTCACGTACTACTGTCAGGATACAATGAAAGTTAAAGCAAATGTGACAAAAAGTTTATTTTTATAAAAGTTACCAACTGCAGCTTTAATGGAAAATGTTTGTACTGCTGTTAATGCACAACTACCCCTAATGTAAAATAAAATCAGTAGCCTAACAGTCGCCTACACTTAAACTGAAGCACAAGAACAAGTAAGGTAGTGTTACAGTGGGGAAAGTGGGTGCACCAAAAAAAAACAAAAAAAAACAAAATCACAAATCTTCACCAGAAAAATCCTCCCTATTTACAGTGAGTATGATGGGGATATGACACAGACGCGCATGTGTTTATTTATTTTTTTACTGACGCAATATGAAACACTTGAGAAGAGGAATTGCGATGACCTTACCGAGGCTCAGAGACTTTCAGCTCTTTACCAAATATGGCCTGTGTGGGGCGTGGGATACGCTGTGCAGTGGGGGTGCTGTGGAGGAGGAAAAGAAGGGGATGCGCCGCCGAAGTACGCACGGTGTTCCGGGGACTTTAAGCTTTCTAACCAAAAAAAAAAAAAAAAGCACCAAAGACAACTCCTAAGCCTAAAAACTAGGTAAGGTCAATCTTGAGACTTGTGTTGAGAATGTATGTATTATGAAGTCACGGTCTATTTCTGGAACAATGAGTTTGAGCCGATATGGCACAGGGCTGGGGCGCGGTATGTCCGCTATTCGGGACGGAAAATCTCACCCATCCCTCAAATAATATACTTCTATGTATTAATGTATCTATTTGGCAGACTATCTGAAACAGCTACTTCATCTCCTGGTTTCATTGCAATGCTTCTGTGTCTGCTTTGCATCCTGATTCTCTTTTTAAATGAGAAACTAACAGGATGTAACAGCATGTCTTCATATTTCAAGTTGGTTTTAAGAAGCTTTCTCTGTTCCAGTGGAAATGGAAATGATTGTACTGTAACTACTCAGCTGCATTCAGTGATATACAGTAGCACCCAGGTTTGTTTATATTAAGAACCAACTCTCAGGTATGCATGGTATGCGCACGAGCACACTACAGAAGCAAACCAAAGTCTGGTTTCCTGTCAGAGTGAGGGTAAGAGGCCACACACACACACACCCACACACACACACACCGCAACCACACCTTTCTCACTTTGCTCAGATATTAACTGACATCTCTCTCAGAAATGAAACAGGGGGACCAAGCGTGGACCAACACCCACTTGCACAAGAATCTTAAAATATAACGGATTAAAGCTTGTGTTGGACAAGTACAATCAACTGGGATCAGGTTTGATTCCTGTTATGTCTGACAGAGCGATCAAGTGCACATTTGGGTTTGTGCTGCTATAGTGTGGGTTCCTGTCAACATGCCATTAGCTCTTCAGAGCTGCTTCCTGTGACTCATTATACAGAACAGGAAGCATGACATTAATGGAGTTAATGGCTAAAAGACTAATTGAGTTTGCCGGTTTCAGGGGACATCGGTTGGCCAAATGCATGATAGATGCACCGTCTCTGGGCCTGTACAGTAGCAGCAAAGTCACGGCCTTTACAAACACAGCAGAGTATTATCAGTTTACTCTGTCAAAAAACAGAAATGCAATTTAAAAATGGCTCAGTTCTGCATGTTTTGATACAACCTCCACCCCAAAACTTTGCTCCTTTTTTCCCATGCAGTGTTTTTTTTTTTGTGTGTGTCTGGAATTTTCTTTTTGGCCAGACAGCAGTCTCACCATTAAACAGCATTTGGAACAACTGCACTGACACCAAAGATAAATATGGGTTTCTTATATTGGAATGAAGCATGTTTCTTTCTTGAAGACTGGAAAATGATTGTACACTCAACCATCGTGTCTATAAAGGTCTATAAAGCTGCCTCAGTATATTACTTGGAAAAACATTGAATCTAATGATGTCGGATTGTGTCTGATGTATTTGTACTGTACTGGTTATGTATTTTTTTGTATTGTTGTATGTAAAAGTCATGTATCCATTATTTTTTATGTGGCTATGTTTGTATATTTCCTGTTGTCTGCTGTACTCAGGTCTCTCTCTCTCTCTCTCTCTCTCTCTCTCTCTCTCTCTCTCTCGCTTAATCCAAAAACATTACAGGATTATATTTAAGGGTCTAAAGAGGGTCTTATTGGCTACAGATTGTTAATTTTGAATGTGTATAAATAAAATGGATTTAACCTGAACTAAGAACCAGCATGGTTTGGACACTAGAGGGAACCAATATCACACTGTACTTCCGTTTTAGACCGAGGGACTTTCCAACTCGTTCAAGCTTAAGCAGGAAAACATGCCTTTCCTGTATACCTGCACTGCACAGGTCATAGCTTGAACGGCCCACCAAGGCTTGTCACACATTCCTCAGTCTTTGCACAACGTTAGATTGAGCCTAGACATGTCAGTCAGTGATGAACAAGTTATTGATAATCAAATTTGCAGCTTTGATTTTGCAGTTTGACATTACAGTTGTGTTTGTCCCTTACCCAGTACATTTACTTTCATGCAGCCTGTAGACAAACAAAACTTTTGATGACATTTAGTAAATATGTAGCACCAATATAGCAGGTTTTTGACTGGATATTTTGCATCTACGTACTCAAAATAACATAATCTCACCAAACTATGCTTTCTTTCTTGCCTCTCTGCAGAATATGTGACAAACATCAACAGAGTGTGTGACACGCAGCCAAAACCAACACCTCACGCTCAGTATTAAAGACTCACCCTAACCCTCGCTGGACTACCGAAGCCACTTTCATCTCCTGACCGATTCTCCTGATCTCCCATCATGCCACTGATCGTGTTCCATTCCTCCCAACTGCTATGGGTGCGTTTAGCTGCCCTGCTGTTCACCTGTGTGGCGTTCAGTGTTGCAGCGCACGGAGCCTATCTGCCCCATGGAGGAATGGCTGACTGGTGCATCTTCTGCTGGGCGTTCAGCTTCGCCTGCACCCTGCTGGTCCTGCTGGTGGAGCAGTTTGGCCTCCAGGCCCGAGCCCCAGTGTCCTGGTCCAATTTCCCCATCACTATCGCCTGCTACGCCGCCCTCCTCTGCCTCTCTGCCTCGATCATCTTTCCAGTGTTTTTCCTGAAGAACCAGAGCGTCCACGGCGAGGTCCGTACCTATCGCATCGTCTCCACCGTCTTCTCATGCCTGGCAGCGATAGCCTACATGGGGGAGGTGAGCCTGACTAAAGCGAGGCCAGGGGAGGTGGCAGGTTACATGGCTACGGCTCCAGGCCTGCTGAAGGTGTGCCAGACCTTTGTGGCCTGCATTATCTTCATCCTGGTCAGTGAGCCTGTGTCGTATGACCACCATCCAGCACTCAAGTGGTGCATGGCCGTGTATTGCATCTGCTTCATCCTGTCCATGGCCGTGGTGGTGCTGTGTGTGGGCGAGTGCACCGGCTGTCTCCCCATCCCTTTCTCCAAGTTCCTGTCAGCTTACGGGCTCCTGGCGGTTATCATGTACTTGAGCGCTACCATCCTCTGGCCCGTGTTCCAGTTTGACAAACAGTACGGAGGTAGAAGGGACGATTCAAAACTGATCACTGTGGCGGTGTTCACTGCCATCAACTTCCTGCTTTACCTCGCTGACCTGGCCTATACTGCCAGATTAGTGTTTGTCACTGTCTGAGAAGAAAAGAGACAAAGGAGGGAGACACGTTGAGTGACGAAGAACAGAAATAAAATGGATAAGTGCCTTTGCAGAAAAGTGTAGCTGATGTTGAATTTTGGACAATAAAATACACGACTCTCCCCTTTTGGTGTCTAATTGTAAATGTCCTATAAATGGCCGTATATCTGCAGTGACAGTGTTTAACCTCTAATCTGAATTGACCTATACTAAATGTACAACACAAGTATAACATCAATGATCTAAATGTGAGATTTTACACAATGGTGTGACAAAAACAAAGTCAGATTGTAATTCTGTCAAAATAAAATGAAGTCAACACACTGGAACACTGGTTAACAGCAGAAGAGAAGTTGTTTAAGTGGGAAGAAATGTATTTATGTATTGTAATGTATTGTATCTGAGACACACAGCACTTCTCGTGTTATACATGGAAACTCTCAAAACAGCCTAACAAAGATTTGTCCAGTTACTTATTTTATTTTGTAAGGTTTTGGAGAAAAATACCTGTCCTTTTGTCTTGATAAAGTATCAGTATTGAAACATTTGAAAGAAGTCATTTGAGCAAATAAATAAAATGAATGGGTGGCAGAAAGGCACTGTTTTCTATACTGACACTGTGGACTAAGGTTACCTCTTTAAGGAGCACTGTACATGCAGATCAGAAATATGACTTTCTTAACAAAAAATGCATTTTTAACCCAAAAAGACAACATTTTTGTAGAGATGCAGTAGATGCAGATAGGCCTATTATAATAATAATAAAAGTGACAAATGGAAAAACAAAGTAATAAATTGTAGCCTGTATCCTGTTATCAGAAAAGTTGAAGTTGGGTGGAGACAGCAGACCCTTGTACTTTGTACATCAAGTCCTGTCTTTTACAATTTACAGTAAACATATTCACATGCGCAGGTAGTCTTCACTCGGACTCATCTTCACTGCACAGCTATAGACTTCAGTTTTGATAACATGGGCGCTAAGGGTAAGTTAACTGATTTCAGTTACCTTTGTCTTGATTTTTTTTATCATAATGTAATGTAATTTTTTTCTCTTAACTTGTAACATTAGCTCTCCCATTTTTAATTGGCACTGATCGTCGTTTTTACCCATTAAAATTTTATTATAGTTTTGTTATTGGCAGGTCATAAACTTTGTTGTTCTCAGGTTTGCTCTCTGCTGGCAGGCCTGCTGTAGGATACTAGATTAATGTGGTGAAATAGACAACGCTGTACCACTGTAGCCCAGAGTGGACTGATGGACTGACAGAGACATCTTCTCTCCTGCTGAGTCTTGTCACATCAGTTTTAGGGGTCGTGTTCTTCCGGTTAAACTTCCCTTAATATCATAATCAGTCAGTTGAGTTTATCAGTTTAACTGTTTTGGACTACCAGTATTTGGATAAAGAAGCTTGTGAAAAATAAGGTAGCTGTTCAGTCTGTTGATCTGTCAGTTAGATAGCCTAGACATTAATTCAACACACAGGTAAATATAGCCCAACTTACAAATTTATCAGTAAAGTCAAAAGACTCTTGACAACAATTTTCACGTTTTGGTCCGCACGTGTTACGTCAGCACGTGACGCCGCAGCAGCACACCCCAACCCGCTCAGAGTGCAATGGCCCGTTCATTGCTGCTTGCAGTTTTAATTTATAACTGATTTCCCTTTTCATTGAGATTTTTGACAACTGAGGACTTTTATTGTAATAGAGCTTATAAAGTGTATCTTATACATGAAAACACGCAAAAAACAAATGTACAATATTACTGATGAACATTATTCTCTTTCAGCGTCAAAGACAGTTACAGAGACAAACCGAAAAATTGTCATGTTGGGAAAAACTGGAGCTGGGAAAAGCAGCCTGGGCAACACCATATTTGGAGAGAATGTGTTCAAGATCGACCCAACGCTCAACTCTGGAACAAGTGAATGTCAATCAGAAACCAGGTCTGTCAACAGAAGAAGCATCACTTTGATCGACACTCCTGGTTTCTTTGACACAAGGAAGTCCGAGGAGGACTTGAGGCGTGAGATAGTGAGGTGTATCACAATGTGCACTCCGGGGCCTCATGCTTTTCTCATTGTGCTTAAATATGAGAAATTCACAAAGCAGGAGCTGGAGGTCATCCAAAAAATACTCAAAAACTTTTCGGAAGAAGCTCTGAAATATGCAACAGTTGTCTTTACTCATGGCAACCAGCTCCCTGAAGGACAGACCATTGAGGATCATGTCTGCCAGAATGAGCTTGTGAATGATGTGGTGAAGAAGTGTGGTGGGAGGTGCTTCATCATTGATAATAATAGCTGGAATCAAAAGCATAAATACAGGAGCAACCAGTTCCAGGTGGAAGAGCTACTTAAGTCAGTAGACAAGATGGTGAAAGAAAAAGAAAACAAAGAAAACCAAGAAAATAAAGAAAACAAAGAAAACTACTACACCAATGAGATGCTTCAAGCAGTGGAAGAAGAAATACAACAAGAGGAGGAACACCAGAGACTGTTACCAGGAAACTTTTCAGAGGAAGGGATCAGAGAGCAGGCTAAGCGCACAGTGTTTGAGAAGATTTTGACCAGACTGGCAGGTATTGCTACAGGTGCAGTGTTAGGAGCTTTGTTTGGTGTAGTAGTGATGGTTAAACTAGTTGTCAATCTTGTAAAGGAAACAGACATTTTAAAAGCCGCCAAAAAAGCAGCACCAGCAGCTGTAGTTGTCGGAGCAGCTGCAGGAACAGCAGCAGTAGCAGGAGAAGCAGCAGTATGGATAGCATCAGCAGCAGTTATAGGTAGTGCTGTAGTGGGAGCGGTGAAAGGAGGCGTTGAAGGATATCGTGCAGCTGAGGGAGCAGACACACCGTTGGAAGCAGCAAAGAGAGCAGCAGAGGCTGTGACGAACGAAGCCTTTTCATTCTCAGACACGCTCTCACAGCCAGTGTTAAAACAGTCTTAACCTATAATGAGCCTTGACTTGTGAAGGGGGAGATCATTAATAATCTTTTAAAAAGGCTTATCTTTTTATAGATTGCATGAAAATAGTGTTCTAAACAAAGAGCTGATGATGTTTAATAATATATAATATGTTTTCCTTCTTTTCTGTTGTTGTCTTCAGTCACTTATTCTAAGTTACCATTATTTTGTGAGACAGGCCTGCTGATCTCCTGAAAAAAAAATAGTTGTTGTAGTTCTTTGTAGATTACAATATATATCATCAAGGCAAATATTAACAATAACACTAAAAAGTGATGAACACATTACATTTTGGGACATTTGTTTTGCTCAGAGTTACAAACCATGGCAACAAGTGTGTCCGAGCCATGTTCATCCCTTTTTAGTATCCCCTGGTAACAATATTCACCGTCCTTTAATCCTTCCGGTTTTTTTTCTGCATTTCATGGTCTTCCAGTTTTAAAATGATTTATACCTCTTGTTCTTGTGGAATCTTGTAATATTAATTCATGTTAATTTCTTTTGCTTTTAAAATAAAATTTAAATGTTTAGGGTTAGTTTATATTGTTGTAGGTTAATATTTTAATATAGACTTAAGATAATTCTTCTTTTCATTTTCACCTTTGTTATGTTATGTTACTGAAACTGATTCAATGTATTTTGGCAAATGTGATGTAAATCAACATTTCCTGCAGTGGAGATACGTTTGGAAATAATTAATTAGACCGAATAAAGTTTTAGCTTGCAGTGGTACTTTGTTTGGTTCAGGTTCATGATGGATATTAAGCTGAATAGCTCTGGCAGTCTTTTCACTCTGACTAATTATTATTACTTCTGACAACATGAAGCACAAGTTCATTTCTTAACTTACCGTCAGTTATTTCTATCAGGACTGAACATGAGCTTTACAAACAGAAGAATTGTCATGGTGGGAAAAAGGGGAGGGGGGAAAAGCAGCCTGGGTAACACCAGGTTAAGGTCACAGTATCCACAAATATTTCGATCAGACTGGCAGGTACTGCAACAGGTGCACTGTTAGGAGCTTTGTTTGGTGTAGTAGTGATCGGTGCATTATGTGTTGCAGTTGTAAGAAAAAAAAACAATCAAAGCTCTAGCCAAAATAGGAACAGCTGATTATTTGTTTATTTGCATATTTCTTTCTTTATTTAAAAATGGGGTTTCTCTACTGACATTGTGTAGTACAGTACATGCAGATTAGAAGGCAGAAATTCAGTTTTATGAATGAATAATCCCATTGTAAAATTATTTTTAAAACTATCCAGAGAATGTTCCCTTCAATTACAGACAAAATAAGCTATTAACATATGAATGTTACAAGAAAAAAATATTGAGAGATTTTCTTGGTTTCATAAAGAGGTGGATTTATTCTGACTTTATTGAAATATATATAGATATATAGATATTTTTTTATCTTTAATCTGTTTATTGCACCATATGAACATACATACACACTGTACACACACACATAAGGCCATAGATATTCATCCATATCCAAATTAACACTCACTGATCAGACTCCTTTTAACAGGTTGTTATGTGACAAATCCAAATGTGTCATACTTCCTGATCTTAGTGAGTGTAACAAGGATATCTATGTTTTTGTAAAAACTCCATTGCTATATGAATAAAGATCCTTACTTCGATGATGAAATAAGTTGCAACTAGTAAAACACCAACGTCCTTGGATGGGGTTCTACCAAACCTCTTTATCATAGATTTTCCCCCTTTATTTCTCCCTGCAGCTGTATTTCCCTTTCCCTACTCTAATCAATTGTCGAGGGAGAGAGAATATTGCTTGTCAGATGGCCAAAATCTCAACTCCAACTAAAGCTGCTGTATGCTACCATCTAGTGGTTGCTGGATTATAGTGCAATGCTGCATGACACCCTGGGGCCCAGATGTATAAATGACATGTACACACAAAAACCACGCCTACGCCTTTTCCCCTCATATAATGGTGTGAATGGTGTGTGCACCTCCCACATAGTTCAGAGGAGGTCTCTTTCAAGACTTGGGCGGCTGTGGCTCAGAGGCAGAGCGGTCGTTCCTTAATGTCGAAGTATCCTCGAGCAAGATACCAAACCCCGAATTGCTCCCGATGCCGATGCTATTACTGGTTATTAGGTGGTTTAAATAGCCACAGTCGTGTGTAATGGTGGTAAACAGCTGTTCTGATACTGTTGGAAAACCTCGCCAAATGCTGTTGTTCCATTCATTGACAATTGAGGGGGCACAAGTATCAATATACAAAGGGCTGTTTAATTTCCACTATGATTGAGATTTGTAAACAGAATCAGGAGTATGTGCGGTATTATAAATCTAAAGAAAAGAAGTATGTATGAAGTATGCATATTTTTAATGGATGCAGAAAAATGCATTTGTTATTTCTAGTCTGGATTACTGCAACTCTTTATTATCAGGTTGTCCCAATAAATCCATTAAGACGCTCCAAGTACATAAAATACTTTTCGGAAGAATCTTTGAAATATGCAGCCGTTGTCTTTACTTATGGTGACCAGCTCCCTGAAGGAAAGACAATTGAGTATCATGTCCGCCAGAATGAGCTTGTGAATGATCTGGTGGAGAAGTGTGGTGGGAGGTGCTTCGTTATTGATAACAAATACTGGAACAAAAAGCATAAATACAGTAGCAACCAGTTCCAGGTGAAGAAACTACTTAAGTCAACAGACAAGATGGTGATGGAAAACCATGGAAGCTGCTACACCAACGAGATTCTTCAAGCAGTAGGGAAGGGAAGAGGAAGAGATCAGAGAGCAGGCTAAGGCCAGAGTATTTAAGAAGCTTTTGATCAGACTGGCAGATACTGCAACAGGTGTACTGTTAGGAGCTTTGTTCGGTGTTGTAGTGTCGGTTGGTGTAGTTCTTACAGTTTTACAGGAATCACCAAAGCCAGTACAATTAAGAGGAGCTATAGCCAAAACAGCAGCAGTGGTAGGAACAGGAGCAGTTGGGATAATAGGAGGAACAGCAGCAGGAGGAGCTGTAGTAGCAGTTGGAGCATCACCTGCTATCATAGTTACAGCGCTACCTGCTGCAGTGGGAGCAGTGGTGGGAGGTGTTACAGGATATAATGCAGCTGAGGCAGCAGACACACCATGGGAAGCAGCAAAACTGGCAGCAGAGGCTATCAAGAATAAATCCCAGTCTTCTCTGGATAAAACACATGGTTTGATGGATAGTGTGTCACAACTAAACAAAGTACTAAAAAGTTACATTTTAGTTAATATTTCAGTTCAGAGTTACAAACCATGGCAACAAGTGCATCTGAGCCATGTTCCCCCCTTTTTATTTCCCCCCCTAAAAAAAATTCCCCCCCCTATAATCCCCATTTTTTTTTTTTTTAAAAAAAATTTTTCCTTTTTTTTTTTTATTTTTTTTTTTTTTTTATATAAAATTTTTTTTAAATTCAATTTTCAGGATTAGTTTAAATTCTTGTAAGTTAATATGTTAATGTAGACAGAAGATGTTTATTTTTTCATTTTCACTTTTGTCATGTTATATTATTGATAATGATGATATCCATGCAACAATCTTATGTAAATCAACACTTCCTGCAGTGGAGATACATTTGGAAATAATGCTATCAGACCGAATAAAGTTTTAACTTGCAGTGGTACTTTGATTGGTGCAGGTTCATGATGGATATTAAACTGATTAGCAAGGCCTGCAAATTCATTTGATGAAAAGAAGCAAACAGTCAGGAAGAGAAAATGGAGCTCTAACTCAGAACATACAGGAAACACATTCACATACACTCTGGCAGTCTACTCACTCTCACCTTCAGCTATTTCTGTCAGGACTGAAAAATACACATTAAGGTGCAACATGAGGTGCTACACTTAAATAGCTGCAGAATGTGTTCTTTATTTATATAACATGGATGCTCTCATACTTAAAAGCTGATCCTAAATTATATTCTGGGCATATTTTAATAGATCTGTATCAGCTAAAATGAAGCCAATCATAATCCTATGTTTGGACTTTACCTCAGCCTGCTAATGCTAATGTGCAGCTCGCTTTAATGACAGCTCATACAGTATATGTCATACCGGCTGTTATTGGGCTTGTGTGCTCCATTATCATTATTTTATTACACTTGTTCAAAGTATACCAATCTAACATAACATCTAACATTTTGGCAAAATCATCCTTCACATTGGAAACATGTTGTAGGATAGGCTATTGTAATCAAATCACTGGTTTATGTAAAAGGTACGAGCCTAGCATGCAGCATTCTGTGTGTCATATGTTAGGTATTTGTGACGCATCTACTATTGTGTTAATCTCCTTCAATCTTTTGTTGAAGCATGACTTCCTCTCACAGAACACACACAAACCGTTTGTTAATGTTCAACATAAGGGGATGTGAAAACAACAGAATAAGAGAGAGAGAGAGAGAGAGAGAGAGAAGGGGGGGGTGAGACAGGGTGACTAAAAATGAAACTGCAACTTAAACCACCAGAAAAACACCAAGCTGTGACGTACTACTGCACTATATTTCAACAACCTCTAGATGCCAGCACAGAGCATATTCTCTTTCCTTCACCAACTGATGAAAGGAGAGTTTTTGCATCAAGTCAGGAAATAAAAGTATGTCCAATTTACAGTAAACATATTCACATACACACAGGCAGTCTTCACTCAGACTCATCTTCACTGTACAGCTATAGACTTCAGCTAACAACATATTTGGAGAGAATGTGTTCAAGACCGACCATACTTACAATTCAGGAACAAGTGAATGTCAATCAGAAACCAGATCTGTGAATGGAAGAAGCATCACTTTGATCGACACTCCTGGTTTCTTTGATGGAAAGATCTGAGGATATTGATTCTGAGATAGTGAGGTGTATCACAGAGTGCGCTCCTAGCCTTCATGCTTTTCTCATTGTGCTTAAAGTGGAGAAATTCACAGAGCATGAGCAGGCTGTCATCCAAAAAATACACCAAAACTTTTTTGAAGAAGCTTTAAAATATGTCAGCATGCTAACATCCTCACAATGTTAACATGCTGATGTTTAATGTTAATCATGTTCATCATTTTAGTTCAGCACTATGGCATCTGATAATTAGCACAACACAGTTGAGGCGGATGTGATTGGTGGGATGTCACTAATTCTGCAGGTATCTGGTCATAAAGTATACACATTGAAAATGTTGACCTGATGATGATGCTAGATAATAATAATTATTGAATTATCATATAATACAATGCTTAAATGAATAGTTGTAATGCAATGTAATTTGTTTGTCACCATATGTCAAATTAAACAAGAATATGTTAAAAATGAAAAGTATTTGTATTTATTTATCTATTTATTTGCATATATACACATTTGTAGCTATTCATTTGCATATTTATACATTTACTTATTCATTTATATTATTATTTATAATATTCGCATATTTCTTTATTTGTAATTTTGTTATGTCATTTATCATCTTGTTGCATCAAAATAAATAAATGTGTCATCCATTAAAAGTTAGTGGGTGGGTAAAGCCTCTGATTGGTTGATCGAGCTATGAGTTTGGACTGTGATGCAGGGACGCCAGATTCACTCTTGAAGTTGGGGCCAGTGTGTGATATAGCATGTAGGAAAATACAGTAAACAGTTAGGAGGAAATAAAAGTATAAAACAGCGTGTCTTAATAATTCATGTTAGTTTAAATAAGCTATAATCAGTGATATACAGTAGCACCCAGGTTTGTTTATATTAAGAACCAACTCTCAGGCATGCACGGTATGTATACTAGCAAACTGTCAACAGGCCATCATCAAAACTGATCACTGTGGCGGTGTTCACTGCCCTCAACTTCCTGCTTTACCTCGCTGACCTGGCCTATACTGCCAGATTAGTGTTTGTCACTGCCTGAGAAGAAAAGAGACGAAGGAGGGAGACACATTGAGCGATGAAGAGCAGAAATCAAAAGGATAAGTGCCTTTGCAGAAAAGTGTAGCTGATGTTGAATTTTGGACAATAAAATACACGACTCTCCCCTTTTGGTGTCTAATTGTAAATGTCCTATAAATGGCCGTATATCTGCAGTGACAGTGTTTAACCTCTAATCTGAATTGACCTGTGCTAAATGTACAACACATTGTACACTAAATGTACATTGTATCTGAGACACACAGCACTTCTTGTGTTATACATGGAAACTCTCAAAACAGCCTAACAAAGATTTGTCCAGTTACTTATTTTATTTTGTAAGGTTTTGGAGAAAAATACTTGTCCTTTTGTCTTGATAAAGTATCAGTATTGAAACATTTGAAAGAAGTCATTTGAGCAAATAAAAAAAATGAATGGGTGGCAGAAAGGCACTGTTTTCTATACTGACACTGTGGACTAAGGTTACCTCTTTAAGGAGCACTGTACATGCAGATCAGAAAGATGACATTCTTGACAAAAAGTGCATTTTAACCCAAAAAAGACTAAATTTGTCTGTTTATGTTTTTTTGTAGAGATGCAGTAGAGCCAGATACGCCTATAATAACAACAAAGTGACAAATGGAAAAACAAAATAATAAATTGTAGCCTGTATCCTGTTATCAAACAAGTTGAACAAAGATTTGGGTGGAGACAGCAGACAGGTTGGCCTAAGGTGTGCTATTCTGGCTCTTGTCCATGTGCATCAAGTCAGGAAATGAAAGTATGTTCAATTTACAGGAAACATATTCACATACGCAGGCAGTCTTCACTCAGACTCATCTTCACTGCACAGCTATAGACTTCACTTTTGATAACATGGGTGCTAAGGGTAAGTTAAGTGATTTCTGTTATTTTTGTCTTTATTTTGTTTTGTTTTTTATGATAATTTGAAACACAATGCTCTGATATTTAAAAGCTAGAGGCGATATAAAAAGAGCCTAATAGGGCCTAGCTGAAGACGATCACAATCCAATCCCTATCGCTGAACTATGCGTTTTGTCCACATCATTCTTCGGGTGTTATAGCGCTGCTCTCTTTCATGACTCTGCTTGCAGTTTTCTACATGTAAGAGTGAAAAGTATTTCATTATCCTATGTGAAAAAAATATTTGGTTGCATCAGTGACTGACTTACTTCTGACTTCGCTTAAGTCATTTGATGCCAACAAATCTGAAATTCTTTTTCTCAATTTGTAACATTAACGTTCCCGATTTTTGTGTCACTTTAGTGGCTTTCACCCATTTAAGTATTGTTATAGTTTTGTTATTGGCAGGTCATAAACTTTGTTGTCTCCGGGTTTGCTCTCTGCTGGCAGGCCTGCTGTAGGATACTAGATTAATGTGGTGAAAGAGACAACGCTGTAACACTGTAGCCCAGAGTGGACTGATGGACTGACAGAGACATCTTCTCTCCTGCTGAGTCTTGTCACATCAGTTTTAGGGGTCGTGTTCTTCCAGTTAAACTTTTCTTAATATCATAATCAGTCAGTTGAGTTTATCAGTTTTACCAGTATTTGGATAAAGTAGCTTGTAAAATATAAGGTAGCTGTTCAGTCTGTGGATCTGTCAGTCAGATAGCCTAGACATTAATTCAACACACAGGTAAATATAGCACAAGTAGGCCAATTGGATTGAACACTGTATCAGATATCCAATAATAAACAGGGCCAAATAAGGGCCAAAAAAACCTGATAATCAATATTAATCTGTTTACAAAATGATTCTTGGTGTTGTTTACCACAATAGATTAATTTAAACAAATATTGTTGAACAGTGATTGGTACTGTTAGAAGAGATTAGACACATAAGATGTTCTTGATCTTTAATATTCTCATCATGGGCCTTTTTATATACTGACACTATTCTTTATTCTCTTGCTGTAATATGACAATGCAGCTATTTTCTAACTGAGCTTATAAAGTGTATCTTATATATGAAATATAAATGTACAATACTACTGATGAACATTATTCTCTTTCAGTGTCAAAGGCAGTTCCAGAGACAAACAGAAGAATTGTCATGTTGGGAGAAACTGGAGCTGGGAAAAGCAGCCTGGCTAACACCATATTTGGAGAGAATGTGTTTAAGGTTGACCATGGTCTCAACTCTGGAACAAAAAAATGTCAAACAGAAGCCAAATCTGTCAATGGAAAAGGCATCACTTTGATCGACACTCCTGGTTTCTTAGACACAGATAGTTCTGAGGAGGAGCTGATTTGTGAGAGAGTGAGGTGTATCACAGAGTGCGCTCCTGGGCCTCATGCTTTTCTCATTGTGCTTAAATATGAGAAATTCACAAAGCAGAAGCAGGAGGTCATCAACAAAATAAACAAACACTGTTCTGAAGAAGTCTTCAAATATGCAACAGTTGTCTTTACTTATGGTGACCAGCTCCCTGAAGGACAGACAATTGAGGATCATGTCCGCAAGAATGAGCTTGTGAATGATCTGGTGAAGAAGTGTGGTGGGAGGTGCTTTGTCGTTGATAATAAATACTGGAACAAAAAGCATAAATACAGGAGCAACAAGTTCCAGGTGGTGGAGCTACTTAAGTCCATAGACAAGATGGTGAAAGAAAGCAATGGAAGCTGCTACACCAATGAGATTCTACAAGCAGTGGAGGAGGAAATACAACAAGAGGACGAGCGCCAGAGACCAGGAAACATGTCAGAGGAAGAGATCAGAGAGCAGGCTAAGTGCAGCGTATTTAAGAAGATTCCGACCAAACTGGCAGGTACTGCAGCAGGTGTAGTGTTAGGAGCTTTGTTTGGTGTAGTAGTGCCTGTTGGTGTAGTTCTTACAGTTTTACAGTAATCGTCAAAGCCAGTACAATTAAGAGGAGCTATAGCCAAAACAGCAGCAGTGGTAGGAACATGAGTAGTTGGGCTAATATGAGTAAAAACAGCTGGAGGAGCTGCAGTAGCAGCTGCAGCAATACCTGCTATCACAGCCACAGGGCTATCTGATGGAGTGGGAGCAGTGATGGGAGGGGTTACAGCCAGCGCCGTCGTATATTGTGGTGAAAGGTGATGACAATTCTAAGGGCCCACAGCCCATTAGGGCCCACACACAGACCAAGTAGCCTCTATGACCAAAATATTATGCATATATTTTAATTTCAATAATTTCAATAACCCCCTTGGCCCCTTCTTAAAAAATGGTTTGGTCCACGGTTCGTTCTTCCTCATGTGAATTAAGTGAGCGCGAGCGGACTCCAGCAGGGAGTGAGGGAGATCAAATAGGATGATGGCCCCCAAAAAACACAAATCTGGACACCAGAAAAGACTTGAGAGGGAGGCCAGGAGTAGGAGCAGCAGAGCAGGGGCCCACCAAGAATGGTGAGAGTAAAACTACCGAGGGCGGCTAAAACCATTACTTGTTCATTCATTTATTGTCTGTAAGCGCTGACCTTAGACGGGGCACAGAGGCTGGAGTCTACGTTAGCTGTCATCGGGTGAGAGACGGGCTACACTCTGGACAAGTCGCCAGTTCATTGTAGAGCAACGATTCCTAGTGTAGCTAACTGAACGTTACTAATGTGGAGGCTATCTACAGCAGACTGTGTGTTTCACACATATTTTTACTGTCGGACATTGCTCCAGTAAGCACCCACTCAGCTACGAGGCTGCATTAAATTGTATTATGACACATTCAAGTTCTACTCAGTAATTATGAACATTAGGCGAAGGTCAATTACGTTATCATGTTGTAACATGTTGTTATTGGTGGGACGTTTGAATAGCCTAAATACAAAACAGTTAAATAAAAGATTTTTGTTGTTGTTTTCACAGCAATATAAAATAAAAGACACCATAACAGTTGACAATAACAAAGTCAAAAGACAATTTAGAATTTTGGACAGTTTACACTGACTTTGGTGATGGTTTGATGGTTTAAAATATTTTTTTGCCTGACAAGGGTGACATTACTCAAAAGAGCTTGCCCTCCACATACAATGGCAAAGTGAAGCTGTCTGCCTAGAACTATGGTACTGAGAAGCCCATTTAGATGTTGTGTATTCCAAGACTAGGTTAGTTCTTCATCAGTTTTTCCATGAAACACAAAAGCAATATATAATGGAACAATAAACCTTTATGCTTTGCTGCTCCAGAATCAGCGGTGGCCTCTTCGACTATGTTTGACCCAGCAGCAGACCCTCACCCCCAGCAGTCCAATGATGCCTTTGATATTGGTAAGTAATGTAGACACTGGTTGGCTGTTTTGGTTTATTAGTGAACTGCTGTGCCACTGGCAATTACTAAGATATTAATCAACCCTTTGGCTATTTCAATTACATAATCAATAGCAAGAAATAGGCTAAATGTTTTTACAACTCAATTTAAGTCACTGTTGCTGTTGATAGAGCCAGGCCCATGTCCCCAAAGCAAGGCTACTTCAGATAGTGAAGGGAATTGTGAAGCAGATCAAAGCTGTTGCAGTCATGAAACTGTGAATAAGACAACTAATAATACATAATTTACATAAAAATACTCTGATTCATTGTTGAGTGGTTAATCAAAAAAAAGATGACAAATTGGGTGTATTACACCAGTCACCGCGAAGAACACTGAAAAACAGAAAAACGAAGAAAAACATAACACACAGTTGTAAAAAAGTGGCAATGAAAAATCCTGGGGTAGAGGGGCCCACGCCGATATGCTTTCAGGGGGCCCAGAATATAATGCAGCTAAGGCAGCAAACACGCCAAGGGAAGCAGCAAAACTGGCAGCAGAGGCTGTCAAGAGTAAAGCCCAGTCTATTCTGGATAAAGCACATGGTTTTATGGATATAGGGTGTGACAACCAAAGTTAAAACAAAATCAGATCCTATAATGAATCTACTATTGAAGAAAGGAGAGATAATTTATCTTCAAAAAGTCATATCTGCCTGTTTCTTGATCTAAACAATCTTTAACCATGAAGCTGATCATTTGTATTCCTATATATATTTCAATATGTTGTACTTCTTGTCGGAGCTTCAGATTTTATTCACTTTGTTTGACGGACCTTCTGATCTCCTGGGTGGAAAAAAATGGTGGTTCTTTGTAGATTACAATCACAAAAGCAAATATAAACAATAACACTAAAAAGTGAAGAACAATATCCTGGGTGAGCAGATACATACAGCCTGTATGTGGAGAGAGGAGCAGAGAGAGGCGGGGTGGGACAAGCCGATGTGTGTGAGACAGAGGTGTAGGTGTGTGCGTACACTATTAGGCTTTAAATAGATCCAGTGATTGGTGTTTGGTATCGGCCCAGGCTGGTTCTACTGATCGGCCTAAAAAAGCTTCTTATAAGGTAGTCTACAGCTGCTATTACAATATGTCAGTCAGCCAGACAGTAAATCAACATTTAGGTAAATGTACCCTAATTAGGACTATGGGATTGAACACTGTATCAGATACTCAATATTAAAAGGGGCCAAATAAGGGTCCTGAATCTGTTTACAAAAGGATCCTGTTCTTTACCACAACAGATTAACTTAAAGTACATTGTTGAACAATGATTAGTCAGAAGAGATTAGACACATGATGTGTTCTTGATCTTTAATATTTTCATCATGGGTCTCTTTTTATGCATTGTAACCATTCTTCATTCTCTTACTGTAATATGCTAATGCAGCTATTTTATAAATACTGACTTCTGTTTTCATTGTGATTTTTGACCATTGAGGATTTTCATCAAGTATATCTTATAAATAAAAACAAGCAAAAGAAAAATCTACAATATTATTGATGAGCATTATTACCTTTCAGTGTCACAGACAGTTACAGAGTCAAACAGAAGAGTTGTCATTGTGGGAAAAACTGGAGCTGGGAAAAGCAGCCTGGCTAACACCATATTTGGAGAGGATGCGTTTAAGGTTGACCATGGTCTCAACTCTGGAACAAAAACATGTAAAACAGAAACCAAATCTGTCAATGGAAAAGGCATCACTTTGATCGACACTCCAGGTTTCTTTGACACAGATAGATCTGAGGAGGAGCTGAAGTGTGAGATAGTGAGGTGTATCACAGAGTGCGCTCCGGGGCCTCATGCTTTTCTCATTGTGCTTAAATATGAGAAATTCACAAAGCAGGAGCAGGAGGTCATCAACAAAATAAACGAACACTTTTCTGAAGAAGTCTTCAAATATGCAACAGTTCTCTTCACTCATGGTGACCAGCTCCCTGAAGGACAGACTATTGAGGATCATGTCCGCAAGAATGAGCTTGTGAATGATCTGGTGAAGAAGTGTGGTGGGAGGTGCTTTGTCGTTGATAGTAAATACTGGAACAAAAAGCATGAATACAGGAGCAACAAGTTCCAGGTGGAGGAGCTACTTAAGTCGATAGACAAGATGGTGAAAGAAAACAATGGAAGCTGCTACACCAATGAGATGCTTCAAGCAGTGGAGGAGGAAATACAACAAGAGGAGGAGCACATTAGACAGTCATCAGGAAACATGTCAGAGGAAGAGATCAGAGAGCAGGCTAAGCGCAGAGTATTTGAGAAGATTTTTACCAGAATGGCAGGTACTGCAACAGGTGCATTGTTAGGAGCTTTGTTTGGTGTAGTAGTGATGGTTAAACTAGTTGTCAATCTTGTAAAGGAAACAGACATTTTAAAAGCCGCCAAAAAAGCAGCACCAGCAGCTGTAGTTGTCGGAGCAGCTGCAGGAACAGCAGCAGCAGTAGGAGAAGCAGCAGTATGGATAGTACCAGCAGTAGTTATAGCTAGTGCTGTAGTTGGAGCTGTGAAAGGAGGTGTTGAAGGATATCATGCAGCTAAGGGAGCAGACACACCGTTGGAAGCAGCAAAGAGAGCAGCAGAGGCTGTGAAGAATGAAAACTTTTCATTCTCAGTAACACTCTCACAGCCAAAGTCAAAACAGTCTCTACCTATAATGAGCCATGACTCTTGAAGGGGGAGATAATTAATTCATCTTTTAAAAAGGCTTATCTTTTTATAGATTGCATGAAAATAGTGTTCTAAACAAAGAGCTGATGATGTTTAATAATATATAATATGTTTTCCTTCTTTTCTGTTGTTGTCTTCAGTCACTTATTCTAAGTTACCATTATTTTGTGAGACAGGCCTGCTGATCTCCTGAAAAAAAAAAAATAGTTGTAGTTCTTTGTAGATTACAATATATATCATCAAGGCAAATATTAACAATAACACTAAAAAGTGATGAACACATTACATTTTGGGACATTTGTTTTGCTCAGAGTTACAAACCATGGCAACAAGTTTGTCCGAGCCATGTTCATCCCTTTTTAGTATCCCCTGGTAACAATATTCACCGTCCTTTAATCCTTCCGGTTTTTTTTCTGCATTTCATGGTCTTCCAGTTTTAAAATTATTTATACCTCTTGTTCTTGTGGAATCTTGTAATATTAATTCATGTAAATTTGTTTTGGTTTTAAAATAAAATTTGAAATGTTTAGGGTTAGTTTATATTGTTGTAGGTTAATATTTTAATATAGACTTAAGATGATTCTTCTTTTCATTTTCACCTTTGTCATGTTATATTACTGAAACTGATTCAATGTATTTTGGCAAATGTGATGTAAATCAACATTTCCTGCAGTGGAGATACGTTTGGAAATAATTAATTAGACCGAATAAAGTTTTAGCTTGCAGTGGTACTTTGTTTGGTTCAGGTTCATGATGGATATTAAGCTGAATAGCTCTGGCAGTCTTTTCACTCTGACTAATTATTATTACTTCTGACAACATGAAGCACAAGTTCATTTCTTAACTTACCGTCAGTTATTTCTATTAGGACTGAACATGAGCTTTACAAACAGAAGAATTGTCATGGTGGGAAAAAGTGGAGCTGGGAAAAGCAGCCTGGGTAACACCAGGTTAAGGTCACAGTATCCACAAATATTTCGATCAGACTGGCAGGTACTGCAACAGGTGCACTGTTAGGAGCTTTGTTTGGTGTAGTAGTGATCGGTGCATTATGTGTTGCAGTTGTAAGAAAAAAAAAACAATCAAAGCTCTAGCCAAAATAGGAACAGCTGATTATTTATTTATTTGCATATTTCTTTCTTTATTTAAAAATGGGGTTTCTCTACTGACATTGTGTAGTACAGTACATGCAGATTAGAAGGCAGAAATTCAGTTTTATGAATGAATAATCCCATTGTAAAATTATTTTTAAAACTATCCAGAGAATGTTCCCTTCAATTACAGACAAAATAAGCTATTAACATATGAATGTTACAAGAAAAAAATATTGAGAGATTTTCTTGGTTTCATAAAGAGGTGGATTTATTCTGACTTTATTGAAATATATATAGATATATAGATATTTTTTTTATCTTTAATCTGTTTATTGCACCATATGAACATACATACACACTGTACACACACACATAAGGCCATAGATATTCATCCATATCCAAATTAACACTCACTGATCAGACTCCTTTTAACAGGTTTTTATGTGACAAATCCAAATGTGTCATACCTCCTGATCTTAGTGAGTGTAACAAGGATATCTATGTTTTTGTAAAAACTCCATTGCTATATGAATAAAGATCCTTACTTCGATGATGAAATAAGTTGCAACTAGTAAAACACCAACGTCCTTGGGTGGGGTTCTACCAAACCTCTTTATCATAGATTTTCCCCCTTTATTTCTCCCTGCAGCTGTATTTCCCTTTCTCTACTCTAATCAATTGTGGAGGGAGAGAGAATATTGCTCGTCAGATGGCCAAAATCTCGACTCCAACTAAAGCTGCTGTATGCTACCATCTAGTGGTTGCTGGATTATAGTGCAATGCTGCATGACAGCCTGGGGCCCAGATGTATAAATGACATGTACACACAAAAACCACGCCTACGCCTTTTCCCCTCAGATACAATGGTGTGAATGGTGTGTGCACCTCCCACATAGTTCAGAGGAGGTCTCTTTCAAGACTTGGGTGGCTGTGGCTCAGTGGCAGAGCGGTCGTTCCTTAATGTCGAAGTATCCTCGAGCAAGATACCGAACCCCAAATTGCTCCCGATGCCGATGCTATTACTGGTTATTAGGTGGTTTAAATAGCCACAGTCGTGTGTAATGGTGGTAAACAGCTGTTCTGATACTGTTGGAAAACCTCGCCAAATGCTGTTGTTCCATTCATTGACAATTGAGGGGGCACAAGTATCAATATACAAAGGGCTGTTTAATTTCCACTATGATTGAGATTTGTAAACAGAATCAGGAGTATGTGCGGTATTATAAATCTGAAGAAAAGAAGTATGTATGAAGTATACATATTTCTAATGGATGCAGAAAAACTAATCCATGCATTTGTTACTTCTAGTCTGGATTACTGCAACTCTTTATTATCAGGTAGTCCCAATAAGTCCATTAAGACGCTCCAATTAATTCTATCACAGTTACAGCGCTACCTGCTGCAGCGGGAGCAATGATGGGAGGTGTTACAGGATATAATGCAGCTGAGGCAGCAGATACACCATGGGAAGCAGCAAAACTGATAGCAGAGGCTGTCAAGAATAAATCCCAGTCTATTCTGGATAAAACACGTGATTTTATAGACAGGGTGTCACAACCAAAGTTAAAACGAAATCAATTCCTATAATGTATCATGACTATTCTCCTGGAAAGCTTTTTTTTCTTTTTGTGGTTCTTTGTAGATTACAATGACCAAAGCAAATATAAACAATAACACTAAAAAGTGAAGAACACGTCCAGACATGGGCACATTACTATCCTATTACCAAACAAGTTTAACAACGATTTGGGTGGAGACAGCAGACACGTAGGCCTATGGTGGCCTTCTTTGAACCTTATCCTTTGTGCACCAAATCAGGAAATGAAAGTATGTTCAAATTTCAGGAAACATATTCACATACGCAGGCAGTTTTCACTCGGACTCATCTTCACTGCACAGCTATAGACTTCACTTTTGATAACATGGGTGGTAAGGGTAAGTTAACTGATTTCTGTTATTTTTGTCTTTATTTTGTTTTGTTTTTTATGATAATTTGAAACACAATGCTCTGATATTTAAAAGCTAGTGGTGATATAACAAGTGCCTGATAGGGCCTGGCTGAAGACGATCACAATCCAATCCTTTATCACTGAACTCTGTGTTTTGTCCACATCAGTCTGCTGGTATTGCAGCGCTGCTCTCTTTCATGACTCTGCTTGCAGTTTTCTACATGTAAGAGTGAAAAGTATCTCATTATCCTATGTGAAAAAAACTTTTATTGCATCAGTGATTGATTTACTTCTGACTTCGCTTAAGTCATTTGACGGCAACAAATCAGATTTTCTTTTCTTCTTAATTTGTAACTTTAACTGTCCCAATTTTTGTGTCACTTTAGTCGCTTTCACCCGTTAAAATATTGTTATAGTTTTGTTATTGGCAGGTCATAAACTTTTTGAAGCTGTAACACTGTAGCTCAGAGTGGACTGATGGACTGACAGAGTAAGACATCTTCTCTCCTGCTGAGCCTTGTCACATCAGTTTTAGGGATCCTGTTCTTCCAGTTAAACTTCCCTTAATATCATAATCAGTCAGTTGAGCTCATCAGTTAAACTGTTTCGGACTACCAGTATTTGGATAAAGAAGCTTGTGAAAAATAAGGTAGCTGTTCAGTCTGTAAACATAGCCCAAGTGTGGATTGGACACTGTATCGGATATCCAATAATAAACAGGGCCAAATAAGGGCCAAAGAAAACCTGATTATCACTATTAATCTGTTTACAAAATGATCCTTGGTGTTCTTTACCGTGGCTGTGGCTCAGAGGAAGAGCGGATTGTCCACTAATCGGAAGGTTGTTGGTTCAATCCCCGGCTCCTCCCCCCACATGTTAAAGTATCCTTGAGCAAGATACTGAACCCCAAATTGCTCCCAATGTGTGTGAATGTGTATGAATCCGTTTGTTTCTGTTTAATGGGCTTTGCCATCACTGTGTGAATGGGTGTGAAAGGGTGAATGTGGCTGTAGTGTAAAAGAGCTTTGAGTGGTCGGAAGACTAGAAAGGCGCTATACAAGTACAGGTCCATTTACCATTTACCACTATAGATTAATTTACAGAATATTGTTGAACAGTGATTGGTACTGTTAGAAGAGATTAGACACATAAAATGTTCTTGATCTTTATTATTCTGTAATATGATAATGCAGCTATTTTATAACTGATTTCCCTTTTCATTGGGATTTTTGATCACTGATGACTTTTATTGTAATTGAGCTTATAAAGTGTATCTTATATATAAAAACAAGCAAAAGACAAATGTACAATTTTACTGATGAACATTATTCTCTTTCAGTGTCAAAGACAGTTACAGAGACAGACAGAAGAATTGTCATCTTTGGAAAAACTGCAGCTGGGAAAAGCAGCCTGGCTAACACCATATTTGGAGAGGATGTGTTCAAAATCGACCATAGTCTCAACTCTACAACAAAAAAATGTCAAGCAGAAACCAGGTCTGTCAATGGAAGAAGCATCACTTTAATCGACACTCCTGGTTTCTGTGACATGGACAGATCCGAGGATATTGAGCGTGAGATAGTGAGGTATATCACAGAGTGCGCTCCTGGGCCTCATGCTTTTCTCTTTGTGTTTAAAGTGGAGAAATTCACAGAGCACGAGCAGGAGGTCATCAAAGAAACAATGCAATACTTTTCTGAAGAAGCTTTTAAATATGCAACAGTTGTCTTTACTCATGGTGACCAGCTCCCTAAAGGAAAGACAATTAAGGATTTTATCAGAAAGAATAAGCTTGTGAGTAATCTGGTGAAGAAGTGTGGTGGGAGGTGCTTCGTCATTGATAATAAATACTGGAACCAAAAGCATAAATACAGGAGCAACAAGTTCCAGGTGGAGGAGCTTCTTAAGTCCATAGACAAGATGGTGAAAGAAAACAATGGAAGCTGCTACACCAATGAGATGCTACAAGCAGTGGAGGAGGAAATACAACAAGAGGAGGAGCGCCAGAGACCAGGAAACATGTCAGAGGGAGAGATCAGAGAGCAGGCTAAGTGCAGCATATTTGAGAAGATTTCGACCAGACGGGCAGGTACTGCAACAGGTGTGGTGTTAGGATTTGTTTGGTGTGTCCGTCGGTGTAGTTCTTACCGTTTTACAGAAATCATCAAAGCCAGTACAATTAAGAAGAGCTATAGCCAAAACAGCAGGAGTGGTATCAGCAGTTGGGCTAATATGAGTAAAAACAGCAGGAGGAGCTGCAGCATTACCTGCTATCACGGTTACAGGGCTATCTGATGGAGTGGGAGCAGTGATGGGAGGTGCTACAGGCAGCGCCATCATATAGGGGTGAAAGGTAATAACAATTATATGGGGCCCACAGCCCATCAGGGCCCACACACAGCCCCCAGTAGGCTCTATGACTAAATTATTATGCATAAACTTAACTAATATATATTCATACTAATGAATCTGAGCTAAAACAAAGCCACAAAATCACGCATTATTTTAATTTTAATAATTTCAATAATCCCCTTGGCCCTTTCTTTAACAATGGTTTGGTCCATGGTTCATTTGTCCTCTGTCGGACAGTGCTCCAGTAAGCGCCCACTCAGTTATGAGGCTGCATTGAATTGTATTATGACGCATTCAAGTTCTACTCAGTAATTATGAGCATTAGGCGAAGGTCAATTATGTTATCGTGATGTGTTCAAATGTGGTCTTGTAAAATGTTGTTATTGGTGGAACGTTTGCAGTGGCGGAACTACAGTTTTATACAAGGGGTGGCCAGAGGGTGGGCAAGGCTTTATGAGGGGGCCCATATACTAGGCCTAATAAAGGAAAATCCTGGGATACTTCAGGTCGGATTCAAACCCGGGCCACTGCAGCAACTCCGCACATGGGTCACAGGCACTGGTATAATTTAACCTGGTTCTTAACATGTCTTCTTGACTGTTGAGTTGAACTCAGGAAAAAGAGCTTTATGACGGACGAAGCCCATTTAGATGTTGTGTATTCCAAGACTAGGTTAGTTCTTCATCAGTTTTTCCATGAAACATAACATTTAATGTTTACAAAAAGCAATATATAATGGAACAATAAACCTTTATGCTTTGCTGCTCCAGAATCAGCAGTGGCCGCTTCATCTGAGTTTGACCCAGCAGCAGACCCTCACCCCCAGCAGTCCAATGATGCCTTTGAGGGTGGTGAGTAATGTAGACACTGGTTGGCTGTTTTGGTTTATTAGTGAACTGCTGTACCACTGGCAATTACTAAGATATTAATCAACCCCTTTGGCTATTTCAATTACATAATCAATAGCAAGAAATAGGCTAAATTTTTTTACAACTCAATTTAAGTCACTATTGCTGTTGTGGATCTGTCAGTCAGATAGCCCAGACATTACTGCTGACCAACAAAGTAGTTAGGTGAGCAGATATGTGGAGAGAGGAACAGAGAGAGGCGGGGTGGGACAATCCGATGTTTGTGAGACAGAAGTCCAGCTGTGTGTGTACACTATAAGGCTTTAAATAGATCCAGTGATTGGTGATTGGTATCAGCAGAGACACCCTTAGTTTTAGGGGTTGTGATATTCTAGTTAAACTATCCTTAATACCATAATCAATCATTTGAGTTTATCAGTTTAATTGTTTTGGACATCCACTATTTGGATAAAATAGCTTGTTAGAAGGTAGTCTACAGCTGCTATTACAATATGTCAGTCAGCCAGACAGTAAATCAACATTCAGGTAAATGTACCCTAATTAGGACTATGGGATTGAACACTGTATCAGATACTCAATATTAAAAGGGGCCAAATAAGGGTCCTGAATCTGTTTACAAAAGGATCCTGTTCTTTACCACAACAGATTAACTTAAAGTACATTGTTGAACAATGGTTAGTCAGAAGAGATTAGACACATAATGTGTTCTTGATCTTTAATATTCTCATCATTCTCCTTTTATGTATTGTAATTGTGATAAAAACAGAAAAGAATGAGGATTTTCATTGTAATTAAGGTCATGTGTATCTTATAGATGAAGACAGGCATTACATAAATGTAGAGTATTATTGATGAACATGATTCTCTTTCAGAGTCAAACAGAAGAATTGTCATTGTGGGAAAAACTGGAGCTGGGAAAAGCAGCCTGGCTAACACCATATTTGGAGAGAATGTGTTCAAGATCGACCATGGTCTCAACTCTGGAACAAAGAAATGTCAAGACAAAACTACATCAGTCAATGGAAGAATGATCACTTTGATCGACACTCCTGGTTTCTTTGACACAGATAGATCTGAGGAGGATATTAAGCGTGAGATAGTGAGGTGTATCACAGAGTGCGCTCCTGGGCCTCATGCTTTTCTCATTGTGCTTAAATATGAGAAATTCACAACACAGGAGCAGGAGGTCATCCAAGTAATACTCAAAAACTTTTCTGAAGAAGCTTTAAAATATGCAACAGTTGTCTTTACTCATGGTGACCAGCTCCTTGAAAAAAAGGCCATTAAGGATCATGTCTGCCAGAATAAGCTTGTGAGTGAACTTGTGAAAAAGTGTGGCGGGAGGTGCTTCGTCATTGATAATAAATACTGGAACAAAAACCCAAAGGATGAATACAGGAGCAACCAGTTCCAGGTGGAGGAGCTACTTAAGTCCATAGACAAGATGGTTGAGGCAAACAAAGGAAGCTACTACACCAATGAGATGCTACAAGCAGTGAAGAAAGAAATACAACAAGAGGAGGAGAACCTTAAACAGTCATCAGGAAACATGTCAGAGGAAGAGATCAGAGAGCAGGCTAAGGTCACAGTATCCACAAATATTTGGATCAGACTGGTAGGTACTGCAACAGGTATAGTGTTAGGAGCTTTGCTTGGTGTAGTAGTGGGTGGAGCAGTATGTGTTACAGTTGGAAGAAAATGTAAAGATCTAGTCGGATTAGCAAAATCAGTGGCAGGAGGAGCAGCAGCAGTGGCAGGGGGAACATCTGCAGGAGGAGCAGCAGCAGTGGCAGGAGGAACAGCTGCAGTGGCAGGGGGAACATCTGCAGGAGGAACAGCAGCAGTGGCAGGAGGAGCAGCTGGAGGAGGAACAGCAGCAGTGGTGGTAGTAGGAACAGTTGCAGCAGTGGGAGGTGTATTAGGGGGCATGAGAGGATCTGAAGCAGCTGAGGGAGCAGACACAGCATTGGAAGCTATAAAGAGGGCAGCAGTGGCTGTCACGGATGACGCCAAATCTGTCTATGATGCTTTTGACAAAATGTTCACATCAAAGTCAAAACAGAGTTAAAACCTATGAAAAATTAAGGGGTAGATAATATATCATCAAGGTCGTATCTCCTTATAGATTACATAGAAATCTTGTTCTAAATAATCTTTACCCATTGAGCTGATTGTTTTTTTATGTAATTGGTTGTACTTCTTGTCTGAGCTTTAAAATTTAGCCACTTATTCCTGTTTCATGAGCAAACCACAGTGTCTGTTTGATGTGCTGTTTAGTGCACTTACTCTAAATTGTAACTACCAACAACAAAGATGATATGTTTGAACATCATATCTTAAAGATGTTTAAATCAAACAAGGATACACTGTTGGTTGTATTTCTGTTTGCTCTTAATAGTTTCCTGTTACAAAAGCTAACCAGATAATGTCTTTTAATGTATGTACAGTCTTCTGATGCTCCTGCAAAAACAGTTGTGATTATTTGAGGATTGCAATGTATCAAAAGCAAATATGGAAAATGTGAAAAAAAAAATGTGGGGGAAAAAAGGTAATTAATAAGGTAATCAATTTATGAATGGTGCACTAGAATGTGATTATAATAGAGGAGGTCAGATATGTTTATCACAGATAAATGTAAAGAGTGAAACAAGACTCTTCAGCCATGCTAGCAGCTCTGTGAGGCTGTACTATAGGCACAGCTGATGTCAGCATACTCACATCCTCACAATGCTAATGTTTAATGTTAATCATGTTCATCATCTTGGTTCATCACTATGGCAACTGATAATTAGCACAAAACAGTTGAGGCTGATGTTATTGGTGGGATGTCATTAATTCTGCAGGTATCTGGTCATAAAGTATACACATTGAAAATGTTGAGCTGATGATGATGCTAGATAATAGATTTTACACAATGGTGTGACAAAAACAAAGTCAGATTGTAATTCTGTTAAAATAAAATTAAGTCAACACACTGGAACACTGGTTAACAGCAGAAGAGAAGTTGTTTAAGTGGGAAGAAATGTATTTATGTATTGTAATGTATTGTATCTGAGACACACAGGCACTCTGGTTGCTGATAAGGAAGCTTCTCGTGTTATACATGGAAACTCTCAAAACAGCCTAACACAGATCTGTTCAGTTACTTATTTTATTTTGTAAGGTTTTGGAGAAAAATACCTGTCCTTTTGTCTTGATAAAGTATCAGTATTGAAACATTTGAAAGAAGTCATTTGAGCAAATACAGAAAATGAATGGGTGGCAGAAAGGCACTGTTTTCTATACTGACACTGTGGACTAAGGTTACCTCTTTAAGCAGCACTGTACATGCAGATCAGAAAGATGGCTTTCTTAACGAAAAGTGCATTTTTAACCCCAAAAAGACTAAATTTGTCTGTTTATGGTTTTTAACAGAGCTGTAGTAGGTGCAGATAGGCCTATAACAATTGGTGACAAATGGAAAAACAAAGTAATAAATTGTAGCCGGTATCCTGTTATCAGACAAGTTGAAATTGGGTGGAGACAGCAGACACGTAGACCCTTGTACTTTGTACATCAATTCAGGAAATGAAAGTATGTTCAATTTACAGTAAACATATTCACATACACAGGCTTCACTCGGACTCATCTTCACTGCACAGCTATAGACTTCACTTTTGATAACATGGACGGTAAGACATAAGTTAATTGATTTCAGTTTGTCTTGGTTTAGTTTGATTTTTTTTTTCATAATGTGATAAAAAAAAAAGTTGATTAAAATTTGATCCTTTCTTCACTGAACTGTGTTTTGTCCACATCAGTCTGCTAGAGTTGCAGCGCTGCTCTCTTTCATGACTCTGCTCGCAGTTTTCTACATGTAAGAGTGAAAATATCTCATTATCCCATGTAAAAAATTGTTTGATTGCATCAGTAAGTTTAAGTTGGCGCTGATTGTCGCTTTCACCTGTTACAATATTGTTATAGTTTTGTTATTGGCAGGTCATAAACTTGGTTGTTTCCGGGTTTGCTCTCTGCTGGCAGGCCTGCTGTAGGATACTTGATTAATGTGCTGAAACAGACAACGCTGTAACACTGTAGCCCAGAGTGGACTGATGGACTGACAGAGTGAGACATCTTCTCTCCTGCTGAGTCTTGTCACATCAGTTTTAGGGGTCGTGTTCTTCCAGTTAAACTTTCCTTAATATCATAATCAGTCAGTTGAGCTCATCAGTGTAACTCTTTCGGACTACCAGTATTTGGATAAAGTAGCTTGTTAAAAATAAGGTAGCTGTTCAGTCTGTGGATCTGTCAGTCAGATAGCCTAGACATTACCCCTGACCAACAAAGTAGCTATGGGATCAGACACATACGGCCAGATTATGGAGACAGGAGCAGAGATAAGTGGGGTGGGACAAGCCGATGTGTGTGAGACAGAGGTGCAGGTGTGTGTCTACACTATAAGGCTTTAAATAGACCCAGTGATTAGTGATTGGTATCAGCAGAGACACCCTTAGTTTTAGGGGTTGTGATATTCCAGTTAAACTATCCTTAATACCATAATCAATAATTTGAGTTTATCAGTTTAATTGTTTCGGACTTCCACTATTTGGATAAAATAGCTTGTTAGAAGGTAGTCTACAGCTGCTATTACAACATGTCAGTCAGCCGAGACAGTAAATCAACATTTAGGTAAATGTACCCTAATTAGGACTATAGGATTGAACACTGTATCAGATACTCAATATTAAACGGGGCCAAATAAGGGTCCTGAATCTGTTTACAAAAGGATCCTGTTCTTTACCACAACAGATTAACTTAAAGTACATTGTTGAACAATGATTAGTCAGAAGAGATTAGACACATGATGTGTTCTTGATCATTAATATTTACATCATGGGCCTCTTTTTATGCATTGTAATCATCCTTCATTCTCTTACTGTAATATGCTAATGCAGCTATTTTATAAATACTGAAAAACTTCTGTTTCCATTGTGATTTTTGACCAATGAGGATTTTCATCAATATTAATGATGAACATTATTCTCTTTCAGTGTCAAACAGAAGAATTGTCATTGTGGGAAAAAGTGGAGCTGGAAAAAGCAACCTAGCTAACACCATATTGGGAGAGGAACTGTTCAAGAGCAACCATACTTTCAGTTCTGAAAAAAGTGAATGTCAAGCAGAAACCAGATCTGTGAATGGAAAAAAGATCACTTTGATCGACACTCCTGGTTTCTTTGATACAGATAGATCTGAGGAGGAGCTGAAGCGTGAGATAGTGAGGTGTATCACAGAGTGCGCTCCTGGGCCTCATGCTTTTCTCATTGTGCTTAAAGTGGAGAGATTCACAGAGCACGAGCAGGAGGTCATCAAAAAACTGCACCAATACTTTTCTGAAGAAGTCTTCAAATATTCAACAGTTGTCTTTACTCACGGCGACCAGCTCACTGAAGGACAGACCATTGAGGATCATGTCCGCAAGAATAAGCTTGTGAGTGATCTGGTGAAGAAGTGTAGCAGCCGGTGCCATGTCATTGATAATAAATACTGGAACAACAACCCAAAGGATAAATACAGGAACAACCAGTTCCAGGTGGAGGAGCTACTTAAGTCCATAGACAAGATAGTTAAGGCAAACAATGGAAGCTACTACACCAATGAGATGCTACAAGCAGTGCAGAAAGAAATACAACAAGAGGAGGAGAACCTTAAACAGTCATCAAGAAACATGTCAGAGGAAGAGATCAGAGAGCAGGCTAAGGTCACAGTATCCACAAAGATTTGGATCAGACTGGCAGGTACTACAACAGGTGCATTGTTAGGAACTTTGTTTGGTGTAGTAGTGGTTGGAGCAGTATGTGTTACAGTTGGAAGAAACTGTAAAGATCTAGTCGGATTAGCAAAATCAGTGGCAGGAGGAGCAGCAGCAGTGGCAGGGGGAACATCTGCAGGAGGAACAGCTGCAGTGGCAGAAGGAGCAGCTGTAGTGGCAGGAGGAGCAGCAGCAGTGGCAGAAGGAGCAGCAGCAGTGGCAGGGGGAACATCTGCAGGTGGAACAGCAGCAGTGGCAGGAGGAGCAGCTGGAGGAGGAACAGCAGCAGTGGTGGTAGTAGGAACAGTTGCAGCAGTGGGAGGTGTATTAGGGGGCATGAGAGGATCTGAAGCAGCTGAGGGAGCAGACACAGCATTGGAAGCTATAAAGAGGGCAGCAGTGGCTGTCACGGATGACGCCAAATCTGTCTATGATGCTTTTGACAAAATGTTCACATCAAAGTCAACAGAGTTAAAACCTCTGAAAAATTAAGGGGTAGATAATATATCATCAAAAGGTCGTATCTCCTTATAGATTACATAGAAATCTTGTTCTAAATAATCTTTACCCATTGAGCTGATTGTTTTTTTATGTAATCGGTTGTACTTCTTGTCTGAGCTTTAAAATTTAGCCACTTATTCCTGTTTCATGAGCAAACCACAACGTCTGTTTGATGTGTTGTTTAGTGCACTTACTCTAAATTGTAACTACCAACAACAAAGATGAAACGTTTGAACATCATATCTTAAAGATGTTTAAATCAAACAAGGATACACTGTTGACTGCATTTACGTTTGCTCTTAATAGTTTCCTGTTGCAAAAGATAACCAGATAATATCGCTTAATGCAGTGGTTCCCAACCTGGGGGGTGCCAGAGATCGCAGAAATTGCAATAACACACCCAATTGGATAATCAAATCTCTGTATACTCCAAATTGAAAAATATTTTTGGTCCACATTTAAATTAATTAAGCTATTTATTACCTATTTAGTGCGTGTATGCGGATAGGGGTTGGAATTGGGGGGGCCTGACTTGTCTTGGACACAGTCAAGGGGAGCTTCAAGGAAAAAGGTTGGGAGCCACTGGCTTAATCTATATAAACATCATTTTGTTAGACAAGTCTTCTGATGCTCCCGCAAAAAGTTGTGATTATTTGTGGATTGCAATGTATCAAAAGCAAATATGGAAAAATGTGGGGAAAAAAAGGTAATTAATTAGGTAATCAATGTATGAATGGTGCACTAGGATAATTAAAATTAGATTGTAATAGAGGAGTTCAGATATGTTTATCACAAATAAATGTAAAGAGTGAAACACGACTCTTTAGCCATGCTAGCAGCTCTGTGAGGCTGTACTATAGGCACAGCTGATGTCAGCATACTCACATCCTCACAATGCTAATGTTTAATGTTAATCATGTTCATCATCTTAGTTCATCACTATGGCAACTGATAATTAGCACAAAGCAGTTGAGGCTGATGTGATTGTGGGATGTCATTAATTCTGCAGGTATCTGGTCATAAAGTATACACATTGAAAATGATGAGCTGATTGAATTATTATTGAATTATCATATAATACAATGCTTAAATTAATAATTGTAATGCATTGTAAAGTATTTGTCACCATATGTCAAATTAAACAAGAAAATATGTTAAAATTAATTGTATTTGTATTTATTTATTAATTTACATATATACACATATGTAGCTATTCATTTGTATATTTGTTTACTTATTAATTTATTCGCATATTTCTTTATCTGTAATTTTTTTATAGCACTGCAGCTAAAACTTGGTTGGTCAAATAGCATTATTTCCAAATCTATCACTACAGCTCTCTTATTTATGATCAACAATGTAGAAATATTAGAGGAATATTTTAGTGATGACAGCCTGCTCATGCTCTGTAAGCACAATAAGAAAAGCATGAGGCCCAGGAGCGCACTCTGTGATACACCTCATTATCTCAGGCTTCAAATGCTCATCAGACCTTTCTGTCCCAAAGAAACCAGGAGTGTCAATCAAAGTGATGCTTCTTCCATTGACAGATATGGTGAAAATAGTCTCTCCAAATATGGTGTTATGGTGCCCAACTGCTTTTCCCAGATCCAGTTTTTTCCCAGTGGGACAATCCTCTTTGAACTCAGCACTATAGTAACCAATAATGACTCTTCTCTAAAATGAGTGATCCCACCTTCAACATGTTCATAGTGACAATGCTGACATGCTGATTTGTAGCAGGTGTAATGTCGCCATCTAAGTTTAATGTGTTGCATTAAAAAAATGGTAATTAAAGCTAAATACAAACAAAGTGGTATATTTCACCTGTCTTGTTGATTTAATTGTTTTTTTTTTTATTTACGCATTTAAAATGTTCCATTGTATAGCTGAGGCTGATGGGAATGCCATTTGTTTGTTGATTGGATAATCAAATCTCTGTATACTCCAAATTGAAAAATATTTTTGGTCCACATTTAAATTAATTAAGCTATTTATTACCTATTTAGTGCGTGTATGCGGATAGGGGTTGGGATTGGGGGGGGCCTGACTTGTCTTGGACACAGTCAAGGGGAGCTTCAAGGAAAAAAGGTTGGGAGCCACTGGCTTAATCTATATAAACATCATTTTGTTAGACAAGTCTTCTGATGCTCCCGCAAAAAGTTGTGATTATTTGTGGATTGCAATGTATCAAAAGCAAATATGGAAAAATGTGGGGAAAAAAAGGTAATTAATTAGGTAATCAATGTATGAATGGTGCACTAGGATAATTAAAATTAGATTGTAATAGAGGAGTTCAGATATCTTTATCACAGATAAATGTGAAGAGTGAAACAAGACTCTTTAGCCATGCTAGCAGCTCTGTGAGGCTGTACTATAGGCACAGCTGATGTCAGCATACTCACATCCTCACAATGCTAATGTTTAATGTTAATCATGTTCATCATCTTAGTTCATCACTATGGCAACTGATAATTAGCACA